TCGTACGAAATACTAAGGCCAAGTATAGTATTATAGATGATGATATCTACAACTTTGGCGAGACCGGGTTTATGATAGGTATGATCTGCCTGGGTATAGTAGTTACGACCTCGGATGGCTATAGTAGGGCAAAACTAGCCCAGCCTAGTAACCGCGAATGGGCAACGGTGATCCAGGAAGTCAATGCACTTGGCTGGGCTATCCCGCCCTTCATCATCTTGGCCGCGCAATACTATCTCGCCAACTGGTATACCGAGTGCAACCTCCTAGCAAACTGGCGCATTATAACTACCGACAACGGCTGGACTACTAATACGGCAGGCCTAGATTGGATCAAGCACTTCGACTTCTATATAGTACCTCGTACAAAGGGCAAAAAGCGGTTGTTGATCCTCGACGGCTACGAAAGCTACTACTCTACCGAATTCGAGCTCTACTGCCAGGAGAATAACATTATTACGCTCTGCATGCCTCTATATTCCTCCTACAAGCTCCAGCCACTCGATATTGGCTGCTTTAGGCCGTTGAAACAGTCATACGGTCGCCAGATTGAGGACTTAATGCGCGCGTATATCAACTACATTAGCAAGCTCGAGTTCCTCTGCGGCTTTCGCGAGGCCTTCTTTGCTTCTATAACGGAGAAGAACATATAGGGTGGCTTTATAGGGGCTGGCCTAGTACTATACGATCTAGAGAGGGTCCTTTCTACGCTAGACGTAAAGCTTCGTACACCGACACCTCTAACCTTACGACCTAGCACTGTACAATCTTGGGTCTTCCAGACACCATACAACCCCCAAGAAGCCGAAACGCAGTCAACACTTATCAAGACTCGCATTGCCAACCATCAAAACAGCTCTCCAACTTTAATATTAGGTGCTGTGGATCAACTTACTAATAGTACGATGGCTATAATACACCAGGTGGCCCTCCTTCGGTCAGAGGTCTCTTCGCTCCGTAAGGCCAACGAGGCACTAAGCAAGCGCCGGAGAGCCAAAAGAACACGCGTGCAGCTTGGAGGATCACTTGCAGTACAGGATGCAAAGGATCTACTAGACCAGAAGGCCGTGGTTGGGGAGGTGATACAAGAAACGCAGCCGGACGGTGGTAGTACAGGGGGGGGTTGTACGAAGGTTCGGTGCTGTGGTGTGTGCGGCAAGCCTGGCCATAATGTACGTACGTGCCAGGAGGTTGCAGAAGGGTCTGATTCAGCTGTTTCTGATGTAATTATAGTTGGTTCCTAGTGTTAGTGTATTGTAATTGAGGATAGATGTTTTGGTGTGGTGGAAATTGATCGGCTCGCTGATATGATCAGCTCGCTGATAAGATACGTTATCCTTATACTAGGTGGCATCTACATCCATCGGTCCAGCATAGGTGCTATATAATATGCTAGGATATTGTCGCTTTTTCTTGTTATTGGCCTTGACGAATATAGGCTGCGTTCCGTATCTCTTATATTACTGGCGCCTGGCGTAAATTCGATCGTCGATACGGATGGCTATAGTAATATATTTGTCAAGCGTATCGGGTCGATCCTTTTAATATAGTTCATCCTTGACTTCTTCCTTTAAACTATTATAGAACAACTATATAAGACCTTTATTATTAATCTTATACCAAAGTGAATCCTGGCGGAACTATATAGCGTAGGCAGCCGCTGACTTTGTCTGCCTTAGGCGTACGAGTCGCTTCTATATATAGAGCTTCTTATTATAGTCTCCGAACACCTTCTAGATTTCCTGCTCGAATTTATCGTACGATTTGAAAATATCAATAGTGAAGTCGTCTTAAGTGTTCGTACTATTGGTTAGCCAATCCTTAAGGGTAGGTTTAAACTATCGAAGTATCTTCCCCTCGAGCTATAAGGAGATAAATATAACTTTGATAGATTCGTCTATAAACTTATCTAGGTAGTACTTGAGGTAGGCCCTTATAGATATAAGGAATCTAATAAGTCCTTCTTTATCGCCTCTATACTTGGGGGATGCTTCGAGTTTGGCCTTGTCCTTGGGCTTGCTATTATAGGCCTTGTTAACGAGTTGCTATATATTGCTATTCTCGGCCTCGAGCTAGGTGATCTTATCGTTAAGAGCCTTGAGGACCTAGATATTATCTTTCTAGGCCTTAAGCTAGGCAATCCTCGTGTTAAGGGCTTCGATGACCTGCTGCATTTGCTGTATAGTCGCGGTCTAGCCCTGGGAGCCTAGGGTACTAGGTGTCTAAGGCGCCATGATGATCGATGTTACCTTCGATCTGAACTATGATAGAGTCAAAGGGAGTAAGCAACGTATGACGAAACTATAGGCAGTCCTGCCTCTAAAAGGGTTCGCCGGTCGAAGGTAACTGCTAGTCGGACTATAGGTCTCGGTGAAGCCAAAAGGTTCATAACAATGCAAGTCGCAATGTCTATACAATAACGTAGGGCTACTTTACTGCTTGTATTGCTTACTGGAGAACTCCCAGAGTCCTCTAGAACGAGTGACTATATACTAGCTATCTTCTTGGGTGCTCAGTGCTTCGATTCGGATAAGCACTCAGGTGCTTATCGTAATATGCCCCTAATCACTCTAATCGCTTACATCCTATAGAGTGCTCAGCGGCATTGGCACCTTAGCACCTTTGCCCGTCTCTGACTGGTCCGCCTAGTTGTCCAAATGATTGGCTCGGGACGTCCCCGCGTCCCTATATACGGCCGTCTGCCCTGTAGCCTGCCGTTGGTTAATTCGTGACACATTGCGATTATTAGTTAGCAACTAGTTAGCTAATATACGTGAAGACGACGTTTAAGATGATGAGCGATAAGCAAGCCCCTCAATCTAAGAGGAAGCGCTGGACTTGAAGGAGTAGTTAAGTCGACCACCCCCCATTCCGCCAACCACCCCCATTCCGCCCACTTTGTAAGTCCACACCGCTTTTTCAACCCAACCACTTCAACTTACCACAACTCACTCAATCTCTGGCCAAACGGCCTTTTTTTTATATCAAACTGATTGCCAGTTCAAGATGGCTTACTCAGAGCAAGATATACAAGATGCAGTTGAGCAATACCGTCTTGGGCGCCAGTCATTGCGAAGCATCTATAGTGAGTTCGGCATCTCACGCTCTACTATTCGCGACCGCCTTCGTGGTACTCAGACCCATTCAACTGCGGCCGAACCGCAACAGACACTTATATGACGAAACCACAGGCAGTCCTGCCTCTGAAAGGGTTCGCTAGTCGAAGGTATCTGCTGGTCGGACTATAGGTCTCAGTGAAGCCAAAAGGTTCATAACAATGCTAGTCGCAATGTCTGCACAATAGGTGGAGGCTATTGCTTGTATTGCTCACTGGAGAACTCCCAGAGTCCTCCAGAACGAGTGACTATATACTGGCTATCTCTGGGTGCTCTCATGTGCTCTATAGAGCTCCCTAGAGCTCGGTGCTCTGTTGACTCCATCGAGAGCTTCCATTCCTTTGCGTTGATTGGCTTAGCTCCCTAAGCTCTTGTCTGCTCCCTAGAACACCTTAGAGCTCCTTCTTATTGGTCCTAAATGATTGGTTCGGGTGCGCCCTGCGCCACCCGTCGGGTTGTCCCACCTGCAGCTGTCCTGTTGGCTTAATTCGTGACAAATGCCTATAACAGGTCTTTATCCCCCGGACCCAGCCGCAAGATCCTACCTAGAAGCGTCTATTAATACTGGACAGCCACGATAGCCATATAAGCACTAAGTTTATATAGGAGTGCTTCAGCAACAATAGCCAACTACTCTTTTTACCAGCCTATACCTCCTACGTCCTCCAGCCATTGGATTTATCAGTGTTCTCCCCCCTGAAGCATACCTACCGCAAGTGTGACGGCAAGTGCTGCCTACGGGGTGCTTGCCGTCAGGGAAGATATAATCTACCGAGTCGCAAGTCCGAGGGACTTGCGATTCCGACATCCTTTTCGGAAGGTGTACATAGCCGAGTAGGTTAGGTTTATGCTCCACTGTCACAGCAAGCTCCTCAACTAGTTAACCAGCTGGTTAGAAACTACGGCATTAGGCAAGCAGTTGATATTACGGTGCCTCGTCAAGGCTCGCAGGGAGGCAATTACAGCTCATAATATCAAAGCTAGGTGGAAGGCATCCAGGTTATAGCCTCTTAATATAGCGAAACTACTAATAAGCCCTCTTTTATTAGAAACTTCAAACCAGGCGCTTAGAAAAGACGATCCACTACTACTACTATAGACCCCGGCATCTAGGCTACCTAGCCAGACCATAACTATGGCTCAGGAGGTCGAATTCCAGACACCACGCAAGAAGGTAGACCTTCGCGGTCACCTAACCAACCTGGCTATCCGGCGGCAAGATCTTTCTACACGACGGCTTTTATTCAGGAAGGTTAAGAATGCATTTGACGAGAAGGACTTCCAGTTATCTTAATTACAACAGGAAAACAAGGCTCTGAAGGTTCAGTTAGAGGCAGCCCGGCCGTCGAGAAGAAAGAGGGTGGTCCCGGATCCGAACAAGCAGTTCGCTTCCATTGGACAGGTCCACCGGGCTCAAATTGAGGCTGGCCGTATTGAAGAGTCTGGCATTGAAGAGAGCAGGTCAGAAATCCCCGAATCAGATGCTTCCTGTATTGTGGTGGGTTGAACAGACTGTAATAGATGGTGTTGAAGAAGATGGGTGGTTTAGACGCCAAGACTTACAAAGTGGGCGGAATGGGGGGTGGTCGACTTATACGAAGAGTTAGGGTTATAATCTCAAGGCGTGCCTGGCTAAGTGTGAGCACAACGTCAACGCTGGGCTGGAGACGTACGATGTACTCGCTCTACCTACCTCTGAAAACATTCTTGCTTTGACAATGGGTGTGAGTCAAATCCATGACCGAGGGCGTGATGGCGCCAAGCAAATGTCCGACATATACCTGACTGACACACACGTGCCCATTAACTTCCTGTTAGGTGATCAAGCTCAAGAAGAAGCCAAACCTCGTCTTTTCTCGAGTCTGATTGCCATAACAGCGAGCCCATTGCCAGACACTCGGATATCGCTGCGAGAGAACATACCAAATCGACCGGACGGGGAACGCAGAGGTCATGCGCCGCATTTTCTGGACAATATACGTTTCTGACAAAAGCCTTTCCCTCCTTTTGGGGTGCGCATCGTGCATCCAAGACTTTGAGATTGATTCAAGCCCCCCTGTTCTCCCGACCAATCCTGCGCTCCAGCCCTGGGACGAATCCTTCATCGCGGCTATCAAGGTAGCGAGGAACTTGCTATACTCAGCTGCCGCGTGGAAGGCGGACCACTCCGAACGCTCTCAACACATCAAGACTCTCGCGGCTGCCGTGCGGCAATTGCGGACCGAGCTCGAAAAGGTAAGTAAGTACCATAGGCATGCCGACATGTGTGTGGAGTATCTTCCGTGCAGGCAAGCCACTCTCTTCTTAAATCATCCTCCTCCTTCTTCTTACTTGATTTCTATGCATATTGTAGTATACGGTGCACTTACCGCATCAAGTCGCTAGCCAAATGTACCTAGGTAGTAGCCTAACGTATCTTATAAGCGAGCGAGACATATAAGCGAGCGAGACACTCTCCACCACTCTATAACAACTATCCTCAATTGCAACACAACAACACTAGGAACCAACTACAATTACATCAGAGACAGCTGAATCAGACCCTTCTGCAACCTCCTGGCACGTACAGGCATTATGGCCAGGCTTGCCGCACACACCACAGCACCGAACCTTCGTATAAGCCCCCCCTGCACCACCACTATCCTGCTCCTTTTCTTGCACCACCTCCCCAACCACGGCCTTCTGGTCCAGTTGATCCTTTGCATCTTGTACTGCAAGCGATCCTCTAAGCTATACGCGTGTTCTTTTGGCTCTCCGGCGCTTGCTTAGCGCCTCGTTAGCCTTGCGGAGCAAAGACACCTCTGCCTGAAGGAGGGCCACCTGGTACATTATAGCTATCGTACCCTTGGTAAGCTAGTCCATAGCAGACAATATCGAAGTTAGGGAGCTATTTTGATGGTTGGCAATATAAGTCTTGATGAGCGTTGACTGCGAGTTGGCTTCTCGAGGGTTATATAGCGTCTAGAATACCCAAGGTTATAATATACTAGCCTGCAAGTTCAGGGGCGTTAGTATACGGAGCTTTATATCCAGCTTAGATAGTACCTTCTCTTAATCGTACGGTATAAGGCCAGCACCTGCAAAGCCACCTTGGATATTCTTCCCCGTTATCGAGGGGAAGAAGGCCTTGCGGAAGCTACAGAGGAACTCGAGCTTGCTTACGTAGTTAATATATACGCGTATCAAGTCCTTAACCTAGCGACCGTACGCCTGCTTTAGTGGCCCAAAGCAGCTAATATCGAGTGGCTGGAGGAGGTGCGAGGAATGCGGAGGTATACAAAGCGTGATAATATTGTTCTGCTGGCAATAGAGCTCGAATTCGGTCGAGTAGTAGCTGTTGTGGCCGTCGAGGATCAACAGCCGGTACTTGCCCTTTGCCTAGGGCGCTGTATAGTAGTCGAAGTGCTTGATCCAATCCAGGCCTACGGCATTAGTTGTCCAGCCGTTGTCGGTAGTTGCAATACGCCAGTTGGCTAGGAGGTTGTACTCGGTATACCAGTTAGCGAGATAGTACTATGCGGCCAAGATGATAAACGGAGGGATGGCCCAGCTAAGAGCATTGACTCCCTAGATCACCGTTGCCCACTCGCGGTTGCCAGGCTAGGCCAGCTTTACCTTACTATAGCCATCAGAGGTTGTAACCACCATGCCCATAAAGATAATGCCCATTATAAACCCAGTCTCGTCGAAGTTATAGATATTGTCATCTATAATACTATACTTGGCCTTGGTATTCCGTACAAGTGCAAACCACTCGCCAATGACCTCTAGATCCTTGTACTTAGCCCTCTGGTAGTCGTATCGATACGACCAACGTATACGGAGGGCTGGCTGGCGTTTGACGAAGTTATAGGCCCAGAGCTTGCCGACAGAGGGCGCGTCGCGTATATATAGCAGTTGGTTGGCCATATCTTCTATACCACGGAGTCTTGGTAGAAAAGCTCGCTCGGATAACTCAATTATATACTGAATAAGAGCCTTCTCTTCTAGATCGGTAAGCTTCCGCGAGTTAGCTGGAAGATCGTGTCGTATAGCTCGGCCGGTACGTCGGTGGCCGAGGGTTGAAACTAGTACGTTATAGAGCTTGGCCGCGGCTCGGAGGCTCAGTTTCGTGTCATTTTGAAGAGCTTGAAGGGCCAAGATTACCCTAGCTTCCTTTGAAGCGGAAGACATTCTTGGTTATAGGAAAAACGCGCTGTTGGGGGTGGTTGAAGAAGGACGCATCGTGCCAAGAACTTAGTGTCTCGCTCGCTTATATGTCTCGCTCGCTTATAAGATACGTTATCGTTAATAAGATTAACAAGATTAGCGTGACCTTAGTGTGGCTGTTGGACAAGAACGGCTTCCTAGGCTGGCTAGAAAGCACTGGTTAAGCCCTCCATTTAGAACTAACTAGCAAAAGTCCGATACCAATACCAATTGGAGGGGCGATTGAAGCGCATGGCCGCAGCTCATACAGGAGCTAAACGGTAGGTGCACGGCGACACGGATCAAACAACCGTTGAACTAATCGTACCTCCTCGGTAGACTTTAGCTACAAGTCTCCGGCGGAAACAACGGGCTGTGCGAACTATGAGGCGGCATCTCGCAGCACGAGTTCGTCTTATCCGACAGGGTGATCCTGTCCCGGACCGGCGACTACGGCGTCACTGATCTCGGCGGCGACTACATCAGTTTCTTCTTTAGGTAGGTAGTTAGTACGACTGCAACCAGTACTGCCGCCCCAACTGGACGAAGCCCGGCAATCCGCAGCTGCGCTTCAACCCGGTCCAACTCCCAGGCACGACCATGCTCCGCCACACCGTGCCAACCTCCGCGTCCTGCCCTGGCGATGCCCGTGACTATAGGAACTGGTACTGAGTAATGCAACAAGCACCGGCGAACCACCTCCTTAGGGTACGCGATTGCGGGGTGCAGGGGGGTCCTTTCTACTATTAGTTGCTCGCCTGGAGATAGAAGAGCAAGAGCAACGTATCGGCCCGATCTGCAGCATGTCACGCAGCAAAGATGGGAAGTAGTCACGAAATGCATTCCTAATTCTGGAAAAAATGTCCTGCATCCTCTCTTCTACCTGCTCCTGTACCTCGTCACTGATCTTCCTCTTCAGGGCCTCTTCCAAGATGTCTTCAATGTCCGGCATCTGGCTCTCCAGTGTATCGACGCCCTGTCCTAATTCGCATACACTAACGTCCAGGACATCTACCTTATCGCCCGTCTCGTCAAGGCGCCCTTGCATCTCCGCCACGCGCGACTCCAGCCCAGCAACCGTGTCGTTGAGCCGCTCGATCGTCTCTTGTTGCATCTTGACCAGAGCCAGGAGTTGGGCGAGAAGCCCGGACTCCTCGGACAACTCTAGCCCGGACTTCAAGACCTGCTCGGTAATAGAGACACTCGCCGAGGCATCCTGGACGTCCCGGACGTGGGTGACTCGCTTGAGAGGTCGGGCGGGCGAACCGATGCCGCTCCTACTACCGCTACTGTGACGGGTCCGCTTCCCTAACTTGTCGGCTAGAGACCGTACGCATTAGAGCGGCGTGACACGAAATGCAGTACGGGACAACGCTCTCACCTTGTACGATGGGGGGCATAGGAGGCCCCGCGCCAATCTCGTCGTACGGCGGCGGGGTGTCGACAGCGACGGTGGAAGCAGCGTCGTCGGATGCCGTGCTGGTGCCATTCTCGTCGACGGGGGAAGGAAAGTATTTGCCCCCCTTGCCGTTATAGAGGCTGCGTAGGTCGAGGAGTCGCGCGGGCGGCGACGAGGCGCCGGACTTGACGGCGGCTTCAAGAAGTTCGAGGCGCGGTTTGGATAGGACAGTATGTTCGACGTAGACCGACAGCGAGTCGACGGCGGCTAAGGAGACCAGGGCCTCGATAGCACGCGCCGTCGCCGGCTTTTTCGGTTCGAGGGATTGCTGGGCCGGTACGACCAGCTGCCCGGGGGTGCACAGACGGAATTTGAGGCGAGTCAGGCTGCCATTCAGCTGCTGGCGCACGACACCGGGAGCGTCAGAGTCGATGGTCCATTCGAGCGACGAGATATGGTCAGGAGGAATGTGGAAGTAGAGGTAGGTGTTGTCGAGACTCTTGAGCCGGATGGGGACGCGTAGCCGGAAAAGGCAAGCGGATCGGTCGAGGCAGACTTCAAGTACCACGCGTTTGTTCGCGGGGTCCGGATTGACGTAGCGCGGCGTATCGCTGCTCTGCGATTCCCAAGAGACCACGGCCGGTCCGCGGACTTCGAAGCTGGACTCGGTCTCTTCCATGGTATCGGGACTGTCGGCCATGATCGGTAGGTGTACCTGTGCACAAGGTCAATTGAAACAAGCGAGAGGGCAGCTTACCGGCCAGGAAAGACGCCCGCAGAGGCTGTGCCAGACCGAGTTGTCGCGTCAGACGCCGCTATGCAGACCGCAACTCCCGCCCGTCCCAGCCAGGCCGACAGCGGTGAAACTAGTTTCGCGGACAGGAGGCGCGGCCGCTCGTGAGAGAGCCAAGCCCCTTCCCAAGATCCCGATCCTTCCCAGGGAGGTGGTGCATACAACGCGTCCGAGGGGTGGGAGTCGGCCAAGCGATCGAGGGCGCGAGGGACAAGTGTCGCCCGATGTCAGCCACTGGCAAGACGTGCACGGTAACTCGGGAGCACACCGGAGGTGCGCTGTACGAGTCCCTAGAAGAAGGGCCGTCTGCTTGTTGGCTCGGTTGATGCGTCCTCTTGCAGCGCGGTTCGCGATGACAATGGTTGTGATGCCACAAACAAAGATAGACGATGGACGGGGTTGTTAATGATGAATTGATGTGAGGATTGAGAGGGATTTGCGTGCCACCTTACATAAGCGCCTGGACGGTCTGTGCGCCATGTTATGGAGAACTAGATGCGATCACGTGGCATGCACAAACAGAACGAAAGAGAATTCGGTACTCAATGTCCACGAGAAGAGTTAATGATAGGACCTGAAAGCAATGTTGGACTTGTAACAAGCTGGGGCTGTCCCTCGCCCATGCAGTACCGTACAGTAATTACTAGCGAAACTCTGCATGTCGCTCAACCCAAAACCCCTAGCCGATTCGCCCCGCCCCCCGCGCCTTAGCTGCCTTCACTGATTCCAGTGAGTAATTTCGCGGTCAGAGCAACTGCGACAACTTCGGCCCCAGATGGTACCGAGGCATTTCCGCCGGCAGGAGGGTCTGGCCGGACGACTTCTGATAGCTGAACCCTATTTGGGTCGTCATCCACGTGACCCTGTACGCTCCGCGGGGCAGTGGTTCGAGTGGTCGAAGAGTTCGAATCAAGATTATCGGACATCTCTTGCCCGATGAATGCCGCGAGCGAGGACCCACCGCCAAGCGGATGGACCACGTCCCATAGCTCGGGAGGTAGCTGCGGCTCGGACGGTGGCAGCTGACTGCTCACAGCGTGTCGCTTCGTAGTTCTATGGCTAGATGACGGGGAATCCTTTGTCCTCTTTCGGGTGGATGATGATACCACGCTGTCAGGAGCCGGGCCGTTTGACCCGGCCAAACCCACGTCGGGGGTTGGGGTCTGCCAACGATCTTGGGCCGGATCAGCAAGGAGCTGGACCTGATCGTAGCAATACTGGGCTTAACATCGTGACTCCGGCTTCAGGATTACCATAGTGTCCCACAAGAACTGTTTCATATCATCCGGACCGCGCTTGAGGTCTTTCCAGAGCTTCTTAACGATCTCCTCGCACCAACGGACCCCTCTGGCTTAGCCGCCGGATGGAAGCTCGCCCGCGCATTCTAAGACAGCCACGCCAAGAGACCAGATGTCGACCGCCGGAGTGTAATTCTTTTCGTCGGAATGAATCCTTCTTCTGTCCTGTTCGGCGTAGATCTCGGGGGCAAGATATCGCAGAGAGCCGCAGATCGTTGTCGGATCGGGGCCTTCTCTCAAGAGACCGAAGTCTCCAAGTTTGACATCAATGTTACCAGCATGTCGATGTTGGACAAGGATATTGCTTGGCTTGATGTCTCGATGTACGATTGGCGGCTCCCGTCCATGAAGGTGTACGAGTGCTGATAGACACTGACGGAGGACCTGTAGACACTCGCATTCAGAGAGATCGTGGTAGTCGCTGAGGTTTCCACCAGGGATGTACTCAAACCGCAATTGAGGTACTGGAGTAAAGTCCGAGCGAATGAGTCTCACGATTCGATCCTAACAAATATTAGACTAGTAGTTCCAAGGGGGTACGGTACCTACGTACATGAGAGACGAGTCCCATGATACGAGCTTCCTTTCTCCACGCATCGAGGTTGACCCATCCGTTCCGGGTGGCCCGCTCGGATGGCTCTTTAAGGGCGCATTCAGCTGCGGTGCTAACATCCCAGAGACGTGTTACAACCCCGAAGGTTCCTTCGCCGAGCTTCTTCCTCAGGACGATGGGACCAGTGCCAGGCGTATGTGCTTGACTTGCACGCTCGGTATGCGGACGACTCCGAAGGTCGAGCCGACCGAACAGACTCTCCGCGTTCGCCATCCCCTGACGGAACCGCTTGACGTTGTCGATGTATGGCGGTGAAGTAATGTCGTGGTCAGTGACGACGATCTGGAACTTGAGGCTCTCGTGGACACAAATGACGATTGTCGTGATCTTCCGAGGGACATCGTGCCCGCCGATGACCCAGACGAAATCGCTGCGCCGCCCTTCGCCTACCCCGTCGTACGTGACCTCGGTTCCATTATACGAGCCCAGATCCTTTATGATCGGGCGATGGTGGTCGTCGAACGTCAGGGCGAAATGATGGGCGCTGAAAGACGGTATATCGCACTCGAGGACGACGTCCGAATTTTCGTCATGCCCAAAGAGGAAGCCGTAAGGAGTTAGTGGGCCGCGGCTAAACCGCAGTTCGAGGCCCGGGTGGTGAAAGTACGCCGGCACCTGCTCCCGCGGCTGTTCGAGCGGCGCCGACTCTCTCTCGCGGCGACTGAGCTGCGGCTGCTCAGTTTCCGTAAGCCGCGGAAGGATGAGCCGGTTCCTGTTCGGCTTCGCTTTGATCACCTTTTTTGCCTTCTGGCCGACAGCCTGGCGATCCACAAAGGGATACAGGCATGCGATGAGATCCGTATCTGCCATGCTGAGATGCGCATGTACCATGAAGGGGAGACGAAGAAAATGGAACGGTGGATGCAACAGGCGCGTTGCTTCATCCCCGTGTTTTAAACCGAGCCCTCCGCCGGCGTAGGACGTCACTGCATTCGATGCTTCTTTGATGCACGCCACGTAGCCGGCAGTTGAAACGTTTACTTGATTAGTCTGCCTGACTCCTGGGAAGTTGCATGGTTGGTTAGCGTTGCAGTTGCCTAACACAAGTGAAGTTATGCAGACAACAAGCAGGGCAAGATTGACCGGACTGGTGGATGGTCTGGACATGGGAACCTGGAAGGCGATGGGCAAGCCAGATGGCAGCACACGCAGGGCAGGTCAGTCTACTAACACGGAGTGCGCACAAACCACCCCTTCCGCTCCTTCAAAACTGCTGTGCACCCAGCTGTCTCCAACGGCTGCATCATCAGCAGTCATCAGCAGTCATCTCTCTCCCACCTGCCTTGCGCGACGGCGAAATGGCGTCCTCCGATCTAACGACCCCAAAGTTGACTGTTAACGATATCCTCGGATTCAGCGACGCGGAGCTCGTGCAGTACATGAAGCAAAACCGCCGTGATGATGGCGGGTTTGGTCTCGAGTTCGACGGTTGGGAGAATCTGGCCGAGGAGCAGCGCGACCAGCTGGCTCAGCGATTGAAGTAATTCTATATGCCGTATTAACGTTTCTCCCTCCAGCTACTAACAGTGTCGTAGGGCCGGGGCGCTTCAGGCCAATGACAAGACGAAGTCCCGCCCGGTCGACTTGGACGTTGTCGCCGCACGACTGCGTGAAATCTCCGACAACCAAGACGCGCTGCCGCCAGTTGCATCTCGATCACCGAGCTACGAGAGATCCCCCACTCCCTTCTACGACGAGGCTGCGTAGACAAAAGAAGCCGAGACGAATGCGTACCACGAACTGGTCAAGGGCGGCGGCCGCCCGCTCTATCCAATCAGTCTTCGGGAGGAGGTGCTGAACAATCCCGAAGGACATCGCGAGATGCTGCTGCCATGGCAGTCTCGTCCAAATCCGAGCAGACTCGACGGGAACTTGTTCCGCGTACAACTGGTGAGGTGGAAGGCTTTCCGCAATTGGCAGAAATACAACCGAGGTATATACAACAAGGAAGAGGAGTTTGCTGCCTATTTTGAGGAAGAGAGGCGCAGAAAGGCAGAGGTAGAAGCCAACATGAGCAGATCCAGACGGCGAGACCATGAGGCTTCTAAGAGACGGTATGTTGAGCGGCTTCGGGTTAAGTTCAAGAAAATGCAAGAGGAGAAGGGCGTTGATGATGGGGAGGCAGGATTTCTAGCTTTTGTCGAGGAGGAGAAGCGGCAAGACTTAGAGGCCGGAACGTGGTGGCCCGGGATGACAGACGACGAATATCGACAGACGCTCAGGGTCTGGTTTAATAGGGATGAGTACTGGCGCTACCGAGAGTACTTTTTGTGGTTGCGCGAGGACAACGGCCGGGGCGGGTTTCCCGAATATGTTGCCGAGGCCAAGCGCCGCCTCGCAAAACACGGCTTTACGCGGACCTTCCAGCTCGATAAAGACCCGGCACGACAAGACAAGCTAACGACATGGATCGAATACCTCAATTACGAGTACTCGTGGCACGATCGATACGAGCGTTCCATCAAGCGGCTGCGGCCAGAGTACGATGAAGCCTGGAAGAAGCTGGTAGACTCTGGAGTGTTACGGCCGGGGGAGACGGACCAGACCGTACGCATAACCGAAGCTGCGTTTCGACGTGCGAGCGAAAGAGAGCAGGCCGATGAGGCTGTAGCATCCGCCGTAGCGGCCGCCAAAGCAGCTTTGTCAGAGACGGAGAGAGCCAAGACTGGGCGCTCAAGGTTCACCACGCAAGAGCGCAAACAGAAATTAGCAGCAGCTCACTCCAGGCTAATCGCGGCCAAGGAGGCGCTCCGGATGGTCAAGAGGCGAAACGATCTCATCATAGAGTTCATCAAGGGAACGTGGACCTACCGAGAGCAGAAGAAAAATCTATACCTTCAGCATCTTCTACTGCAATAGATCCTCGAGCAGGTGCCCCTGATTGAAGCCGAGTTGAACGCGCCGAAGGTAGCCGAAGGCGGCTCAGGCGCTGGACGAGGCGGGAAGAGGAGCAGACTCCATCGGGGGGGCGATCAAGCCACGGATGACTGGAGGCTTACGAAGCGGAAGAGAAGTGAACCCAGCCTGCTCGCGGGTGATACAGCAGTGTTTGTATTAGTTTAGTATTAGTTTAGTACTGGGCCTTGACTCTCCAAAGGCCTTCAGCTCTAGCCAACCATGGAAAGCCAGTTTGATGGGGCAAGTCTTTTGAGTGATAGAAGGGCGAGTCCGGGTAAGAAACCATTAGTAAGCCGGTAAAATCGTTATCTAGGAGGATCGAGGTGGTGGCAAATTGGCAATGCCCCGGCTAAGCGGATCAGACTTGCATGTATCGCCTGGATAGTAAAGGTTTTCCCTAAGTAAGGTCCGCGATATGTCGAGGCTCGTAGCTGTGCCCGTGGTCATGGGCGTGATTGTCATGGTGGGCGTGGTTCTCTGGGGGTACCCGGTATAACCCACACGACAACGTGTACACTAGCTCTCATGCAGCGACTGACCTCGTACTCGCGGCCCGTTCCCGTAGGCGCAGGGGCGCTCCGGTATTTCGTAGCAACAGCAGCGAGCAGAAGTTGCACTCGTCTCCCGTACTCGCCGACACGTTTGACGCCGGGCCCATGCCAGCCACGGACGCGTCGACCTTTGCGGACTTCACCGCGTTGAAGAGCCGGAAACCCCAGCGTGGTCATGGACGGGTCCATCAGCGGCTGGACGTTCAAAGGCAATTTCATTTCCACGACCACGCAGCCCATCTTCAGCGACATGGTGTCGTCCAAGGACAATATAACTACCACTGTAAATCGCTTCCGGAAGCAATCCGGAACTCAAGTTAGTGCTTTGCCATAGCCTACTAGCCTTTGTCCCAACGACGCCAACGACATAACGCAAACATGTCGCAATAACTATTTGAAGACATTCTATTTTCACCAGGTAAGAACATTACTTCTTCGCAACACGCACTCACGCCACAATCGTCAACCACCTTCAACCATCCACACGGCATACTCCGTTAGGTCGCTCCATCTGGCATGCTACCCATGGTTATTACCGCGACTGTGCATCGCATGCGCCAGTCGTTGCTGGAATCCTGGATCCAAGTGGGGTTTGTGTCCAACAGCTGCAAGGCGAAACCCCTATCATCCGATTGTGGGCTGACATCTCCGTACGACTCCGTTTTCTCCACCACGCCCGCCTCAACTTCTGTTTTACTTGTGTCTTCGTACAATGGGGCTCAGGGAGTTGCTGCCGCCGGCCTTGTCATATGGGGAACAGAAGGCTTGAGACAGTCCCGCTCTGAGCCGAGTCCTGGGTTGCTCAGTGTTACGCGACGCATGAGGACAAGAAGGAGAGGGCGGCAGGCGGCTTTGAAGCAATCGTTTCATTGAATCCTGGGATAACTAAACGAAGAGTTTACCTAGAAGGGGACAGAACTATGGATCCGCGATCGACGAGCGACTTGAAGGCAGCAGGCTGAGAGCAATCTGTTTCAACTCCGGTTCATTGACCGACACAAGCCGAGGCTCCAACATGCTTGAGGATTTGGGTATCATTCTCGGGCGGGCAACTTGAGACGATATGGAATAAACAAACGACCAAACGGGTCATGATGAAAGAGGAATGACTATCCCCTCGTGCGCACCAGTCTGGGCCAAGAGAGAGGGATCTCTTCTCCCAATTCGGTGGTTGACTGCACCTACGACTCTACCACTCACTGTGTTTGAACATCATAATGGCATAGTAGACTCACAGCCACAGGTTATCCTCCTTCCAAGCCGCGAATTGATCAACCGAAACGGGATATAGGCGAACAGCTGTTGTTTCCGGCAGTTTGTTTACGTTGGGAAGTTGGGTAGTATCTGTTTCTGAACCCTGTCTTATCTTGATATGCGAAGCGCCTCCTTACCCCTGAATGATACGGGGTTGCATTCGTTGGAATCCCCGCTCCTCTGCCGAGTTCCGAGTACCGATCAGCAGGAATGCAGATCTGCCAGATCAGGTATATAAGACATGAACTACAAGTAGTTCTGACGGGCACCCATTCCCATCACCACCGCTCTGCCTTCGTTCAGTCGCGCTCAGGGAGCCGTTTATATTCCATTCTTTCTCTCAGCAGGCTGCGCCTTGCTCGCTTTTGCCGTTACATACTTCATCTTTTTCATTCAACGCTACACAATCCTTTCATCCCTATCTTTATCTTCATCATGCTCGCCCAGTTTCTGCCGATCGCGGCGCTGCTCGCCTTCGTTGAAGCCCATGCGGTGATTCTGGACGCCCAAGGCGAAAGCGGGTCGCCCCCATCTGTTGGCTTTCAAGTAAACGCCGCGATCGCGAGGAACTGCACGACAATCAACCCTTGCCAGATGGACACGACCATCATCCGTGATGCCGAGATTGCCGCGGGGACCGTCAACAGCTGCGGACGCACCAAGCTCACCGGCAACATCGACGTTGGCGAGGCTACGGAGAACGCGCTGGCGGCTAACGGCGTGACCAAGGTGAAGGCGGGCACCGAGATACAGGTCACCATCCACCAGGTCAATGCCGATGGTGCCGGCCCTTACTTCTGCGACCTCGACGAGACCAGCAACACCGGCATCTTCAGCCACAACCTGTCCGTCACCAACAACATCCCCGGCGCGAACGGTTTGTCGCAAGCCAAGGCTCAGGACTTCAACATCACCGTCACCATGCCCCAGAATTTCACGTGCATTGGCGGCTCGACAGGCAACATCTGCACCGTTCGGTGCCGCAACAACGCCCAAGCCGGTCCGTTTGGCGGCTGCTTCGCCGTGCAACAGACCGACACCAAGCCCAACGACAACAGGCCCAACAACATCAAGACGAGCGAGACGCTCGAGCACATCAACTCGGAGGTCGCCAGCAACCAGGCCGCGCTCCCGGCGGCCGTCAAGGCCAACCAGGATGCCGGCGGCACCGAGCAGGAGCAGAACCTCGCGGCGGTCAACGCCATCCTCGGCCTGACAAGCTCGAGCGCGTTGGCCGACTTCCCGACACAGACGCCAAGCGTGGAGCTTGGAGGCGCACCCGCCGCGACCGCGACAGCCGTGCCGACAACGGGAACGGGAACGGGAGCGAACAATGGTGGTGGCCGTGGTGGGAACCGTAACGGTTTCGGGAACGGCTTTGGGAACGGCAACGGAAACGCGAATGGCGGTGCCCAGAATGGCAATGGCAATGGCAGGAACGGGTTCGGGAACGGGGCGAACCGCTTTGGCAATGGCAACGGCAATGCAGCGGGCAATGGCAACGCCGCCAACTAAGCTCCCAGCAACGGCTGTGGGAATTGTATGGTAGCGGAGGTAGTAGAACGAGCATGTAGCAGTGGCAGCAGCTGAATAAGGAAGAAAGGTTTTGTTTGTGTCTTATAACTATGTTTCGGCGGTCAGCCCCCGGATGATGCTGGATCTTTTGAATTTGAACCCATACGCGTAACGCGACTGGCGTTTGTAGAACATGCATTTCAACAGCTGAGGTTTGGGTGTCTGATCCAATCTCACCTCTGCAAGCCCATTCCGTTCTTTTCTGTTTCCTTTGAGTTTCTGGCAGTTCTGGCAGAAGCAGAAAGAGAGGCAACTTGCAGTGCCAAGTGGAAGGAACGGTTCGCGTCGTGCACGGATAACTACAGTACCCATTAAGGAACTATCCGAAGGATTGGCAGCACTACAGAAATCTCGGTTCAGGTCAACAAGCACCCTCACCATGATTTCGACTTCCGTGCCGTGGATAAATTGGTTTACTCATTGCTTATTATTGCTTATTAACTACCAGGTACATTGAGTCTGTTGAATGGACTTATTAATGGAAATTCTCCCTATGCACATTCCACGTTCCTAAGGTTGGCGTCGCTGTGACTGCCAGCTCAGACTCCGGCCGGCATTTAAAATTGGCGCGTAACCCTAATTCGACCCTGTCTCTCCTACTTACGTCAAATTGCTCTTCGCAGCAACCGTCTCTGCAATCTTTGCAATTGGCACTCCTCCCATGATGTCAAAGACAGCCACGTTGGCGCCGAAGTCCTTTGCGAACCAATTCCGCAGCTCGACGGCCATAAGCGAGTCGACGCCGTACGCCGACAATGGCTTGGTCGGCTCTACATCTTCGGGTGCGATCAACATGGCGCGGGCCAGCTTGCTGGCCAAGGCCCGCCGTACGATCATGGAGCGCTCGCGCGAACCGACTGCCGCCCGGCGGAAGAGCACACTGTCGTCAGGCGCGCTGGAAGCAACAGCAGAGGACGAAGGCGATGCGGCTCCAACGGCAGTCGCCTTGGAGGAGAAGGCGGCGAACAGCGGGCGTTCCAGCACGGCAGGCACCGCGCGTCCCTGGGCGAGCAGGTCTGCGGGCGTCCGCAGCCCGAAAAGAAGCTGCCCCGGCTGGCCGTGGATCGGCATCGGAAGCGGGCTGGCCGGGTCCAGGGTTAGCGTCAGGACTGCGAGGAGCTCGCCGGCATCGATAGGCTGCATGTCCTCGGCCCGCTGGCGCTGGCGTTGATATACGCTCGTCTCGGCGACGATGCCGATGTTCTTCATCCACCCGATGTCCAGCGAGAGGGCGCGCTGGCCGTGCGCGAGGCGATGCCGTGCCAGTGCGTCCTGGAAAGCGCAGCCGGCGGCGTAGTTGGCGCTGCCCATCTGCCCGAGCACCCCGGCAAGCGAGGATAGGAGGACGAAGAAGTCGAGGTCGTGCGGAAGGAGACGATGCAGATTGTACGAGCTTTGCACCTTGCTGCGCATGGTGAGATCCCACTGGCCAAAGGTCATGCTGTCCTGGAAGACGGCGTCCTGGAGGACCATGGCCGCGTTGATGCAGCCCCTGACAGGCGGCATGCCGCGCCGTGTGCACTCCTCGAGCATGCCTGCGAGGCTTGATTCGGAGGAGACATCACACTGCACTGCCACCACGTTGACATCCCTTGCTCCGAGCTCTGCCAACAGCCCCCGAGCAGCCTCCGACGTGGCTCCGGACCTGGAGGCGATGATGATGTGCTTGGCTCCGCGGTCAGCCATCCATCGGACGATGGCCCGGCCCAGGCCGCCAGATCCTCCCGCGATGAGGTATGATCCCTGGCCGTCAAATCTCCAGTGTCTCTCTTCCCTTACGAAGTACTAACGTCAAGGTGAAGAATGAGCCGGTCAGTAGCTTGTTACATGCAATAATGCCCATGCAGAATGCGAGACACGAAAATGAAGACTCACCGAAACCATGTCCTCATCTCTTGGGCGGATGACAACCCACTCCCCCAGCGCCTTGGTGGTCTTGACATGCTGGACGGCCTCGTTGGCTTGCGACACGTCAAACACGCGCAGCGGCTGGGGCGGCTGGATACTGCTCTCGCCCAAGAGCTCCATGACCCTCGCGGCGAGCCCGGCAGCAGAGTCACGACTCAGCTCGCTCAAGTGGGCGGCCGAAAAGGTGATATTCTTAGCGAACACCGACATGGGCAGCGCCGCGCCCGAGGCCAGATTGGCGTGGCCAGCCTCCACGAAGCACCCGGCCCGTGCCAGGCACTCGCACGAAGCCAGCAGCGCGTCGTCACCGAGGAAGGCGTTGTTGAAGACGACGTCAACGCCTGCTCCGTGCGTGGCAGTTCTAACTCCGGATGCGAAGGCTGCTGCCGGGCGGCTGAGCAAGACGTCTTCAGCGGGGAGGCCCAGAGTGTCGACCACAAACTGCTTTTCCCGGGGTGACGAGGCGGTGGCGAAGACGCGAATTGCGCCATGCGCTCTGGCAATACGGACAGCCATCTGTGCCGTGGCGTCGGCTGCGCGATGGACCAGCACGCTCATGCCCGGCTTCAAGCGTGCGACGTCGATGAGGGCGTGGTACGCGGCCATGGCCGGGACCAGCGAGGCTGCGCATACTTCAAACGAGAGGTTGCCGGCAGGCGGCAGCTTGGTCACGGCCAGATGGTGGGCGCGCATGTACTTGCGCATGTCTTCCCCCGGCGGCAGCAGCATGCAGACGCGGTCGCCTGGTCGGACGAGGGACTGGTCCACGTTGCGTCCCACCCGCGTGATGATACCGGCGCAGCCGGTGCTAGATTGCGACATCCGCTCCTCTGTTTGGGAATATTCGTCGTCCGAGATCCGGCTCGCGGCTACGTTATCAACGATGTCTTGACTAAGACTCCACGCTTTCGCTTCGATCTCGGCCTCGTCAGGGCCAATCTCCGCCTCAGGGTCATGCGTGAGGTCCTGCACAATCCACAGGAGCTCGTTGTTACCAGAGGTGTGCATCGAGAGCTGCAGTGCCGGGGCGTCTGCCCACGCAAGCTTCCGGGGCTGCGGCTGTAAGGTGGATCGCAGAGTCTCGTTTCCAGCCACGTACTCGGCAGCCCGGCCCGTCATCAGCAGACCGTCGCGCACGACATACTCGACTTCTTTTGGCTCTACCCCTAACGGCGAGGGCTCGAATGCAGTCCGGAACGCCCGGGCAATGGATTCTGCACACGTGGCGTCATTGCTGCAGTCGTCGATCGCGACACTCACCAACCGGCTGCTCGGCTGTTCCGCGCGGATAGTGCGCAGAAAGCCCTGCACAGCACCGTAGTGGGCTGCCAGCGGATCATCAGCCGCACTCGGTGCTGTCGCCCACAGCAGTCTCGGGGCGCCCTTGATCAGCTGCTGCAGACACGCGAAGCTTTGCTCCGAGAGATTGGCAAGCAGGGGTCTGTTGCCCACCTCGGCGAGACAGACTACAGCGTCGTCCCCTGTTAGGACACTGAGTGTCTGGGAGAGTTCCTCAGGGGCGAAAGGGGAAACTGTAGGCGTCTCCCAGCCGGGTCCGAGCCGGCCGCCCACAAGGCGCGCCAGTTGCATTTGCTCTTCTGACGGCGTTTCATCCACGACGAGGACAGCACGGCGCTTTGGCTTATTAGGCTCTGACACACCATTCTGCTGCACCTTGGTCTCCTGGCGCGCCGTGGACACAATGACGCTCATGATATGGCACTCCTCGCTCTTGTAATCTCGCAGCAGCACGTCATTCCCGGAGAAGCCGTTGGCGCGGAGCAGCTTGTCCCACATGGGCTCGGTGACGGCGGCAGAGTGCGGCCGCCATTCCTCGCGGGCAACCCACCAACCGGGCACCAGGCCGGCCATGAAGTTTGTGGCCACGTCGGCGGGGTTGATGACCTCGACCAGCACGAGACGGCCGCCGGGCTTCAGCGCAGTGCGCACATTGCGCAGGGTGGCCTCCAGGTACGGAGTGGCGTGCAGCACGCTGGCGGCAATGATCATATCGTACGCACCCGCCTCGAGGCCCTGCGTCTCGACCGGCCGATCCAGGTCCAGCGCCTGGAAGGTCATGCGACCCTGTTGGTGCAGATCCGGCCAGCGGTTGCGTGCCCGCTCAAAGAACGCGGGCGATATGTCCGTGTACCGGTACTCGGCAAAGCTGGGCGCCCCCGTGCGGGCCTCGCGCGCCTGCAGCGCGTTCAGGACGTGGCCGGTCATGCCGCCCGTGCCGGCGCCGACTTCGAGGATGCGCATGCCCGGGTTCTCGTGGGATGCGAGTTCCAAGAATGCGGCAAGCCGGCCGTCGGCGCACAGGTTCAGGAACAGGTTGGCGTAGAACACGTTGGCCAGCTCCGACTCGAACACGACCTGCAGCGGGTCTGCCTCTCCCGCCAGGATGCTCCCCAGCTGCCGCGCGCAGGCCGTGTACAGCTTCCACGCAGGAAGCACTTCCTCGACCTCGCGCAGGCGTGTCTCCAGGTCGGCGTCATTGATCGTCTCCCCTTCCTGCCGCCGTGCCGCCGGCAGCGTGGCCACGTGGTGCTCCATCCAATCGACATGCCGGAGAAGGTGGTTCTGTGGTATCTTCGAGCGGTCCAAGTGCTTGAGAATGCGGACCGCGGCGAGGTCCAGAGCGGCGCACAGCTTGGCGTAGTGGCTCACGATCGCCGTCTCATCCAGCGCGGACACGTGGGCGTGACACACGGCTGCCAGCTGCTGCGGCGAGAGCAGGCTCAGCTGTGGCTTCCATTCCATGTTGTGCAGGAGCTTCTTGTCCTTGACTTGTTGATCCGCTGCTGCGGTCGTCTTGGACACGGGCGCCGTCACGGCCGTCTTGATGGTGCATAGGACGGTCCCGTTTGCCGCAAGGGCTTGGAGAGTGCCAGTTTCGCCGAGCTGGTCGGGCTTGTCCCGTCTAGCACGATTGGAAGTGGCCAGCCACCTGAGTTCTCCATTGCTGGGATGCTGCCAGCCCGTAGCCGAAAACCATGCCTGATCCAGACGGACGGGGACGTTGGCCGCTCGCTGCTGGCCAGCACTGGCGCGCAGCACATGGAACGCTGTGTCGAGCAGGGCCGGATGCACCAGGCTCTCACTCCGATACCTCTGCCTCGACATATCGACTTGCGCCACGGCCGTCTTCCGGCCGTCCCAGCGGATCTCACGCAGCAGCTGGAACCAGTCTCCGTACTGGAGCCCGTGCTCCGCCGCATCGTGGTAGAAGACCTCCGAGTCGAGGGGCAGCCTGCAATCTCTCTGTGCTTCCGCCTGGCGCGTCCGTGCGGCTTCATCTGCGACCTGTTTGTGCTCTTCCTCCGGCTCGGCCTGGTACTCCACTGTGATCCCGGCATGGAAACACTCAGACCACTGCCCGCTGGGGGAGTACGAGAAGATGGACACATCGAAGCTGTTCTCCTTCTTCCGCGCCGGCTGCAGGTGCACCTGTGTCTCTGTCCTGTCTTCCCACGCTTCCGGCACAATGATCGGGTTGAGGAACTCAACCTGTTCTAGTTGGTAACCGGTGACTGTGCGTTCGGCGCGAGCCGTGTGCTGTTGCACCGCCTCGATGGCCATGATCAGCATCCCGGCGGCCGGGTAGAGCACCGTATCGCTGATCTGCATCCGTCCGTTAGCACGCACATCACAGCAAAGCACATGTGGCCTCTCGGTTACACGTACTTTATGGTGGTCCAGCCATGGCGAGGACTCAATGCTGAGGAAATTCCTCCACCTTGGCGCCAACGGGTTCCAGTCTGACACGCGGGCTCCCAGCGTCTCGCCCTGAACCGTGCCTCGCAGCCTGAAGTCCCGGCTAAGACGCGACTCACCCCAGTAGCGATGAGAATGGTCGAATGGGTACGGGGGACAGTCGACGAGAGGCTGAGGAGCCGGCTTGGCCTGCTCGTGGTGGTTGACTGCGGGGATGGATATGCCGTATCCTAACGAAAAGAGCCCGCCGACGAGCTCCAGCATGGTCTCCGTCGCGGGGCGTGACCGGTCCAACACACCCGCATACCGAATCTGCTGCTCCTTGCCCATGGTGTCTCGTGCGGGGCGGCGCAGTGCTGGGTGCGGGCCGACCTCGACCAAGTCCGTGATGCTTGACTCGAATTTGGTGAGAAGCGTTCGCACTGCGTCGGAGAAGCGGACCGTGGACACCATATTACCGACCCAGTACTGTGGCTTGGCCAATTCGCCCGGCCCGAGCTCCTTGCCAGTGACCGACGACACCATCGTGATACTCCCACCGGAGGCTTTCGAGGTCGCACCCCCCTCGAGATGTCCCATCAGCGTCAGATACTCGCCTGCAATGGCAAGCATGGACGGCGAATGGTAAGCAACCCCGGTCCGGAGCTTCTGTGCAAAGATGCCGTCCCTGTCGGCCTGCGCCTTAATCGCGTCGATGGCTGCTTCCGGGCCCGACAAGGTGCAGTTGAGCGGGCTGTTGATGCAGGCGACGCATACCGATGACGCCGCACTCGTCTTGGACGTTTCGACCTGGGAGAGGTAGTCTGGGACCTGGTCCTCCGCAAGATTCACGGATATCATGGCCTGAGGCGTGGAGGCACTTGCGGCGCGCAACTTTCCGGCGAGCAGTCCGCGGAAGAAGGCAACTTTGCAGGCCGACGCCAAAGATAATGCGCCAATGGCATAACTGTGTGTATGTGGGAGGGAGGCCAGTCAGCCCATTGCGCTCGTAGAAACGTCTATGACCTCGACGGGACGTGGCGTTCAGGGCTCAGGGGCTCAGGGGCTCAGGGGTAGCACTCACGCGGCCGCAATTTCCCCAGAGGAGTGGCCGACAACACCCTTGGGGATGACGCCAAAGCTCCTTAACAACTCGACAAGGGCCACCTGTACAGCCGTCGTCAACGGCTGGCTGTATTCAGGCTTATCGATGTTCGCCGGATTCCGCAGCTCGTCTGCCATCGCAAGTTAGTCCACAGTCTCGGGGTCTCGGCCACGACTACTGCTAGTCAAGTCAACAATGCGGTTCTCTTTTCTTCTCTTACCGAACAATGACCACTCCGCGCCCAAGCTGCGGTATATCTCGTCGACCTGCTCCAACGTCTGGCGGAAGACAGAATACCGGCAAAGAGCATAGCCCATGTGCGCGTACTGTGCGCCCTGTCCGGTGAAGACCCATGCCAGGCCAACCTCAGCCGAACTCCGGGTTGGTTCGCTGGGCCGCGGCAGGCTCTTGGTCTCTGCGCCGTCGTTGATGACGATGGAAAAGGCCCTCCACAGCATGCGGCTCCGTCGTGCTGCCAGGGTGAAAGCCAGTCTGTCGAGTTGGCTGGGGTCACCGGCAACTCTGTCCTGGTAGTAGGACTCGTATGCCCGGATCATGCGGTTGAGTCCCCCCTCGTCAGCGGCACTCCACACCAGAAGTTTCGGTAACCTAGTGGCTTCTCCGTCCAAGGTGCTCGCCTGCGCATCCGCGTTGGAGACCAGAGGACCGGAAACAGTGCAATGATGCCCGCGGAGGCCCCTTTCCTGCATGTAGTGCAGTGCGTCGTCAAGGATGGCGTGGGAGTTGGAGCCTCCAAATCCGAATGAGTTGACCGATATCCGACGAAGCCCCGGGCTTGGCCAGACTGTGTCTTTCAAGGGGACCTTGTAGTAAGGACGTAGTCAGCGCATTGAAACCTCGCTGGGTGAGGATAAGAAATAAGGAATGCCGAACACTTACGGCGATGTGGTACATGTCAGCGTCAATGTCTGGGTTGAGCTTCTCGAGGAGCGCCTGCCCAGTGATGACTCCCTTTTCAAGGATCACTACGGGACAAACGTCAGGATACCGTCGCCCAAAGTAAGGTACAAGTACCTTTGGTCGAGCATGGAGCGGTAGAAAGGCACTTACATATGGCCTTCACAATGCTGGCCAAGGCGCTGGCCCCTTCCAGGTGCCCGACGTTTGCTTTCACGGACCCGCTGCAGACGTATGAGCCGGGCAGGAATCATGCATAGAAATGGTGCCTGAAGACTCACACAAACATGGGCTCTTCCGCTGAGCGGAAGTCTCCGAACACCCTGCCGATGGCTCGGACCTCGATGGGATCGCCGACTCGAGTTCCCGTCCCTGCGTACATTTCTCTCTATTAGCCAGTGACTGAAAGCAAAGAGGAGGAGACCTTGTGTCACCATGGGCTTCGACGTAGCGTGTCTGATCAAACGGCAGACCAGCTCGCTCATAGACATGCCGGATCAAGTCCTCCTGTGCCTGAGCACTAGGCTGCGTGAGCACGGGCGTGTTGCCGTCTTGATTAGAGCCAACAGCCCGGATGACGGCGCGAATCACGTCACCGTCCCTGACGGCTGCGGCTATCGGTTTCAGCACCAAAGCGATGAATCCCTCGCCCCTGGCGTACCCGTTGGCACGGTGGTCAAAGCTATGGCATACGCCGTCCGGAGACAGAAAGCCGCCATTTGACAAAACATGGAATACGCCTGGGTCGAGAAGCAGGTTCGCCCCCGTGACGAGCGCCTGCGGCCAGAATACCATTAGCTTGGGCTTGCAGCCAAGAGACTAGAGTCGGAGGGATGAGGCACTTACACACGAGGAATCCCCCGCTTGCAAGCTCTTACAAGCCATGTCTACGGCAGACAGTGCGCTGGAGCACGCCGTATTCACATGGATACTCGGACCGCGCAGGTCAAAATACCAGCTGACACGGTTCGGAATGACGGACGCAACGGTACTGCCCGTCACGGCCGTTCTCTCGGTGTTGCCGGGATCCATAGCCGTCATCCTTGCATAGTCCTCCAACATCGAGGCCGAAAACACCGCAGTGCGAGAGCCTCTGAGGCTCCCTGCCGGCATCCCAGCTAAAGGTCCAAATCAGTAATCTAAGTCCACTCGTCACATCAGATGCTGGTGAGATTCAATAGGACACCCTTACCGTTCTCAAAGGCATGATATGAAGTTTCCAGGGTCCAGCGCTGCATCGGGTCCATGGCCGCGGCCTCCTTGGCCGTGAGGGAGAAGAAGGGGGCATCAAAGGCGGCCACGTCCTCACTGATGAAATGTCCGCCTTTGCCATGAAGCTGCAGCCGCGAGGTTAGCACTATGGAACACCGAGTACTAATTCAAAGCGAACCTGTTGGGCGGTTTCACTTTGAAGGCATCGACGTTGATGCGGGATGCCGGCCAGTCCGTTCTCAAGTTGCGTCGCTTTTGCAGAACGTCCCAGAAGGTGAAGTCGTCATCGACGTCCTGTGGCAGTCTAAAAGCGTATCCGACAATGGCGATGTCGTCCGGTCGGTCCGCCAGTCTGTCGCTGTACTTTGCCTCGTCCATCTTGAACGGTTTTAAGACTTTACGTAGTTGGAGAGTATTGTACTTGGACAAAAACACAACAACGTCAGGTATGAGTCCGTACAGGGAGGTAACAATGTTCTCCGACCCTGCCTACTTTATGCTTCCCGCCTACCTCAACTACCAGTACGTGTAGCATGACCTCGACATAGTGCACTCCATAGAAGCTCGCGCGTTGTCACCTTCCCCATTCTTTCCCCGATAGACTCTACCCTGCCCGCGGCGTCGGAGCCCTCCCTCGCCTCGATTGGACGAAGCAGACATTTGGACACTCGCTTCCACTGTCCCGGTCCCAGTCTGGCCCACGAACACCTATCCGTTCTGTTGTAATCGGGCTCTTGGTACCTCCGTACGTGCAGATCCTCTCCTTTCCTGTAGGCCGATGTGGGCCGTCGATCGAGCGAGCCAATGTTTCGTCTTTTGGACAGAGGTTGCTTAGCCACGCTAATGTACGGATTGCCCTTCTGTTCTTGTATATCTTAAATCTAAACCTGCGTTTGGAACCGAGCTTGCTGGCAACCTAGCCGGCCCGCCTGCTTTTGGTCCCGGATTTTGCGTCGTTCTATGTCAGGTAACGAGTCACGAGCCCTGCAGTCACGGAGTAAGACAGCTCGGAGCCCAGTTCCGGCGTATCGTTACATTATTCGGCTCGGAAAACCACTCACCGACAGGGGGTTCTCGGGGGGAATCGGCACAATAACTACGTGTACATGCATTAATACATGTACGTGTGCAAGCGAGCCGGGGTTCTGTTCCTTCCAAGAGACCATTCCACTCGACCCCAGACCTGAATGATCCGGACTACAACTCCGAGTCCGTATTGTCTGTAGTTACGGAGTATAGCACATACAAACACGCGGACGGACGTACTGACAATGGACTTCGCTTCTTCCACCCGTGCCCTTTCCAGCTCTATCCTGCTTCTCTCTCGCCCTGCAGAGTATGTGACGACCTTGTGGCAGGTCCCGCCTGCACCGCTGTCCTCACTCTCATCGCTACCTTATTTGCGCGAGCCCCCGTCCCGGATCTCCCGATATTTCTCCTTGTACTTCTCCTTGTAGTAGTCTCTATCCTTTAAGGCGTTTTTACAGATCTTGCCGCCCCTCAAAACCTGTGCCCAGCCACAAAGCTCAAGTACTACCTCAAAATTCCCACTCCTCTTGATTCCTATAACCTTAAGCTCGCACATGGCGAAAGTCGAAGTGGGTTCTGACGCTCGAATGGGTGAGCAGGAAGATGGGTTAGATGACCGGGTCGAGAGGTTAAAACTTATTGGTAGGCTTATAATAAATGTCGAACTAGTCCGGCTTGTTGCGCCGCGAAAGCGAGAAGAAATCGGATAAGATTGCACGGAAGGGCGTGGCTTCAGTTAGACATTCTGGCGTTCCGTGAGCTACTATTCATATACGTTATCTGTCTCTCGCGGCTGTTCTCCTGAGGCATGAAAGACTCCAGTAGATTCCGAGCAGGACCTTCGTTTCGGTCGTCACTATTTCTGTTTCCGAAAGTTTGACCCAGACGGTGACCCTAAACCGTCTCACAGGAGAGTCCGAGAGAGTGGAGACTATCGTATGTCGTGAAGGTCAGTACAGGGTAGCCAAGTAGTGGTTTCGAGTTATGTGACCGTGCAGCTGTTTCCACAAGTTCGCGGCAGACGAGGATTAGGGAGCGGGCGAATTCCAGCTGGTCGTCCGGCGCATCGAACTCGACGCTGCTCGTAACATCCTCAAGTTGGATTTACTAATACCTTAGCTAACTATCGTTGATTTTTCATCGATACGGAAATGGACTAGCGGCTTGAAGCTTAGTGCCATAGTGTATGGCTTGGAACGATGTTGGGCTAGCCCTAGGCCGTTAGTCCACTTTTATGTTGAAAAAGTACTCCGTAGGCCTGGTAGCGCGGAGTTCGATACACGGCGCGGCGCAGAATCTTACCACCCCATTTAAAGTGGGTTACAGCATGTGTAAAATCATAGTGTAAGCATTATAGGGTCCTGGGATGATTATGTAGTAACGTTTCCTGTGCCACATAAGCGGCCCGGAGTCTGGAGCCTTCAAGCCCTCCACTTTCGATCAGACAAACATTCGACGTTACGGATTCTGCGGTGTTTGACGCCAAGGTGTTCGTTGATCGCTGTTCTATGTAAGTTTTGTAGGAACCGCCCTCTCCAGCTTGTGACTTGTCTCCGTCTTTCTTATGCACGCCCACATCACGCAATTCTCCCCGAGTCAGCTCATAGGAAGCTGTATAGCTTGCTGTGTCCCCTCGCAAGCCAAACCACTCGGGGCTTCTTCGCTCAATTGAACTGTGTGCCTACTGTAAGGTAGTATCGGTAGGATCAGTAGAAAGAGCTGCAACTGCCGACCTCTATCACGGTACTGGAAAAGCTTGGTACGATCCTTCGTAGCTACGCTGAGTAGCCCAGGCTGTCGATCACAACGTTCTGCTGTTTTGGACAAGCCCGGGCGACATCTCCTGTGCAGATTTGATTTGCAGTCCGCGACCTGTGCCCCTGGACCCTGTCCAATCCCCCCTGCCACCGTGTGAAGCAGGGATGACACCGCGCCTCGGCAGACTTGTCTTTCGCATTGCACCACAATAAGGTGATGGGAACATGGAAGTTAGCATGACGGCTGTCTTGGGTACATCTCTTCAAAGCCTGCTAGTACATTAGGACTCGAGGAGAGTCAGTGCCGTATGATTACACTATGGAAGGTATCTTGATCATGTCATTATAACCTGTTAGCTTTTAGCCATATCCGGTATCGCAAACAAAAGAACATCAGGTATTTCTTTTCCCCTGGGAGCCACTGGCCCCGTCCTTCTGTTCTCTTCCATTGAACTCCGGGAGCCAGGTAATTCGAGCCGAACAAATAGACAGGGAGATTAGTGTGGTTACTGTGTAGACGAGACGACAACCAGGTGTCTCTCGGACAACACGGCCATGCCGTCCATAAAACCCAGATTGCCAAGCATTCCATGGGTCGCGTTCCCCAACCTCGAAACAAAACAAAAAAGAGCCTCGGCAGTACCTTCCATTTTGACCCCGGTGGTGTCGTGGGTCCAGCCTCACCGATAGCCACCCCACGGCGCTTTCTGCTGGTTGTACATGTGCATGTCCGGGTTGCTGCCTCCGTCGCTCGTCGACCGGGAGTCCTCGGTGACGGTGATGTGGGTTGTGCGGGTTATGGCGGCGGCACCAGTGGGGACGGCTGGCTTGCGGCCCTGCTCCTCGTCGCGCAGGTGCTCGGTCGATTCGGACGACTTCAGATCCTTCATGGCCATGCCGTCCTCCTCCAGCTTGTAGTACGAGTCCTGTCCAGAGCTGCTCGTTGCCTTCGGCCCCCGGCTGCGGTTCCCGGATTTGCCTCCCGTGTGGTAGCCAGCCTGTGCCGAGTTGGCTGTCGGGCCCGTCGACATGCCCAGCGCCTTCTTCATCTTGCGGAGCACGCCGGTTTGCTGTAGGATCTTGGGCAGGCAAGGAATACAGACGATGAAGAACCCGCAGGCCATCTCCGCCGTGGCCCAGAACACCAGCGGACCGAGAGCATAAATGGCATCTTGGGCCTCGCCGTATGCAACCGTTGTTGCTAGACGGAAAGCGGCCGAAACGCAGGCACTGTTTTGTCGCGTGGAAGAGAGCAGGGATTAGCAACCAGCCCAGCGGCAGCACGCACCGAGCAAGGTAGGTACCAAGGGGTACGAGCACTAGTACTCACAGCAGACCAAGACCAAAAATCACCGAGACACCCATCCTCTTCCTCCACGACATCTTCAGCGTCCAGATGACACGCTGCGGCAGCAAGAAGATGGCAATGTCCGACACGAGCTGGATGGTGGCCGAGGACACCTGCAGGTTGTAGAGCTTGAAGCATTTGGCGTTCGCAATCGTGAAGTCCCAGATGGCCTCATGCGGGATGCACTGGAGGTTAAGCGCGATGATGGTCGCGATGGCGGTGAGGATCTGCACCAAGCTGATGGCCACGCAGCCCCACCAGAAGGCATTCCTGGTGGACGAGCCGTGTGGGACGAACATGCGGCACCAATCGATCAAAATGGCCACCTTGAGCAACGGCAGCACGAAGGAGTAGCAGGTTCCGAAGACGAGGATATGCTATTGAGTTCGTCAAGCCGTCAGCGCTTTGTCCCTTCCTTCCCTCTCTCTCTCTCTCTCCCCCCCCCCCCCCTCTCTCTCTCTCTCTGTGTGTGTGTGTGTGTGTGTTTTCCACGTGCTCACTTACATAACTCGTGGGCATGAGATCTCGCAAGTGGATATCCCATTGGTGCACGAAATACCCCGGAGTGTCGACGAACGCAAACGTGGAGTTAACTGCGCCACAGAAGGCACCCTAGGAACGGCGAAAACGCGGAGGTGTCAGAATGATCACTGATGGAATACCATTTCCAAAGCACAGGTGCTGGACGAACATATGCGAGGATGACCATGACTGTACCAATGCCTCGCGTTAGCTAGAATCCCTATCTTGTATCGCGCCGGGGGGGTCAGAAGATTCGAATGCATACCATCTTCGGGAGAAATCTTTCTCAGAAGGTAGAACCGGCCGTACAGTCGCAGGACCAGTGAGACAGTGGCGATCGCGACGGTGGCGCCGAGCACGCCCCGCGCGAGCCCGTTCTGGTTGGGCGGGTTGTCAAAGTTCGGGACGACGCCGTCTGGCGGCGCAAGGGCCGGTCCGTCGAGATCCATGGCGGCGGCTCGGGTGTGTGCGTGTGTGTGTGCTTGGTGATGTTCTTACAGCCCGTCCTGCGGAGGTGCAAACCACACGGCAACTTCAACACCTGGGACCTCTGTGATAAAGAGCAGCGCCCATCGGCAGTGTGAGGCGAGAACCGGGTTCAACGTAGATGGGGAGACTAGCCGAGAATGATCCAGGTATAACGTTATCTGAAGTAGTAGTCTAATAAGGGGAAAAGTTGACGGAAAATTTGCATATTCCCAAACTCAGCACCCTCGGAGCTTTGACCCCCTTAATTCTCATGATTGTATGTAACTACAATGCCACTTCGGATTTCCTTGCAATTCCTCATGACGTTGCATCATTGTTGAGATACTGTCCTGCGACCTGGGATGTCACCCCACACAAGCGAAAACGACTTGAAGATGTACTGTACTGGTCCTAACCGTTGGGCCACCCTCACGCTCATCTCTTGAATGCACCTTCTCGGCAGGAAACCGTTTGATCTTCACACGTCTGTTCAATGTGGAAGGCGCTAACTAGCTCATGGGTACCTAGCGCGAACGCCTCCCGGTTGTTAATACTTCTCCGCCGTCTTGTCCTGTCGATCCTGTCCTGTTTCCGGCTTGGAGTTGTTACTGCCAAGTTACACAGTACAGTATGTACGAAAGCACAGCTCGGTCCTCTCTCGGTCCCGGGGACCGACCAGCGGGTCGGCAGTGGTCCAGGAGAGCCAGGGTGAAATCCTCCACGCAACGAAGAGCTTCATGTTGGGAAAAAGATCAACACACCTACCGTCTCCTTGGATATGCAAGAAATGGCACGGCTCCGAACAAGCAATTATCTTTTCTCGCTTGCACCAATGTCCGGGGTTCACCGAAAATAAAAGACGGACAATCTAACAATCTAATTCTGGTTTGTCTAGTAGTTCGATATCGCAAGTAGCGACAAAACGGCCTTTCTTAAGAAAAACGTCCATTCTTAGTCTCTTGACTCCTGATTTCTGGACCTTCGAACGGATACGGATAATGTATTCCGTATTATAGCTCCATACCTACTATCGAGACTGTGTTACCGAGATTACTACTAGATGTATGGTTTACTGTACAGTAAGAAACGATTCAGAAGCGGCTCATACCCATGCTTCCGGTAGCGAGAGAAGCACGTCAGAAAGTTAAAACGATCGGGAGATGCAGGTCGTTTTGTGAGTAACGGAACTTTTTGGCGTTCTGTATAGCCGTCAAGGTGTAGTGTACTACGTACCGGTACTGGTTCTGGGCATGCACTGCAAAGTGTAGTGGGTTCCGCGGAAGGCTCCGATTGGAAGGACGGCTAGTCTCGAACGACAACGGATGGCTGGGAACGGCCCGGTGCTAACGGTGCGGGAATAAGTTCCCGAGGTGAAACTTGTCATGTTAGCTCGGCACGACGAAGCTAGCCTTTCTGGTGTTTGTGGGAATCTTTTGCCGCTGGCCCCGGCGTTGGAGAGGCGGCGCTAATAACGCGAATAAACCAGGTGGCTCGACTGGCACTTGACCCACCCGAAACAAGCTTACGCGGAGCCCGCCCCGAACGCCAAACCTACCATACCTGGCACTTCATGAAGGTTTCTGCAGCGGAAGTTACTGCTACTAGTAACTAGGGTTGTAGTATACTAACATTTCACATTGGAGTACTCCTGATCAGGAACGTAGGTAGTGTACCGGTACTCCATAGTTCGTCTGGATAGGGGCTTTCAGGTCTCTCACGGGCGCTGAGTCTCGGCTCTCGTGTTGTCCCCGACTTCTCCCGTCGTCAGGCACGTAGTACGCCAAGAAGAGAAATACTACGTCCCGTTCTTGCCAGACTCTGCCAGCGACCGCCAACGCTGACATCTCGGCTGCATGATCTTAGGGGCCCAGGGGGCGTTGCGGTGGGCGGTTTACACTAGGCTATCAGCCACTCTCCTTCCTCCCCTGCCCAACCCACTCCAGTGGAAGGCAGTGTAGTATTTCTCTTTCTTCGCACAGTGCTAGCACACAGTATGGTAACACTGGAGTTTTATGCCCGCCGACGCCAATGCAGCAGATGGTGCGGTTGCCTGCGCTGATGGCAGCTTGACAGGGGGGGTTTCCAGCGACGCAGCGGAGACAGCACTGATCAACCCCTCGACTGTGCAGTCTTTGCTTTTCAAAGACCCGCTGATCGCCCCTTCCAGATTCATGCGGGAGGAGGTGCGGAGGGAGTCTGGGACGTGAGGCGCGTCGGTGAGAGCGAACATCTTATTGATGAGGGGGGGACAAGGAGTTCACCAGCGATAGAACGTGTTTACCTACGTTTAATGTTATTTCCCAGACGCGCCCATCACCCAACGTGACCCAAGGCACAGGCGACATCCACATCTCACGAAAGAACACCGGCACCCGATTCCACTCCTCAACCATGCCCCGCGCCGACGTCTATCAGCTGCGGCCCTTTGGCTGGGAGAACGACCCGGAGGAGGAGCGGTTCAAGGTGACGACGCTCGACTACCTGACAGCGTGCACTTACAACAACTACGCGCTCTTTTTCCGACTCGATGACGCGGACAAGGAGAAGGCGGCAGCAACGCTGAAGGAGGGCCTCGAGCGGACGCTCAGCCAGGCGCGCCACTATGTCGGCACCATTGAGAAGGATCCCGAGGGCGGCCACTCGTTTGTCAAGAAGAAGTACAGCACGGTGCGCTTCATCGTGCAGTGGCTGGACGCGCCCGAGGACGCGGCCCAGTACCCGTCCATCGACGACATCGAGCGGGCCAACTACAGCGCGGTGACGCTGGGCGACCTCGACACGTGGAGCGTGCCGCCCATGACGTACGGCGAGAAGGCCGAGGCGCATCCGGACAACCGACCGGTCGTGTCGGCCTTCAAGGCCAACTTTGTGCGCGGCGGGCTCGTCTTCAACATGCACCACCACCACTACGCCAACGACGTGATGGGCTGGGCCGGCTTCACGCACCAGCTGGCCGAGAACTGCCGGGCCGCGCTGACCAAGACGGCCTTCCCGGCCTGGGACCCGGTCTGTCTCGATCTTTCGCGCCTTACCAAGAAGGAGGTGCCCGAGGAGGCCAAGGTGAACGGCCCGCCGCCGGCCGAGCGGCATCCCGGCCACAAGGTCGGCCAGTCGCTGCTGTTCCACCTGCCCAAGAGCAAGGCCGCCGAGCTCAAGAAGCTGGCCGCGCCCACCGACGGCTCGTGGATCTCGACGTACGACGCCTTCTCGGCCTTCATCTGGCGCACGCTGACGCGGCTGCGCGTGCCCGTCTTCCAGCCGGACCCGGCGTCGCACCTCTTCTGGGCCGAGGCGGTCGACATGCGGCGGCGCATGCACAGCCCCAAGGTGCATCCGCGCATTCAGCACAACGTCATGTACGCGGCGCTGTCCAACACGGCGCCGGTGCCGCAGCTCACGGTCGACGACATCCTCCACGCGCCGCTGTCGAGGCTCGCGTCATACATCCGGCAGATGACCAACAGCGTGACGCAGGAGAACCTGGACAAGACGCTCGACATGGTGGCGCTGGTGCGCGACAAGACCAGCCTCAACATCCGCATCGACTCGCACCCGCCCATGTCGATCCTGCAGACCGACCACCGCGACGCCAACATCGTCTCGGCCGACTTTGGCTTTGCCACGCCCCTGACGTACCGCCACCTGCTGGACCGCGTCACCGAGGGCGTTATCATCGTCTACCCGACCCGCAACAACAGCCCGGACTCGGACGAGGGCCCGGAGTTCTCCATCGCCTACGAGAAGCATCTGGCCCAGGACCTCATCAACGACGCCGAGTTCCGCAAGTACTTCGAGTACCGGGGCATCGACGCCGAAGACGCCGGCAAGGTGGGTGCATAATTAAAAGGACATGGGATGGGATTTTGTGAGCTCGGGGAGTTGCCGTGTAAGGACGCTATGAGTGATGAAAATTGACGACACTTACCTTATCTACTCAATACCTCTGTGTCGCTCTCTCTTATCCATCGCAGCGTGATCATGCCCATATTGCAACTTTCCCAAGAAGCTGGTACTACTAGTACCTGCATCCTACATCCCGCTAAGGAAGACCCAGGTACTACTAGTAGTAACCTCATATGACTACGCGACCCGGTGGTAATTCCTCTGCATGAACAAATCCTTACAGAACCAATCCCCGCCTTGGCGCACCCACGTCTCGTAGTAATGCCCGCCGCCCGTCTCATGCGGACCTGTCCCCTTCCCCTTGGCGGGTGCGTCGTGGTAGATGACCGTAAACACCGCCTTGACCTCGTCCGGTCCGACCAGCTCAAACTCGCCGGGGCCGACGAGGTGAATGACCTGCAGGTCGGTGAAGGCCGCCTCGAAAAACGCCACCCACGACTCGCGCGAGGCCCACTCGTACGGGATGGCTCCGTCCGGCGTGGTGATGACCTTGCCATCCTCGTCGACGAATTTGAAGGTGGCGTCTGGCACAAAGATGGTGTCGAATCTGCTCCACTGCTTGGTGTCGGCGAATCGCGTGTACTGCGCCTTTTTGTGGCGGATGCGCTCCGCGACCTCGGGCGGCGGGGATGTCATTGTCTGTGCCTTGTTGAGAGCAAATGAGGAGTTGTGCGTGGGCGTGGGTGTGTTGTATCCCGCGAGCATGTAGGTTGAAGATGGCGGGAGAAATCTGTCCGTTTTAATAAGGGTGCCGGTGATCCAAACTGGGGGGGCTCAACGGTACTATATATGACTACTTCGTAATAGGGGTGCATGGACTGAGGGGTAAGAGGAGTACCTTGTATCACTTCGGCAGCTTGGCGATAGTCGAAAGGAAAGGACCGGCGCAAGATGCATGGGACGGGTCCCTTCCCTCAAGGTTTGTTCCTTTTCCCGTTCTTAGTGGCCACCGGCAAAGCACTCAAACATGCCGGACCTATCACCGATCGTGGCAACCTGCGCGTATGGTAAGAGAGCTCCACGCCGTGGAGGCATCACGGTGCAGCTAATGCGCCTATGGACAGCATGGGAAAGTGGGAACACCCAAAGGTCATGAGAAGAGTGACCCCGACGATGGGATGAGTTCGGGACCCTTCTTTTCATCACCCGTATGCTGGGCATGCTGAATTGCAACGAGCCCCCAAATTACGACATTTAACAAGGGGTAAACAGCGCAACGTTTTCTAGATCTCCTATCGTAGATGTGTGTTATCAGCGTCTGTCAAGAGTGTTGAGATTGCGGACGTTCTTGAACCCTGATCTGAGTCTGACTCCAATACCACTCCAAGAGCGTATCATACAACTCACACTGGCGTTCAGTGAAGCTAAAGGGCATGTCATTCTCTCATTTTTGCCATACTCGAATGACTACTAAGATATGCTGGAGTCGTCTCCTTTGACTACAACCAAGCTGTCCAACAGGTAATACGGCAGCTTCCGTTACCCGTTCTTACAATCCTGAGTGTCAATCTATCAGCTAGCGGACCCGAAGCCGAGCTGTGGCATGTTGCACATGTCGCAGCTCTCTTCAAGGGTCACGGGCTATACCACGAGAAAGGCAAGACAGGACAGGAGGGATGGTCCTGGGGAACGCGTCGCTTCGTGGGACATATATAACGCACTTCTAGAAAAGAAGATAGTGAGAAACGTCGTAGATGTTGTTATAACTCAGCATCGCAATCACCGGTGCCGCATTCCTGGTCCTGGCGGTAATAAGTGAGCATTATGAAAATGCCGCCATATATGGCGAAGAGAGTCCGATGATACCGACCAAAGACATGCATCCGAGCGGGAGACGACCAGGAGTAGGAGACTCGGAACCTGACTCTCCATGTACATAACGACACAACGGTTTCAGGTTCTTCAAGAATGTAGTTCAACCTATGTGACACCCTACGTTCAACATCGAGGTGATTGTTTTCATTGAAGAAATGAGGCGAGGGGGATGACCAAAATCTGAGGTGGTGGATACGGAGACAACGAGGGACCGTTGGTGGCGGAGAGGGGCCTTGAAGCCACCAGCTGTTCGCTGTCTCATTACGCGACAATAACGGTCCGATACAAACTTTATGTTGGTTGCAGCTGATAGCCCGAATGTGGTGTTCCGGCTCAAGTCGGATACAGCCTGAACCAGACAGCCTACAGGTCAATACCCGCACATCAGATACGTGAGCTCCCTGTGCACTGCAATCTATGGATTATCTCATTTGATCGTGCCTAGTGGAAAGCAAGCTTGGACTCGGCGTTCCTATGACTGTCCTATGCTTTGTTCTCAATGGGGCCCTCTTCAGACTTGTCGGTATCGGATTCATGTCCACGCTCCCTATTCCCCTTTCGGAACACTGCGAGTAATGTGTTAGCAAGCTTCGTCGGTTGCTGTCGGGAATGCTGGCTCTGAACCTACCAATGTCCATCTCCTCGAGCGATCTACCCTTCGTCTCTTTGATGAAAACCCATGTGTAAGCGACGAGAGCCCAGTTGAAGATGGCAAACATCAAGAATGTCTTCCAGCCCAGGTTGTTGACGGCGTGGGGTGTAATCTGGGAGAAGGTGAAGTTGAACAGCCATTGCGTGGCCGTGCCGACAGCGATTCCTCCCTCACGGATTCGGGTCGGAAAGATCTCGCTCATGTAAAGCTGTTAAGTCTCGCCGTCAGTTCCGAGCAAATAACAGGGGGAAATTTGTCATTGGCGTAACTCACCCATGGCACAGGACCCCAAGAGAGGTTGTAGGTCACTTTGCGATATCATGTTAGTGCCACGCACAAACTCAGGGGGCACCGAGGCGTTGTCGATGGGTGATGACCTACTTGCTTCGAGATATATCATAATGAGGGAGGCGAGCGAAGTCGACGTCATTCCAGCATTCTTATTCGGAGGGAAGACGGCGGTGAGAACGGCGACGATGATCATGAAGACCCCCATCATAAACGAGCCCCCAAGCAGGGAGCCTCGTCGGCCGATCCTCTCGACAAGGAAGACCAGGAAGAACAGGCATGAGACGACTTTGGCGACGCCGAAGAAGCCGCTGATCAGGAGGGAATTCTCTCCTGCTCCAACTGCGTTGAAGATCTGGGGCGAGAAGTATGCTAGAGACGTGTTGCCGGTAAGTTGGACGCCGATCTGCAGCGTGACAGCAATCATCATGCGCCACCGGTTGGACGGCAGGAGGAACTCTCTCCAGGTGAGGCCCTCCGTAACTCGTTCTTCCTCTCTGATACCCTCGAGGATCTCGTCCATCCTGCTAGTTTGTCAGAGGAGGTCTCGAATCGTGGGGCGGTTAATACATGTATGTGTACGCACTCTGCTTGCACAACGGAGGCGTCCTCATTGCCTCGCACCCATGTTAGGGATGCCATGGCGCCCTGAATATCACCCTTCTTCGCTAGCCACCTGACGCTCTCTTTCGTCAGCAGCATTCCCAGACCGAGGAAACCGCCCGGAACGAGCTGCAGGGCCACGGGGATGCGCCATTGTACGGTCGAGGGCTCCATGTGTTTCGCGACGGCGTAGTCGACCCAGTAAGAAGTCATGACTCCCATGGTGAAGAAGAACTGGAACACTGAGTGGTATCATTCCAGATTAGCCAGCCCGCATGTTGTTGGCAAGTCGGAATTTCTTGGGACATGGACTCACTGCTGCCGAGTTGACCGCGGATCTGCTTCGGTGCCATCTCGGCGCTATACATGGGGATAACGACAGTAGCAATGCCGACACCCACGCCCGAGATGGTGCGCCCCGCATACCACGCCCCGACTCCGCCAACTGTGATGATTTGTAGAATGGCACCGACGTTGAAGATGCAGGAAGCGAGAATAAGCGACCATCGGCGGCCAAAGCGGGAAGTGAAAGGCCAGGCGCAGAAGCAGGAGAAGAAGGCTGTTCCGGTGATCAACAGTAAGTAAACCGTCACGCAGCCCCCTAGGGAGGACTCAGGAGAGTATGGCGTTCTCTCACCTCCAGCCTGCAACAGACTTGCGGAGAGAGAGCTAACATTGGCTTTATCGGCAGCCGTGAAGTTCATGTCCTTCTGGAAGGACTCGAGCGTGAGGACGCCGCCGACAATGCCGGTGTCGTAGGCGAAGAGAAACGAGCCGACGCAGCTCAGGGCCACGAGGTAGTAGGCCCTGAAGTTGCCGAGGCGAGTCATGGTGCAGCGATGAAGGTCGGCAGGATAGACCCTTCGAGTTCTGGGATTTGGGTTGGTCTTGACTCCTGAGTACTAGCAACTAGGACTCGGGGAGCTGATGGATGGAGCTTGTGAGATTCATAAAGGATATCCATCCTTAAATGCATGCCTCGATGACTACTAGGCCTAGGAGGCAATGGCGAGGCTCGTAGCGTGGCTATCCCTCCGGACCGAGAGGAACAGGCGTCCCGGGATCCTGGGTACAGAGGCACAATTGCTGCCGCGCAATTGCGGGGCGATGTTGCGACAAATTGTGTGACCAGTCCAACGGAACCATACTCCATGCCTCATCCAATAATAAACTGGCGTCGTCGCCGTCGTCCTTAGCGGCTTGGCCGACCTAGTCGCCGGGTCGGTAGTCGGCCGGAGAGGTCTGCCAGTGGCTGATGTGTGCCGATGGTTACAACGTACTCCTACATAGTATAGAAGATGCCCCATTGAAATTCCCATGGTACATGGGGTCCGATGCGGGATTGGGTGTGCCTCGGGGTGATCCACATCGCACATGGCTGGGAAAGTGCCCACATTCCCCAGCTTCCATCTTTCATCGGCTCATTCTAAACTCTCCACAAATCTACACCGTACCCCGGCGTGCCTTGTCTGGGACGCACGCCCGTCCACACGAGCGGTGACACAGCCTTTGGGGCGGTACGCATGTGATCTAAGCCATTGCCCCTCTCCGAGACCCGGAGCGTCGGGGTCAGAGCCGACATGATGAAGACTGCTTGTGTCCAATGCCGTGTCCGAAAGGTAAGCCGAACCGGACGGCCTAAACACGCATGGGTACATATGGAGACTAACGTTTTGACAGGTTCGTTGCGACGGAACTCGGCCTTCCTGCGCCACTTGCAGGCGTCTCGGCCTCGTGTGCTCACTCCAACCCCATGCGAGCGGGAGCCCCGGAGGCGTGGCAACAGGCCCTCGCCCTCCACATCTGCCACCGAGGTACCGCGGCGCCCGTGCGTGCCTGCAATGCCGCGCCATGAAGGTCCGGTGCTCCGAGGAAACACCACGGTGCGCCAACTGCCTTCGGCGAGGCCGGCCTTGCACCTACCCGACGGTTGGTGTCTCGGCCAGGTCGGAGCGGGTGTCAGATGACGCTCCGAGCCTCTTCGGGTCAGACTCAGCGGTATCGATTCCGGCATGTGAACAGCACTACGCCCGGCTGCACGATGCTGGTGCTGTGCCACCCGAGCCGGTGGTAGACGAGCTGATTGACCAATACTTCAGCCGTCTCCATTCCCTTCCTGCTTACAGCTTCCTGCACGAGGAAACTGTGAAGAGAAGAAACCGCGAAAGGACCATCAATGATGCCCTTAAGCTCTCGCTGTGTGCCATCACGGCCCTGGTCTTGGGTAGACACGAAGCCGAGCGTGACGGGTGGGCTCGGGAAAGCGAGCGCCAAATTCTGGACCAACTGGATGAGCCTTCCATCTTCCACCTCCAGGCCTTGCTCCTCGTGATCCGCTACCGGGCCGAGACGGCCAAGTCCAGGAGGGCCTTTATGCTCGCGGGGCTTGCTGCACGCTCGGCTGTCGCTCTCCGGCTCAACTACGAGCATCCCGAGCTTGGTCCCGTGGCTCAGGAAGTGCGGAGACGGACGTTCTGGTCTCTGTATCTCCTCGAGGATGTCTTCTGCGTCGGCCTGAAGGAATTCGAACTCTGCCGGCCCGAGATCATCCAACTCCAGCTGCCGTGCGCCGACATCGACTTTGGCAACGAGAGGGAAACCGTCACGGGGTTTTTGCAACCGGGGATGGGGCTGGAACCCGAAACACTCTGTGTCCGGGGTTTGTTTGTGAAGCTTGCATTCACTCGGCGGTCCATCATGAAGTCTGTCAGAATCTCCCCCCCCTCCATCTCCGCACTCCCTTGGCGATATCGTGCTGACTGAGATTCGGAACCCAAGACTCAACCGACAACTATACCTGAACGAGATCGATCTTCCGGGCCTGTTCCGCGCAATCGAGCACCTACAGTCAGATCTCCGCCGCATATCGTCCCAGATCGCCCCGGAAGATGGGTACCCGCCTACCAGTACTACCGCAATCGGCTTGCGTCCGCAATATATCATGATGCACATGTCGTACCGTCAATGTCAGTGTGACCTGTACCGGATATTCCTGAGCGGCTACCCGGAGGCGGCGCCGCAACGGAACATCGAGGGCATCAAAGCCCGAAATATCGCTACCATGAGACACCGATGTCTTAAGAGCGCCCAAGAAATTCTTGATATTTTGTTTTATTACGACAGCCAGACCGACACCGGCCAGGTCCTGGATTTTGACGCAGCGGTCTGCACATACCATGCTGCCCGTCTTGTTCTGTTCGGAGCATTCAGCGGAAAAGGGGGGATTGACATTTCCATGGAAGCAGCCATCGACCATGCACAACGTAGCGTGGACATCATCTCGCGACGTTTTGCCTTCTCGGCAGCGGTCGAGCCAATGGTGCGTCTGTCTTCTACCATTATGGCTCGAATGCCCGAAAATGCTAACCTCTTTCCGTGTTGGCCAGCGCGACGATTTGTCCAAGCTGATTGAGAGGTACAGGGGGCTCATCCGCTCGTCCAGCAGTGAAGGGGTGTATGCGGTCGATCAGGGACCCCGAGCGCAGCCTGGTGTTTCCAAGGCTGCTATTATCCGGCAGAGGCTCTCCGTCCACAGCCTGCTTCTGCGGTCAGACTTCGTCGATGACAGCCGCGAGGCCGCCACGGAGCCGCCCAGAGACGTGATTTCTGGCCCTCCCCTAGACCAACCCCCGGATTGGGCCGGCCCATCGCCCGCTACCGGCTACCTTTCGGCTGCGCACCAACAAGAGTGGATACAACCTCCGACATTGCTGCCGTCCCAGGCTTCGTTCCCCGACCCGGGACTTATTGGCATGTACGACGGGGCGAGCATTGACTTTAGCGTGTGGTCTCTATTCCCTGCAATATTTGAAGGGATGGGGACAGGCAATAGTGTCGGTGGAGAGGATGAGCAATACATGTACTAGTACTGAAGCGATATGCTATTGTTGCCTGCGGCTCCCTAGCGTACACGCACACTCGTTCCACTCGAACAGCCCAGGATTTCACGTAATAGCATGGCGAATAACCCCATGGGGAAAGGAAACAACCCAGGCCAGTTACCCGCTTGTTCACTGCCGGCTGAGGATGCCACCCCACGGATTGACCCCGGAGCGGAGGTTTCACTCCACAACTTCAACATAGGCCAACCAAGACGCGGAAGGGCCGAGTGCCGACGGACGCAAGATGCAACCCGAAGTTCGAACACATGCGCACCCCAGGACCGTTACTCTCTGCGAACCACCAATAAGCACCGAGTCCGACCGAGTGCCGGCAGGATCCGTCACTAGTGGGTGACTAGCGACATGCCGCCCATCACATAATTCACATGTCAGCAGTTACTGAACCTTACCCGCAGAGCTTCTCCCCTTAGCAAAACAAAAGAAACAACATGCGACCACATCAATTGTCGGACTTCCCAGTGTTGCGTTCCTTGGTGTTCTGCTATTCGGTGCCGCTACGCTTGTTCTAGCTCTCGGCAGCAGACCGCTGCCGTCATTTCCCTAGTCCGACTATCAGGAAGTCAGTATCCGACCATCATCAAGCAAACATGGCACAATCAGGCAGTAACCAAAAACACCATGTGCGGCGTCCGAACATCATTTTTATCATGGCCGATGACCATGCCTCCAAGGCCATCAGTTGCTACGGGGCGGGGATCAACAACACGCCAAACATTGACCGGCTCGCGACGGAAGGGATGAAGTTCAACCACTGCTATGTTACCAACTCGATCTGTACCCCTTCGCGAGCTGCCATCCTGTGTGGCACTTACAACCATGTCAATGGTGTCATGACACTGGATGATCATGTACGTCTTAAACTAACAGAAGTTGATCCTTCTCCCGGCAGCTTGAGAACCGGCGACTGACTGCGCGAATCCCAGATCAACAAGCACATCCCGAACGTGGCAAAGCACCTGCGTACAGGAGGCTACCAGACGGCCATGGTCGGCAAGTGGCACATGGGCGAGGCCGAGGAGAACTATCCAACCGGGTTTGATTACTGGTCCATCCTCCCCGGCCAAGGAGACTACTGGGACCCGGAGTTCATCGAACCGTCCGGTATCAACGTCGAGGAGGGCTACGTCACCGACATAATTACCGAGAAGAGCCTGAACTGGATGCGCGGCCGCGACAGGACGAAGCCATTCTTCCTGATGTGCCACCACAAGGCCCCGCACCGGTCATGGGAGTGCGACGACAAGCACAAGGACCTGTACAAGGACCCTGTGCGGTTGCCTGACACCTTCACGGACGACTACAAGAGCCGAGCCAAAGCGGCCAAGGTCGCAAAGATGCGCGTGGCCGAGGACCTGACGTACCAGGACCTCGGGCTTGTGCAGCCGGACGGCGGTCGGAGAGTCGGCGAGCGCGTCCAGCAGGAGAAGGGGGCCAGCGAGCGCAAAATTCCGGCACCGACGACCGCAGAAGGGCTCGGCGCTCTGAAGCTGATCGACAAGGACGACGGCACCGTCTTCACCTTCACGTCCCAGGGCGAGCTCGCAGAGTTCAAGTTCCAGCGGTACATGCAGCGCTACCTGCGCACCATCCAGTCGGTCGACGACAGCGTCGGCCGCCTGCTCGACTACCTCGACCATGACGAGCCCGGGCTGACCGACGACACCATCGTCATCTACACGTCCGACCAGGGCTTCTTCCTCGGCGAGCACGGCTGGTTCGACAAGCGCTTCATGTACGAGGAGTCGTTCCAGATGCCCTTCCTCATCAAATACCCGCAGGAGATCTCGCCGGGGTCCGTCTGCGACGACATCATCTGCAACGTCGACTTTGCCACCACCTGGCTCGACTACGCCCGGCTCCCCGTCCCCTCGTACATGCAGGGCCGGTCCTTCCGGCCGCTGCTGCAGGGGCGCACCCCCGCCGAGTGGCCGCAGGCCGCCTACCACCGCTACTGGATGCACAACGACATCATCCACAACGCCTACGCGCACTACGGCATCCGCGACCAGCGGTACAAGCTCATCTATTGGTACAACGAGGCGCTGGGCATCAAGGGGGCGCGTTCGGGAGGCGAGGAACATAAGGAGTGGGAGCTGTTTGACTGTGAAAAGGACCCGCTGGAGCTGTTCAACGTGTACCACGAGCCGGAATACCGGGAGGTGGTGCGCCACATGACGGCCTTGTTGGAGAAGAAGATGCTGGAGATTGGCGATGAGCCTGTCCATCCCAAGGTGGATGTCTAAACTCTGTCCAATTGGGTATGGGTAGAGTTGTACGTGAGCGAGTCTTAGAACAGATATCAAAAGTGCACTTTTTACCTGCTGGACTCCTTCCGTGCCTGGACAGCTCCTCCAGGTCGATGCAAGACCCAACCCCTGGATCCTTTCTTCATCAAGGGGACACGAAGCCAAGTCATGAGGCTATCACGGAAGTTAGTTCGGCAGGTGTCGGCAATTGCAAGGTGGTAGTTCCCCTAGTTGGAACACAGGAAGGATTCACTAGGACAAGTTGCCAGATAAAGTCATATGCCTTTATTAACTGTATAATACATATTTCGAAAGTTGGAAGCCAACGAGACTCGGACTTCGGCACAGAGATTCTTCACGCTAACTCTCGCCATGCAAAATAAAGCTGCTAAACTCAGCACGCAATTCCGATGGCCGAGCTCGATTATACCGGCGATGCCAAGCTCGTGGTTCCTAGCTTCCCCCGCCGTTTCCATGTTTTGTTCCCCGCATTCGTGGGAATAGCCTCCTCCTTGGCGCCGGATGTCGGGGTGGCCTCTTCCTCATTGGACGTAGACAACAAAACGGCAATTGTGGGGGGGATTAGGTCATGTTCCTGGAAGCTGGGATAGACTCCCGTGTATCGTCATGACAGGAAATACCCGCCCGACTTTGGAAAAGGTGATCCTGAGAATGGATAGCTACCGTGACCGTTCGCGTTCTTGTATATAATGGACCACCACTAGCATATGGAGTTGAGCCCCATGCCACAGCACTCGGAATCAGTCGCGTCAGCATGGTGTCTATCCGCAATGCAGCCCTCTCGGCGCTGGCCTTGGCCGCCACCGTCAGTTCGGCGACAACTTCGACGTGCAAGAAGGCCAAGCATTGTGATGCTAGACAACGAGCAAAAGACCTTCTCAAGCAGATGACATGGGAAGAGAAGATCGGCCAGATGGGAGGCGTTCGACGCGTTCTGTCCTCAGGCACGACCGTCAATCCCCAGTATGACACGATCCGGCAGATGCAGAATGGACAGATGGGTGAGTTACTATGTCGTCTCCTCAGATGATACATCATAGATACAGAGCTGACCATATAATAAACGGCTAGGGTTCGGTCCCATGTTCAACTGGGCAGGAGACATCATGGAGGTTGTCAACAAGCTGCGACAGGAGCAAGTCAACTCGAGCCGTCTGCACGTCCCGTACATTACCGTGACGGACTCGGTCAACGGGCTCTTCATATCCGGCGGCACTGTATTCCCGAGCAACCTTGCCATGTCGGCTTCCTTCAATCTTCCGCTGTTCAAATCGGCCATCGAGGCAATACGTGAGGAGCAGCTCTCCATCGGGGTCCGCTGGGTCCTGTCACCGTCACTGGATTTAGCCAGGGAACCACGATACGGACGCATCGGAGAGTTGTGAGTGAGACCTGAAGGTCATGGCCCAAGAAGGACTAAGTCCAAGTTGTTCTAACACAGAGTGCAGGTTTGGCGAGGATGGGTACCTGATCGGCGAGTTTGGTCGGGTGTATGTGGAGACGATGGAGGAGGAAGATGGCAACGGCTACACGAAGGTCGCCTGCACCATCAAACACTTTGTGTTTGGCGACCCCCGCGGCGGCGTTAACACGGCGAGCCAGTACGGAGGGCTGAACCACCTCTTCAACGACCAGCTGCGGCCGTATCTCCATGTCCTGGAGACCACCAAGCCGGCCTCGCTGATGGTGTCGTATGCGACTGTCGATCTGGTCCCCATGTCGGCGAACGAGTACATGCTGCAAGACATCCTCCGGGCCCGTATGGGATTCGAAGGGCTGATCATGTCCGACGCCTACTCCATCCCCAACCTGTACACGCAATCCATGACCGCCACATCTCTCGAGGATGCCGCGATCCAGGCGCTTCACGCCGGCCTCCAGATGGAGCTGGCACCAGCGGGCAGCCCGGCCGTGTTCCCGACGCTCCTCTCTTCCGTGAAGGATAAAAAGGTCGCAAAGCTCATTGATGAAGCGGCACTCAAGATGCTCGAGATCAAGTTCGGCTCAGGGGTCTTTGAGCAGCCCCTGGCAGATCTCGACGCCTTGAACACAACACTCCGAGCACCGGCGCACCTGGATGTGGCCAGGCAGATGGCGCGCGAGGGCATCGTGCTGCTCAAGAACGACGGTCTACTGCCCGTCACGCCCAACAAGGTGGCCGTCATCGGCCCGTTCGGGGACATCATCAACGCCGGCTCGTATGCGGCGGTCAACAGCACGGATCCGCAGTACGGCAACTCGCTCTACCGCAGCGCAGTGTCCGCCTTTGGCGCCAACAAGGTCACATTCGCTCGAGGGTGCGATTTCGTGGACACTACGGACGACAGTGGCATCGCTACGGCAGTCGCCGCGGCCAAGGAAGCGGGCCTCGCCGTCGTGATGATAGGCAGCCTCTCCGCGCCCATGGACGACACCATTCTCGCTGCGAAGCGAACGGACGGCGAGTTCTTCGCGCACGCCGACCTGGGCTTCCCGGGCCTGCAGCAGCAGCTCCTCGACGCCATCCTCGACGCCGGCGTCCCGACAGTGCTGGTCTTGTCGGGCGGGCAGCCGTTTGTGCTCGACTCGTCCACCCTCCGCGCCAACGCTATATTCCACAGCTTCCTCGGCGGCGAGTTCACGGGCGACGCGCTCGTCGAGCTGCTGACCGGCGCTGTCAATCCCAGCGGCAAGCTCACCATCAGCATGCCGCAGCACAGCGCCGCCGTCCCGGCCATGTACGACTACCTGCCGTCGGACGACCAGGGCGGCAGCACGAGGTTGCTGGGGTACCACTCGGCCTGGCAGTTCCCGAACCTGACGCGCACCGTGCCCATGCCGTTCGGATATGGCCTCAGCTACACCACGTTTGACATTGCCGCGCCGGTTGCGAAGGTGCAAGGCAGCGGCAGCAAGGCGAAGGAAGTCGTTGTCAGCATCACGGTGAAGAACACGGGCGCGCGCAAGGGCCAGGAGGTGGTCCAGCTCTATTTCCGCCCGGCCACCACCCGCGGCTTGGAGTTCCCCGTGCGCCGGCTGGTCCGCTTCGAGAAGGTGGACTTGGAGGCCGGGGAGAGCCGGGAGCTTGCGTTTACGATTCCGTATAAGGACCTGGGCCTTTGGATCAACGCCAAACTCACCACCCAGCTGGGACTATATCACCTGTGGGCGGGGTCGAGCTCAAGGGAGGAGGACTTGAAGATGGGTAATGTCACGTTGACGTAGGAACCGTGAACACAGTGCAAGTATGACAAAGGGATGTATGTATAGTACAATGCCTACTCTAGATGATACAGGTAATGGTAGCAAGTACGGTAGCTACTAGTAGTTTCCAGATGTTGAATTTTCTAGAAAGTCCCTTGCATTATGCCTACCCGCTCAGCATCCTTAGGTCTGTATACTCGACAGGAAGTTGGACCATCCTTTCAACCGCCGGTACTCCAGCGCCTTACCGCTCCCATGTACGTAGCCTCTTTTGCATGCCTCGAAAGCTACCTTGCCATGCGGATGTTCAAATGGGATATCGACAGACGGCAGACCATGCTCCTCATGGCGCAGGTCGACAAGGTCCAAGCCATACTCAACTCCTCGGCGATCTACTAAGTAGCAAGTGGCAATAGGGGGGTTGGAAGTATCGGAGGGAGGAACAACATTGGAGGAATACATGTATGCACAAGTACTAGTATACTAGTACCTACCTTGCGCTTTAGGTGGTATTAATACTGGGTGTCCTCGTAATCTGTTTCTACCTACCTAACTTAGTCTTTGTGAAAGTGACTGCAGCAATCAGCCTGGATTAAGGTATGACGTTGTTTAAGGGGACTGTGGAGTGTGAGAACCTTGATAGCCATGCCCCTTCCTTGGGGACCCTGCGGCCCTGTGGTCCGACAAGAAGAGACATACCAGTGAGGTAGTACCTACCCATCAGGGTTCTCGCATCCCAAACCTCACCCCCGCGTACTTACTAGCCAAGAGAACGAGACGTCTCAAATCCGCAGTCACTCGAGGGTACGACAAACGCTCGTTGAAGTGATTGTTAGTGGAAGTCCACTTCAGCAATGAAACTGATTTAGCATCAGCATACCATGGCCATGGCGACGCACGATCCAGGCGAGACTTGGGACTCGAAGTGTTGGGGGGTTGGCTGTGGCGGCAGTGTGGCCGGAAGTCAAGACCGTCGGGGGCAATGTAAGGCAGTCGGATTCGAGAACCTGGCCCTCAGCCGTAAAGGTTCTCATCAGATTGTCATGGGTAAACTCCCCAGAAGCCACTTCGCCCGCATCTCTGGATTCTAGGTGGTCTGTCGAACCATCTCCGTCGTTCTCTCATCCCGACGCCCGTCACCCTCTGCGTCCCTGTTTACTCCTGAGTCCATCAGTGGCGTTGTTGCCCTTTCACCGGAAGGATGACTATCAACGGATACGAGGCATCTTCGAAGCCTGACTTTGGCACTCCCGGTCTGAACGGTGCTGCCGTTCACGACATCATCATCGTGGGGGCCGGACCATGTGGCCTTGCAGTTGCTGCCCGGCTGCGCGAAGCGAATCCCGCTGCCATCTTCACCGACGAGGAGCACCAGCGCTTTCACTGGATGAATCGGCACGGAAAGAAGATGGCCCTGAAGCACGTCAAGAGTGGCCGGACATCGTCCGCGACGCACGGCACTGTCCGAGGGTACGACATGGCCGTCCTGGATGCCAACCACGATGACTGGATGGGCCGATGGAATCAGCTCTTCCACACCTTCCACATTACGCATCTCCGCAGCCCCATGTTCTGGCACCTCGACCCCAACAGCCGCGATGGCCTGCTGTCCAAGGCGTATGAAGAGCAACGGTCAGGGGAGCTGCTGGAGATCAAGGGATGCGTGGGCAAGGAAATCAGCAAGCACATGAAGAAGCGGCGGAGGAACTACACAGGCGGCAAGTAAGTTTGCTATTCTGTGGTCCCGACGATCTTATGGAGCAGCTGCTCAAACGGTGCGGTGGACAAGAGGAGACTCCCGAGTTCCGATCAACGAGCGAGACCGCAACGATTACTTCACCCCATCGCAGTCGCTCTTCTCGGAGCACTGTAAGGACGTTGTCGCTCACTACAGCCTACATGGAACCGGGTTAGTCCACAAGGAGACAGTCCTCGACATCGCTTACAGCTCTGTCCCGGGTGTGCCCATCGCGGACGAGAAGCTCTTCACCGTCCGGACCGACGCGGGCATCCGATATTCCAGGGTCGTGATCCTCGCTGTCGGTCCCGGCAACCAGCCACGCATCCCCAGGATCCCCGGCATGACGAGCGGCTCCGAAGGGGCGGCACCTCCGTCGTTCCCCCAGGCCTGCCACGCCATGCAAATCCGCCACTTCCCGGACCCGGTGGTCAAACGGCGGATAGCGGCAAACCGGCACACCAACATCCTGGTCATCGGCGGCGGCCTGACCTCGGCGCAGCTGGCCGACCTGGCCATCCGCAAGGGCGCCGGCACGGTGTGGCACATGATGCGCGGCCCGCTGCGCGTCAAGCCGTTTGACGTGGACCTGTGCTGGATGGGCAAGTTCCGCAACGTCGAGCAGTCGCGCTTCTGGCAGGCCGACTCGGACGAGGAGCGACTCGGCCTGATGAAGGAGGCACGCGGCGGCGGCAGTGTCACCCCGATCTACCGCCGCATCCTGAAGCAGCACGTCACGTCGGGCAAGCTGCGGTTGTTTGAGAAGACCACCCTGCACGAGGCAAGGTTTCAGAAGGAGGACAGAGGAGGAGAGGACGGTCCAAGTTCTTCGGGCCTCTGGCACGTCAAGACAAGTCCCGAGGTGGAAGGGCTGCCGCCAATGGACTACATCTACTTTGCCACGGGGATTGAGACCGACTTCAGGACGCTGCCCTATCTGCAGACGATGATGGAGAGCCATCCCATTGACGGCTATGGCGGCTTTCCGTGCCTGAACGACGACTTGATGTGGAAGGACGATGTGCCGCTGTTCGTGGCGGGGAGGTTGGCCGCCCTGAAGCTGGGTCCGGCCGCTCCGAACCTGGGAGGGGCTCGGATTGCCGCCGAGAGGATTGCGTGGGGTGTTGAGGAGGTCATGCGCAAGGCATCCGGTCTTGATCCAGATGGTGGCACGCCTTGGGCAACAGCGAGGGAAAGCTTGGTCGACTATGCTACCGGTACCGGCAACATGTTCAGTGGACTGGTGGAGGTTTCGTCATAGAACAGGCAGTCTCGCAAGGGAAACAGAAATATCACTTCTAATCATCAGAGAGAGAGAGAGGGGCTTTATGACTGGAACTACGCTGCATGTCATAGTTGATCTGTATTGAACGAGTGTCCTAGCTAGGGAACGCGATGACCAAGTCCGTGTGCAACATGGAACCCGCCACGAGTGTCCATAGCCGAGTGAAACCAGTTTCCAATCTCATGCGCAACCCGCCCTGCATCATCTTGATCCGACATACACCGGAGAAGATCGATACACTCCCGGGTGCTTAGTGCTGTCGTATCACAGTTAGCTCAGCAACCCGAAGGGGGCTCGGTTGGATGGGAGAGTGGAACTTACGCCGCAGCTTCCGCAACCGCAGCTGGCGCAGTTGCCAGAGCAAGAGCAGGTGTTGCAGGTGCTACGAGGCGAAATCAGCATCGAAACCAGGGTTTAAGAAGCCATGCGCGGACGATCTGTGTTGGCTTCGGAGCAGTGGCAGGCTGCCTTACCAGGGATTCATGTCGTTGATGGAGTTGATGGCCGTAAAAGGTCCGATGTTTGGTTTGGTTGTGTTTTGACTTGGTTTGAAAGCAAGCGTCCGAAATGTGATGAGACGAGCGAATTTGCGAAGACACCGGGAATGGGACGAACGCGAGGGGATTAAATAGGTAGGCAACCCTTCCTACCCCTCCTGCTCTTTCTGCCTCCCCGCACGAGTACTCCTGGCAACTGGACCGCTTTACGTCAAGTCGCGGGGTCGTCACAGGTCGCTTCCACTTCGGCCACCAACGAGAATCGTCGCGGTCGTCACACGGCAGGATTCAGATCGGGAAACGTGGGGCTCGTTGTTAACGCCGTCGAGCCGAACAACTTGGCAACAGAAGTGGGACACCGCCGTGCGGGATCCTATTGGCGACAGCAAAGGCGTGTGATGCCTCCATATCCCACCGTAGCTGAGACTTCCTGCGAGACCATCACACCAGATCACGACCAGAGTGACACCTCAGTCTCCAAAGGCGTATGGGGCGCGGCCGTCGTTGGTCGGGAAGGTCGCGGTGCCGGGGTTAGGCGGGTAGAGACGACGAGCTGGGCGAGCGACGGAGGCGGCGCTAAGGCGGAAGATAAGGGGGCGCTACTGTGCTCTGCAAGTGAGATCATTCAGAGTCCGAGCCTGTTACTCAGAACGAACACGTGTACGTCATAGGAATGGGGCCAACTTCTTGGGATCTTGGGGTCTGACATGAGATAACAGGTAATAGAAGCTTGACGACATTTACCTCGAGAATCGTCATGGTGAGCTGCTACTACCTTAGTAGCCTAGCGCCCCTGACATCTGCCCGTCAGACATAAACAGGACACCCCGCCTCGAACGAGGATTCGGGCGGATCCGCGGAGCGCATCGGGGCCAGGGGACCGAGATCCGATCTTCCGAACCTTAGAGAGGGGGTTAAACTCCGAAGGGGTCGAGTTTCCAAGCAGGAGAAAGTAGAAACCAGAGAAGACAAAGAGTGGGGGACAGTGGAGGGACATTTAAATGGAACGCCAGTGAGAGGTTATCAGTGTGACGTGCTCTCTCTGATCGCAGATTCCCGCTCCGAAATGAGAACCTTGATGGGCCTCTCTGTCCAGTGGCCAGCCAACCTTTACCCCTGCTGCCCATCAGGGTTCTTGCGCCATCTTGACTCATACCTCGCAAGCAGGTCCTTCGAAGCCTGTTGATTCAACGGATGCAATGGCAGGTCAACAACGGTGCCGGCTTCGAAAATCTCTCCCAAGTCGTTCTGTGGACCGAATGAACCGCCAAAAAGCAACATACTGTGACTAGTAGTACCTACGGTACTTACCCCGATCCCGTTCCTACCAATTCGGACCGCGATCATTGGATAAGATGGGAGGCCTCGTGTCTCATCGGGCAATGGTGTAGTGCTGTGTCGTCTTGGAACGAGCCGTGAACCGTCGCCTGCTGAGGTAAGTAAGGTACTTGTAGGGACCTACCCACCAGAGGTGTGTCCTGCCCATGGCTTTACCCTCTCTGACCTTACCTTCGAGCCGCGGACACATTACCCTGGCAATAGCACGATACACCAAAGGTGACCAAACCACCATGGCCGACAACGAAACGTCCGCGATAGAACATTTCAACACCGCAGCGGTCCACTACGAGAAATATACAGGCGGATGCACGCGGCAGCTTGTGCGGCTGCTGCTGGACCTCCCGGAGCTCGCCGACGCGGGCGCTCCCGAGTCGGTTGTGCTCGATAATGCCTGCGGAACCGGCATCGTGGCCGAGGAGCTCATGCGCTGACGCCGCAACGCAAAGACGGAAGGAACAGTGCCGGGGATTCACGTCGTCGACCCTGCTGTAAACATGGTCAACATTGCCCGAGGCAAGCTAGACGCCTTCAACGGCGAGCATCGATATAAGATCTCGAGCAACGTGATGCCCGGCGAGCGTCTGAACTTTGACGAGAACACGTTCACGCACAGCATCACGAACCTCGGCATTCTCTTCTTCTCGGACGGCCTGGCGGGAGCGAAGAAGATCCATCGAACGCTCCGGCCCGGTTGCGTAGCTGCGGTCACATCCTGGTCCGACCTCGGCTACTTTGAACCCATTATCAAACTGGAGATCAGGCCCGGCGAGAGTCCCCACCAGCTTCCCATTTCTCCCGACTGGCTGTCCCCGGCATCTCTAGAATCTATTTTGGGCCAGTGTGGATTTCGCGATGTTAAGGTGTCTGCGATGAAAGTTCACTTCGCGGCGGCGACGCTGGAAGAGCTTGTCGATTTGCTGGCTGACGCGTTTCAGGTTATATGGAAGGACTGGCTCGACGATGAGAAGGCAAGGTTCCGTGGGGTGGTTCACGAGAAGACCTCACGCATCGCTGAGGAGTACACGATGGTGGACGGAGAGAAGGGTGTTGGCTTCCCAATGATAGCATCGCGTGGCCGTCTGCCGGAAATGAGGGACTCTAGCAGTTCTGGCCCGCTTATGAACACCGGTAGTAATTCCTACCTGGCTGTAACTACACCGCCTTGGTGTTGTAGAGACTTCCTAGGGCATCCCGCTCGCTTCCCGCTGTCCCTATCTTTGCAATTTCACCCATCCAGTGAAGCTTTCCTGTGAGATCGCCGCAAGGACTTCGGAGCGGGAAACCTCACCCCTAAGGCATCTCTCGAATAGGGGCTGTAGGTCCCCAACACAATACCTGCACATCCACTCCGCCAGCTCTGCATCAAGGTCCTGTTTATCCTCCCGCAGGAGAACAGCACTTCCGGTATCTATGGAGTTGCTGTTGGACTTGCCCCATTCCCCTGAAGATGGATCTATTTCAATCAGAAGCGCCTCTGCGTACGGATTCTTCCAATCGCCGCCCTCGACGTCGGTGTTGCTTTGGCGCTCCGCTTCAGTCTCCCTCACTGCGCACACTCTGACCGCAAACCCGACCAGTGCCACTGACAAGCTCGAGATAGTGCTTGTGCTGCACCACCCATACTTCGATTCCACCCAGACGAGAGTGAACATCTCGTGCCCATAAAGCCTACGCTCAAGCGGGCTGCAGATTTTGAGGCCCTGAGGATAACATTCCCGCGGAGTACTATAAATCGTTTCGTCGTAGTACACACTCCAGAAGTCAAGGATGTGCCGGAAGTCTGCCAGCGTCATGTCGCCGTGCTCGTTGGCGCCACCCAGCGGCGGCCCGCTTAGAACGACGTAGTGGCCTTCGAGGGTGGTTGGGACTGTCATACCAACACACGCTTCCACAGTCCGGTGCGCAGATCTGTTGAGGAACTCGTCGTAGTCAGCGTAGTAGATCGTCATCAAGTGTCCCAACTCGAATCCTCGTCTTTTGTTGACCTTGACGGGAAGAGTCCAGCTTAGTGAGTCTGAGAGCAGCGGGCCGAGGAAGTGATCAAAGATGGCAGGGCGTGCCTCGCCGTTGGTGTCGCGGAAGGGAACCCAGACGAGACGCGGAGAGTCTTGGTTCCTTGGGAAGAAGATTCCCACCCGGGATCTCACTGACGGACGAGTCTCCAAGAAGGGAAGAAACTTCCGGCAGAGGAGCTTGTGAGCCGGCCAGTCGATGGCCTGGCATCTTTTGCTGCAGTACGAAATTGCGTAGCAGCCAGTGCACTGCACGCCGGGAAACTGGCACATGGCGCAAAGTGTGCGTATATCTCGACAGTAGATCTTCGTTTGCCCTCTCAGGCACGCGGGATTCAGCCTGGACGAACGAAACAGTTAGCATCACAGAGAGGGGAACTGGAACGGGTCATGTGGGTGTTACAAGATTTGCATTCTCTCACGAAGCTCCTTGGCCGCTTGCTCTGCCGCCTTCCGATCTGCAGCCATTTGACTCAGATGGACCATGTCGCCCGTTTTCAGTTCGGAAACAGCCGATGACTGGCACACGATCTTCGGCGGTGAATGAGGACGACCCGGTGATAGAAACCGCTGGATCTGTCCCTTGATAACATTGCACAGCTCGCTCAACCCGTCGTCTGCAGCACTGGCTCTGAGACCCAAGGACAAGGGAGGAACAGCCCAGCTTGGATGGCAAGTTCCATGTCTACCCCGAACACCAGGTTTCAACGGTGAAAGCGCCAGGAATTCATAGCAGAGGAAACAGGCCTTCTTGCTACAGCCGAAGTATGCCAATGTGGGTGCCTGGGACGGCTCTGCCTCGTAGCGCGTGAGAAGTTGGATTTCGCAGTGGATTGCAAGTTCCCGGGAGCAGTCAGCTTTGAAGTCGCGAGTTCTTCGGCTTACCGCAGCAGGTATGGAACCGTCCGGGGCAGAAGGGAGGCCAAGCTCCGTCCATGCTTTGATGAGCGAGGGCGTCTGACGATTCCGCAGTCTGATGGGGGGCGGGACCTCCAACGGGATGAATCGTACGGTGCCGAAGTTGGGCAAGAGCCTCGCAATGGTGGCCAGGGTCTGGAGAATTGTGATCGGTCTCGCCAGGCGTTTCCACCAAGCAAGTATCTTGCTCAGATTCACGGAGCCTGAGGATGCAAGAGACTCGAGGTGTATGAGTCCATCGTCTGGGGAACGAATCACGGCGCTTGCCAGGGCTACTATCTCTCGTCGACCGGTGGAAGTTCCCATGCTGTCTGGCTTTGAAACATCCATGAAGCGAGTCTTCCAGAATAGCGCTTGAACAGCGGCTGGGACTGATCTTTCCGCTGTGGTGCAATACCCCAGGGGGCAGGGCTGGTCCGCCTCCGAGGCCGCGGTTTCTGACATAGGAGATCGGATCAGTAGTCGCTTGACCAGCCCTTGCGCTTTCTGGATACAATGGTCGAGCCTGTTTGCGTTCTAATCGATGGTCATGTCGAGGAAAGTATGTAAGCCTTCTTTCGGCCCATCGTGCATAGCTGCTGTGTCGACTTGGGTGAGTACTAGTAGTCTAAGGTAGCAGTAGTAGAAGTACTTTTGGCACGAAGACAGTCGCCGATATGCCACTCGCCACTGCCCGCTATCGCCAGAAATCGCGTTAATGCCGACAAATACTCGTTATCTCGCTCTTGGAATCTGGCATTCCGCGCCAAGTCCACCTCGACCAGATCCTCGTTTTCTCGCAAAGCAGCCGCGGTAACGGTCGCGCCGCCCTTCGAGTGGGAGAGCAGCTCCGCAATACAGTTGAGAAACCTCTTTCGAACTTCGGCGTCATATGGAGTCAGGAGGTCAGTGTCTTGTGTTGAGGTCTCGACATCCTCGTCTCCGTCGAGTTCCTCATCAGCGTCAAGGTCCGCATCTGTATGAGGATTCACGTAGGATAGAATGTGAGCCGCCCAAACTACCTGCACAAGCTTAGCTGATGCTGTGGGATTTGGTGCTTCCATTGTTGGCATATTTCTTCCCATGTTTCTCATAAAGGAGCAGGAAGGCGGGGACGTCTAGGCAGCACTTGGGAAATCACACCTTCAGATATTCACCGCGCTGTAGGTAGCACAGCAGATGCTCTCATTGGTGCCACCTAGCATCCACGAATCACCTGGGCACGGCATTCCTACTGAACTCACGCGAACAGGCTAACCACTATCTAAATCCGCAAAAATATCACAAAGACGGAAGCGGAACGATGACGAATAACAGCCGAGATATCGAGAACTTGAACAACTTAAATACTAGCAAACAAAAGTTACAAAACCAAACAGTACTAATAGCAGAGTCGCCCGCAACTCGCTTTATCACCGCAAGTCCGCAACCTGGAACTGTCCAATGCGGCCCACCTAACCATGGCATTACTTCGGAGACGCGCCCCAACATGGTCAGGTATTTCTTCAGCGTGTCCTCCCCGGCCCCTCTTAGTATCGACTGCTATGCCGGCTGTTTCTGTTTTGCGGCGACATCCCGCGAGCCCTTGTCACAGCTCCGATATCATCATCCGGCACTCTACTCAGGTCCTAAGTACTAGTAACTGCCAGCCGAGCTCGAGGCGCGGGCGGGTCGGTCCGGAGAGGACGGCGTATGTGACCGTACGGAGGCGGCAGGCGGGGCGCACGGCCTCCTCTGCATGAACGATTTGCACGCAGCAGCAGGCCAGGTCCGGCAAGCCACCGTTGGTTCATAATACATGCACATGTACCATGCAGCAGTACCTAAGTCAGCCGTCTCCGCCAATTTTCACCAAAGACACATCCCCTGAACTCTCTGGTGCCCAACTCCAAGTCGAAAGTCTGAACTCCCCAACTGCACTCAGATTATGGCCGACAGAAATGAAGACTCCTCCAGATCGCCGATCTCGAGCGGGAGCGCTGACCCCGCACACCCAGATAATAAGCGAGACAGGGAGTATGGGATGTACCCGGATCGGCTCGTCGACGAACAAAGCATCAGCGATTGGGAAGGGTTGCAGAAAAAGCTGAACGCGATAAAGGGGAAGGCCGCTGGCTTAAAATCTACAAGTTCATTCACAAATACCGTCCGGGAATCCCGCAGCGTTTCGGACGAATTGTCCGCGGCAGCTACAACGCCATCTTCCCCCTGTTTTTCACCGATGGAACAGCAGCCGCCCTACGGGTGGCGCTTCCCGGTGTCAACGCCTTTCCGGACGAGAAGGTGCGTGTCGAAGTGGCTACGATGCGCTACATCGAGAAGATGACCTCCATACCGGTGCCACACGTCTACCACTGGAGCACAGCCGACGAGAACCCGCTGGGGCTGGGTGCCTTCATCATCATGGACTACGTACACGACGAGAGATCGCTGGCCAGCGTTCTCAAAGACCCCACAGCCGAAGAGCCAGAGCAATACCTCGACCCGAACATCCCCACGGACAAGCTCGAGCGCATGTACAGGCAGCTGGCCAGCAGCATACTGGAGCTGTCCAAGCTGGAAATGCCCAAGATTGGCTCTCTCCAGTGCCAGGGGGACGACTTCGTCGTGGCAAGCCGACCCTTGACCGTGGATATGAACGAGCTCGTTAAGTCGGGGGGGATTCCGCCATCGGTCCTCCCACCAGAAAGCGCCACGTACTCCACCTCCCAGGAGTGGTACGAGGCCCTCGCCGACATGCACGTTGCCCACCTGACGTTTCAGCGCAACAGCGCCGTCGAATCAGCCGATGACGGTCGGGACAAGTTTGTCGCGCGACACCTGTTCCGCCAGGCCGTGCGTCAGGGGAAATTGATGACGTCGCGGCGAGAGGCAGCGAAAGGGCAGCAGGAGAGTCAGAGGGCGGGCCAAGAAACCTTTAAGCTCTGGGTCGACGATCTCCGGCCGCAGAACGTCCTGGTCGATGCCGGCCTCAACATCGTGGCTGTCATCGACTGGGAATGGGCCTACTTCGCGCCCGCCCAGTTCGTGTACGACCCGCCCTATTGGCTGCTGCTGGAGCGGCCCGAGTTCTGGTACGGCACTGTGCTCGAGTGGCGGGACAAGTTTTCCCGTGTGCTGGACGTCTTTTGCAGGGCGCTCCGCAGCCTGGAAGAGGAACAAAAAAAGGGAGACGGCGAGGAAGAGGAGTGGTCCATCACCGAGCATATCCTCGCTCTGAGCCTCGATCCGGAGACGGCCGCCCAGACGGAAGAGACGCCGGTAGTGCCCTTGTCGGAGCGGATGCGCGAGAGCTGGAAGTCGGGTACGTTTTGGGAAGACTATGCGGCCCGCAGATGCTATGGATTCGATCCTATCTTTTGGGAGTTTCTAGATGAGCGCTTCTTTGGAAAGAATGCTGAGGGCGGATACGAGGGCCGGATGAACCTGCTATCGGACAAGGTGAGGAGGCGAATGCACTTGTTCGTCGACAGGAAGATGGAGGAGAGCAAGGAGGAGAGAATAGAAGAGTGGGATCCGGAAGCGGCGAGGATTTACCTTGGGGATATATTGTTGGATCTCAGCTAACCGTAAACTGGGATAATGCTGTAAGCTAATAAACTGCCAATCCGATACTGCTATCATTGGTGACTACTAGTACTATAGTATCAGAGACAGTGGTTACTGTCCCGTGTGTCTCAACGTCGAACTGGGACGTCATGATCATCGCCAATGGGAACTACTAATTACTAGTATACGGGTGATCCAATACCTATTTCAACATCTAGACCTCCATAATAAACAAAGTAGGAGCGCGAGCGCGGCGAAGGCTTCAAGTCCGATGTCTCTAATCAGATACCCAACCACAGCGTTGGAACTCGTAGCACACTGGCATAGCCACCGTTGCCCAGCCACCTTCTAAAATTCTAAGCGCTGTGCCAAAGGGTGGTACCCAATTTGATTTTGTACTACTTAACAATGCGTGGCCCGCATTTGCCAGGGCTGAGGGCGCCAGCTTTGCGATCAGCAGTGATGCGGCGCAGCGGTTACGGCGTTCCCGTCGAACCCCAAAAAGGAACAAGACGGCCACTTTTTGGTCCTGGAATCATTCCCGCCCGGGTTCTGACAACTCACTCACCTGAGGACGAGACCAAGCCACAAGCCCGAAAATGTCGTTGCCATGGAGCGAGGCACTTGCGTCCTTTGGCACATCCGCCATTGACTCCCGGTCGTCGGAATGCAAGCTCTCCCCGGCGGCCAGTGCCTTCAGCGCCATGCTGTCAGCATTCATCGGCTCCGTCGTCAACGGCCTCACAAACGGCTGGGTTGTTGCGTTCATGACGGGATGGATAGCATGGCTCGCTATCTTCCGAGTCCTTATTGGCGGCCTATATATGTTTTACCACGGCATAACCGACACTTGGGGCCCGGGGAGGAGCAGCGACTTCGTTGACCCTCCCATACCCGCCACCGCCTACGACTCCCACCATCGCGATGAATCCCGTATCGCCGACGAAAACGTCTACACAGGCGGATGGCAGGCGATTCCCGAGCCCGAACGAGAAGGGCAGGTCCCCACGGTGACGAGACCACACATCTTCCGCCATCTAGGCGTAAACGTGTGGCCCTCCCCGGCCGTTGTGCGCGGTCTAGATCAACCGCCCGCCGGTACTACTGTACTAATGCCTCCTACCCCTCTGCCTTGGCCCCGCGCCAAGCCATCTAAGCTGCCCCTGGGGATGGACCTCGACCGGAAGGTTACGGCGCTCGGCTGGGTCAGTCTGGTTTACACGGCGGTCTTCGCGCCCATCACGCAGATCCTGTTTGTCGCCGCCAATGCGTCCCGGAACGATAATGGATCGGCCAAGCTGGTCAAGGGGCTGACGGTCGCTGTCACGGCGCTGCCGTTGTGTATCGACTGTCGGGTGCGCTATGCGGACTCGCTGAAGTGGGGGCGGTACGCCTTCAACGTCTTCCTCAGTCTCAGCTGTCTGCTGCAGGGAGGCATCAGTGCGGCCTTGCTGATTACCGGGGTGGTCGATCTGAGTCGGGGCGGTGATGGTGGGCTCCCCTTGCCTGCCGTGGTGGTTGTATACCTGGCCTTTTCGTTCTTGTGGATGGCCGCGAGCGTTGCCCTGTTGCCGATGCGCGATGGCAAGAGGAAAGGCGCCGGGACGACGCACTGGGTCATGTACATCCTGGATGTGGGGATGGGTGCCTTTGCCGGCGTGTTCTTGGCTGCTCCCGCCTTTGCGCTGTATCAAGGTGCCACATTTGCGAACGACTCGAGCGGGATGAGCGATCTAGTGACATATCTCAGCTGTGAGAGACAGGGCTGGAGAAGGTTTGCGGCCGTGGCGCCGTAAAATGAAAGGATATTTGGGGCGCAGCAATACCCACCCTCACGCTCTGTCTTTTCTATTTTTTCCTCTCTTTCCCGGTTTTTAGTGTCTCAGTCATTTCCTACGTCATGCCAATACAATCGATCCCCTCAAGGCTCACATAACACCACATTTCTTGCCCACACACCCGATGCTGGCAAACGACGCAGTGGCACCTGAGAAGACGATCAGATATCCATAGCCACTTCCATATGCGTACTAGGATTCCACGCTGCTCTCCCAACTGTCGGATGCGGCCAGAGCACCGCTGATGGGACCGGAGATGACGGAGCCGACACCCTTGCCCGGCCGCGAACAGCGCAATGATCATGGCGTTCTCAACCGGATGTGTTGAACTACCAAGACCTTTGTGGTCTTTACGTTCAGTATAGCTTTCAAGCCCTCCCACATATAAGCCAGGGAACTAGCTTAGCTGGGCACATCACCTTCCTCACCTTCCTCACCCACTATTACACACTCTTTCCTCTGCCTCTGACCTCTGCACACTACAACAGCATGTGATCCAGTTCCCAGGAGGACAAGTTGGCTGTCTGAGACTCATTGACCACATGAGGATCCATGATACGGTACCTAGGCAGACACAAGGCGGTGGGACAAGGTGTCCTGGTCTCGGAAACTGCCGTGGAACCCGGGCGGAGCGAAGCCTGTCACTGTCACATTCGTAGACTCGACTGCGCAGCACAACGGTACAACGACAGCGGGCCGGTTCGAGCCACTTTGCCTCTAAAATCTCTCATGCCAGAGCGATTGACCGGGATAAGGAAGTATGCAGTGCGTTCGCTAGCAGAGAGACCGCAACGGCGCGAAATGCAACGGTGGTGTCGGAGGAGGAAATGACTCGAAATAACAAGACAGCGCCGTAGGAATTAATACGTTAGTACCGAGAACAGAGGTATTTACAAGGAACATCGACGTAAGGTGTAGGTATCATGCACAAATAAAACCTTGAGGTATTATACAATACACCGACTTTACTGTATGTCTGCGTCATGGCTGGTATTTACGCATAAAGCAACGTTCGCAAAGTTAGCAGATCCCGTCCTGTTTGTTTCCCGTCTTGGCGGCATTGTTACGGATACTGATATTTTTCCAACTTGCCGCAATCCACAACCAACCTTAGCGGTAACGTTACCCAATTGAATGTGCTGTGTATTGTAACCCCTTTCAAGTTTCGGATAACTGCACCGATTCCACTTCCCAAAGGATGACTCGAGTCAGTCAACAATCTGTCGCTGACAGGCAAGATGATAAAGCTGACGGAACGATAATGCTTACACCTGCATTGATGCAAAACGTAGTCAGGATGGCATCTGCGGGTCGCTCCCGGGCTGTCATGCTAGTCCGCACCGTCCGCTTGCCCTAGAACAGCACGTAGGTACCGTGCCTTACCAATCGGCAGTGGCCCCATTGGGAATCCGGTGACACAGCCGCTGATGGGATTGTTCAGTGTGATTACCTACCTAGCTTTATTTGAATACCCAAGTTCAGGTGATTTAGCTCCTAACTTTCCTAATTTCAGTTCCTAGTCTCTTGCGCCGAACTCCTCAACTGACACTGCTTTGTCGCCGTCGTATGTTGTATTCGAGCCTTGTTCTATTATTTAAGAATGAAGAGTGAAAGTACACCTCGGCCGGAGACTTCCCTACTCGAAATAGCTAGAGTAATCGACACACTATCCAGACAGTGGTCGAGCATTCTGAGCAGAGCACACAAACACAAGGGATGCCGAGGCCGTCGCTGCTTCCCTTCTCGGCCGGCTCCGGACAGTTTAAGAGCCACCTACCACCAGATTCCGTGTCTGTGATGTGTCGGCAATCGACTGTGTAAGGACGTAATATCGTCACAACATACAGTAGGGCCCAGGTCGAGATTGATGGTTTCAGGGGCGACTCTTGTCTCGCGTCATCGCAAAAGTACATCCTAGAGTTATAAATACTAGCTCTCTGCCTCCGTGTCTCCCATGCGACTCTATATGAACAAAATATCCTTCGCGTCGGTGGCCGAATCATCTGCTCGCAGGATGGCCGCCTTTCTTCTTCTATTGTTCTGGGCTCTCCCGGTTATGGTTCTAGCGACCGGACCTAGAGCTCCCCCAAAAGCCGTCCGTTCGACATACACCCAAAGCCGCGATAGCTGCACCGAAACCCAATTCCTAGTCTGTTACGGTCCCAACGGAGGCCAAGCCCAGAATCTTAGCACCGACGATATTGCATACGCCGCCGCCTATCTCCGCTGGCATGCCGCCCACTTGGGCGACCCTTTGTGGGCGATGCCGCCCGAGACTAGCTGTTCCGAATGGACGATCCCGATTCCGAATCCCAACACGCTGCTCGTCCTAGCCAAGCACGTCAGCCCGGAGGTTGATTCCTCAGTAACCTACTACGACCTGGCGCGCACAATCGACGGCGGTGGCCCGGACGGTACCGCGCTCGAGCGGGCCGCGTCGCTCCTTGGATCCTGCGGGGCGAACGGGGGCCAGATGGGGGTCACCGTGAATGCCAACGACCCGGCGTACCATATGCCCGACTATGTCAGCAGCGGGGCGAAGCAGGAGGGTATCATTGTCAAGCTTGTCCGGAACCCGAATGCTTGATCTGTACGGTAGACACTGTTGCAGTGCCGTTGTAGTCCATCCCGGGACCAAAGAGGAAACTATCACCTATCGGCGCGTTGTTCAAGCATGCAGTCCCCTCTCTTCCTTCAGCCACGCTCACACGATTGCCCGGGTGGCGACCTTGGCGATCCCCGCACTGTAGGCTGAGAGGGGGGCGGCGTGCGCCGATTGATTGAGAGTCCTGTTGTGTTACCTATTCTGATTAGGGGCATTGAGGCCATGCTGGCGGGCTGTGACTCGGCCATAGCCCATGAGGCCCATGCCCTGAATCATGCATACTATTTGTGCGATGGAATCGCTGAGAAATGACAGCTACCTTAACACCCGTGGGAGAGATTGTGCCGCAGCGTTTCCCCTCACGCTTCCGCCCGATGCCCAGCAACTGCTTTATGGTCCGATGTTGTCGACATCACACAGATCATAGTGAATCGTTCCTCAACCGCATCAATTATCTGTAGCTCCGTGATTCCGATCTCATTCCATACAGCTCGACGCAATGGAAAGCTCTGCGCTTACCCCGTCAGGGTCAGGGGCTGCTCAAAACCAGCTGACGCAACAAGGTTCCGTCGACTGGATCCAGCTAGCCAAAACGACGATATCTTTCCCAATGTCGGTTTTGGCACGGCTTGCTGCCGCGGACATCGCGCCACATACCATCGTGGTTGGACAAAGCATATCGTCAGCTTTTGTCCTATCCACGCAAGGGATGGAGCGATTCACGGAAGCATTGAAAAGCCTCCCCAGTTGCTCCAGCATCGGAGACGTCATCTGGTTCGGTTTCGGAATCCGACACATTGTGAGAGAGATTGCCCAGACTGTTCAGGGTGCGACCCTCCTCACGCTCTGTGCAAGTCTCGCGGAGCTCCAGTCGGCGAAGGCCTGTGCGGCAATCCTGATGCACTTTACCCGTGTATCTGGAGCGCCGAGTGAACTGCAGCCATCGCCGCAGCAGTGGATCAACATGGTCGAGGCGTGTTCGGGAATCCTGCGACCAACAACCTTTGGATGCATCGCCGACCAGTTCATGGCTTTTTCTGCTGTCAGCGACTCTTCTCAGCAAGGCGAGCCGGAGGACGTTGCTAGAGCGCTTCATGCCGTTGCGCTTGTCTCATCAAACGCCATGCATTCGGTCACATTGGTTGGTGGTCCGTCCTGTGGATGGATCGCGGCGTTTGGCTTCTTTTTCCTTGGCCTCGACGTTGAGATCCGTAGGGACAGTGGCAGTACTCTTTGTTACCGATCTGCGGCCGACGAAAACCAAGTTCGCATCTTCGTACACTACGACGGATCTTCGACATCCCGCGAGCTTCAAGTCTGCAAAATGGCCTATCGCGTCAGAACAATAAACAAATACATTTCCAGCTTGGACGACAGGTACGATCATATAATGTCTGGCTCGGTGCCCTGGGAAAGCTGCCTCAGTGAGGCCTTCGGAGACTCGGCCCTTAAGCTACTGGAAGCCAGGCAGCAGTTCGGAAATATGATCAGCTCCGCTGCTCGAGTATTTCAGGGGTTGACGAAAGCCGAGCCCAGCGGTCATTTCACACCGCAAGATTTCCAGGCGTGGTTTGGGTTTCAGTCCGGTCAAAGCGGGTTTGGGTTCATCGACGCTGCCGTTTTCTGGTTTCCGGAACTGGCATCTCTGAGGACTTATATCTCGCCGAATCTGAGCATGTCTCTTGGAGATGCCGTGGAAGCATACGATCAAGCCACACTGCAGGTTGGGACTCTCTGTGGCTGCCATGTGTGCCGCGACGGTGGCCGGCTCCTCGGTTCGGCGGAGTACTGCCTTACAGGCTTGGCTGTGACACTGATATTCCTTGTCTGGAATCTCTCCGGCCTGCAGCTCGGTGCCGATCTCAAGCCGTACCGGTCAGGACTCAGACACGTGTACCAGCTCCACGTGCCTGGGAACCCGGAGTTCGCGATTGAAGGGGAACGAATCTCGGGTTACCATACCGTTGAGACGCTCATAAGCCACCTTAACCTTGCGTCGGTATATCATACTGCCCAGTTCCTCTTCACAACGAATCTCTATCCGCAACGCAGCGGTAGATTCACTGCTGCGGCCGTCGGTGGTATATGTTTCTACTTCGATGTCCTTCGGGAGGTCTCGGATGACCCAGGAAGCACTGCGATCCTCCACGTACTTCCCGGTAGCATTGCAACAGCGCATGGCAGGAAGTATCTGCATGTCGTCGACAAGATGGGTATGGGCTCGGACGGTTTCCTAAGACTTCATTGGACAAGGGGGTGGAAGGCATTGGAGCAAGTCCCCCAGTTTACGCTGAATTATCCTTGCGACGCAACCAGCACATTCGGTGCCGACGACTCTGTGCTATTGAAGGACACAGGAAGCCATGGTCTCGAGGCTTCCCTCATCGTCGAGGAGTCCCCCGAGGCCTTGCTCGCCGACCTCTATGTATCAGGTCCGCGGGGCTCCTGCCGGGTGGGAGTCTATACAATGCTGAGGGAGATCATGGAAAGTTCGGGTCTGGTGCACTGCTCCCACCCCAGCTGCGCTGCCTTTCAACGACCCTTAGGGGACGTGGTTCTAGTGGATGGAGAGGGCTCTATCCCAGAAACCAAGCGATGGGTGCTCTACATCCGGCGGCTCACTGGCAATGCCCTTGCCAGATGCGTTGGGATTCTCGTCAGGAGAAGCTGGGTGGATCATATTATACTACGGAGGAGGGAGTGCATAGCGTGTTGCATGACAGCCGCCGAGATCTATCCCCGACTCGTTTACCTTGTTCTGTAAGACGTGAGGTTGGCTCACAAAAATCTGGTCTTTGCAGGGAGGCAAAATGGGCGTCGTACAGGAGGGTTAACACAACTGAATTCAAGACCAAGTCTGGAAGTACTAAGTCCCGTTGCATTTGACTTTTCCACGTCGCCAAAGGTGTGTCCCAGTCTGACTCGCAGCGCCAGTTAGTACCTACGTACTCCATTAGACGTTGATCGCAGCAGAAGAGGTGCATTAACACGTCAAGGCTGGCGCCGGCTGTGCACCTCTTATTACAGCCAATCTCGTGTCCATAAGCCGACACTTGTAACCTGCCACAAGTACTAGTAGTAGTAACCACCGCAACACACACCCATCTTGGCATAGCAGCTAGTGCCATTTTGCGGCCTCATCCATCGTATTTGGGCGCCGGCATCGGTCCACTGATGGACTAATGCATGTAACGTTGTTCTGCGCTGTGGCTGTCAACAAAGGGGTGACTCGACGCCAAATGGTAAGGTGTCGCTGACTTGAAATACAATCATACTAACGTAAATATAAAACATTTGTACTTGTCTATCATCTTGACATCATGTCACACAATACTCAACTTCAAGCCTCTTGCATCCAGCCACCGCACACATCAACCATCATACCATGGCCGACCTGCAGATTGCATCGATCCAGTTTGAGAATGCGTCGGGCGACAAGACGTTCAACCTCGCGGCCATCCGGCGGCTGACGGCGCAGGCGGCCGAGAGGGGGTGCAAGGTGGTGGCCTTCCACGAGTGCTCCATCTCGGGCTACACCTTCGCCAGCCGGCTGTCGCGGGACAAGCTGCTGGCGGTGGCCGAGCCGGTGCCCGGCGGCCCCAGCACGGACTCGCTGATCCGGATCGCGCGCGACCACGACGTGGCGGTGCTGGCGGGCCTGTTCGAGCGCGACGACGAGAACAACATCTACAACACGTACGTCTGCGTCGAGCCCCGGCGCGGGTTCGTGGCCAAGTTCCGCAAGCTGCACCCCTTCATCAGCGCGCACCTGTCGGCGGGCCACGAGTACGTCGTGTTCGAGCTGTTCGGCTGGAAGTGCGGCGTGCTCATCTGCTACGACAACAACGTGGTCGAGAACGTGCGGGCGACGGCCCTGCTCGGGGCCGAGATCCTCTTCGCGCCGCACGTCACCATGTGCACGCCGTCGACGCGGCCCGGCGCCGGGTTCGTCGACCCTGCGCTGTGGCAGAACCGGGCGCGCGACCCGACCACGCTGCGGGCCGAGTTCACGGGCCTGAAGGGCCGCGCGTGGCTGATGAAGTGGCTCCCCGCGCGGGCGTACGACAGCGGCATCTACGTCGTCTTCAGCAACCCGGTCGGCATGGATGACGACCAGCTCAAGAACGGGTGCGCCATGGTGCTGGATCCGTTCGGCGATGTGCTGGCCGAGTGCACCAACCTCGGTGAGGACATGGCCGTGGCCCTATGCACGCGGGAGAAGCTGACGCTTGCGGGCGGGTGGCGGTACCGCAAGGCGAGGAGGCCGGAGCTGTACCGGGACATTATCGGGCAGGCGCATGAGTCGGAGCAGAAGGTGGCGTGGATGAAATGAGGAGATGAGGGAAACGAAAGTGTTATATATACCACTAGTAGTACTGTATACTATATACTCTGGTCTGGCGGAAGTATGTACCATGTACGAGAACTACTCCTACTAGCACTAATAGTAGTATCCTTTCAATCAAGCCACCTTCGTTTGGTCCTTCTCTCTCCTCGACCTCCCCCCTATAGGTTACAGGCACTGCGAGTACCAGTCATTCTGCTTCTTGCACGTGTAGGGGCTCTGGCACTGGGTCGGACCGGTCCAGCCGTTGCCGCCGCACTGGCCATAGTGCGTCTGGGCCGGCTGGGACGGCTTGGTCGTGGTGCTAGTGCTGGTGCTGGTGCTGGTGGAAGCCGGCTTGGTGGACGACGACGATGATGAGCCGCCGCCGCCCGAGATGGGCACGGTGGACCCGATGTCGCCCCAGCGGATGTTGGAGAAGACGACGTGGGTGTCCGGGTACTTGGCGGCGATGTCGGCCGGGTTGCCCTCGGAGCTGCTGCAGGGCCCGTTGCTGCCGCTGTCCAGCCAGTTCATGTAGCCGGCCGCGTCGTTCCACACGCTGAAGGTCAGCACCATGCCGCGCCCCAGCGCCTGGCCCATGCCGGCAAGGCCGCCCCACGAGGCCGCCGACGTGCAGCCCGCCGCCGTGATGGTGTCGCCGCCGGGCGCCGCGCTGGCGATCTTCTTCCCGTCCTGCACGTAGTAGCGCGTGATCTGGCTGAGGCTGCCCGCCGTCGTGCCGTCGCTGGTCGCGAACTGCGTGACCACCGTGAAGGGCCGCGCCGTGTCGACCGCCATGCCGGGCCCGTAGTAGCTCGTGTAGCCCCGCGCGTACGGGTTGAAGCCGCAGCCGCTCTTGTCGCAGCCGCCGTTGGCGCACGGGTGCGGCGTGAAGGCGTTGGCCCGCGCGTTGGCCTCGAGGATGTCCATCTCGTTGCAGCAGTAGCCCTGCCCGCTGGTGTTGAGCGTGCCGTTCGTCCACGTCTGCACGGGGCACTGCGCGTCGCAGTAGCCGGACCCGTAGTTAGCACCCCCCGTGTTGTACTCGTTCCGCCCACCCGTCATGTCCATCTCGGACAGGTACAGCGCCCCGTTCTCGCCGCACGGCAGCGTCGACAGGTCCACGTCGAAGCTCAGCTCCTGGCCCAGCAGCTTGAGCATCTCGTAGTTGCCGTCCGGCCCCAGGAGATAGGCCCGCGGCGACACGCTGCTCATCTGGCCGTTGCTGCCCTTGACATACTGCCGCAGCGTTAGGGAGCTCCCGGACGTCGCGATGCCGGCGCTGGCGTAGTCGGCGCCCTCGACCACGCAGTTCTGCGCGCACGTCGCCTCGTCCGGGCACAGCGTCTTGTCCACCCCGCCGCTGGCCGTGCACGACGTGCTGCCGTTGGCCGTGTGGATCCAGCGGTAGTTCCAGTCGAGCACCACCGATGTCTGCTGCTCGACGCACCCGCCGCTTGTCGTGCACTTCCACGTGGCCAGCTTGGGGTGCACTTCGGGCGTCGACGACCCGGGCTGCTGGCCGTTGACAAACGGCAGGACTGCCAGTGCCGTGGCAGCGAGGCGTTGGAAAGTCTTCTTCTGTCCCATTTTTGTGCTTAGCGGAATGGGATGATTGGTGCCTTGCCGGGTGGGTGCTTGTGATCACAGTGATACCCTGCCTCAGCCATTGGAAGATCAGAAGGAGCTTCGTCTTATTTATCATTCGACTTCCTGTTCGCTCCTAGGAGTCCGAGTAGTCGTGGGCCTCTCCAGCAGCTGCTTAGAAGTTAGCGGAGGTTGTTTCCGTGCCAGATTCGGCAATTGTTGCTTTCCGGGCCGTGAAGCCTCTGAATGCGACGCTCAGGGGGTTCGCGCTAACCCGCATCTTGGCAATTTCGGAAGCAAAGCTTGGTCGAGCTTGGTAATGCTTGTTTTCTGTGTTCTCCCGTGAACAGGAGCTACCCCGACTCCTGCGACTTGTTTGTGGCTACTCTGGAAGCCGTTCCCGTTTTCAATGCTAAATAACATTAGCGGCTCGGTGGTTGAGAGACGGCGCAGGAGCTGGCAACCGCAGACTCGGCGTCTCTTCCCACCCATTTCACCGAGCACACTCGCAAGCGGGGACAAGGCCCGAAAATAAGGCTGCCGATCAGCCGCCATTCCGACGGGACGGATGAACATGGGGTATGGGCATTCTCTCAGTGGACGGACGGATGCCTCGGTACACTACGGTAAACAAGCGCCTGCTACTAGGGTTGGGCTTTCCGGTCCCGATACTCCAGGTGTTGTCAGGCTTCAGAACCTTGATGGAGCCGAGAAGGCAAACCGACCGCAAGCAGTCCACAATCCACAGTCCACAATCCACATATCATATCAAGAATCACGTTTCGAACGCAGTAGCCTCGGCATGACAACAGCGCATCTCCGACGATTGTATCCACAACTGTGAGCTGAGTACCTTATCCCCTAGTAGTAGGTACCCCTGACTCGGATAGGTACCCCTGACTCGGACGACCGAGCTTCTGTTCCTGGATCATGCCCTTATAGGGACCTTGAAAGGTCCCGGTTACTAGTTCCTGTCCCCTTGCCTGCTCTTGCTATTGAAGTAATAACAACCTCCTCATGGAAGGGACAGCTTTGTCTCGCGTATATCAACGGTTTTGTTTGAGGTTTCGGGCGAGGTGGAAGACTGTGGCGCTTGGGGGTTCGAGGACGTTAACTCATCGTGGAAGAACGTCAAGAAACAAGTGCGACTGTGCGACTATACTAGTACCGAGCTAGTAGGGTTTCTACGCCATGTCATTCGATCCCCACCAGATGATCGTGGCCTAGAGATCGGCAGCGCGTCTTCCTTTGCCGGCGTTTATACATTAGATATCATGATTAGTAGTACTCATTACTACTAGTAGCACGCGTACATGCATTATACAAGAGTACATTATCTGCGTCAGTCGCATTGCCAGCGCTCCAGCCTCTCCTTCAGCCAGCCGCTTGTCCTCTTCAGCGCCGTCTTGCGCTCCGACATGGCCGGCGCGTAGCCCTGGCCCATGATGAACTTGTCGTCCATGCTGCACAGGTCCTCGACGTAGCTCCACTGGACGCAGTCGGCCCAGGCCTTGCAGGCGGCCTCGCAGGCGTCGACCGACGCCCAGGCGTCCTTCCACAGCGCCGCGTCGTGCTCGGTCTCGGGCGCCGGGGGGGACGCCTTGTTGCCCGACGTGACCTGGAACAGGCCGGACAGGTTGTCCCACCACTCGGCGCGGTCCCGGAGGTCCGGGGCGATCATGGCCAGGAAGAAATCGCGGTTGAGCAGCGGTTTTGAAAAGTCCCAGCTCCTCTCAAACTCGTAGTAGCGCGCCACGTCGCGGCTGTGGACCTTGTGCCACGACATGAGCCGGCTGCACCAGTTCCACTTCTCGAAGCCGAAGCGCCAGTGCACGATGGGGTTGAAGCCCCAGGTGAACTTCTCGTCGCCGCCGTTCTCGCCGAAGCGCACGCCGTGCTTGTTCAGCGCGAGGCCCAGCACCTGGTCGCCGCAGCAGTGGTCGGCCGTGTACTGCTCGAACTCGTCCGACAGCGCCGGGTTCTGGCCGAAGGACTGCTCCCAGGCGGCCCGCGAGAGGGCGAAGCCGGCGCCGCCGTGGGCGAAGACCACGTCCGACTTGGCCGCGTAGCTGCCCAGGTAGTGCGGCTGGCGCCAGTCGAAGCCGGACAGGTAGGCCAGGATGCTCGGCAGGAAGAGGTACGCGTCGTCCTCCATGTACACGTACCACTTGGCCTGCGGCCAGTGCGCGCCCGCGTGCTGCATCAGCGGCAAGAACTTGTACTTGTCGATGATCCAGCCGCCCGGCGGGCCGTAGTTGTCGCCCTCGACGCCCGACGCCTCCACGTACACGTTGTGGCCCGCGTACTCCGGGTTGCGGTGGTACACGTCAAAGTCCGGGAGCCGCTTGGTCGCCTCGGTGATGTTGGCCAGCGCGTCGACGATGCGGAAGCCGCCGATGGTCTCGGGATGGTCCGAGTAGATGACCGTGTTGGCGAGCGGGATCCGCTCCGGCGCCAGCGAGGTGGTCAGGTGGATGAGCAGCCGCTTCCACAGCGACGTGGTGCCCGTCTTGACAATCAGGAGCACGTCGCTTGGTGTCAGATCGCCGCTGCTCTTGCCGTGCTGCTGCGGGGTGGCCGTCTGCGACTTGGAGCTGTCGCTGTCGCTGTCGCTGGTGGTGGGTTGTGCGGATGGAGATGCGCCGGCGGCTGCTGCTGGAGACTCCGGAGTGTCTTGGCGTATCGGCGTCGCAGCGGCTTCCCATGGTTGTTGTTGTTGTTGTTGTTGTTGTGTGGGTGTTGCTCGGTCATGGTCCTGGCCGAGCGTTGATGATTTCCACGCCGGGATCAGGCCGTGCCAGTTGTTTACGGTCGGGTCGATGAGCCAGTAGGACATCCAGAGGCAGACCGTGATGATCACCGCCGGCACAAGCCGGTTGTTCCGGTATGTGACGACCATTGCAGGTCGCTTTGAGGTTGCTGGTATTATTGAAGTTTGCGAGTCTGCGTAAATGGGTGGCAGATAGGACAATGGGACGAGATCATGAGATGAGAACGTCAAGCAGCCAGTCCATTTGCCATTTCTGGAAAACGAAGAATCTCGCTGCATGCAGATGCAGAACCCCGAACCCGGCTGTTGCCTGTAGGTGCCTGCCGCGATACTACCTTACACTGAACATTACGCTGGGCGCTTGATTTTTGCATGGTCCTTTTTCGCCGCCCTCATTTCGGTCTCGCTGCTTGACTCAACGGTCTGGGTTTTGCACACGGCCCATGCAGCCAGAATCACGGACCAGCGCCCAATCGCGGAGGAGAGCGGGCGCAAGGTAGATTGTCGAGGTGGATAGGCCTGAAATACGACGGGGGCACAAAATCCTTCCCGGACGATAATTTCCCCAGGGGTCAGCTCGGTAAGACCGCTAAGACGGGGCAACCCTATCAGAATCGATCAAAAGGCCTGCGCAGATCATTAGCAAGGCCCGCTCCCAAGGCCACGGCGAGGGGACGAAGCCCCAATTTCCGACAATTTTCATTTCCAGCATCCCATGATGGCTTTGCTCTGCCCAATGGACTCCATACGGGTGCCGCATCTTCCGTAGCAAAAGATCTCTACTGCCACCCCGTGGGACTGTAGTGTAACCTCACGGGCTTCCCGTAAGGCAGACGATAAAATGTCGAGGGCCCGCTGTTTGCGGCGCTCTCTTGCGTGGTATCAACCCCTTTTGCCGTCTGCCCCCCCGTGAAACCCGGCTTCTCCAACGACTGGAAATGCTGTCTAAAGGTCGAGCTGGACGGGACGGCGATCACCTGGCGGCCGGAGCGGCCCATCGTCGCCGGGTCCCAGCGTTCCGCCAGTGTCTCAACATCCTCGGATGCCTGCTGGCGATCCCGATCTACTATGTGACAACGGCGCACAGCCGGTACCCGGTGACATTGGATATCATCGTCACCATCGCGCTTACCGAGCTGAACCGCTATGTTGTCGAGGGGCGCCGCATGGGTCTCTCGGGGCAAAGGAGGCGGCATCTCGGCCATGAGAGGCGTTCTTCCGTCCAGGAGAAGGCGGGCTGGGACGAGGTCCTTCTGGAGAAACAGCCCGGGCCAACAACGAGGGTGGACTGCATGGCGGCGGTGGTCGGCTGGCGAGAAGAGCCGTCGCTGTATCGGCGGGCACTGGAGAGCTACAAGTCCGCCCGGACATGTGCTTTTGTCCTCGCCGGCATCGACGGGGATGAGGCGGAAGATCAGGATATGGTCGAGGTTTTCAAACGCGTAAGTGTGCTGATCTCTTGACTTATCGGATTCTCCACGGGGAACTGTTCTCTCTGATAAGGAAGTTGCCAGGTGTTCCCAGAGCAATCGGCAGTGGTCCAGGTAGCGGAGCCGCTGGGGGAGATTGCCGAGCGAATCCGGGCCAAGGTGGTCAGCCAGGCGCGGCAGGACGAGCAGCCGCTTGACGAGGCGGAGGCCGACGCCATCGCCATGCAGTACTGCATCGAGGTGGCCAAGAGCATCTTGCTGCAGCACAATCTGCGCATCGGCGCGCCGGACGGGGTGCGACACGTGTGCATCAAGCAGCGCCACATGCACAAGAAGGGCATCATGTTCACGACCTTTGTGTTCGCGCTCGTCATTGCCGACATCCTCGGCATCGAGTTCCTGTGGTCGTCGGACTCGGACACGATCGTGTTCCCGGACTCGCTGGAGCGCACCGTCAACGCCTTTGCCGCGGATCCGCAGGCCGGCGGCGCCAGCTCCGGCCTGGTGGTTCACAACGCGGACGAGACCAGCATCACCAAGCTCGCCTCGGCCGTGTACTGGGGCGAGCTGTACCTGACCCGGTCCACGCCGGCCGCCACGGGAACCAGCGACTGCCAGAGCGGGCCGAGCACCGCCTTCCGCCTGGCCGCGCTGCCCGAGATCCTCGTCCCCTGGTATCTGCAGCGGGCGCTCGGCAAGCGCATGATCATCAACGAGGACCGCCATCTCACGACGAACCTGCTGCTGCGCGGGTGGAAGGTCATGTTCGCGTCGGACGTGCTCGCGGCCACCGACACGCCCACGACGCTCTCGCGCTGGCTGAAGCAGCAGGTGCGCTGGGCGCGGGCCACGCACATCGAGTCGCTGCTGCACCCGCGCGTCTACGCCACCAGCCACCCGCTGCTCTTCTACGGCATGGCCAAGCGCGAGTTCGGCCCGGCCATCGGCGCGCTCTCCATCCTCTGGTACTTCTTCACCTCGCAGCAGCTGCTCGTCTTCTCGGCCCGCGACGTGCTGCTGCGCATCCTGCTCGGCTGCGCCTACAACGTGCTGCGCAACCCGGATCGCCTGACCGCCAGGGGCCTGGTCTGGGTCGTCCCGAGCATCTTCTTCTACTACATCCCGCTCCCGGCCGTGCATCTCTGGAGCATGCTGACCATGGGCGCCGACGGCTGGGGCACCACCATGCGCGCGAGCGGCGAGCGCGCACGGAGGGAGACGTGGCAGAAGGCCTGGTTCGAGACGGGCTTTTTCGTCGTGTGGATCGGCATTCTGGCCGGCGTCGTGGCGAAGCTGCTGGGCATCTATTTCTGCATGGTCTGGCATGAGAGGATGGCCGCCATCCTGGTCAGCGGTGCGGTCGGAGCATTCGGTGCATGGAGGGTCACTATCGGAGCATCATAGAACGCGAGTACCCCCGCTTAACGATTAATGCTTGTAATCTCTATATAGACGATAGAACTCCGGGTACGTCCATACCTACTAGTACATACTACCTTACCTGTATCCAAGCATCCCACGGATGGGCCAGCATTCAGAGACAGGTCATCGCTGATCTGCGTGGTACTCAACTGGTATTCCTGATCTCTGGCATATAGTTGGCAAACGGCAGCGTCGTAGCTCATCACCGTTGATGCTGCTTACGATGCCGATCTAGTCATCTCGAGAGGAGAAAATTCAAGTCCGAGTGTGCCAGATGACGCTCCTTAACTCCGGCTTATGGCTGGCTTTCAAGACAATCGTGTTAGTCCGTAGCGTCCCAGGACACACAGTGATCTCCCCCGAGGAGGCGGCACTCTGACTGGTCCGATCCATCTCACCTGGTGTGGCCGGCTTGCGCACTCTTATTCTGTAGTGCGCTCTTAACAGTAGGGTTAGCCGGGGTAGCGTCCTCCCAGACATGTGAGACATGGCATCAGCGAACATACGTAGACCACCACTAACTCCCCGCAAACCCCACTACCAATGCTACCACAGTCCATGATGAGTACAACTTCGCCGTAACGCCAGTCACCTCAACGCCTTATCAGGATGGCGTGGGGGGCCAGCAAGAGACATCGATGTCTATGTATACGGGTGTTCGGCTGACCACGCATGGGTCAGGCGAGAGTCACGCCTCTAGAATCTAACGGACTTCGAATCCGAGTCTCATGCCGGTCGTGACGCACCTTGAGCTGTCACAGTAGTCCTTGCATGGCCTCAGCGGTGTCCATTACGTGAGTTTGAATCTTGATTAACTGCGAGATGCCCTAAAACAGCGCTGCATGGTTCTGGTGACTCGGTAACTAAGGTACATGATACAGGTTCTAACTTTCGGGGATTGCGGGGGTGCATGAATTAGATCAATGCGAAGTCATCTGAGTGGAAGTTGGAACTCGACCCGAAGGAAACTACCCGTAGGCCTCTGATGCATACAAAGAAGGCGTTGTGACAATGGGGTGGCACAGCGGTAAGGGTGTTACACTGATCTACCGGAAAATGTAACCAGCACCAGAATGAAAGGATAGATCTTGAGTTGACTCAGTCGACGTCTTGACTTCATATCGCAGGCGCTGTTCTCTTCCTCTTGTTCAATGAATGAGACCTGGACCCAAAAGGTGACATTGCCGCAAAATACGAGGGCAACGGCATGATGCATGAAAGATGAGTGTCGCAACTGTGGTTGATATTGTTCCGGCTGCCTGCCTAATCACATTGAAAGGTGAAAACTGACCGCGGCACAAGTACAGAGAGACGGTGACTGTTATGGTAGATTCGGAACCGAAAAGGGACACTACACCGGGTTCAGGGAGGCGTATCAGCTAAGCATGTAGGTGTCCCTTTCGGGGTGGTTGCTCGCCTTGGAGCTCGTGATGCGGCATCACGCGGGCGCATGCGCATGCCCCTCTCCTCTCACCCCTCATCGGAGCCTGGCCAAGGCGCTAACTAATCCGAGGTGAGACCGCTTTTTGAATTGCATCCTTCACGGTGAGTTCCAACATGAGAGGTGAGCGTGGTGAGGTCCCGGTCCGGGAACTTGAAGACCATATAACCGTCAGCTTTTTCTGCCTTGGTTTAATGTCGTCAGGCGTCTGCCCTCGTGGTTCGGCGTCGTCAGGGATCGCTGTTCCCGACCGCCACGCTGATCAGCCGCATGCCAAATGCCGTGACATGCAGGTTCCACTGTCTGACAAATTGGCTTCTGACTCGGAGCGCTCTCGAAACGGCGTCGCACAGCTTTGGAAGAGGAGTGCTGAGCTCTCAACCAGATCAAGAAGCCGGGTCACAAGTGACTTTCTGAGAGTGCCATTGAATTTGGAAAGCGGAAATTCTGTAAACCGGGGTGAATGTTCGATCCGAGTCAACCGTAACCGGGATTGTTGGCTTACAGTTAGCTGGTCATTATTTCAGACAGTGGAGGTTAAACTTGCCTTTATCTCGGCGGCCTGATGACCAAAAGGACCACCTGCCTGGTGGTTAGCCAAGTCAGAAACCGGTTCAGAACATTGATACATCCATTCTCATCGCCAGTCTCCTTCCGTCTTATCCGGCCCCCAATATATACTGACCTCTCCTTTCCCAAGCTGCTTGCTAGGTGCTGGTGCTCTTCTTTCTTTCCCCGGTTGTTGTTCTGAGGCTTACCTACGCCCGTTGATGCCACCTCCGGCTTGGCGGCAGTTCTCGGGATTAAGCGCAGTGGCCCATGCGCTGCCCCTCAACCCGCCTTGCGTGCCACACATCGGGCCGCCCCTCCACTGGCCTAAATCTCCCGCTCGTCTGCCGGAAGCGCTGGAGAGGTAAACTGACATCCAACCCTCCTGCCGATCCACCGCCCGAAACCACAGCATGGCCGCTTCCCACCTGAGCGAGAATCGCCATATGCGTGGAGGAAGCCTCAGCATCCCGCCGCAGAGCGGCCGTTCCGGCATGATGGGCCCGACGCCCGCCGCCCGCTTTGACGGCCCACGGAGCCCGCCGAGTAAGTCGCCGCTTCTGTGCCTATTCTGCTCGCAATTTTTTTTTCTCATGAGAGTGCCGTGGCTGCCGGAGCCCACTGGGCGGAGGACCGGCGTCTTCGGCACAGTCTTTGCTTGGTCCAGGTCGGTACTGACATGAGTCTCTCGTTGTCTCTGCAACCCAGACACCTCGCATGTGCCATGCAAATTCTTCCGACAAGGCGCTTGCCAGGCCGGCAATGCCTGCCCGTTCAGCCACGACCTCACGACTGCATCGGAAACGGTGTGCAAATATTTCGCTAAAGTGAGTCTCACGTAGTTGCACCGACTTGGACTCGGTGCCGCAAGTTGGCGGCACACAGAGCCTGTTGGATACTACTAGTAGTAACCGTCGTACTGACTCTCGCGCCGCAACGGTACAGGGAAACTGCAAATTTGGCCCGAAATGCGCAAACATCCACGTGCTGCCCGACGGCCGCCGCATCAACTACGGGAAGAACGGCGTGACGATTGGCGCTCCGCCCGGAGTCGCCCTCGGCGTGCGCGTGAATCCGACGACATACCACCAGCCGTCCAACAGCGCGCTGACGAACTCGTTTCTGCGCGCCGATCCCGTGCCGACATACCCAGCTTCAACCGCCTACGGCCTGCAAGACGAGTCATATGGCCACCAGCTCGGCCGGCAACCGAGCATGGAGAACGGCCTGCCCATAATCGACACCACGTACAGCTCCAACCCCGCTTCTGCCTATGGTTCCCCGCGCGACGAGGACACGAACCGCTTGGGGCTCGGCCTCTCGCCGGTGAACACCACCGGCCTCCCGGCCTCGTTTGACAGCAACGGCATATCGCTAGCCGCGCGGTACGGCCCTTTCCCGGCCTCGGTGCCGTCCAAGTTCGGCTTCGAATCGCCCTCGCCTTCGCTCCACGCGGCGCGTGACGGCCGCACATCCGAGACTCTCAAGCTCCTGCATAACTCAGCCTTCGGCAGCAGCGAGAACCTACCCCCCGCCGCCATGGGCGCTAGCGAGTCAAACGGCTTTGGGAGCAGCCCGCCGGTCGGGTCCACCGCGATGGGATCGGTCTTCGGCAATGACGAGTACTTCGGAAAGCGGCTCATGCACAGCAGCTCGCTACGGTATGCCAAGCCGCGGCTGATGAGCAGCAGCGTACCCAAGATCGACCGCGACTGGGAGGCCGAGTTCATGTTCGAGGAGGACTACGTGCCGGGCACGCTGGCCAACGAGGTGCTGACCCCGGCCGAGAAGATGAGGCGGGGATCCTCAACCAACACCGTGCGGATGGCGGCCGACGGCGGCGCCGAACCGTCCGGGATCGAGTCTGTGCCGGTTGGCGCCACAAAGTTTGGCAGTCCTGTGATGGCGGCGAGTCCCAGCCGCTGGGGCCCGCTTTTCCAGCGCCACAAGGAGGACGATCTCGATGGTGCCGGCTCGGGCCGGTCGCTAAAGCACGTCTCGGCATTTGGCCATGTGGGAAGTCCGTTGAGGAACTCGAGCCTGGCTTCCGCGATCTCGGCCGAGCTATACGCCGATGAGTCCAGCAACGGCAATGGAGAGAAGAAGGACTCCGGGAACGAGTCCGTCTCCGCCCTGACCCGGCAACTTCGAGAGACCCGGCTATCCGAAGGCGGCTCCGGGAGCGCCAGCCCACATTTTCACCCCGCCGTGTCGCGGAACAATAAGACGGGCAACGCGGGGCCGGGTATCATCGGGAGAGAGCGGGAAAAGGATCGGGCGCTTGAACGGCACATCAGCGCTGGATCCATCACCTCCGGTGTGACAAGGTTTACCGCCCCGATCGACGAGGAGGACTCGCCATTTGTCTTCCGGATGGAGGAGGAGGACGATGCGCAGTCGCGCGCAAAGAAGCGTGGGTCCGGCGGCGCCGCCAGTCCGCTGAGCACGGGGTGGAGCTACGCCAATGTCGCGGCCAACACCAAGCGCAGCTCGAATGCCACTGCGAACACTCCCCAACCCGGGACCGGGAACGGCACCGTCGAGACGGTAGGGGGCAGATGAAATCTCGTTGCATCGATACTACATGATTACGAAAATAAAGCGGTGTCTGATGGAAGATATGATGACGATCTGCATGGAAGCATGGGAAAGGCGCGCATTGTTGTGTTTTCGGTGTTGCCAGGCCTGTGGAGGACGCGGCTTGGAGTTGATATATACAAAAGGCGGCTTACCCCGCCTCCCCCCTTGCATTCTTTTCTTCTCCTTCGGAAGGCGTGTTTGGTACAAACTTGTTTGTTATAGACGGCGTTGTTGGCGGGCGGTTCTGGCAAGTTGGTGGACTAGGAGACGGCGCAGAAACCGACATGGGGTCTAACCTTAATGTGATCTCTGTCTGTTAGGTTAAACATACTGTTTGTTTGGAATTGGGCTTGGTACACTGAGCAACTGGTTAATATCAGAGCCAAATCTGAGCTACGGTGGCGATATCAAGAACCGAGACACTTGGTTCCTGTTATTGTCGGAATGGGCGCGGCTGCTCTAGTGACTGATACTGTGGGTAAGATATGGATGGGTTGTGCAAGTAGTATACATCAAGACTCCTCACCCAGTCACTTAGTGTGAGTACCTGTAGAATTCCCCGAAGGTGAGGGAGGTGTACAGCAAACCTCACAGTGGCCTGGACAGTCTCCGGCCGCGGGAGTGACGAAACCCAACTCGCCGGGGAGACCCTGACCCTAAGCACGGGCAGTAGAAGATGAAGCAGTGTATCAGGAGACTAGGACCTAAAGAGAACGATATAGCAGGGCTGTCGCACCAGCGGATCTCCTACCTACCTCAGCTTCGGAAACAGTACCTTAGGCAAGGCGAATGAAAGGCACATCCGGCGTGCCAGTCCACCTAACGACGGAAGTGAGAGAGGTCAGGGGTAGACGTGGGAAGTAACTACATACTTAGCATGTCTCGGCAAGGCGTACCGTGAGACCCCGGCCACACAGGTACCACATGGTGTGACGATGAGCGCTGCGACGGGGTGAGACGTCGAGTTTGGACCCGCCCGTTACTAACGGCAGCAGATGCCCGGCGGCAGGGAGAATGAGGAAGTATCATCACCTCGGTAACCGCGCGTGCCGGTGTTCAAGGATCCAGGCTCGCGTGAAGACCTGCGGCAATACAGGTGCAAGGCAGAAGCCCTCGTCATATCTCCCATTGAGGACACATAATATCTCACACGCACGCGGTCTACCCAACGCAGGCCCGCCAATGTAGAAGATTAGCGTCTCATCCCCACGCCAAAACTACCGTCTAACCGGCCGAGGGAGCGGTGTGGAATGCCATGTGTTTTATGAGGTCATGGTATTGTACAGGCTAAAGAACAGACTGTCTAGTTCGCATCGGGCTGGCTGAGAATGTACTCGACGGCCTTGTCGACTGTGCCGCAGGAGCGAAGTCAGCACCGTGGAGCCTCGCAACTATGAGGCAAATAAGATCAACATACCACTGTGGATCGCATCGGCGTCCTTGTCGGGGATCTCGATGCTGAATTCCTCCTCGATGGCCATAACCACTTCCACGGTGTCCAGGCTGTCCAAACCAAGGTCGTTCGCGAAGTGCGCATTCTCTGTGATCTATCGTATCGAAGAAAATATCATGTTAGGTTCGAAGAGGGTCTCGGATAAGGCATATAGTAGCGGGTCGGCGATGGGTCCACGGTAACACTTACGTTGGCTGGGTCGTTGACCTGCATTGCCATAAGGTTAGCATTTGTCCCCAATCTCGAAACCAGGAATCGAATTTCAAGTAGAATCTGAATTTGCTAAGCCAACAGCGCCGCGGGAATTGGGCCAAGGCGAAGCAGATGCGCGGACAAAGTGTGCTTGCCAACAACCAACCTTGTCAAAACCAGATAAGAGCTGCTTGATCCGCTCGTAGACCTCTTGCCTCTCCAGGCTGCCCCCGGACGCGTAGCACCTCACCGCTTGCCAAGACACCGGCTTGGGAACGAAGGAGGCGACTTTGGGAGCCGGGGCGATAGCTAATCTCCTACCGGCAGCTGAGGAGATGGGGCGCATGGCCGTCCGCGTCGCGGCGGCGGCAGACCGGAGAATGGCGGTGCGGAACATTTTGGGAGGTGAGTCGGGGTTCGCGCGGAGGTACGGTCGTCGTGGGAATGGAAATTGGGCCGGCTCGATGCTGAAATGCAGGTGCAATCGAATCGGGGACGGCAATGGCGGACGTTGGGAGGTTGGCAGGACGCAATCGATGATAAATTTCTCGCCGAGTCGGGATGCACTCGACAGCTCGGATGCAGACGCCAAGCTCGACGGGGAAGCCGGATTGGCCCGTGCTTTTGCCGCTCACGTGACTCCACAGGAGTAGGGCATCCCGGCGACATCGAAGTCAAATTGGGCGGCGACAAAAGGAAGAATTCAGGTTTGCTTTCTGGTGTCGTATGCAGAGATGTATGTACAAGCTTGTCTACAGTTTTATCGCTCCCAGTCCCAACACAGATATGTTGAACACCAACGTGACTGCCCTTATCGGTAAGGAGCATCGGCCCTGATGACAGCAGCAAGCTCGGGTTCCCACTTGTCTCCGTTGGCCAAGAGTTTCTCTGCAGCAGGAATGTCAGTGGAACAGAAAGAAGGAAGAGGGGAGAGGGATATTTCGTACCCTTGTTGTACAGCAACTCCTCACGGGTCTCGGTAGCATATTCGGCATTCGGGGACTCGACGATGGCATCAACAGGACATGACTCCTGGCAGAAGCCGCAGTAGATGCACTTGGTCATGTCGATATCGTAGCGCGTTGTCCGCCTGGAACCATCGGCGCGCTCCTCAGCCTCGATGGTGATGGCCTGGGCGGGGCACACTGCCTCGCACAGCTTGCACGCGATGCACCGTTCCTCGCCCGAGGGGTACCGGCGCAGGGCGTGCTCTCCACGAAAGCGCGGGGAAATTGGACCCTTGAGTGAAGACAAGAGTCAGCGCCGTATCAACGATGCTTCCCTCGAATCATGCTGTCCGCAGCATTCCACCAGGCAATATCCCATTCCTCCGCCAATTCTGTTTAACGCACCTTCTCAAACGGATAATAAATCGTGTACCTTCACCCAACCAACATGTCAGCACAACAGCCCCGAGCTACCAAGAACAAGGAGAAGGCAACTCACGGCGGCCGGAAGAACTGCTCCAGCAGCACGTACATGCCGCGCAGCATCTCGGTCATGAGGAAGAATTTGCCGACCTTGTCGAACGTGCTCTCCTTCTCCTGGTCCCACTCGGTCGGTGGCCGCAGCCGGAAGTTCTTGGGCGGCGGGCCTGCTGGCGTTGCGTAGCCTCTCCTTGCGGCCATCACGAGCGCTTGCGTGGAAGAAGGGGTTGTGCGGAGCAGAACGGACGGGGCGCCGGCGCCGAAGGGGATCCGGCGCGCGGCCATCGAGACGGCCGTGCTGTGTAGCATTATGCTGGATATCGAAGTTGGAAGGTTGAAAATGCGTTTTGTTCTCGCGCGGTTTTCCGAGCTCCCGCGACGATGAGCGCGACGCTGCAATTGGTGCCAGCAATGGTTTGATCACGGCGTATTCGGTTGCCTGTTCAACTTGGTCGCCGTCGGGTGTTGGCGGAGAGTGGGGAGACGGGAGGCGATTCTGTGAGCTCCCTTGACGGCACTTGACGTTCTTCGCTCTGGAGCTTCAACGGGCGCCGGGATTTGGAGCCGCCACTTTGAGCGATTACATCTCCCGCGTGTTGATTGGTGAGAGGCTCAGCGGTCGGTCCTTGATTCCATCACGTGACCCTCGCCCCACCATCAACGGGCATGTCTCCAACCGGACTTCTTGTTACCTTACGTTAGCCTTACACCAAAACTTTGGAGGCAACGAGATCGCGCGATAACATAGTCGCGCATGCAAAACTACTACACATCATCCTGATCATCTGAATCGCTAGAGAGTCGCAATATTGCCGTAAACTTAGACCCTCCTAAGCCGCTCTGCGTGCTGTGTGCCAAGGACCGGGGCCTGTTCGAAGCGAAATACGCCCTAACCTTGCACCTGCGCCTGCCCCTGAAGTTCTGAACCTGGGCGTAAGCATTCCCGTTGAGTCCGAAAGTGAAGGTGTCGATTTGCCGTCCCTGGAAGTCAAGTTGAGTCTCTGGTATATTGTTGCTCGGAGGCGTGACCGCCTTATTGCGCAGTGTTTTACTACTTGGTCCTCGTATACCTGCCTTATCCTTGTGGTTGCTTGTGGCTGATGCATGTGGCGGAGGTTCCAGAGGCGGTTGGACATCAGGCCCTTACAGTCTAGTCGAAGACAAGACACAGTCCGGCTACCGGTCTCGGTCACACGGGGACAGAAGCACTTCTACTTCTCATTTCTCAGTTTAGCGTCCAAAGGTGCGGATAGGCATCGCAAGGCCTCAAGTTTCCATGAAACCGCACGCTTTGGAGATTACATCATAGTCCGCCCCCATGTCGTCCACCAAACGCCAATGTTGGCCGCTACAACCAAATCCAGCATCTTCAGTCCTTCGTCGTGGATGATGAGCTTACCCAACTTTGCTCTCTTCCCCCCGTTTCCGCCTCCCGCATGCTCCTTCCCCAGACTCAGATCTAGGTTCCCCTGGTCGTCCAACTCACCGTAGTCGTCGTACTCGTCGTCGTCTTCCGACTCGTCATCGCTGTGCCGCGACCGATGGTGCAAGAGCTTGCTGAACTTCGCTGACAACTGGTCGCCTGATTTGCTGTTGCGGTCACCTGTTTTGCCTTTTGGCCTCGTGGTCGGCAGGTTGAAGCGGAGCTCGCTGACGGGCTTTGCCCCCGCAAGAGCCGACGAGAGCTCATCTCCGCGCGACCTGCCCAGCCCCTGCGCATTATGAAGGCTTTGTGCCACCTCGCGTGGGTCAAGCCTCACGCTCGCCGGGTCCAGTATGTGGCGGCATTTCAGACTTCGGCCGTCCGTGCTTGTCCGGAACTCACATCTGCCATTCCACGGGCTCAGGAAGAAGTAGCCTTTTGGTCTCAGGCCTGGCCCGGGACGCGTGATGAGGACCGGGGATTGCCTCCCGTCGACTGAGTCGATCGAGGCGATGGTGGAAGCACTGCCCTGTCGCGAGTGTAAAGGCCTTCGCGATGCATCCTCGGGGGACAGATTAACCGGACTCCCGGGCCGATCCTTACGCTGAAAGGCCTTCTTGAAATTTGCCTTCCAGCTTTGGCCGTACGCCATCACGACTTGGCGGGAGAACCCGTCCTGGGTTGGTTTCCAGGCGGGATTGAGGAACGCCGCGGCGGTGTCTGCACCCATGGCTGGCCCTCCTCCGGGGTTGCGCGCCATCTGTTGCGAGAACGAATGTGCAGAGGTCGGTCTCAGGGTTTCCACCTCCGCTCGACTAGGCAGGTCCCGATACTTTGCATAGCCTGATGTCTCCAGGTGAATATCGATCATCTGCTGTGTATGCGCCGCTAGATCCCCCAAGTTGTCAGGGCCGAGGCTGGGATCGGCATTGTCGGGTGTGGGCACATTTGTCTGAAAGGCCGACACCTTGCCGACGTTGCACTGTGTTCCGGATGTTGGGTCGCGGCGGATGAGGGTTAGCGAGAATGATACGGATGACAACGGACGGCGTCCGACCTTCCCCGGGGACGGCGCCCTGCCAGGGTTTAATGGTGAGTTTGGGGTGGTGAGATGCATCCCCTGGCCGGCAAGGGAGTTGGCCAACGTCAGGCCCTTCGTTGGTGTCACAGGACGTTCCTGTGCCCCATGCAGGGGAGGGATAGGTGTTTCTCGCAGCCCCGGAGTCAACGTCTTTCGCTGTATCGGCGCAGCCGACGGCGTCGGCCGTTTTCGGAACATGGGGTTCTCCCGATAGCCCGCCACGGTGCCTTCGATCTGCTGCTGCGACTGAGAAGGAGGGGCTGTCGCAAAGTCCTCGGTGCTGATGGGCTGAGGCGTAACCTCGGGGGGCGTTGTCTGGCGTGCTGGAGTCTCCACACCTACTGTGGTACTCTCCGGCTTCGGGATTTGGACTGATGAGGGCAGTGGCTTCCGTGGGATTGTGCTTCTGGTGGTCTCGCTGCTGGATCGAAGCGGTACGGTATCCTCCGACCGCTGGACGCCCAACAATCCATCCTCGGGTGAGTTGAGATGGACATAATAAAGTGAGTTTGTGATATCCTCTCCAGTCACAGTCTTTTTATGTGGCCTGAACGTGGAGAGAATGATGTCTTGAAGTTGGCACGAGAGTCAGCAGCAGTCAGGGTAATGCTACGGCTGCATTACCATTCAGATTTGGCACGCACCTTGTGTGCCCGGCACTCGCGAGATGTACAGAGTAAGCGACTCCCGCACCTCCGGGTGGTAGGGGTACTGCGGCGGGTTTGCCGCCAGCGAGTTGATGGTCGACAGCGACCTTGCTTCCAATTGGGGCCTCGCCGACATGATCTCTTCTCCTCCCTGGGGATGAATGGCCCCAACCGGTGTGAAGTGGTGCCCAAGGGCGGATTTCCTGACAAACCGGAATGGGGTAAGGTATGTGAACTGTGAAGCAAGTGAGCCTGCGATTCGGAAGAGTGAGTCTTGGCTTCCAGCAGGGCTTGGTGACTTGGAGAGCGCAAGACTCGGTCAAGCAAAAAAGAAGAACGGCGAAGCAATATGAGCGCGACTTAAAACACCAGGGACGAACTGTTTGAGCGACCTAAGCAATCGGGTATCACGTTTAACGGTTGAAGAGCTATCTGGGAGTTTGCAGCTGGCGATGCGACTGGCACTTCCGGCTCCACTGTCCGGCCGAGCCACTCCAGCGGGCCAAAATCGGAACCGGTGACGTCGGCAGAAAACCGATTACCTGGTAACATTACTGGTACTTTAAAGCCGAGGAGTGCTCAGCCCGTCGTCGTCAGCGCTGGGAGGCTGTGCTCAAGCCAACTTATAGAAGTAGGCGCAGGATGTCTTGGATGCTAAGATATGCGAAGCTGATGCCAAACTCGCTGTATCGAGAAATCGTCCCTCTCCCGTCCAAAGTTGCAATTCCTGATGCTACAGCAGTTACTGCACTGCAGGTCGCAGGTGGGGCTGCAGGCCTGTGCCCCTTGACTGGGCGCTCGGACCAAGGCATCAACAGATGCCCAACATTGCGTCCCAATCCGCCAAGGAAGGCCCGGGATCTCCATAAGCTACGTACAGACCACACACGAACAAGCCACGGATTTCGGATTGCAAGGCCTCTCTCTCCTGACTTCAAGTCCTTTGGTCACTGGTTAAATGGCAGTTTCCAGGTTGATTCTTATATTCGTACGCAGGTGGCAGTGCACCGACCTCAGCCAGCCCCACATTCCGTCTGCGTGCCCCACATATCTCATCGCGCATCACATGCGGAAGAAATCCACGGTTGAGGGACTGTATCTAACCGCTTCCGGACCCTCCGTCACCTGCTAATACCTTACCTATAATGTCCCACGGTTAGCAGTTCAGCCATACTTCGCATATACCTTAACTATATGATGATCAAACGACGCAGCTAATAAGCACTACGCACCAAACGTAGTCGTGTATATAACAACAAGTTAGGTACTTTAGAGGCGGGTAATCGTCAATTGCTCACTTCCAGCCTTTTAGGGGTGACGGGAATGCTTATATCTACGTGTCATGAATTAACCTGCAGAGGCCGTGTGGGCCGACTTGCATGGTCTGCGGGCAGCGCCCGCATCCAATCATTACGGGCCAATGGAGATTGGGAACAACGCCAAGGAGCATTGTTGCAGATGGAACAATGGGAACGACAATTGTTCCAAATGTTCCAGAGACCTAGGTGCGAGGACGCCTAGGGGGAGGGTATATAGATCCATCATTCTGTCACTCATTCAGATAGCTAGCTTCCTCAGTGAGCAATTCAATCAGTAGTCTTCCATCTACTGTGCAGACATTGCGGAGTGCATTGCTGTGAACCTTTTCGCTTCACCGAGACCTACAGCCCGACCAGCATTACCTTCGATCGGAGAACCCTTTCAGAGGCAGGACTGCCTGGTTTCGTCACATCTTCGCCGTCCTCGCACTCAGAACATCTCCTACACCGCCGTCTGCTCCCCTAGCCGACAATACCCAAGGGCTTTCAGAACCAGGACTCCTATAAGAAATAACACTACATTAGCTTCGGTGTCCAAAGATAAAGGATGGGCAGTGGACATGGCACTAACCTGTTGGCAGGCCTGGATCTCTTGACCTAGAGCGTCGCACTAGTCCCGTTGTTGAGGAAATCGACAAGCGCCTCCCGGATTAGGGCATTCGACGATCTGACCTCCTGCTCCTGGGTTTGCGGCTCGACGACGGTGTCCCGAGCTATTATGACGGTCGCAGGCGCGCTGGTACGTAGAGCGGGAAAGCATTATAACGCTGTTTGAGCCCATCATATCGCCGACGATGAACCTGCAACAGACTAGACTTCCGCCAACGGAGCTCAACTTCGCGAAGACCCACGGTATCTTGTTCAGCGGTAAACAGAACGACGACCTAGAGTCCACTACAGGCCGCTTCTTAGCGCTGCTAGATAATCATATTGACCGTTCAGCTCGTCGGTGGCTCGAGCCAGGATACTATATCGACATCGCCAATATCTGCGCACTTAATGGGTACGGCGGCGAAAACATCCCGATCGCCTCGGCTCTGAAAATTACCTCTAGCCAGCCGAACGCCGAGTCCGAGTCTCAGGACCAGCCGATGCAGGAAGGCACCACTCCTAGAGCTACTGCCGTTGCCTCGATTGATGATGCTGTTGATGGCGCTCGAAGAGGGCTAAGTAGGTAAGGAAGAGGGGTTGCAGTGCTGGCACCAATCAACCACCAAGGTCAGTTGAATGCAGCCATCAAGGCGGCTTCAATCCGACAGTACCCACCTCTGGAGATGGTAATAATGACATCCTTCAATCAATCACCTCTTGGTGCTCTGGGACACACCCAAACCCACTGTCGTAAGCCCTCATCTGTGTGACAACCGTGGGATCCTGACTGTTTGTGTTCCAACGGATATATCGCCCGAACCCCTGATACATTTTGACGGCGGTTCGGCTGGAGGAGGATCTGGTGTGTCAAATACGTTGCATGAAATAGGGGATACGTCAGATAAGGATTCGAGGTTAGATGATAATATGGGTCGATAGAGAAGGTTACAGAGTGGTCGAAGTACCTAAACTACCTACCCTCTTTCCTCATGAAGTTCTCGCCAAGCTATCAGCTTATGTTGTTTCCCTCTTGAAATTGACAGTCTAGAATCCCAAGTGCTCCAGCAACCCGACAAGCTTCCTCTCGCTCATGGCTTTCATGTCCTTCCTCTGGTTCTCGTCCGTATTCATTCTTAGGAAGTCCCCGTTGGTCAATATAAATGGCAACAAGGAGCCTAAGAGCTCGTCGACATCGGCAAGTTTGTCAATCCCCTGGATCGTGCTCGGACGTTTCACGTCCAGCTCCTGCAGCTCGACCTCCCATGCATGTGCGAGCTCCCAGTCGACCGCTGGTGCACCTTTGTCAGATACTACCGGAGCCGGAAGAGGTGAAGGAAACCGGCCGGTGAGCTTGGCATTCCGAAGCGCTTCAGCTTCCTGCTTTTCTGGAGTTGTTCCACCGGACCATCCGAGAAATGAGCCACCGTTGGTGCTGAAGGAGCGGAAAAACTCGTATCCAGGATGCTGGATGCTGGCGAAATCGTAATCGAGAAGTGCTGTGATACGGCCTGTTGGTGGGTCGTAGAGCAGATTCTCGGGAACTGCGCTTCGGTTTCAGCGACCAATCGCGCAGAACTAGCATCCTGATACTCACCGAAATCTGCGTGTACAATCGTCCTGTCCTGCTTTGAAGTCAAGTGGGCAAAATAAGCTGGAAGCCCGTGTTCGATAAAAGCATCTACCCGCTCCCTGACCCCATTGGCACGCCAGCCTTGAAGATGCGGATTCACATCCACCCTAGCGAGTGCTGCTTTCAGGCGGTCCTTGTAGGACTCCTCCGGCGAAGACCAAGGTCCAGCCCCGACAGTAGGCATGGGTGCGCTGACAATGGCGCCGGAATCATCAAACGTCAGACCCCCCCAGCCCTTGATGCTCTCAGGAAGCTGGTAATCCTGCAGCGCTTTCAGCAACCTTGCCATCTGCGTCAGTATCCCCCGTTTCTGGTCCAGAGACATGTTGTTCCTAAACTCTTCGGCAAGCGGCGCTCCCGGCATCAGTTCCTGTAAGATCCACCCGATACGTCCGTGACCAGCACTGCCCCAGACGAAGATACGGGGGACCAAGGCGGGCTTGACATGGCGCAGGGCAGCAGAGGCGAGAGTGAGGATGGCAACTTCGTTCTGCACTCGCGTTTCTTGGTGTATGCCCTCAGCATCTGGGTTACTGCGCCGAACTATAAACTCCTTGGTGCCGGCCGGAATGGGGATGCAGCCCGGAAGATGCTCGAGCTTAGATCCCTCACTAGCGCTTCCGAGGCGGTCCGGGGTCCCAACGGGAAGCAAGAGGCGGTAGACAAAATTATTGTACTTGAAAGGAAAGTCAGGTTCGTACTGGACCGGCGTGATCTTTGTTTGCTCCGCGTCCTATTTCGAGCCATCACTGTTAGTAACCTTGGCCAAAGAAAGTGGAGAAACTTGCGGTGGGAGGGTCAGTTGTAATGCGGAGCCAGCCAAGTGCGTGGGTATTCTTAGCCTTCAGGCGGACGCGAACACTGGCCCGCGCCAGACGGAAATGCGTAGCACTCAGTGGGATTCAACCTTTTTTCGAAATTCCCAAGCGATTGACCAGAAGTTCCTGAATATAGTCGAAACGTTCCTTGTATTTCGCGTGGTTGTGAGAAAGGGCTGCCATGTTGGCTTCGATGGTTGAAAAGGCAAGGGCGGTCTATGATGTTGCACTTGCTAATAAGGCATTCTCCGAAATGATCAGGAAAGGAACTGGTGGTGTGCAAGTTTGGGAATGAAACCTCACGGGATGCTGGAGCTCAACGAGAGGCCCGTCCGCGCTCATGCAGAAGGAAGCAGGGTTCGCCATAACTATAGCTCTCAACAACACCCAACAAACAACCGAACCCGACACCATCACAGTATGTAACGCACTGTGTCAGGTACATCGGGATTCAATGGAGGCTGCTCCGGCTGAGGCGGTAGGTGACCATAGGCACACTGAATGAGGTGATTAATTAACTTGGCCGAGCGGGGTCTGCGCAGGCAGCCCGCAGGCACCTACGGTCCTAAGTGATCAAAATGAGTCTGACTCTGACAGAGAAGCGAACCGGGCAAACCACTCACTCCCATCTATTCGAGCTGGAAGCATCTCTCTCTGCAGTTGACCGCCATGGACCCTCGTACCGCTGAAGTACCCAGCAAGAGGGCTCGTATATTCAACAGAGCGAATAACATTATTTTCTGTCTCCTTGCGGTTTTGTTTTGCTCTGCCGTGCTTTTGAACCTGTGGGCTGTTCGTCAACCAAGCACACGTTCACCTCAACCGTCACTGATATCCTGTATTGGAAACCAGACGACGAATGCCTTCGGTAACTGTCAGCAGCTTGTCTCTACTCCCATTCTTTGATACCCAGTTAACAAGGTAAAAAGATCCCCTGGAACGGCTGGTGACCACTGGGCCTGTGAGATTCGAGGCCGAGCTCTTCTCTACCTCCGTGTATAACGGCCAGCCACGAAAAGAGCTTGTTGAAGATAGCATTCCACTTAGAGAGACCGATCAGGACCCCGACTTAGACCACTACCCCCTCATGGACGGTCAACGCCGTACGCCAAGCCACACATCAGCATCTTCAATGTGTTTCATGGTGTTTCTCGCATTCGTTCTGGGTTCCATCCTTTGTGCGGCGATGTCCATTCTTCTAATTCCTCGACTCGCTAAACAAAAGATGGACGTGGAGTCAGATCGTCATTGTGCTATGCGTATGGCACACTATTGTGAGTTGGCTCTCGTTCAAAATCCTCCCTTTTCTTCTTCCCGACGGTAAGGTATCCTAGGCCGCCCACGAGGCACATTTTTGTACGTGCTCTAAACCGTTGTTCCTTGCTAATGATGAGTTGCATCAGGCGCCGGTACTGAAACGAGGTCGAGAAGACATATTCGACAACGACCTTCAATGGAACCTTCATGCAAGAAACAATCTACCGTCGTCTTGGATCGCCCGAAGTGGACTCAGCATGGGAGGCTCTAGGTATCGATTGTATGTCACAACATCACAGACTGTATTCCCCGAGTAACCGGCAGCGTCCATCTGAGGCATGATCAGAGGGCATTAAACGGGAGTCTCAAACTGGATAATGCTGATGGACGAATAGACAGGCCTTCCGTCATTCCAGAACAGGAAGGGCATGCGGGCGGACTTACAAAGCATCACGTACAACGAGCGAAGAAGTACGAGGGGGGATACTCTGTGCAGGTGGAAGGATTGCACCACTTACATTGCCTGGTATGTTTGATGATGTACTCGAAGGACAGCGGGGCACGATCATAAACACTATTCGTCTGCTCCGAGTCAAGCCTGATTCTTTGCAATGCAGAACCTGGTCCGCAAATCGCTCTATTTCAATTACAATCATTACAAGACGATAAATGATGATGATTTCGATGTTGAGGAAGACATCCTCAAGTACCACGTTAGTAAGTTTAAGCCTCACTTTCCACTACAGATTGGGACTTTGGGGTTTGGCTTTCCAGAATCAGGCCTTGGAATGCCCCCTCCGTTGCCAACTTCGTCTATTATCATGATACTAACTCTTGGTACAAATCCCAGCACATTGTCTAGACATCATCCGGCAAGTGCTCATGTGTAATGCGGATACGGGTGTACTGGGGCAGGTGTGGACACAACAATCTTCGAGGAGGCATCCTCACGCATTCCCGGACTTCAACACACGACACACGAACACGAGTCTCTCCGCCAGAACACTCATTGAATGTGCAACAGTTTACCAAATATCGTGCTCGTGCCCATATCCTTGCCACTTGACGAGGTACTCCATCCGCCTTCCTGGTCGCCGTGAGTCCAGGATCTCCTCGACCTAAAAATACTCGGTTTCTTGAACCTCCTTGGCCATGGAAACAGATTTTGAAAGGAGGTCACACCCCATTGAACAAGGTGCGAAAACACACAACACACGCACCCATCCACAACTGGGCGAGCGTCGGAGGGATGAAGCAGGTCAGCATCTGCTGTTCTTGTACCGGGCCGCGGGCAGCAACAACAAGACGACGATGAATTGAGGCCTCAACAACGTTGTGCTGACGTGTGGAGAATTGGTGGTCACCAGGCTTACAGTCTACCTCGACAGCCAGGTCTTTTACACTCCCCCCCCTGCGGCGGCGGCCCCAAACCGGCTAGTCGCGGCCATCTGGTTCGGAACGTCAATCCCTCTGCAGCCATTCTCGGGGCCTCCTTACGTCCACCGCTACCACAGGACGCACATGATGCTCATCGTGATAGTACCGGGAAGTCGTGGCATGATGCTGTCTTGATCCCGAGCGATGATGAGTCTGATGCCGATCTCAACGGTAGCCGATCCGATCCACGTCTTTCCCACCGCTTGACAAGGTTCTAGCTGTTCTGCCCCACGAAGCTCAATCTAACGGCGTTGCCGGTACTGGTATGTGGACTAACTCGCTATCTCTGGGCTGGTCTATTAGGTTAATACGCTTCAGCAGGTGAGGATGTCACTACCCCTCCCGGTGCTAGTGGCGATAACAACGTGAAGGAGCCATCGGCTACCGGTCGAGCGGGCGCGGGCAACAACGGTAATTCTGTTTGCGCGGGGAGATCCTGTCGACAGGGTCTCGGGTGTCCCAGACACCCCGACCTGTAGTACAGATCTTTGGCCGGAACTGGGACGCCGAAGAGCCCAGAGCCGAGGCGGACAACTCGTTCCATCCTCCGCACACTCTCCCTGGTGGCTTCTCCAAACGCTGGCGAGACCGGGCCGTCGTTGGATGGGGACGGCCTGTCTCGGGAAGGAGAATGCACTGCCGAGACGGCCGATGCCAAAGACTATCTTCCTTCAGCCAAAAGCGGGAGTCGCGAATGCCCCCGTTGCAGTGATGGCGGTAGCGAGGGTGGCGAGCCCGAGCTGGCCAATACTAAGCTGCCTCTGTAGCCGCCCGACAGCTAAGGTCGGATCGACTTTCAGCGCAACGTCGGCGGATATTGCAATACCAATCTCGAAGAGGACGACTGTCCCCCCCGTTCTAGGTGGCAGAAGAGAGAAGTATCAGAATGGTTGTGTCGTGCCGCCACACGCGCAGGAGAGTCGAGCAAGCATGCCAAGTTTGGCGGGTGATAAAAGCGACCGTAAGCGTGAGCTGGCTAATATCCAGCCGTCCCTTCAGCCACCCGCCGACCAAGACCAGGTCAGCTTTCAGCATAATACAGGTCGTCGTCGTCGACGTTACGATGCCGACGTCGAGGGAGGACTATTCTTCCATTGTAGGAAGTGACGCCAAGCAGGGCAAGGATAAGGATATTATCCGACCGCCACTAGGGAAACGCCGCAGGGCAAACACTTCGGCCCTGGCAACCTGTAGAACGGCGCCCAAGCGGCGAATATGTCCAGAGTACGCCAACTCCCAATCACTATATACTCAAAGACCACCAGCAACCTAAGATCCAAAGCGCCGCCAAAGTCGACGCAGCAGTTCCATACCGCAATCTTCAAGGGGACCCGCTTTGGAAGAGAAGATAGTCGAGGACGCCTTCACTAGCTTTAAGGAATGGCCACTCGAAGCGGTTCTCAAGCGCGTTTTGGTGGGTGGGGAAGCGATTTTTCAGGTGGAATATCTGTTGCGTGGGACAGGCAAACTGGTCATGTCTTGTGCCTATATTCCGTAGAAAAGGAGCAAGAGGACAGAAAAACCCTGATGTGTGGGGAGAGCCAGGCGAGGCGGGGCAGGCTGGAGTATATGGACCAATGGGGCCTACGCAAACACCCCCCTACAGACTGCCTCGCCGGCGAAGAAACGAAGCTAGTGCTAATCTTCTCCTTCTATATACAAGGAAAATCCATGGTGTTGAAGCAGTACTGTATCATCCACCCCCCTATTGATGCCCGAATTCAACAGATGCAGGCAGGCAAGTGCCAGCAAAACTGATAGTCAGGAGAACGGCGTCGGGATCAGGAGTCTTCCTGGCACCCCATTCGTCTGCGTCCACAGTTATATTTGAGGTCTGGAAGAGGAGCTTCTTGGTATCTATCTTTGTCAACTTAGGTTGTAGTAGGGGCTTGTTCCTACTATCCGGGTAGGCAATGCCTGACTGCTGATATAGTGGGCTAGTCGTCGAAGTTATATTCTTCTTTTTAAGTAGTTCCTCCTTGAGATGCCAGGTATCAGGAGCCTTCTTTGGGAAACAGGCCCAGCAATCTGGTCCACCGGGGTGCCAGCTGTACACTTTACAGTGGCGGCGGCCAGGCTTGATCATCCCGGAGCACTCGTTGTATTGAACAACGCGTATATCGTTAGTTTTCTTGTTCTTGTTGAGATCAATAGAGGTTATTATAGGTCGGTAATTCTCACTGACAGCTTGTGCTTAGAGCTCCACTATCAAGTCGGCCCAAGTCAGGGTGTCGGTCTAAATACGAGCTATATAGTGAGTATAAATGCCAGGGTAATCAGAGGCGATACCCTTCAACATAAGCTATATATAGGCTTTGTCGGTTATTTTGAACTCCGAGGCCTCAGGGCGTTCGTTAAAGTAGTTGATCCGGGTCTAGAAAGCTGGAAGCGAGTCGAATTCCTTAGAGGCGAGCGTTAACAAGCTCGAGATATAGGTTGATAAACACACCGACAGTACCTTTCTTATAGTACTGGATAACGAAGTCGAGCGTCTCTTTCAGGTTGCTTTCCTTAGCGGACTATTCAAGGCTATATATAGTGTTCTAGACGTTGTAGTCTAGAATAGTAGCTTGGATATAATCGTCAACGTTAAGACGGTCGGTCAACCACTAGCGCTAGGCACAAGGGTCTGTAGGTTCGGGGACGTCTTCGTGGATATAATTGTCGAGTTTGAAACGCTTAAGTGCTCGTTCCAGCTTCTCGCGCCACGTATTGAGACCCTCAGCTCTTGCAAGCTTCTGGATTAAAGGGATCTAACGCGTCTATTGCTGGCTCTGAAGCTAAGCAATTTGTTGTTGCTACAACCTCAGTAGGTCAGACAGTGTTGCGAGAGTACTCGCAACGTCGTTTTCGTACAACACTTTATTGGTTCGTTTCGGTCTTCCTCTTCTTCTTCTCTCCTTTTCTCCGAGATTGGTTGTACTCGTAGAATTGCCACCAGATAGTTGCAATACACCTCTGGGACCGTTACAATCATCAAGCCCGTCTAATATTTCACGTAACTTTTCTCTTTGTGATCTGACCTCTGGCGTCTCGGGGCAGCTCCGCCGATGTGCTTGAATCCATTTCTTATCCCACTTCTGATCATCCTCAAGCTCGTAGTTGAACATCCATTGTACCGATTCTCGTCGTGACCCGATCTCCGGCGTCCAGAGGCAGCCCTGCCGGTGGTGTCCAATCTCGTCGCTACCGAATAGGCAACCGTCCCAAGGTTCCTCAACGAGTCGTACCTGAGGACGGGAGGGATCTTGGTTCAAGTCTACCCCAACGAGGTGGGTGCAGGTACAACGGTGGTAGACGGCGGTGCTCGTGTAAGCCTCGCCTGGCTCTTCTGCGACGCTTTTGCGAGATCAATCAGCCGGCGGCGCTTCTTCTGATTCGGGTTCCGCTTGGCCCCGAGCGACTTTTTCTTCGCTACGCGATCGTGGTGGGTTGAGGCAACGACGGTAGGTGTATCAAGCGCTCTGAAAAGGCTCTGGCTACTCTGAGCTCTTGGGGTCATGTTTTGAGGTTGGTAGAGTGGTTGCTGGCGGGGGGGATGGTTAAGGAATTGTCAGATTTGGAAAGGAAAGAAACTGGAAACCCAGACGAAGAGGGCCCAGACAGATTAAATAGTCTTCTAAAGCCGGACAGATGCCACGTCTCACGTCGAAATCACTGTGCTACACGTAGACAAGGCGCCGTGATAAAGATTGCAAGATAACGAGCCACCGTGAGAACGACGTGACATCGGCTATTTGAGCTGCACCATTGACTCCCGATCCTCTGTCCCCAAGTGGCGCGGTATTAGGTTAGTCTCCCTTAGGGGCGAATACTGCCATCCCGACGCTGGATCCGTCTGGACCTCCTTGAGCCTCTCGGCGCCTTCGTAGGATCTCTCCGAGCGGCCTCTTTGAGCCGAGATGACCGTCGCCGCCGACGGAGCCGGAGATGCGCGGCGGCTAAGAGGGTGGCTGAAACATCGCCGTCCGCCGGCTACCTGGAAGCGGCTCCTTCTACTGCCTTATTCCGTTGTATCTGCAATGCTTCTTCTATTAGTTATGGTTAAAGAGGCTGGCTGTATAAACCTGCGCGGTTTCTCTCCCGGATCTGGGCCTAAGCCTTAAAGAAATCCCCTAAGAGAATCTTATCGCTCCTTAGCTCGACGGTAATCGTACCGAGCACTTCTAGAGGTGGGAATTTATTATCGTCTAAATCATCATTCGAGACCGGGCTGTAAGTCGGACCCCCCCCATTCCGAACACCCCACATTCCGAACACTTTGTAAGCCTTGGCATCTGAACCACCCATCTTCTTCAACCTACTACATTACATCATCAACCCACCACAATACAGGAAGCATCTGAGTCGGAGCTTTCTGACCCGCTCTCTTCAATGCCACACTCTTCAAGACGACCAGCCTCAATTTGAGCCCGGTGTACCTGTTCAATGGAAGCGAACTGCTTATTCGGATCCGGGACTACCCTCCTCCTTCTCGACGGCCGGGCTGCCTCCAACTGGACTTTCAGAGCCTCGTTTTCCTGTTGCAAGCGAGCCAATTGGAAGTCCTTCTCATCAAAAGCCTTCTCAACCTTCTTGAATAGAAGCCGTCGTGTAGAAAGATCTTGCCGCCGGATGGCCAGGTTGGTCAGGTGATCCCGAAGATCTACCTTCTTGCATGGAGTCTGAAATTCGACCTCCTTAGCCGTAGTAGTGGGATGGCCAGGTAGCGTAGGAGCTAGGGTCTGTAGTAGGCGTAGTAGATCATCTTCGTCAGGCGCTCGGTTCGAATTTTCCAGCAAGAGAGAGCTCATCAGTGGTTTGGCCATACTAAGAGGCCATAACCCAGATGCCTTCCACCCAGCTTTGATGTTATGAGCTGTAATTGACTCCCTACGAGCCTGGACAAGGCACTTTAACATCAAATGCTTACCTAATGCAGTATATTCTGACCAGCTAGTCAAACGGTTGAAGAGCTTACGGTAGGTGTGCTTGAGGGGAGAGAACACTGATAAATCCAACGGCTAGAGAACGTGGGAGGTAAGGGCTGGTAAAAAGAGTAGTTGGATATTGTTGTTAAAGCACTCCCATATAAATTCAGTGGTTGTATAGCTGTCATGACCGTCCAGTATTAACAGCTGCCTCTAGGAGGGATCCTGCGGCTAGGTCCGAGGGATGAAGACCTGTTGCAGCCATTCTAATGCAATCACCCTATTCACCTAGCCTTTATCGGTTGTAGTGAATAGCCAGTCCTTTAGTTCGTCCTTGGCGATAGGGAACCACTGCTATTGAACGCTCTTGCCCTTGAAAATGACAGCTGGTGGGAGTGATACCCCTATCGCAGAGATATACTCTAAGAAGGAGGTCCAGGTACGCGAACCAGGGACTTTCTGTTGTATTACGCGTATATGGGCACTTCTAACTACCAAGCCGTTAATACCCTGACCTTCTATAAGGCCGAGTTCGTCAAAGTTCCAGCGGTTGGCAGGTAAGATGTCCTTGATGGCTGGGATCTTTAGTAGTGGGAACCAGCTACGGATGACCGCGTTAGTAGCGCCGTTAATACGAGCCGAGTCGATCTTACGGCCTCTCTGGGTTCGGATAACCGGGTTTCTACGAAGAAACCCGGTTATCCAGCCCTTTCCAATGGTTGTATGGGTAGCTCCTTGTGCCTATAGAACTCGGCTAGCGAACTCCCCGATCTGGGTATGGGTTGGTGGAACACCGAGGGCGGCCTGGGTCAAGACCCATCGGGTAAGATGATCTTCCTGTACCCGGCTAAGAGTCTGTTGCAGTTCGGCGGCAATAGAATGGGTCTGTGAGCCGTGGAGGCGGTCGTATAAGGTAGTCATTGGGATGCCGAATTCCCGGCTAAGTCGGACCCCCCCATTCCAACCACCCCACTTTCCGACCACTTAGCAAATTCTCACCGCTCTTCCAACCCAACCACTTTAACTTACCACAACTCAGTCAATTTCAGGCCAAACAAGCTTATTTTTGACTATATTTCCGTCAGTTCAAGATGCCTTATACTGAACAGGACTTACAAGATGCGATTGCAGAATACTACCAGCGTGGCCGTTCGATGAGAAGTATCTGCCGGGAATTCGGCATACCAAGGACTACACTTCACGACCGCCTCTCTGGCTCCCAAACCCATTCAACTGCGGCCGAATTGCAACAGACCCTTAGCCGGGTATAGGAAGATCATCTTACCCGATGGGTCTTGACCCAGGTTGCCCTCGGTGTTCCACCAACTCATGCCCAGATCAGGGAGTTCGCCAGCCGAGTTCTATAGGCACAAGGAGCTACCCATACAACCATTGGAAAGGGCTGGATAACCCGGTTCCTTCGCAGGAACCCAGTCCTTCGAACCTAGCGAGCCTGTAAGATAGACTCGGTCCGCATCAATGGGGCCACTGACTCAGTCATCCGCAGTTGGTGGCCGCGACTGAATATCCCAGCTATCAAGGACATCCTACCAGCTAACCGCTATAACTTTGACGAATTCGGCATTATAGAAGGCCAGGGAACTAACGGCTTGGTGGTTGGAAGCTTAGGAACGTGTATGGTTTAATAGAGAGTTCCTGGTTCGCGAGCCTAGACCTCTTTTCTTGAGTGTATCTTAGCAACAGGGGTAGCGCTCCTACTAACTGTTATCTTCAAAGGGAAGAGCCTTTAATAACAATAGTTCCCGGTCAAAAAGGAGGAACTAAAGGAGTGGAAATAGGCTTCAACTACTACCGGCTAGATAAATAGAGTAGTTGCATTAGAATGGCTTTAAGAGGTGTTTATCCCCTGGACCCGGCTACAAGATCCCTCCTAAAGACGGCTATTGATACTAGATGGCTATAACAGCCATAGAACTGATGACTTTATATGGGCATGCTATAAGAACAATATCCAATTGCTCTTTTTACCTCCCCATACATCCTATGTTCTTCAACCGTTGGATTTGTCAGTGTTCTCCCCCTTGAAGCATATATACCGGAAGCTCCTTAATAAGTTAACCTCCTAGTCCGAATCGATAGTATTAGGCAAGCAGATGATGATCAAATATATCGTAGAAGCTCGTAAAGAGGCCATTATAGCCTATAATATCAAGGCGGGATAGAGGGCATCTGGGTTATAGCCGGTTAATATGGCTAAACCCCTAATAAGCCGGCTTCTACTAGAAAATTCAAATAGCATAGCTAGGGTTGATGAACAAATAGCTTCTATATAGACCCCGGTACCTGTTTAAGCCTCTCAGGCTTTGACAATAGCTACTATCGCATTCCTTAACATACTATAGAAGAAGTCAGACTTACATGGTCAACTAAACAACCTGGCCATCCGGAAACAAGACCTCTCTACCCGCAGGCTTTTGTTCAAGAAGGTTGAGAAAGCTTTTGATCAGAAGGACTTTGAATTGGCTCGGTTACAATAGGAAAACGAAGCTCTGAAGGCTCAGTTGGAAGCGGCCCGGCCGTCAAGGAGGAAGAAGGTAGTTCTTGATCCAAACAGTGTGTTCGCTTCGATTGAATAGATCCACCAGGCTCAAATTGAGGCCGGCCGTATAGATGACTCGGTGGCTGAAGAGAGCGGGTCAGAAAGTGCAGAATCAGAGGTCTCCTGTATTGTGGTAGGTTAAATAGACTGCAATATATGGTGTTGAAGAAGATGGGTGGGTTTGTAGACCAGGATTTGCCAAGTGGTCGGAAAGTGGGGTGGTCGGAATGGGGGGGGGCCGACTTAATACTTCGCGCTGAATAGCCACCGCGACGGTACTTAGCAACCGCATCTTGTAAATCTTGTTCCGAGTACGGATGTCCCTACCAAAAGTTCCACCACACCGCCTTTTGTGCCAAGACACCGTGCGCTGTAAGCCACTATAAGCCACCGTCCTGCATTTTAGGAGTGAAGCTATTCCAAATCAGGGCCCGGCCCTGTAACTACATCTCCCCGGCGTTCCTTTGGCCGGCCTTCCTTATACTCATTACCACCTTCTAAGCGAATCACTTCCTGGATGTGGAATGGTATCCTCTCAATCCAAGCCTGTATCTTTGACTGCTCTAGGTCTTCCCACGCCTGTGTCCATACCACTTCGGCTTCCTTTTTCGACTTCGGGGCTCCCTTCTTTGTAGTTACCCGCTTTAGGTATGGCTAACAGGGCTCAATTATATTAAGATCAGGTGAGTTGGGGCACCATAGAAGCCGGTCTATATGAGCAGCATCAAAGATAGCTAACTGTGACGAAACCACTGGCAGTCCTGCCTCTGAAAGGGTTCGCCGGTCGAAGGTAACTGCTGGTCGGACTGTAGGTCTCGGTGAAGCCAAAAGGTTCATAACAATGCTTGCCGTAATGTCTGCACAATAGGTATGGGCTATTGCTTGTAATATTGCTCACTGAGGAAGCTAGCTATCTGAATGAGTGGCAGAATGGTAGAACTATATACAGCTTCCTCCTCTAGGTGTTCCGTACCTAGATCTTTGGAACATTTGGAACAATTGTTGTTCTCATTGTTCCATCTGGAACAACGTTCCTTGGCGTTGTTCCCCGGGAACAATCGTTCTTGGCATTGTTCCTGATTTCCTCGGTCCCTATTGGTTCTTTCTGGTTCGCAGTGATTGGATACGGGCACCGCCCGTTGACCATGCAGGTCGGCCCCCACCGGCCTCTGCAGGTTAGTTCATGACACTAACTGAGCCTTGTGTGCATATGCCGGAGCCCTGTCTTCCTGAACAAGTGCATTAGGACCACACTTCTTAGCGAAAGGGATAAGCTTCGGTATTAGAACCTCCTTTTGGTAGCGATACCAATCCATACCTAAGCCTTTCCTCCGAGTCAGCTTGCCATGCTTAGCATCCCATTTCCATTGAGGATGCCTACCGCTAGGATTTCGAAGACCAAGGCGCCGCATCTTAGTCTTAAGCTCCCACTCTTCCTTCAAGATAGGTTCAAGCTTAGCGTTCAGCTCTTCGAGGTCGCGTTTAGCTGCTTTCTTCTCTTGTTCCGTTTTAGGATGCCAAACGTGACATGGTCCTTTCGAGTCGTATAAAAAGCAGCCCCAGAACTGGAACTCGGTATATCCTTTCTATCGCTCTTGAATTGTTGACTTGACGAACCTCTCCTAAGGAGTTCTCTAAACGCGGTAACCTCCCCGACGATGATTGATAATAATAGATGTCTCGTCAGACCAGATCACTCGCTTCCAATCATCGAGAGTCCAATCCTTATAAAGGAGATAGAATTCAAAGCGGTCCCTCCTTATCTTCTCGGTCAAGCCTGGCTTGCGTATTGGCTTCGTCTTCTTTATACCAGCTGCCCGTAAGATCCGCCAGACTATTATAGGCGAAATAACATTGCCAAGCTCGTTAGAGATAAAGGCGCATGTCATCTTACAGCCGTATCGGTTGGCCCGTACCTTCTCGAGGATCTCATCTTTGTATTGCTCTTGCTTGCGAGGGCGGCCAGACCGGGGGGCATCTTGAACATATACGTCAAGGATGGTAGGGGGGGAGGCTGTCGGATCAAAGCCACGCTCGAGTGCTCGTTGCGCAATAAGGTCCACGGTACGGGGTTTCAAGCCAGTGAGGGCTTCAATAGTCTTGTTATCAAGCTCTAGAACAAGCCGCAAAAGAAGTGCTGAGGCACGCGTAGCAATGTCGTGTTGCGGCATGCTTGTAAGGATGTATATAGTAGGTAAGTAGGTAAGCCGAACAGATGGAAGAAACAAGGTAGGAAGGGGAGCCTGACATGTGCGGGGTATCGGCTTGGCTTGCAGGCCGCTGGGCCTAATCAGGTATTTCTGCCGGGCAGAATTTTGAAGGCGGTGTGGTGGAACTTTTGGTAGGGACATCCGTAAACCATCGTAAACTGACGATACTATTGCCCAAAAAATGAAGTGATTTAACTTAGAATGGACTGAGTTGTGGTAAGTTGAACTGAGGGGGTCGAAAAAGCGGTGTGGGCTTACAAAGTGTTCGGAATGTGGGGTGTTCGGAATGGGGGGGGGGAAGACTTAGTAGACTTCTCGGGATAGTATAGCCGCTTGAGTTATATAACCTGCTACTATTGTGGTTATATAAGGCCTATAGAGGGAAACTGTTAAGGAGGGAGGTCTAGACTAAGGGAGCTGGGAGGAAAATTATGATGGAGATCTGTTAGGACCTTCTAATCGGCGGCGCATGGGGCACGTCGGTTGCACGTGTGTATACGCTACGTTACCGAAGTAAGACTTGGAACCCGGGATGCAGGAGGGAAATTAAAAAAAGAAAGTTGGAAATGAGCAAGCGGGTGAGGGTGCGGTGTATTTATGAAGACCCGGCGACTCGATCAGTGAAGGGGCCGGTACCCAGCCTCGCCGGTCGATGGGCCTGACCGGCCAGGCCCGGTGGGTGACGTGAGTCGCGCAGGGGGAGCAATCAGGATTCGGCTGTCCTGACTACAGCACATGAATTCCAGACACCAAACTCCAAACTCCAGACGTCAACTCCAAACGCCGAATTCCAAACTCCAAACGCCAGATGCCAGACGCCGAAATCCAAACCCTAAACGCCAAACTCCAGACACCAAACGCCGAACGCCCCCAGACCACCCTCCCTCCCACGTGGGTGCGTTCGGCGTTTGGAGTCTAGACAACGGGCCCTGACGTAGAATTTTCTTTGGGCCCGCCGGGCAACCGCTCGTGGACGCACTCCTCGCGGGCGTTGGCGAGCGCGACGGCACCTGTTCAGGAAGCCGTCTTGGACTACTGGATTCAATATCCAGCATTTTAGCCTTGCCTCCCCGGATGGCGTCGAGTATCCAAATGGCTGGTCGCACGCGTCGTAGGAGGACTGATCCAGTAGGCGAGGGAGCGGCGGTCCAGGGGGTTAAGGTTGTTGTCGGGGGGGTCCATGATGAGGCACTGGAGTTCCGGGAGATGTCGGCTGCTCCGACGGGATTCCCGAAACGTCCGCTATCCGCAACGACGGGGCTGGCTGGCCAAGTGAGAACTCCTGCGACGGACCTAACGGCCGGTGACCTCATGGAAGTAGGTCGGCATCGCCAAAGGTACACGTACTCCATTTGTCGACCTCCGGCGAGCTGGACGGGCCCGTGGTGTCGACAGCAGTTAGAGTTTCCCATATAGTGTCGGCGGCACCGAGGACTTCCCAGGCCATGGACCCGGCCTGCCGCATGGGTTGAACTTCGATGTCATCCGACAAATTGCGGGGGCGCAGGGCGGGAACCTCGAGGGTCCAGGCCATCTATCATCTCGTCTGCGAGCAAGCATATGACTCGGTCGCGACAGGTGCGCAGCGGAGGGGAGCCGGCGATGAATGTGGCCAACTTCGACTGATACGGCGTCGGCGAAGCCCGATTTCCTCCCGTCTCTCTTCGTCGACGAGGTAGCTGGCCGCCGTCATGGCACCTCAGAGTAGCCAAGGATGACGTCGATTTCGGGATCCTCGTCGACCGTTTGAACGACATGGTTGACGGACTGGATCAAGACGGCGGCATAGCCGGGCTCTTGGTGGGCTGATGCCTTGGAGGGCGCGAGCTTGGTCCTCGGCACTCAGGCCCCGCGGCATGTGACGGAGACACTGGACAGTTTCCGAGATGTCGCCCGCGTTGGTGTTCAACGAAGCAGAAAAGGGGTGGTATGCCAAAGGAATTTTCAATTTCTCTCATCCGGGAGGGGGCTCGTGTTATGTTGGGCATTCGAAGTTTGAAAGAGTGAGTGAAAGGTTGGGAAGAGGAGACACGGGGTGGGCAGGTCAGCACGGAGAATATATACCCTACCAACAGGCTTGCGGTCGAGCGTGGATCACTCCGTGTCTCGTAACATCACGTAACATCGCATGATGTCCGTCTAAGCGGCGCGTGTCTCGAAATGGGAGCGCAGGGAGGGACACTGTGCATGCAAGTATCTTTGCCACTAAGGCTGGTGGGCAGGGTAGGGCTGATAGGGAGGGCAGGGCTGACGGTGAGGGCAGGGCGATCAGCCTCCGCCCAGATAGAATTTCCCGCTGCAGCCTTGCTTGGCTTCCCACACTTTCACTGATTGTCTCTCCTCACCTAGCGAAAAGAAACCTTGCGCCCGCTTCTCTACCAGTAGTGACTCGCTTCATCTACAGACAGCTTACGCGCCCTTCCTTTTCAACACGCTCTCATGATCAAGATCATTTGGTCCTGCCCAACGTCGACTTCATGGCGCGCGGGCTCAAAATGGCCGACAACGCAAGCTAGTACTGCCTGCTACGGCTATTCGTGATGACGGCCAAAGACGAGACGGCACTCTGCGAGACCATCGACCAGCTCGCCGGATGAATCCATCAGCACACCGAGCTCTCCCAGACCACACTGTCATGCAACCCTGGCGTACACAATGTGCGGGTGGCCTACGCACTTCTCCTGGTGCATGACCGTTGTGGCAGGCATGTGTTTTAAATCCTGTAAACTAGATTCATATAGTACTAAGGTAAGGAGTTGGGTGTTCTAATGTATAACTAACGAGGTGCCCACTGCGCTGAATCGCCCGGACACGGCTCCCACCCGGCCCCCTGGCAAGCCGCCGGCTTGATCCATTACGCCAGAGGCGTGCTACAGACAAATTCTTAGGGACGTTTCGGACCTGTACGGCGAGTTGACACGCGACGAGGGCGACAGCAATGTCCACGAGGCGGCCGACATCAGCTACTTTAGCACTGTAATCCGTAAGGCTAACCATAGGCACTGCAGGCAAAACACCACGATTTGGAACCATGGAAAAGTGGTGATCTTGGAACCGAAGAACGACAATATTACAAAGAGGAGGTAAGGTAAAGAAAGATTCTGGTTCATCAGTTGCGCTATTAGTCCTACAAACGGCAGTATTGGTATAGAGCCTTTGGAATCGTCACGGGCTGCAATAAACATTTATGGCCCCATGCTCCAGATAACTATAAGGTAGCAATAATGCATAGGATCATAGACCGCCCGGAAACTAAGTAGGTACGTAGGTAGGTATGTTTCTTTGACTGATGATCGCATCATTGATTCGCTGCTGGGTATCAGACAACTCAATCCCCCCAGATCTTGTTTAGGTGTGTCGGTTTTGGCTGGTTGCAGAGATACCTCGAGAGTCAAGACAGGCAGCCAAGTCACTGTTGCGCAGGCCATACCATATCATATAGGTAATAAGCTCACTTTCCTTTTGGCCTAAGGTTCCCAGCACGGGAGTCGTGAGCCGGCTTCTGCTTCAAGGGATCGCAACATTGACCAGGCATGGCTAAAGTGCCCCAGCAGGCGTCGGATGCATACAGGGATGGCCCTTCTTGCCGGAGGTGCGTGTACACTAGGTGCCGGTAGCTCGGCTCCGAAGGCCGAGAGGCCAATGCAATCGTCGTTCCTTCGGAGTGGCAAATTAGACCATCCTTCGGCTCACTTCATATTTTTTAGAGCTTGGACGCATCATTGATAGCGAGATGTCTCCGCCCTGTGATCGCATCGAGAGTCGCATCGAGGGCTCGAGTTTGCGAGGTATGTACAATAAAGTGCACGTAAGACTCTCGAGAGCACTACTGGAGGCTAGGCGTTCCGACCCTAGGGATTCACACCATACAATAATAATAGTAGACTTTTGCTGCAGAAGCAATCTCTCAGCAAGGTTGTGTCACTTGTGTGTGAGTGGAACTTGGATCTGAACGCAAAGGCACCCGATCGAGACTAGACTGAAATAGTCCTAGCATCCAATGCCATCATGGCCTTGGGCCCATGCTGCAACACAGTGTCACAGTCGAGACTTGCACAGTTCAGCAAGATAAGGTAGCATGCTGCCGATGAGCGAGAGCGATGGTGATTCAAGGTAGGGAGAAGTTTTCCATGACTTATCACATACGGCAAATACTACAATTGCCCTACTTTCCTGCCACGCTTCTGGGAACTCGAGGTGTTGCGCCTGATTGCAGGTACCACTGTGACAGTAATGCACTGATGGGCAGCCAGTCAGGTGATTCCGGATTGTCGTCAGCCCTAAGGTTCCACGACCACGTGGGACAGACCGGGACAGAAATGGGTGCTCATCTTGGCGGGCAGGAGCGGGCAGGAGAGAAGGAAAATTTTTGAAATTCGGTTCCTGGAATGCGGACCACCATGAGATGGAAAACCCATGGAAGCGGCTGCCGGCAACATGGAATACACTTGAGTAATAAAGAACCTGGCATCTCTGATTTGCGACATGCTCCAGATCGCGTATCGAAGTAAAGTGGGTTCGCATGGAGCAAAATCGACCGGACCCCATTTTCAGCTGCTCCACATCTGGATTACTAACCTCCTTGGGAAAGTGCAGCCGCGCTGATGTGCTGGTTGGTCCAGGACTCCAAGACTCCAGGATGTGCAGAGGCCTGCGCGATTTGCAAAAGATGCGAGTCATCGACCATCGGCTGCCGACGATTGGCGCAAACTAACCCCAAGGAGTCCAAGTAGCCGGCGACAATGTGTCTGGTAAATTGCCTCGTTATGCCGCTCTCTCCCTTGCTGCACGAAGGATGGGCCAACACTTTGATGTACGGATAAGAGCCTATGCATGATTTGGCTGGGGAATTTTCAGCTGAGAGCAGGTCTAACCAGCTATCCCTTGCCTATGCGCACACAGCAATGTGCAGCGGCCGGGGCACTCCTGCGTGTGGGTCGGGGCAGTTGCTTGGTAGCCGAGGGGAGGAAGACATTACGGCAGAGTAGTGTATGGAGAAGGTACTTTATCGTCGGATGTCTGCCTCGGCCTTGCTCCTCCTGTGTGGGATCTCCCCTCATCAACTTCATCTTTGGCTGCCGTCCTCTGTGTGCCCTCCAGTCTCGATCGTCGATTGATGCAGACGCCGTGGGCAGAGAGCAGATATGAGCAGCACAGTCTCCTGTGTCTCAACCGCTAACGAGGTGCGCTTATTAACCTCTGTAAAGCACGTTTGCACCCCCGTGGGAGCCGCATAAGCATGGAGACGGCCCATAATGGAAGGGACTCGGTCCAGTACTTGGGCCGGGTCGTGCCCTTCACCATCGACCCGGGCCTTCTAGTGCTCAGTTACGCCGTCAGTCTGGTCGGAGCAGCTGCGACGCTCGAGCTGATCCACCGTCGTACTTCAAGGAGAGGCTACTACAACAAGTGAGCACCATCCCGCCCAGCCACCCACCCCCCATTTTTTTGTTGTTGTTGTTGTTGTTGTTGTTGTTGTTGTACGGCAATGTTGTTGCAAAGACGGCCCAGCTGATACTATGTCTTTCTTCCCTTCAGCCTCCTTCTCCTGGGCGCTGCCATCTCAATGGGAGGTGTGGCCATCTGGAGCATGGTATATTTTATCCTCATTGCAATCCACACAGACGGCACCCACTGCTGACCAAGCCTCCCTCCTGATTGCAGCACTACATCGGAAACCGCGCCACGACTCTGTTAGAAGGCGAACCGGAGCTTCATGTCGTCTACTCACCTCGGGTCACGGTCGCGTCTTTTTTCCTCCCGATCTTCGTCTTGCTGGTCGCCTTCTTCGTGGTGACAGGCGCCAGCGGCAATGACGGCCGGGTCAGTTGGTGGCGTGTCTGCGCCTCTGGAGCGCTCTCCGGAGGTGCTATTTGCGGCATGCACTACCTCGGCAACGCCTCTGTCAGCAACTACCACTGCGACTACCGCACTTCTTCCGTTGTGGGGTCCGTCATCATCTCCGTCGTTGCTAGCACTGCTGCCCTCGCCCTCTTCTTTGTCTTCCGGAGCGCCTGGGCAAATTCGTGGTGGAAGCGAAGCGGATGCGCCGTGGTGCTGGCCGGTGCCGTTTCGGGGATGCACTGGTGTGCCGTCATGGGCACCAGCTGGACTCTGATACATCTCACCTCGAACAACGACTTCAATTCCCGAAACAAAACCGTTATCGTTACAGCCTGTCTCGTGAGCGCCACCCTTGCAACCCGCCCTCTTCACCCCTGTTCGCCCTCCGCTGACCGAATTCTCTAGTCTCTCTCTGCCTGTCTGGTCATGGCCGGCCTCGCCATCTATTCGGCGCGAGTGCGGAAGGGCTACGCGGATAGGGCGCGGACCATCACACTAGCGTCCGCCGTCTTTGACGAGCATGGGAGGATTATGGTGACGCCGGATGGCTTCCTGCCGAGCGAAGTGGTCACGAGTACCTTTTTGCAGAAGGTAAGGGATCTGCTTATAACCCCTAACAACTTTCCACGGCTCATTGAGCCACACTCAATAATGTACGCAGTGTGACTAGTAAGTAGGGCTGACAAGTTGGATCCAGAACCAAAATGAAGTCTTCTCCACTGCCCACCCATTGTTCCAGTGGCTATTTCAGGCATCCCGGAGCTGGCCCAGCCTAAGTCCTCTTCTCGACAAGATGAACCATCACCTGGCCAGCCTCCCGCACCATGGACGCAATGTGAGGACGGGCATCGAGTTAGTGAACAAGGAAGGGCTCATTATCGACAATTATGACACTATCTTTTGCGAGCTTTTCTGTCTCGCCGCCTCGGCCCTGGCCCAGCAGACGAACGAGGGTCTCCTCGAGGCTGGCATACTGTGGGACGAGATTCTTTCCACTGGCGGCCACCCTACCGCGGGCTCCATCAGCAACGCGTCAGCATCATCGCGCTCGCGCGACTCTGTGGTACAAGACGCCGACGACTTGGCGGAGAAGGGCTCTGCTCCGAACAACCACGACGGGAATACTAGTACTAGTAATCACGGTCACCTCATGTTCCTGGTCCGCAGGGTGGACAGCACCCACGCGGATCAGCTCGCCGCCTCCGGTTACTGCTTTGCCGACCGCGACCAGGTCGCCCCCCTGATCCGCTCCAAGATGCGGATCCGGACCGCCAAGTTTGGAGAGAAGCTGCATCATATGGAAGGGTACGCACGGGGGACTATGTTGGATCCCGGCGTCCACGTTGGGCTGTTCGCGGTTAGGACCAAGGTGCACCAGACAGGATTTGACGTGTTGGTTCGGAGCCAGGCCCGGAATCTCCTCCCCAGCGTGGAGCTGCCTTTGGACCGTCTCGAGCCCTCGCATGCCGAATTCCTCCAAAGACTGGATGGGATGACGCTCGGCGCTCTTATCCAGCAACTCGAGCACGATGTTCATGCGGTGTCTCCACGCGATGCAAATTTTGCTGGGCTCTTCCGGGACGCGATCCGGAAGCTCCGGGAATCGATCCAGAATCCCATCTTCGACGGCGCTAAGTTGGCGGGGTTTTCCCAGCTGCCTTGCACTCCACCAAATAACACTACCCGGCCATCAACCTGCGCCCTCATTGCCTTCACCATCATCATACCCATCCACCTCCGCGTCCATACGAGCAATACTCCGGCGTATGAATTTATCCCGCTCTCCTTCCTCAAGACGCAGCAGCTCGTCTACAAGAACTCACCCCACAGTGCCGCCTTCGCGCGAATAGTACACCGCAACATGTCACCCATCCTGGACTCGGCAGTCTACGACAGCACAGGTCCATCATCTAGTACTAACCAAGCAGGCAAACCCCTCTCGATGCCCAGTCCACTACACTTCCTACGCTCCGGCCGACTGGCATCCCGAAGCCGCCCGCCGAACCAACACCGCACTGCCCCCGCAAAGCTGGTATCGCCGAGCCGGGAGCACATGGCCCTAACGCCCTCTAATTCAAGCCTCGCCTCACTCCCGCTGTACAGCGCCCACGGCCACCGCGAGACAGAGCACACCAAGGGCCCGAGCAAATCAGCCGAATTTACTGCGGATAGGCCCCGGCCGGTCAAGATGTCCTCCTTCGGCGGCATCATGATCTCGCAGGAAGTGACCGTCGACGTCCAAGAGACGGGGAATATTCCTATGATTCCCACCGACAGCAACAATACTAGTAACAATGAGGACAATAACAATAACAACAACAACAACATCTCCGCTCCGGAGTTGGTGGCGGTGCAGGCGCCGCCCCCGGCGCACCAGCCGTACTCTGCCGCGTCCAAACAACGCGGCGTGCTGTTGATGCAGGATGTGGCGGACGCGGGCAACCAGATGGTGCCCCAGTTTGATCGCGCCATTGAGCTGCGCGAGGTCTCGCCGCTTCTGGGACTGGGCATGTCCAAGGTCGAGGTCAAGAAGGAGGACGGCGATGACGCGGCGGCGACGTGGGTCGATGCTTTGTTTGCGAGGTGTTTGCATTAGTAATGACTCAGTACGTGACGCTTGTTGGAGTTGGACATGAGTTTGTAAGATAACTTGAACCTAATAAGTGCGTGCTGGTGCTACCACTCAGGAGAAAAGGGGGAAAAGGTTGGGCGTTGGGGATAGAGTGTATGATGGAATGCAGAGTTAGGTACTCTGATGGTAACCTGGGAAATGTCAATGTAGTGAGTTCTAGTATGTAAGGCAGTACTGCTTAGATAGAGATAGACTTTATCGAAACAATCGAAGAGATGTCCAATACGAATAAATTGCCATGATTCGGCTACCAGTAGTCGCTGTCATTGGATGCTTCCCGCGGTCCGCTTCAGTCCATTGAACGTTGCGTCCATTCTGTGTAGAAACACATCGGACGTAATGGAGTTGCCCCTGTAATGCTCGGTGATAACCGCAAAGCAGAAGAGTTGGCGGCGCGAAAGGTACTGGTAGTAATAGTTCCAATACAGGCGACAACTTGGCGAGGGTCGCCAGATCCTGCACCAAGCAGATGTACACCGCGCCGTAACGCGGCATTAGTATGTTACGGTGAGACATGAATCACAATATGCCCGAAGACCTATTGCCTGCCGTGCCGCAATCAAACCTAAACGTGCCGTGTATCGCAACGCAACCCGTCTCTTCTAGTCTTAGGTCATGTAAGTGCACGCCGCCCACGCCGCATCCAGTCACAGTCTCGGACGGTGGCATCGGTGAGTTCTCTGGAAGATAAAGACAGTCGGGTATCCGCCCTTCCCGATCTCGATCCGTTTTCGGTTCCCTGACGATTATTTCTTCTGTTGCGATAATAAAAACTGGTGCAGGCATATATTAGTGCTCCTGTACATACATAGGTAGTACATGCACGTACTTGTACATACCTTATATTCCATGCATCAAGCTTTTAGATTCCCAGTCTTCTTCTTCCATCCTAGTACCAGCACCATTTCCCGTGGTTTCGGATCGAAAGAACAGCCTGGCCGGTCAAGCCGGCAAGCATTCTAGCCATGGGCTCCCTACCAGGCGACAATACCCTCATAGGGCGCCTCGGAGCGGTTGACAACCTCGGCGAGGCGACGCCCCGGGTCAACAAGCGCGAGACCATATTGGGCTTGTGCATCACCTTCGCGGTAGAGAACCCAACTCCTAGTACTAAAAGAGCAGCCCATCATGACTAACTGCATTGGGACCGCGCGGCTGTCAGGTGCTTGCGTGGATCTGCGTGGCGGTCAGATTGTTCGTGAGAGTGCGCTTGATACGCTCTCCAGGGTGGGATGACCTGTTCGTGGTCTTGTCTCTGGTCTGTTTCCGCTCCCCCGATCCAGCCACTGGAATCGGGATGTCCAAACTGACAGTTGACAGTTGACCATGTCTGTCTGCTTGGTCAGCATATGCGTCTGTAGGTGGCCGGTATATCTGCTTGTACTCGGCCTCGGGCGTCCTGCGTTTCTCTCGAGGCGATTGCTGACTTTGCGTCAACCTACCAAGCCATTGAGCATGGGCTGGGACAGCACTTCCTGCAGGTCCTCTCCGACCGCGATCAAGCTGCCGCCTTTTTGCATGTTTGTCACCCTCACCCCCCGCCCCCCCGCCTTTGGAGGAAAAGACGGGTCGCTGACAACCCAACCTTCACAAGAGCTTCTACGTGTTCAACGCAGCTTACGCAATGTCCACGGCGCTCATCAAGATCTCGCTCCTGCTCCAGTACATGCGGCTGTACCGACCGGGGAGCTTGCTCTACAACATTTGCCGCGGGCTCGTTGTCTTTGTCGCGCTCTGGGGAGTAGCTTACTCCGTCATCGCGTGGGTGCCGTGTGTGCCGACCTCGGATTACTGGGAACACTTTGACCCCTCCAAGGATATCTCGCAGCTGCGGTGCTACGGCTACGGCTCTCAGTATGTCAAGGCCTTCGTGGCCACGTACGAGAGCCACGCTGCGGTGAACCTGGTGCTCGATCTGGTCGTTATGGGGCTGCCCATCCCGCTCTATTTTGAGCCGGGAGCGCACGGCAGAACGATAATGGGCCTGGTCGGTATCATTATCATGGGCACAATGTGAGTCGCATGGGAACGTAATGGGTGTTTGAACTTTTACCCAACACAGAGTGGGGGGAAGAGAGAAAAAGAAGAAAATAAGAGAAAAAAGAAAGATCAAAAGAAAGGCAATGCTAACTAATTCCCGCTCGTCAGCCTCAACATCTTCTCGGTCTGGCGATTGGCAGAGACGGTTCACCACCAGGCGGGAACCCACCCGACATTCGACCCGACCTGGTACGGCGCCATCGTGATTGTCATGGCGGGGCTCGAGACGGCATCGGCCTGCATCTGCGCGAGCGTTCCGGTGTTTTGGGGCCCCATGCTGGCCTCGGCATCGCAGCTCCTGGGCGACATCTTCGTGACCAAGGAAGTGCACGTGACAACGGAGCACCGCTTTGCGAACCTCAGCAGCGGCGAGTCGGACGACACCTTCCCCCATCTCGGGATGCATCGTGGGGCTGCGATGGGTTTGCCTGAATTGTTGCAGTTACAGGGCGGCGGCAAGGACGAATCGGGTCTGCGCTCCGGGTCGCGCGCCGGCTCAACAAGGCTCGAGTGGAATGGCAAGGACGGGGTGCAGCACCAGTACCAGGCTTGGCCGGTGTAAGGTACTACCGTACTCGTATACGTGTAGGAAGATTTATTATGATCTCGCGATTATTTATCATGGTCACTCTTGATTCTTGCGTCTCTGTTCGATCGGGAAAAGTGAAAAGTAGGGGCGGGCCTCCGGGTTAGGGCTGGGTGGCCCCCCCACGTGCCAGCTTCAGGCTCAGGGTCAAGCTGTTCAGGACATCTTGGTCAAGGCCAAGACCTCAGCTTTTGAGCTTGGCCTCGGCGGATTGGGCAAGGATTAGCAGAGCCCACTCTCCCGTCCACCCCATTGGCCCTTCAACGTCGATCAGCCGTGGGCGGGCCGCCATATTCGTGACGCGAAAGGCAAAGCGCAAATGCATGTTTCAGCTCCCGCGCCAGCTTCCTGCCCGCGACTGCATCAATCATTGGAGGTGCGATGGCAGCTGCCACTAGCTCTGGCCATTCCGGGATGGCTACTTGACGATCAAAGGGTTCCGTCTGGTGCCAACTTGCGATCCAGCCACTGCTTTTTTTCATTACTCCGGAAATACTAATTAAATAAGACGAGGCGCCCCTCCGCGCAAAATCACAATGGGCAGAATGTGGCCGATTTCCTCACGTCGACCACCGCCATGTCCACACAGTCAACGCCAATTCCCCAGCCCCCGGGCATCCCATTGCTGGGCAATGTTTTCGACGTGGACCCCAGCAACACATGGTGGTCGCTCAAAACGCTGGCCGAGAAGTATGGCGAAATCTTCCAGATCAAGGTGCTGGGACACAAAATCGTGTTCGTGGCCAGCGCCGCACTGGCCGAAGAGCTGTGCGACGAGAAGCGTTTCCGCAAATACGTCGGCGGTCCGGTCGTGGAGATCCGCCACGCCGTCCACGATTCGCTGTTCACGGCCTTCGACCACGAGGAGAGCTGGGGCGTGGCCCATCGCATCATCGCGCCGCAGCTCACGTCCGAAGCCATCGCCAGCCACTTCGACGAGACACTCCTGTGCGTCGACGAGCTGGTGGCGAAATGGCGCGGGCTCGGCGCCTCCAGCAACCGCATCCGCCCGCTCGACGACCTCAACCGCCTCAACCTCGAGGCCACCACGCTGACCTTGTTCGGCAAGAAGCTGAATTGCCTGGAGGGCCCGGAGCACCCGATGATCCGGGCGATGGAGGACTCGACGTCGGAAGCCATCAAGCGGCCGACGCGGCCCAAGCTGCTCAACTGGCTGGTGTACGGCGGGAAGCTGAAGAAGGCGACCAACACGATGCGCGCGTTCGCCGCGGAGCTGGTCAAGGACCGCCGAGAGAACCACGCCTCCGATGACGGCCGCCGCGACCTGCTCTGGACGCTGCTCAACGCGCAGGACCCGGAGACGGGCAAGACGCTGTCCGAGTCGCAGGTCATCGACGAGATCGTGACCATGCCGATCGGCAGCAGCACCGCGCCGTGCGCCATCGCGGCGGGGATCCTGTTCCTGCTGCAGAACCCGGACGCGCTCGCGCGGGCACGGGACGAGATCGACGCCGTGGTCGGAGACGGGCCCTTCCGGCAGGAGCACCTGTCGCGGCTGCACTACGTGACGGGCGTGGTGCGCGAGACGCTGCGGCTGTCGTGCGCCGCGCCGGGGTTCAACATCGAGCCGATCCCCAATCCGGGCGACCAGTCGCCGGTGCTGCTGGCGGGCGGCAAGTACCAGGTGGCGCACGACCAGGCCATGATCATCGTGCTGGCCGGCGCCAACCGCGACCCGGCCGTGTTCGAGGAGCCGCTGGCCTTCCGGCCGGAGCGCATGATGGGCGACGCCTTCGAGCGGCTGCCGGCGGGCGTGAAGAAGTGGTTCGGCAACGGCAAGCGCGAGTGCATTGGCAAGCACTGGGCGTGGGAGTTCCTGATGCTGGTCACGGCCAAACTGATCCGCGACGTCGATTTTGAGGCGGCGGATCCCAAGTATCAGCTGAAGCAGGATGGCTGGTTCAACATCCGGCCCATCGACTTCTGGGTCAGGGTGAAGCCGAGGGCCCGTTGAGCCTCGATATGTTAGTGGTATTTTGTGTAGGTTTGCGGGTGGGGTGGCGTGTTCTCGTTGGTCAGGGGTCCGTCCCACGGATAACACTTTTGTCGGACGCTTGCTCCTGTTTTGGCTGCTAAGTATTTCTGGAAGAGATCTACATGCGTCACCTGTCCTCGCCGATGCTCGTGATACGTCTGTGCGCCATGCACTGATCTAATGCTGTTCTGTTGTTCGCACTGTAAGTTCGGAACCGCCTTAATGAATGGCCAGGGGGCACCATTGACATGTCGTGACGGGGACTACATGGGTAGGTGCGGGGCCGTAGTGTCATGCCCATGGACCCGGCCTGCTGCGCGAGCTGAACTTCGATGTCATCTGGCAACGAATGCTCCATCATCCAGTCTTGCCATCTCCGTCATGTTCCCCCCGCCTCGCACCGTCGACGTGTCCTGCGCTATCGGCGTGTCCTGTATGGACAGCCGCTTCATCTTATCTCAGATCAGACGTCTTTTGTGGGCGCAGGCGGTATAGGTGGTCCGTACGGGTATGCGGACGTAAGACCATAGATAATTGTATGTAATGACGTCTACGCTAGCCAACTCAGGATTCGACCCACTTTTTGCACACAACGCCCGTGAAAAGACGTCTGAGTTGGCGATTTGACTAGCGAGGGGTCAACGATTACTTTCCCATGCAAATTGCAAAACACCCCATTTCCACTCGCAAATCCCTCAACTACCATAATATAGATTGATCCTTATACTTGATACAGAGCTAGATAATTGGCATAGCTTCCTAGTAATACCGCTTTCATTATTTTTATATCTCGGTTTTGCTAAATGGTAAAGGCAAAGCTTTTTCCGGGGCGGTAATCACGTTCTTCTTGTTCGATCACGCCCCTATACTTTGGCTAGCTTTCATGTAAAAAGTCCATGAAAGTAAGCTCGCATAGAGACTAACCAAGAGAGCCTCCGGGAGCTATGTATAGCTGAATGGACCGATTAATACTCCTTTAACTCTATAGGTGCTTCGCTTCGGTACTAAGGAGAATCAGCGCAGCGTATCTTTGTTACGGCTACCAACCAGTTCCTATATAAGAGTTAGCATCAAGAAGTAGTATAGAGTCTAGGGAGCTTGAATCTACTGTAAAAACCATTCGCCAAGACCGTGAAATTGCTGGTGTTCTGGTTGTTGGTAACTGGGACTGATGACTGCGTTGAATGGTGAATGTGATCTTTGGCCCCAGTGTGGTTCAAATCGCCTACTCTGACCAGTTCTGGGTGTTGGATAATAAACTCCATCATCTGGTCGACCTCCGGCGGGTCGGGTGGGGCCGTAGTGCCGACGGTTAGCGTTTCCCACAGTGTGTCGAGGCCACCGAAGATTTCCCAGACCATGTCCCCGGCCTGCCGCGTGGGTTGAACTTCGTCCGACTCCGATAGCGACAGTCGCTCCAAGGCAGTTGTCGTCTGGTTGACGTCGGGCATGTTGGGCGGGCCAGCGTGCACGGCAGCGTCCGCCAATCTCCTCCTCGCCCGTGCCGCTGCGAGGCGATGGGGTCGGGTGCGACGGGCTGGCGAAGAGGGGCGACGCATCATGCCAAACATCACAGCCGGACGTCTGGAACAGTCGGAGTCTAAACAACAACACTGCCAACAGCAACCACAAACTTGAGGGCAAAGCCAAAAGCAAGCCTGATCTTGGCCACAAAGCCACCAACAACGATCACAACCTTGACGGGCCCTGCCGCCGTCCCTGGATTGAACTTGCCAGCGGCGTCGGGAAGCCAAGTGGCTGGTCGCACGCGTCGTAGGAGGGCCGACCGAGTAGGCGAAGGGGCGACGGTCCCAGGGGGGAGGAAAGTTGGGGTCGAGGGGGTTCATGATGAGGTGAGGACGGATGTTGTTAAATAACGTGAGTTCGGGAACTTGAACTTGATCGGTGGTGGAGGATGGGTGACAGATGATGGGAAGAAGATAGGAGCGGTGATGGCCACACATTAACTTATATATAAGCCATCATGCCATGTCATTGACCTCCACTTACACAGTACCTAGGTACTTGGGTCATGTGCATAGTCACGCGAATCTGGCAATCCTGCGCTCTGAGTGGCTGTCAACGCTCCATCTTGACGTCAGGTGCCGGATAATGGAGCACAGTAGACGCGTACTGTGTCAGGTAGGTTGGTGAGGGTAGCCCGCAGGTGCCACAATCCAATAAGGGACGGGCGCTGATGCGCTTCGGCCGCCGGTAGTTGGTATATGCTGTTGTCCCGGCTTGCCCCACACCGGGCGCACGCAGTCTCTCCTTCATCACCAACTTCATACGACGTCCAGAACACACTCGTTTACTGCTCCCACGAAGCAAGCCACTCGTTCAAAACAAACAGAATCCCACACGACATGAAGCTCAGCCTCACCATACTTTGCACGACGCTTTGCACGGCCTGCAAGTGCATCGCGATCGCTCTTCCCTCGGGTATGATTGGACATACCGCAACTGGAACTTCTGGAAGTGGCCTTAGTGCCTTTACGGGAGCCCACGATCATAATTCTATCTCAGCGGGAGTGAACGGCGGTCGCCGTCAAAATAATGGGGGTCGGCTCAGCTCCTTTACCGCTTCCACGACCACGACAACCACGGCCGCGAACGGTGGTCGTCGTCGCCGTCAGAATATTGGGGGTCTTCTTAGCTCCCTTACCGCTTCCGCTACCGCTACTTCCACGGCTGCGAATGGCGGTCGCCGTCAAAACATCGGTGGTCTTCTTAGCTCGCTCACGGCTTCCGCTACGGCTACTTCTACGGGCTCGAACGGCGGTCGCCGTCAGAATATTGGGGGTCTTCTTAGCTCGCTCACGGCTTCCGCTACGGCTACTTCTACGGGCTCGAACGGCGGTCGCCGTCAGAATATTGGGGGTCTTCTCAGCTCCCTTACCGCTTCCGCTACCGCTACTTCCACGGCTGCGAATGGCGGTCGCCGTCAAAATATCGGGGGTCTTCTTAGCTCGCTCACGGCTTCCGCTACGGCTACTTCTACGGGCTCGAACGGCGGTCGCCGTCAGAATATTGGGGGTCTTCTCAGCTCCCTTACCGCTTCCGCTACCGCTACTTCCACGGCTGCGAATGGCGGTCGCCGTCAAAATATCGGGGGCCTCCTTAGCTCGCTGACCGCTTCCGCTACCGCTACATCTACCGGAGGAAACGGCGGTCGCCGTCAGAATATTGGGGGCCTCCTTAGCTCGCTAACGGCCTCCGCTACCGCCACGTCCACTAGCTCGAATGGCCGTCGCCGTCAGAACATTGGAGGCCTGCTTAGCTCGATCACTGCTTCCGCTACAGCTACGTCGACGGGCGCCAACGGAGGTCGCCGTCACATTATTGGTGGTGGTGCTAGCGGTCGTCCCAGCTCTGCTGCTGCCACTGCCACGCGGACCGGTACTAACACTGCTGTTGCTGCTACTTCAACCGGCGACAACCACATCCGGCGTCAGCACATCCTGGGTGGTGCCGGTCTCGGTGGTGGTGTTGGTGGTCACCTCAGCTCCGTTGCTGCGTCTCCATACGCGACCCGGACCGCCACTGCCACGTGGATTTAAGCCCCAGTCATTCTGTGGAGGAAAGCGGCTGGTTGCATCCTTCTTGGAGAGGGATGACTCGGGTATTCGCAATTCTTTCTTTGGTGAGAGTCATAATAATTAATGGGTGGGATTTGGTTTGAGTAATTGAGTTAGAGGAAATCGAAAAAGATTAGTACAACTGAATTACTGGTGATACTAGTGAGCGCTTGCCTACCAGTACTAAGTAATCGCCTTGTTCGTTTACACATCACTACTACTAGTACTTAGTGGCTTACTATACACATATTACATAGCGTAAGGTACTTGCATTTAGTAAGCGGCTCTTACACCAAGCCAAGGAAAAGCAGGTCCGGGCTGGTGAGCATGCGGTCAACTTGATGTCCTAAAGGGGCTAATTAGTAAGCGTCCGGCTGCAGATCAACTGCCGAAGCTTCACGCGGGCAGGTGGGGGAGGCAAGCATCGATGCAACCCCCTTTTCCTGTGTCCCTGATAACTACTTACTTAGATTGCTTCAACACCGCATCATAGGTGAACTTTGAGGGGGAGCTGCTGCGGGGAGATACACCCGCTAGAGCCATGCACCCCTCATCATGGAGATTGGAGACGACGGGAGGCGGCGTCAGAGGCGAAGGATGCATATTGCATAACTTCTCTGCAAAGGGGGGGAATCCCGCAAGGAACACTGGGATATTAAACAGAACCGGCCCCAACAGCAGGTACTATCGCGTATTATGAGAGGCCATTCGCAGACCCAACAGTGCGGAACACTGGTACGTACTAGTATTTAATATTTATCCTCAGACCTCAGTATAAGTCAAAACGCAAGATTGGTCCTTAGGATCCACGGACCACGGGCAACATGACGGCTAGCGCAGAGGCAGCGACACGGCTCCCCGAGACGTCCCTCTGGGCCAACCGGAAATGCCTGCTCCTGTGCGCCGTCGTGGCCGTCGCCAACATGCAGTACGGCCTGGACTCGGCCTGTCTGGCCAGCCTGCAAGCCATGCCCGGCTTTCTGCGGGTGTTTGGCTACCCGGACCCGAGTCTCGAGGGCGGCTACGGGATAGATGTAGGTCAAGAGTACTAGTATATTTTCTTTTTTTCTTACCCCGTGCCATATCCAAGTATCTAACCACCAGGTAAAAACAAAACAGAGAACCTTCCAACAACTAATCGGCTCGCTCCTCACGCTCGGCGCCTTCCTGTCGTCCATCTTCGCCGGCGCCTTCGCCCACTTTTTCGGCCGCAAGCCGGCGCTGTGGCTGGCCTGCCTGCTGACGGCGGCCGGCGCGGCCATCCAGATCGGCACGACCGACGCGGCCGTCGTGTACGTGGGCCGCCTGGTGCTGGGCGTCGGCAACGGCTTCCTCGTCACCTTCTCCAACATCTACTGCGCCGAGGCCGCGCCCGCCCACCTGCGCGCCGTCCTGGTCGCCCTCTTCTCCGAGTGGGTCAACGTCGGCAGCATCGTCGGCGCCGCCGTCACCAACGCCACCAGCAAGATGCTCGAGAAGGGATCGTACCAGATCCCGCTGGGCATCCAGTTTGTTGTCCCCGCTGCGCTGGCCGTGGGTCTGTTCTTCGTGCCCGAGTCGCCCAGGTATCTGGTCAACAAGGGGAAGCTGCAGGAAGGGAGGCGCGCGCTCGAGGTGTTGCGCGATGGGTCGCTGAGCGAGGAGCAGTTTGAGTTGGAGTGGGTCGAGATGGTCAGGGGCATTGAGGAGGAGCAGAAGCTGGCTGGCTCGGTCGGCGCGTTGGATATGTTCAGGGGTATGGCGCTGTGACCTCTCTCTTCCTCGGTTGTTGTTGTTGTTGAGCTGGGTGTGTTTGGTTGCTGATAGTACTACTATTGAATGGCAGGGAGCAACTTGCGGCGGACCTTGCTCTGCTTCGGGGTCATTGCAAGTAAGTCTCTCCTCTTATTAACTAGTACTACTAGTAGCGCCCTTGGCTGCGATGAACCTTTTCGAATCGCTGACCATGGATGGATGGATCCCACAAGCCCAAACCGGGAGCGGCTCGTGGTTCCTCATCAGCTACGCGACCTACTTCATGGTCGTGTCGGGACTGACCGTCGACGAATCCTTCAAGTACTCGGTCATGAACAGCTGCCTTGGACTCGTCGGCGTCAACCTGGGCATCTACCTGATGCGCCACGTCGTGGGCCGGCGTAACATCATGATGATCGGGTCGCTGACACAGGGGCTGTGCCTGCTCATCGTCGCCATCACCGCTACCACCTCGGCCGGCACGCTGGCCGCAAGGAACTGCCTGATTGCCTTTACTGCGTTGTACATGTTCTCCTACAACGCCTTTGTGGGAGCTGCCAGCTACCCCGTGGCCACCGAGGTGGTGAGCACGCGGCTGCGGTCCTGGACCGTTGGCTCGGCCATCAGTCTGGGCTACTTCCTAGCATGGCTGACGGGCTTCTGCTCGCCGTACTTCATCAACCCCGAGAACCTGAACTGGGTGAGTCGGGGGGAATCTTATTTAGTGTGACACGTCCGAACTAACTCAGAAAATACTAGGGGGCAAAGTATGGCTATATCTGGGCCGCATCCAACTTCTGCTGCGGCGTCTTCTTCTTCTTCTTCCTGCCAGAGCTGAAGGGGCGCACGCTGGAGGAGATTGATGAGCTGTTCGAGAGGAGGATCCCGGCCTGGAAGTTCAAGACCACGCGGACCAACATCATGGACGAGGCATTGAAGGAGGTCCGGAACCGGGAAACGGCTCTGACTGACGCGAAGGCACCGGTGGAACTGGTCGAAACCGCGTAAGGGGGGTTAGAGTGCGGGTTGGCTTGTCAGGGTCTATCCGTGACGGCACTACCCACGCCGGATGGACGAGCTCAAGGACCATATGGTTGGGGGGGCAAGTCTCCGCAGAGGTCGGTAATATCCGGTCGTGGACTAGTCGGGAACCCAGGGTGGCAAGCCCGCAAGCCTCTCCTCCATGGATGGATAGGTGCTGAAGAGGTCTAGGCCAATGCCGGGGCTGGTGAGTACTGGAAATAGTACTACCGTCTAACGTTTTCCATGAATTGGAGAGTGTGGTCTGTCGCATCCCTGGCAATACCGCATAATCCATACCCCTTGTCCCTCGGGTCCGTTGCTTGACGGGATAGATACCGCATCAACAGCCAGAGGATCGTGTTCGGCAGCCCTACCGCTTGTTTTCTTCTCGTCTCCCAGCTTACTAGTATCAATAAGCCTTTCGATTCAGTCATGCGTCTTAAGAGGACCAACCTGTAGTTCGAAGCCGAGAAAGTCAGAATGGATGGTGAGAGAAGACTTCTCAGTCGAGGATAAATGAAGGGAAAGAAAGAGATGAGTTCTAGGAATCACTATGTTACTATCACACTCTCCGGTTGCTGTCTGTCTGTGTGATATTAGTGCAACATTAGTAGCGACTCATCGTCCACAAATGAAGAACTCACGAATGTGTTTCAGACTTTTCAAACATAAGAATGTCGTTCAAATGTATTGCAAGTCCCCGTCATTACCTTGGGCTTGTAAACCTTCCTTATATGACTGACGCATAGAGGATGGCGCCCATGCTTCGTTGTCAGCTGTACCCTTCACCAGTTGCACTATAGTGTCATAGCTTTGTCCAATACATTGACCTGTCCATGGTCCAATCTTGCTGAGCACTAGAAGGCTTTATCCCTAAGACATTGGTTGCGGCTAAGAGAGAATCATTGATAGGAGGAGTTTGACTGCTGGCTGGACTGACGTGTTGCTCTTAGATCGGCTCATCCTTAGTAGTGACTTCCCGTGTTATTCTTATTGGAGTTACATCTGTGTCTCAGTGGCTTACCAGCGGGCAGACCAACAACACCGTGTCATGGTAGTCTCGCCACTAGTAATGAATAAGGAGATTACTACATCGGTTTGAACAGAAGGTTTGAACCTAGCTCCTATGTAGAAGGGACTTAGTTGGCAGTAGGGATGGTGTCGCATGGAGGAGTAATAGTAGTACCAGGAGTCATTGTTGGTAAGACTTTTACACAGCTTCGCTGGTCCGAGCGAAAGACAACGCCATGATAGCAGGAGAAGAATCACTTACGCTATGAAAGGACTTATGTATAAATTAACCATGATACTCACCTTCGCCTATCCCTTTGTTTTCAATAGTCTCAGGATGCGCTTGCTATAGTACTTCATTGCATTAGCTAGTCCAGGTCTGAGCAATACCAGGTACAACCCTCTGAACAAGAACGTTTTTTCACCATGGCCGACAATGCTACTACTGATAGCAACAACAATGGCGGCAACAGCAACGGCGGGAACGGCGACGGGGCAAACAGCAACAGCGGCCACTACAATGGCGACAATCGGGAGAGACAACGCTAGGAATGTTGGCGGCAACAGACCAAGGAACCGGATGTGGTACTGTGTAGGTACTAATCCATCCCCGACAGGTCTTACTCTTAAAACGATCACTGATTCAAGGATAGTGTCAGTGCCGCGATAAAGTCACACTGAGCGTTCGGACCGATCTGCAGTGCGTCAACCCCAACTGCCAGCATCACCGATGTAATAATTGCGGCCATGATCAAGGCGCAAGGCTTTTACCGGAGCCTAGGAGACATTAGAAACAAAGGAGAGTGTTTCCCATCATCTCCATGAACACACCGGCAAAGCCAAGGGTTCGGGACCGACCAAATTCAACACTCGCTCAAGCGACTACGAAGTATTGCTCGGAGTTAGGTGGCCTATAAGTGTCAACCCGCGGAGAAGCCTTTTTATTTCGGAAACGTTGGTTTTCGTCCGGTAGAGAGATGAACATACGGCGGAGGAACTGAAGAAGCAGTAACAAGCATGTGGAGGCAACTCCGGGATCTACTACTGGACATTACGGAGACAGTCGTATTTTTGGTCGGATGTTTGGTAAGGGATGATCGTTAGCGATCTGCTTTTCAGAATACCACTAGCAGTAACTTAAGAACTACTAATGCTACGATTTATATCATGCCTGGGGCTATAGGTCATACATGCGAGCCATCATCATACCCGAGAGTAATTGCGCTGCTACCGGACACAACACAATGTACATAAACCACAAGCCCTGCTGCCTCTCCTCATGCCAAGAGCAGGGTGCCTTGCCCGGCCTCAGTCAGCTGCACCACGAATGCTTGATGTCGCGCACCCTGATCGCCATCCAGCCGCGGTAAGGATAATCGCCTGAGTCGTAAACTGAATCCTCGTCCAAGTTGTCCGCCTCTAGCAACCCTACCCACCCCTCAAGGCTCATCACCGGTGGCAAAGAAGTTCTGTTTCTCCTCCAGGTCTATCGGGCACCGTAGCGGCGCCAGCCCCTCGTATCATCGGGATCACTCCTACTAATACTAATAGTAGTATCTTTCTCTATGTCGGCCACCTATCGCCCAAAGTAATCGGCCCAGGCTTGCGTTGCGGTCCTTCACGGGAGGCTTGTCGTCGTCCCAGATGCTGGTGGGATCCGCCCAAAGGTCGGCGTCCGGCATGGCTGCGGTGGCTTTTGCGATGTTGGCCTCGTTATTTTGCCGAAGAAGGAACCGGACTGAGCCGTCCAAGTCAGCCAGAACCCCAAAATGCAACCCAGCCCAATCTTCAGGCTAAATGCCACGTGGGAGACGCGGAGTCGAGGCGTTGGAGAACCGGGATTTGGGGGCTCGCTAACGGCCCGCGACGCGCCGGGTGGGGAGGGCAGAGCGCCAGCTTCCGGGTTGATGTCGGCTTGGCTTTCCCGATTGAGATACTCACGGAACAAGCTCCGAAGAAAACTGGGTCGAATCGCCGCTTGCCATGCCACTCTCCGCCCTCTCCCAAGACTGTCAGACGTGGACCTGCGTGACCTGCTACCCCAGCTTCTGATCAGATTCGACCAGCTTCGATGCACAATCAACCGGGGGCTGGGGGAAATGGCGGTCGGCTGATGAAATGATGAGATCCAGAACACGAAGACTGCAAGGGCATGTCTTCCCGGAACCCGGGGATGTCGAGCCGCCGATCCCATGGCACCGAGGGTTGAGCACTCGAGGGCGGTGGAGGACAGTCCCGTCCGTATAAAGCTTCCCGCTTTCCCCTTTGTTTCAAACGGGCCTCTGCACCCGGATCACCACACGGTTGCTCGGCAGCTCCTCGTCGTCAGTGTAACCTCAACTGTCAGACGCCGAAACCATGCATTCCAAAACCGCTCTGGCAGCGCTCCTAGCGCCTGCCGCCGTCTCGGGCCAGCTCAACGACCTCGCCGTGCGGGCCGGTCTCAAGTACTTCGGTACGGCCCTTCGCGAGGGCGCCATCAACAGCGACACCAGCTACGCCGCGATCCTGGGCAACAAGGCCGAGTTCGGCCAGCTCGTGCCCGAGAACGGGCAGAAGTGGGAGGCCACAGAGCCGTCGCGCGGCCAGTTCACGTACACGCAAGGCGACATCACGGCCAACACGGCCAAGAAGAATGGCCAGGGCATGCGTTGCCATACCCAGGTCTGGTACAGCCAGCTTCCGTCGTGGGCAAGTACTAGTATCCTCTTTCCGCCGCCGGGGACTACAGCACCGTGCTGACTTGCGCCTCCACAGGTCCGGGACGGGTCGTGGACCAAGGACACGCTGAAGGCGGTCATGGCGACACACATGAACAACGTCATGGGCCACTACAAAGGCCAGTGCTACGCCTGGGACGTGGTGAACGAGGCTGTGGCCGACGACGGCACGTGGCGGCCCAACGTCTTCCTCAGCACCTTCTCGACCGACTACCTCCCGCTCTCCTTCAACCTGGCCAAGGCGGCCGATCCCGACGTCAAGCTGTACTACAACGACTACAACCTCGAGTACAACGGCGCCAAGACCGACCGGGCGGTTGAGCTCGTCAAGATCGTGCAGGCGGCGGGAGCGCCGATCGACGGCGTCGGGTTCCAGGGCCATCTCATCGTCGGCAGCACCCCGTCGCGCAGCAACCTGGCCGCGGCGCTGCGGCGCTTCACGGCGCTCGGCGTCGAGGTGGCCTACACGGAGCTCGACATCCGCCACTCCAGCCTGCCGGCCTCGTCCGCGGCCCTCGTGACGCAGGGCAACGACTTTGCCAACGTGGTCGGCTCGTGCCTCGACGTGGCCGGCTGCATCGGCGTGACCGTGTGGAGCTTCACCGACAAGTACTCATGGATCCCCGAGACCTTCCCGGGCCAGGGCGACGCCCTCCTCTACGACAAGAACTTCGGCAAGAAGCCCGCGTGGACCTCGGTCTCGTCCGTGCTCGCCGCCAAGGCCACCAACTCGCCCGCTTCTTCTTCTTCTTCTCCTGCTTCTTCAAGCTCCTCCGCGGGCCCGGGCACTACCCTCATCACCTCGACCAGGACCACCACCACGCCGCCCAGCACCACCTCCTCGGCCAGCGGCGCCCTGCAGACCCAGTGGGGCCAGTGCGGCGGCAACGGCTGGACGGGGCCGACCCAGTGCCAGAGCCCCTACACCTGCAAGAAGCAGAACGACTGGTACTCGCAGTGCCTGTGAGATTGTTCTCTGAGTCCGGGCTTGACGAGTTAGACACGGCAAAAGCCGAGGTCACGGCAAGTGGTGTGTTAGTTTTGCAGCGGTCGATTCTTCCTGTATATACTTGTCAGTTTCGCCAGCTATAAATACGACTGATGCGGGTCGTGCTTTGGTACACCACTCAAGGAAATCGTTTCGACTTGGCTTCAGATCACCTCCTTGACTCAATTGTGTCCAGGCTGTGCCGGATTGGCATTGTCAGCGAAGTCGTTCCATCATTTCCGAAGACATGATGTAAAGCTATTCATGAGGCCTCATGCTTGCTCAAAAGATGCCTCTTGGATAGCTTTTGGATATTTGCAGTCCTAAGAACCCAGGCCGTGGAAATCACATGGTGAAAGCGCTGAATCTGGATGAGTTGAGAACTTGAGTGAAGTGAGGACGATGAAGTGAGCTGTTCAGTTGACAGTCCGGAGGACCCACTCAGATTTTATTGCTCTACATGGTTCCATCTTTCGGATGAAACACCTTCCTGAGCTTGCTTCTCATCTCCCCCCATTGACCCAAGGTCCATCCAGACCAGCGAATATCGGATCAGTTTACTGCAGAGCACAGATGGATTCAATCCTGCCAGTCTGGCAAGGTACGAAGCGGAGGAAATCGTCCTGTCGAGAATCACAACCCCTCCTATTGGTGGGGCTGTCAGGGGTTAAGGTGAGGTCCGACACTTGTGACATCATCGAACCTTGCAGGTAATACAAGCTCAAAGCTGCCATCGAGTTACAGCACGAAAGAAAGCAACCACTCACAAAGCAATAATTTCCAAGCAATAAACGCCAATGACGCGCAGATCGTCCAAAAGTTGCTGTCGACCTGCCGTATCCGTGTTCTGGCCCAGCATCGGCAAGCTCACCACGAGACCTCTTCGTCATCATCGTTGCGTAATTATGTCTTTGAAAGCTCAAAGCAGTACAAATGGCTCCTTCCCGACGGGTACAAACGATGTCTTTGTACAACAATTCAAGGCATCCGTGCAAGATCCGACACGATAACTCCCATCCGCCGTCCTATTTAGTATCGACCTCCCTCCCCCTCCCGAGCTCAAAAGCACTTTTCACACCCCACCATCATGTTCCGGCAAGCTCTCCGCACACCTACCACCACCGTACTTGCCCAACCAGTGAGACAATCCCTCGCCGCCCGCAGCACGCACGCCACCCGTTCGCTCTTCGCATCCAGCCTCCGCTTCCAGTCCACCGAAAGCCGCTCAACCTCGTCTTCTTCCTCCCCCTCCGCAGCAGCCATGGCCGCCGGCGCGCCGACCAAGGTCTCGGACCGCATCAAGCACGATCACCGCGAGCTGGAGGAGTACTACAACAACATCAAGAAGGCCACGCGCGACGAGGACAAGGCCCAATGGCAGAACCAGTTCGTGTGGGAGCTGGCCCGCCACTCGCTGGCCGAGGAGATCGTCGTCTACCCGGCCATGGAGAAGCACCTGCCCGACGGCATAAAGATGGCCGAGAAGGACCGGTCTGAGCACCAACAGGTACATCCCATCTATTTAGTAATCTATCAACCTTCATATACTGCTTTCACATATATATACATTTACACACATTCGCATTATACGCTCCACTGATAGGCTGACAATCCCGTCCCGTCACCCCCCTCCCAACACAGGTGAAGGAGAAGCTCTACGAATTCCAGTCCATGCAACCGTCAGACCCGAACTTCATCCCCGCCATCGACTCGTTGTGGGAGAACCTGGCGCAGCACATCAAGGAGGAGGAGCGCGACGACCTTCCCGCGCTAGAGAAGGCCATCGGCGCGCAGGACTCCGAGGCCATGGCCGCCAGCTTCGCCCGCACCAAGCACTTCGTGCCCACCCGCAGCCACCCGTCGGCGCCCGACCGTCCGCCCTACGAGACGGTCGTCGGTATGCTGAGCATGCCGATGGATAAGCTGATGGACATGTTCCGGAAGTTTCCGGAGGGGAAGTAAAGGTGGTGGGATGTGTATGTTCGTATTCGTGGTATGTATGAGTATTATGATAATGCTAGCTAGTTCGGCCTGAGGTCGAAGGCCTCTCATGCCAATGATCCAAAGTATGGCTATTACTATCTGGTCTGGTATAGTGGATAGGGTATTGTGTTTGTGTATTGCGCCCCCAACCGCCAACGGCCAGCGAGACTTACTGATCTTGCCGGTATTGTGCTGCAGTTCGCGGTTGATGGAGGGAGTTCCTCCCGAACCCACAACTTGATAGGTTTGCTCCGGCCCCAGCGAGATCGGGGCAGACGGTACACGGACACGGGACACGGTGGAGCCCGGGATGCCACTACTAGGGATGCATGGATACTGGTAGTAAAATGTCTTGCGTTGTAGGTAGCTAGTGATATATGTTAGGTTTGGACCCGGGTCACTATGATGCCTGTTAAACTGTGCGGCAGCACCTAATGTTGACCGGGCAAGACCTTGGCCCGGGAGAGTGGTGCCGTAGAGATGTACGGGGTGGGTGGGAAGACTCGGGGAGGTAGCTGCTGGAGGATGAGGGGAGCAATGATCTTGTAAATGCTCCCGCAGCGTGGTTGTCCTCGGAAGAACAACGACACCACTAGATTGACCTGTCCCGCGGAGGTGCTGGATGCTGCGCGGCGTCAGCACCAAACCTTCACCCCAGGGGGTTCTCCAACGCGAAAGCGGTCAGCCCATGCACATGTTGTGCCCGGCGATCCAACCAAGCGCCCAGGCCGAGTGGCGCTTGAAGGGACCGGTGGCCGAGGCGGCAATGTCGCGGATGACGCCCGGCGCCCAGCCTTGCATGAACCAGTAGCCCTGCAGGGCGGCCGAGTGCAGCACGACACAGTAGTACGACAGCAGGGCCAGGGCGGCCTGGTTGCGCTGGCGCAGCAGCGGGATCAGCCCGTCCGACATGTGGATGGGCCAGGCCAGCAGCACGCGGTACTCGGCGATGGGCGCCTTGTGCAGCGCGTCGCGGATGACCGACACGAAGCGGTAGGCGGCGCCGTGGATGACGGCGCGCACGCGGTCGTCGGTCTCGGTCTCGGCGATCTCCACCAGGAAGTCGCCCACGGCGAGCTCCACGCGGTCCAGCGCCGGGTTCGCCTGCGGCTCGGCGCCGGCCTGCTGGAAGAACAGCGCCGACAGCGGGCCCGACCGCAGCAGCTCCTGCGACGAGTCCAGCACGCTGCCGATCCCCTTGACCAGGATCAGCACGTCCACGAGGTCGTCCAGCGTCGGGCCGTTGGCGGCCTTGGTGCCGCTCGTCGACCACGCGGCCAGCGACCCGATGAAGAGCAGCGCCGACGCGGTGAAGAGCGCATGGCAGTTGGTCGGCGTGATGTTGCTCAGCGCGGTGCGCATGCGGCGGATGCCCGCGTTCAGGTGCTGCGACGCGCGCAGCGTGTAGGCATGGCGGTTCTCCGGATGCAGGTGCGCGAGGTGGTACGACGAGATGGCCAGGATCTGGTGCAGCAGGTAGACGTGCACGAAGCCCTGCTTGGGGATCTCGTTCTGCCAGAGCCAGTCGGTTTGCTCATCCTTGGTCGGGCTGAGCATGAGCGTCCGGAATGCCGACGACGTGAAGTGGTGGAGCAGCTCGAGATCAAACACCCAGTTGGCCGTGTCCTCCTCGGGCGGGCCGGTGACGAGCCTTGTCAGATAGGGGAACGGATCTGGCGAGTGCACCGACGGCGAAGTCGCCTGTGCGACTGCTGACCCATTTGTGGGCGATGTCGCGTGTTGCGCCGCCACCGCTGCGTCATGATCTCCCGGCGCGTCCGACGGGGAAAGATGCGGCTCGGACTTTGGCTTGAGGAGGACCGGCTGCGGCTTGCCCCGCCGTCCTGTTCCCGAGCGCGGGCCTGGTGACGGGCTGGCTGATGCGCTGGGCCCTAAAGTCGATGGCGAGGAGGCAGTGGCACTCTGCGGCTGCGTGGAAAGGCTGCACTCGATGCCATGTCTCAGACAGGCTCTGCATGACGGTTTGGTTTCATCGCACTACAGTGGGTTCAAGCATTTCTGCAGTTAGCGGCATTCTGCTCTCTACTGAAGGAATTGTATCACTTGCCTTGACCCTTCGCTGCTTGCATCGAAGGCACCCGGTACGGGATTTGGTATAGCCCAACCGCAGACGAGCCATCCTCTACACCTACGACCTCTACGGAGTAGGTCCCGCGGAAAGCGAAAGCGAGCTGGCCACGGACGGCCACGGGGGTTTGCGGGTACTCGGTGAATGGCCGGACGGCAGATCGAAGTGGGAGGGTGGGGTCGGCTAGAATACAGTGTCCAATCACAGCTTGTTTGATAATGGATTACCTCCTGCGGGATCCAAGTCCCATCTCAGGGCGGAGCAGCCGGGCCATGGTTGCGAGGTTACCGCACTGGCACTTTTACATTCCTACTCCGTACGCATATGCGTTTGTAAGTACACGGCTTCTGCAACTGCTAGGCCAATCTTACTAACAACGCCTTCAGCATCATCAGCTAACATTTTTGTATGCCAGTCGGCACTACGCAGCATGGGATCGGTCCGCTCCATCAGTCGAGGAACCCATCTCTAGACTCCCCCACATCTACGTTACATACCGCCCCACGCATTTGGCTTTCATCAGCATCAAGACAAATCGATATCTGAACCGAGACCGAGAGTTGGAATGTTAGCCGAATGCCCACGCATGAAACTTCTCCGCAACGCGGACTCTTACATCTCCCCGGTCACTTTGTGTATCCATCGTTTCAATGCACATTGTATTTTCCGGCCCTGCCATACTTAGTTCTTCGCGCCTAATTCCACCTCGCTATGTCGCCAGGGCCTGCTTTCGTGTATCCGGATGGCGTGTAACCGAGATTCGATCTTTGGAGGCCCGTCCAGAACAAAACATCCTGCTCTGTGTAGCATCGCGACTTGGAATCGTACGCGTAACGTGACTGGTCCGCCCGGATACGCAGCAAGTAGAATCCACGATGCAGCTTGGAGACGACCGGAAAACAGGTCGATATTCCCGCCAGTTCTGGGTGGCCAGGCGCTTGTTTATTAGCGCCCGATCTGCATTGAATTTGCCGGCTTGGGTCCGGCATGCGGAGCAGCCGCCAAGTTCCAACGTCTTGTCGTCGAGAGTGTTCTCGGAAGTGGGTCATCTGAAACAGCGTGATCCGGGCATTGTACACCACATACTTGTACGAATGCGAGTTATGAACTGCAGGTGACAGGGTAGTATATTGCAACGCGTGTGTATTTACCACGACTGCAATGCGCTATATAGAGCGCGGTGTCCCGCCTCCAGCCCACCTTGACATTGTAGCCCGCTGCCCGACCGGCCACACCATCGTAGAGAACATAGGAGTCCAACACCATGGCAGATACGCAAAGCTTCACAGAGGCTGTGGGGGCGAAATTGCCCCTCATTCTACCCACTCTCGCCGCCTTCCTTGCCGTCGTCCTCCTCCAGAATGTGTTGAGTCGGAAGCCGCTCGCAAACATCCCCGTCGCAGGCCAAGACCTCGGCAGCGATGAGAAGCGGAGGCAGACATACCTCGTCAGGGCAGCCGACGTGTATCTTGATGGCTACAAGAAGGTCAGTTTGAGCAGCATGTGATGGCGATGTTCCACGCAGCGGTGAAAACTGACACCGCCCAGTTCAAGGACAGTGTCTACAGGATTGTCACACCAAATAGTAAGTTGGAGAACAGACCCCCCCCCCCCCTCCTGTGCGGCCCTGTAACTGACCCCGTACGGCGGTTGCAAAGAATTCACCGTCATCGTGGTGCCCCCCAAGTACTTGGACGAACTCCGAAAGATCCCCGACGATGTCATCAGCTTTGACGGCGCCATCGAGCAGACGATGCACTCCAAGTACACCAAGCTGCCTGTCGGCGAGACCCTGGTTACGCACACGGTCAAGACCAGCCTGACGCCCGCGCTGGTGCGGCTGAACCCGACGATTGCAGACGAAGTGCAGGCCTCTATCCGCGCCGAGTTGCCCCCTTGCGATAACTGGACCCCGGTCAACATCAACCGGAAGCTGCTGCGCATCGTCGCCCTCGTGTCGGGCCGCGTCTTCATCGGCGCCGAGCTCAGCCGCTCCGAGGAATACCTCGACGCAGCCATCAACTACACGGTCGAGCTGATGGCCGCTCGCCGTGCGCTGGACCAAGTACGCCCCTGGCTGCGTCCTTTCGTTGCCCACCGGCTGCCCGAGGTCAAGAAGCTGGATGCGCGACGTGCGCAGGCCGACAAATTCCTGCAGCCCATCGTGGAGGCCCGCAGGCGCATGAAAGACAGCGACAAGCCGGACGACATGCTGCAGTGGGTGATGGACGGCCAAGGGGGGAAATTCAAGGAGTACACGACCGAGGAGCTGGCCAGGCTGCAGCTGGGCATCTCGTTTGCCGCGATCCACACGACGACCCTGACGACGACCAACGTGTTCTACAACCTCGCGGCCTACCCGCAGTACATGGCCGAGCTGCGCGACGAGGTGCGCACCGTCCTGGCCGAGCACAACGGCGTCTTCACCAGCACGGCGCTGCAGGCCATGAAGAAGGTCGACAGCTTCGTGAAGGAGACGATGCGCCTGCACCCGGCGGGCGCCGCCTCGTTCCAGCGCAAGGTCAACAAGACCTTCGCGCTGTCCAACGGTCAGGTCATCCCCGCGGGCGTGGTCATCGAGGTTCCCGCGGCAGCCATCACACGGGACCCGGAGGTGTTCCCGGACGCTGACAAGTTCGACCCCTGGCGCTTCTCGCGGCTGCGGGAGCAGGCCCGCGCATCGGGCAACGTGGAAGGCAGCGCCACGAACCAGTTTGTCAGCCTCAATCCAAATGTGTTGACTGTAAGCTCTCGTGCGCCAGAAGATAGCAAACAGCATGACATGACTGACAATGTAACTCGATGAAAAGTTCGGTTTCGGCCGGCACGCCTGTCCGGGCCGCTTCTTCGCCGCCAACGAGATCAAGATGATCATCGCCAACTTCATCCTGACATACGACATCAAGCTGCCCGAGGGAGTGAACGAGAGGTACCCCAATCTCTCAATCGGGTCATCGGTGAGTGCCCACTCCCAGTTTTAGATCCCAGTCCGGGAACCGCGATTCTCGTGCAGCGCTGTGAGAATGAGAACGCTGACGCATAGCCTGCCGTTGTAGTTTATTCCCGATCCCAGGAAGGAGTTGCTCTTCAAGCGGATTGTATGAGCCGCGTTCGACTGGAAGAGGTTCTCTGCGAATATGTCGGACATGGTTGTTGACTGTAGTACTATTTGTACCAATCGCTCATCGGATAGCGTGAGGCAGCGTCTCTTCTTTGCACGGCGTTAGTGGTCAGCAGCTTGATCAGCCTCGCAGATATCAATATTAGAAGGTTAACCACCAGCCCTTATGCGCCCCCGAAGCGCTCAGCCCCCTGTCTCATCACAATATTCCTCGGTCATGGCGTCCGTCTGCCCCCGCTCCCGTGTCCGCAAGTACTCGATAAGCCGAGGCAGGGCAGGCCGATGGAAGACAAGTGCTTGGGTGCAGCACCCGTGTTTATCCATGGGCACAATGCCGCCAGATTCGACAAACGGTAGCTTGTGGCGCAGACTGTAACCTGGGGGTGGGGGGGAAGTGAGAGGCGGTTATGCTTGCCCGCCATGAGCGCGCCGCGAGCAGCGTAACCACGGCAATGGACGCCCAGTCGGGCCTCAAACGCGTCCCGCATCCCAGAAGGCGGACCATCAGGAGAAGTCCCGCCATGCCGGCCGCAGTCAACACCAGCGTCAGCGTAGAACAGGCGCAGATACGGACACCCCTTCCCCTCCTCCCCTTCGGCAGGCTTGTAGTCCCTCACCAGCCATTTCAGGCCCCCTCATAGTCATAGCCATCCAGTCCGCGGCAAACACCACGTCATCCTAAAAACAACCACCTACAGCGTCTCCCGCAGACACCTCTCACCACATACAAATAGTCAAACCCCCCCTTCAGCTGCAGATCTCTCTCTTCCTCCGCCTTGCGCAACCCGGCCCCCGAGTAATCGAGGTCGTAGACGGATTCGGAGCGGAAGGGGCCACTGTGCGGGTCGCGCGGCCGTAGCTGAAGGCCAGCGGTCAGAGGGTGCTGCAGAAGAGTAGGGCGCGTGCGGCAGGGAAGGAGAGGATGTGCAGCGGCGCGTTGATGAAGCGATGGGAAGGCGCATTTCGTTGTTGTTGCGGACATGGCACTGTTGGGGCCCGTGGCCCGTTGGTGACGAAAGGGAATTGCCTCGACTCCGAAGGCAGGGCCTGGGCTGCGAGGCAGGGGATCCGTTCCATGCGCAAATCATCTACTCTGTCCAATAGGAGGCGGTGCCGGTTTGAATTGGCTGTCCCCACCTTACCCCGGCCAGGTACCGGAAACCTCATCGCGATTGGGTTAGGGTCAGTTATCGCACTGATCAACTTTTCCTGTACGAGAGGTGCACATAATGTGGCTCTGCACCTGCTCTAAAACCCCAGGTAGGTACACACTCAAACTCTTCAACCGAGGCGACATGAGCCATGTGGAGCCGTCTGATGCCGAGTAAGAAAACAGCTTGATGATACCTACCTAGTCACATCATACATGAGTAATAACATGACCGCATCCATTCAAGGACATCCTACGAGCGGGGCTGCGCGCATTTATTCTCAGCCCAGGCATCCCTACATCCATGCATCCGACAGCGCGGATCCAACATGCCCCTAACCGCTCTGGGAGATGGGGCTAACCGACGACGAGGGCCCGTATGGCGATCGCCGACGCCACCACGGTCCCGTACACTCGCACGACTCGATCCCCATAACGACTCTGGCTAACTAAGCCCTATGTAGCAAGAACAATGGTTTGTTCAGACGTGATGCTGCTCCGACTCCGCGAACCTCTCTGTCGACTCTCGTCATAAATTATAATATCCCACCACTGTGCAACAACCTTCACCCCAAGCTGAGCGGTGAGCATCCAGCTTCCAAATGGACGGTGCTTGGTCGATAATCGATCTTTACACACCAAGCAGGCTCCTGGAGATTTCCTCCAGACACGATTCCGTTCAGACCCCCACTGCCACATGTCACGCGCGCCATGGACGGATATCAGCGAGGCGACCTGCAGTCAGCTGCGGGTGAGAGTATGGCCGGAGGTCTTATCGCGTTCTCCGTCACCATGGCGCTTATGAACGTGGTTGTCGTAGCGCTGCGTTTCTACGTGCGGATCTGGGTGATTCGAAATTTCGGTCCTGACGATTGGGCGCTGGCCGTGACACTGGTTCGTTCCTTGTCCGCTACGTTGAGCCTTCGGCACTCGAGGTGTCATGATGGGTATCCTAACGAATCACCGCAGGCATCAGCAATCGCCGGTGTTATCTTGATGTCATACGGTACATACAAACATGTCCCAAGCCAACTGGTGAAACTGCGGGGTACCCCAGACTGACTTTGATGCCGACATAGGTACCAGGCTCGGGCTGGGCCTACACATCAATGCCCTTTCCCTAAGCGAAAGATCAGCCTTTCTCCAAGTATGTAGGCACCGGTTTAATGGTCGAGTTGGGCTATGCTCACATCAAATACAACCAGCTGCTCTTCGTCTCGACGCCGGGCTATCACTTCATCATCATGCTTGTCAAGGCCACCTTCCTCCTCCAGTTCCGGCGCGTCTTCCCGCTTCCGACCACCAAACGGCTGTGTGACATATTTCTGGTCGTCATCGCCATCTGGACCGTCGTCGGCGGCATCCTCGCCGTCGTCATCTGCCTTCCCTTGTCCAAGAACTGGGATCCTCTTGAGCCTACTTGGACCTGCCCGAATCGGTACCGCTTTTGGCTGGCCCACGGCATACTGCACGTCATTACCGACGTGGTCATCTTTGTCATGCCACTCCCGCTGCTCAAGACGCTACCCTTACCGCCGCTGCACAAGGTCATTCTCATGGGCGTTTTCTGCTTGGGCTTCATGTTCGTCATCATCGCGTATGTCTCGCCTTTTACTTAACCACGATGTCTAACTCCTCTGACAGTACATGCGTGATATCCGCCGTCCGACTGACCACGCTCAACACGTCTACCAGGGACCCGGATGTCTCGTGGACGGCGGCGAGAACCTGTTTCTTCTCCATCGGAGAGGTGACGTCCTCGATTCTGTGCCTTTGCATACCAACGCTACGGCCTCTCCTGGGGATGTGCCGCTGCTGCGAACGCCGAACGAAAAGCCAGGATTCCACCGAGACAGGCGGACAACGCTTTGGTGTGTATCTTATTAGTTTGCCTAGCACCGCGTCGGACGCACAAAGCTCAGCGAGGACTCCCATATGGGTTGTCGGGACGGACAGTAATCGAATATAATAATAATATGGTCGTTCTTTGCCAACATGAACGGTGCCCAATGGTTTGCATTATTATCTAGACAGAGACTCATTCAGAGCTGTTGGCGCTCATGTTTTGAGCTCTCATGCCTTTATTTCGTGTCCAACCAGCCTCTGCTTGTTCTATGAACGGTAAAGCACCAGCATTAAAGGAGGGGATCGGTGTCGTGATAGCAATTTCGCCTGGCTTGCTGGAGGTAAGGAAAGCTGCACGTTTTGATCACCGTCGCGGAAGGCGGACAGTGGCGGCCGCCCATTTCCACCCCTTTCGGGTCGTCCATCCTCCTATTGACAACGACGGTTGAAATGGTCTCGATTAGTGATAGTGCCGAAAAATACTATCTCGACGGAGATGAGGACAAATTGGGGCTTCAGACAGATTATGCTTATGCTTTTACTGGTGTTGCTCGTGCTTTAGTCAATCAAAGTAGCCCATGACGACTTAATTTAGCCTGGAGACGTGAATCTGCTTGACTACTCTTGGTTTAACGCGGTATTGGCAGAAAAGGAAGGAAATAGGAGAAAGGCAAGACATCGGACATGATGATGGAGCCGCCAGCATGATAGAGAGCCAGCTCTTGCCATACCTTGGATTTGCTCATACCACGCAGGAGCCTGCTGCACATAAGTACTAGATTGTACATGGAGTGATAACACCCATCAATCAGACACTTTATCAAGTAAACTCCCTCCGAACCAAATCCCAAACATACAGACATCGCAAAAGATTTAGGAGAAGGGATCAAGAAGCCACCAATGATGACGCCGAAGCATTACCCGATGCGTCTAGCGCCAGGGATGGCGAGCGACGAGCGAACGCATGCTCGGTTCAGCTTTCTGGTGTTGCGCCAGCCAAAACGAACGTCCGTTGGCAGGCGTTTGGCCAACCAACGTTATATCCCCGCAACATCTGGCTGTTGCCGACGCAGGCCACGACGCCTAGAGAATGTAGAGTAGTAATTGTACATGTTAGGTCACCACATGAGTTAATACCAGTGTATATCATACCAGGTCTGAAAAGCGCTCTTTCTCGGCTCGGATTTGTTCCGTGAATCGACAATCGCCTCACAGCCTGGTAAACGTTCCAAGTGCTCCTTCAGCCGTTGCTCCTGCTCGGCCAGCCGCAGGCTCCACCAGTCGTCCCCAGGATCTCGCTGTCGGACGGTGTCCCGTGCCCATGCCCAGGGAAATGCTGCCTGTACGTAGAGCGCGGCCAGGCCGTCGTGCTCGACGAGGGGTTTCAAAGGATGTATGATGTGCTTGTAACCTTTCATAATCTGCCACCCTTCATCCTTGGTCGTCCCCTTGCGGCTCGCCGCTGGGTCGTAAAGGAAGTCGGCGAAGACGACACGGATCGTAAGCGCCAGTGCGTCGATCTTACCACGCAGCCAATTGACCGTGTCGCGCCAGACTAGTATGGCGGGGTGTTTACCAACGGGCCATTCGCCGGGCATGTAAGGGGGAAAGACGAGCTCGAGGAAGCGGAGGTGAGCGAGACAGTCGGTAGGGACGGCATCTCGGAGGAAATCTGACGTAGCGAGACGATTGTATAGGTAGTACGCCTTGTTGCTGGCGGTTCCCGGGTCCCGTGCTTCGTCTTGGATTGGGGGCAGGGCCCAGAACGGGAACGCCTGGACACCGTGAACAATGAAACGGTTCCGCGAGAAGAAGACAAGCTGAGCATCGCGGTATAAGGTGCGGCAGAGGAGAAAGAGGCTGGTTGGTGGAGCTCAGCAGTTGCAGGTGAAGGAGAAGGCAGCATGTCGGCGGCGGCAGAAACAGCCTGGCGAGGGTGGTAGCAGTTCCTTGGGGTCGGCGCCAAGGCATCGGTTTAGCCGGCACCCGTGATGAATAAAAGGCTGACATTCACCCTCGGAATCTAGACAAGACGGCTGGCATACTTGATAGCGGCGATATCGCCTGCACCATGTAACCTCGGTCCAGGTGGTTACCAGGTCTGTGTACTCGAGAATAAGAAGTCGTAGCTCGCGTGGCAGGTTTACCAGAAGCGACGGTACCTTGGCAGGTGCAAGGCGAAGAGGTGAAGGCCTAGGGCAGGCTTGTCGGACAGCGCTTTCGGCTAGCTGCTGAAGCGGGCGGTCCCATTGTTTGCAAAGCCGTACATGGCAGTCTTTAAGCGGCGGGAAGGGGGCGAGAGGGGCGACGACAAGCTGGCCAGCCTCCCGTGCATACTCGTGCTGATGGTCGATATCGCAGACTAACGAGAGAGCGAGACGTCCAGCGCTAACATGGGAACACAAGTGGACCGCAGCCTCGTGCCATGTAGTCAATATAGCCTGGACTGTAAGCTTAGAGGTCGACTTTATATCCGATGAGCTAGAATCGAGCAGCGGACGGCGGTGTACACTCCCGTGGTGCTTTGCGCAGTGGGCACGGTCACTATTGGGCCGCGGCTCATGCTCGACGTCGACGTCGCCGTAACAGCAAGGCGGCGGGAAGTTGTGCGAGTCGACGCGATGGTGACACGAGCACTCGTTAAGACCGATCTTAAGGCTCGTCAAAGAGGAGACGGCCGTTGACGAGAGGGCGTGAAGCGGTCCAAGAGCGGCCTCGTGTGAGTAGAATATGACGAATTGGTTGGCAGAATACAGCAGAGTGGCTACTTCGGCGTACAGGGTGCGGCAGGACAGCAGTAAGCCTGTAAAGTTGCGCGTTGGCGGTGGGGTGAATGCCGACACGACTCTCGACCCGGGAGACTTCTTGCGCCGCTTGCGGCCATCCAGGTAGTCCGTGTAGGGACGCCCGTCACGGCGCGCCACGCCGATGTCGAAGTATATGCGATGGCGCAGGTGAGGAGGGAGCCGTAGCAGAGTCGGTGCCAGAGCGGCTGCTCCTCCATGTCTCGCGTCATGGTTGGTGCCCGATGGCTGTTGGCCACCGTCACGGTTGACTCGACAGGATTGGTGGCAGTTGGCTGTCCGAGTCGACTGTTCAATTTCGCGTCCCGTTTAGTTTCGTGACGGAGACCTGGGAGTCTGCAGAAGTCGGGTTTGTTCAACAAACTGAAACCACAATCAAATTGGAAGCCGGGGTGCCCAAGGTACATGGTACCTACCTAATTAAGTGCGTTAATAAGGGGTGCCGCTGATTGGGCCTTCACCTCCCAATCGCAGGCCCTGTCTGGAAATGCGACTCAACATGATGCGTCACCGCTGCGACATCGCCTCTGAACTCGCCACAGACGGGGCACGTCGATTCTTCCTCTTCGGCAGATGCCCCGATCATCCTGCCTTCCATCCCCGCTTCCCGCGTCACGCTCCGGGCGGCGCTTCCCGCATTCCTCGCCCCGCCGCGTTGCTTCGCGGGCTTGATGTAAGCATCAAGCCCAACCGCCCGTGTGGACGAAGGCTGCTCTTCGTCCCCGTCCAGGCTATGCCCGCCACGCCGTCGCCTGCGCCCGCCGTAGGTTGGTCCCGCCGCCGTCGTCTCGGCAGGCATGACTGCGGAGCCCTCTGATTGAATCTGGGCTGTCGATGGCACGGCGGCTCCGGCCATGCTCTGGACGCGGCCAACCCTGCCATCCGTCAAGCGTACTTTGATGCCCCGCGGGTGGTTGCCTCTGGTCAGCAGCTGCCCGACGACGCCTTGGACTGTGCGGCCGGTGGGTTGGTCGGCCTTGAGCACAATGTTGACGGCCGCCCCCGGCACGACCTCTTTTGTGGTGGGAATGCGATGCATGATGGCCGTATGCAAAGTGGTGGTGAGTGTGGTGATGTCAGATTTCAGAGTTCAGACCACTGTAGTGTTCGCTTTGCCGGCCGTTTTGAAAAGGCGCCCGGGCGTTACTAGACCCACATAATTGTGGAACTAGCCAATCAATGTCTTGGAATAATCAGCACCGCTGCAGTTCAACCGCGGAATGTTCGTCGGCGCCTGATTTGAAGATCATGATGGGAAATGGAACAGGGCAATGAATTCGGTGTTGTTCGTTGCTGTTTTTTTGTTGGGAGAAAATCCCGTACCTTATGCAGCCAAGTCTCGAACTAAATAACTACAGGGCACAACCCTATACCTGTAACACAAAAGGGTCAGCCCCACGATTTGAATCCCAACATCAAAACGGCCTCTTCCTCTACAGCGAAAGGATCTAAAGGAACAGAAGCTGTTAGTTTGTTGCGAAACACTCTGCCTTTCCGCGTCGAAATAAATCTTTTGGAACCTTAGCAGTGTTATTGCAGATTCGAGACCAGGCGCCCTGTCAGGCTGTCACCAGTTCCGCCCTAATAACACCCACTCCGCCACTCCGGCGTTGTCCTGTATACAGTAGCCATGGCGGGCTCGGCAACGTGTTTCTGATTAAGCGGAGACTGGACTCATGCCAGTGATGGGACAGTGACTGAAGAGCATGTTGGGAATGCGAATGAGCCCACCACCTTATACTCACGTGCTCTAGGACTCAGGATTCCCGGCCCAGTCTGGTTAGTCCATTCTTATCCTTATGATCGGCGAGCACAAAACCAGGTAGGTCAACGTTGCGACAATCTGTTCTTCGTATCAACTCCGGGAATAACGGGGAGGGCTCGATGGGTCCAACGAAAACATGCCTGTTCACTTTCACCGGACAAGAGGGCCCTCGCAGGACTGGGTGGCGTTGCATGGCAAACATGGTTTGTCTAGCCAAACAACTCTCTGTTGAAAAGTAGGAGTTATCACCCTAGGGCTCCCTCAGAACATCCTAGACATCTGTGTGACAAGCTGCTGTGCCTGACTAACTCCTCCAACTTCCCGCTCCTCCACTGCTCCGTTGCATCGTGTCCACAACTTTAGGGACCGGGATTGGGTTCAGCCCAGTTTCTGAGCCACCTTAAGATGGTTGAGCTGAAGCTTTAGGTTCATCTCCTCTTGCATGGACTCCTCCAGTTGCTGTTCCAGAATGTTGTTCCGGACTCGCAGTTTGCCGAGCCTTGCGTTCTCTCTGTACAACTGATGACAAAGTCGGACGTTAGCACACCGATAGTAATACTGGATCGTAATGCGAATAACGGTTGACTTGGGGTTAGACAGAGTGATTGGAACCATTGACCTACCGCGGAACGCTCACGCTTCAATCCGGCCTTTTGCTCGACAAGGATCTCAACGTCCTCACGCAGCTCCATATTCTCCCGACGGGTCTCCCGGTAGTTTTGACGGATCTCCCGGTTGTCTTGACGGGTCTGCCAGTATAAATAAAAGATTAGTATCAGTAGTATGCACCAAGGTGGATAGATATAGAGGATGATATTGGGAGTTCCCCGGCAAGCTGGGCTGTTCGACTAAGACAAAGGCGCGGTGGAGAGGAGCACAGAGGGGAGGACGGAAAGGATGACAGGCAAGATGACATAGGATGACAGAGGATGACAGAATGGAGTTCTGGAGGCCGAAGGGAGTGACATACCAGGAGATACGCCTCCTCAAGCTCGTCGCGCGACATGCGCTTCGCTGGTCCTCTCGGATTCTCGGCGCCCGATTCGGCCTCTTTGTGCTTCGCGGTGAATGAGTCGAACCTGTCGTGCAAGCTTTCCGCAACGGCGACGAGTTCCTTGAGGTCGTCCTTCTCGACCTATCTCTCGTCAGCTTGGGCTTTTTGAGCGCTGAGTAAGACGGTTGCCCGATCAACTAGTGCCCCCAACAAAGGTCCCCGCACCTGGCAGAAGCTGGAACTCGGGCAAAATTACAGGTACATCGCCGTAGCTTTGAGTGATTGAGATGGTCTGATCCGCCGAGGATGCGCTAGGCGGCGTACCCATCCTTTTGATCGGAGCTTCAGGTACCCCGTTGCGTTCATCCCCCGAGGGCCCGGGGACTTCGACTTGGGCTTCCTGGGGGCGGCGTCCCCTCCACCGTAACCTTCCTAGCCAAGGGCCAGGCGTCCACGGCTAAGCCTTTTAAGAAGCTTGCCCTATGTAGGAGCCAAGCAGAAGTCCCGTGTTCTGGGCGGAGGCTCCTCCACCGTGGAGCTCTTGCGCACTTCATAGGAAAGTCCGACCGTACCGAGAGAATGAGCACAGCGCGTTGCAGCATTGAGTGAGAAGGCCTTATCCGCCTGGGATCAGCTGCGCGGAATACCCATTCTTCGATACGCCCGAGCACCCCTACTCCATGGGCAAGAGGTGTCCACGGTGAAGCTTTTTAAAGCGCTTGGCACGACAGAACCCCGAGTAGGCGGAAACCCCCGAAGTCGGCAACGGGGGCGTGCGGACGCCAGTGATGTCAGTAGCGCCTCAGGCTTGTGTCTTACGACACCCGCTAGTCCACATGTGGCACGTGAACTTCTCCCTGAATGCAAGCCCTTGAAAGGCCAAGCTTGCGATCAGGATCGCGACCTGCCACCGAAGCAGTTAGGACTCAGTGGGGGGTCCTGCCCCTGCGCGTTTTGAACCATACACCTCCTGCTACTGCAGGTGTCCCTACAGATCATCGCAGGTAGTCGCAGGCAGATGTCGCTTGGCCAAGCAACACCCGACGCACAGAGACAGGAGGTCTGCGCCAGGGATCAAGCAACGAGAGCGTGGTCTTACCTCTTGGTTGCGTTCGTCGGACGCAGCGCCACGACGGGCCGAGCATAGCCCCACGAACAGGCTGCAGCTCTCCTCCGAATCGCTGCGGTTTCCGGTGGCCATGTTTGTTGCGCGAAGTTGATTGTCTGCGAGGTGGGTTAGTGAAGGCTGCTTCGTCGCGGGAATGTTGGATGACGTTGGAAGAACCTTGTGGCAAAGGGGAAGAGGAGTGACGAAAAACGGGAGGAGGGTTGGAAGATTGAAGAGGAAGGATGAAAATTAAAGAAGTCAGGGCGAACGAAAATGGTGCAGATATGAAATTGTCTGGCAGGAGACCGTTAAGTCGGGTTGAAAATATTGAAGTCGGTCAAGTTTGGTATGGCAGCGCTGAGAAAAATGACTGACCAGAGAGTTTCTGGTTTTGAATGAGGAATGTGATATAATGGAAACCAACAGGGGATTACCAGAAGGCAGAGGCTTAACTTACATGGGTCAAACTGAAGATGTGCGCTGACGAAGTTGGTTGTTGGTTGTTGGTTGTTGGTGATAAGAAGGTTGGTTGGAGAGTTGGAGAATTTATGAACTGAGAGTAGAGGAGAGGAATAAGGCAGATGCGGGGCAGGTGCAATTGGCAACTATTGATCTGAATAAGAACAATAGCAGTGAATAGATGGAAGAATTTTGAGGACCAGTTGCCTTACACGAAGCGCGCGCGGTGGCGAAGGTGCTCGACGCGTACCTATCTTAGGTAACTGCCATTAACTGGCGACCAAAGGTGGAATCCAGTCTCGCAAACAGGCAACCTAAAAGGGTAATCGCGTTTTACGTGGCGGGATACCCGCAGTTGAATAGTATGGTGAACGAGGCGGCTGTGAGCCTCTGTCGAGCAGGCTTCCGGGCCACGATCACTGGAAAAGAGACCACATACCGAGAAATATAAGCCCCGAACCACGGTTCTGAACAAAATGACATGACTTGGCGTAACATGACCTGCTCCATCCATCGAAGGCTCGGGTCCAAAATAGGAGGTCTCATACTTTAATGTACTAGTACCTGGTACGCCTCTAAATCCTCCATTGGAGAGGTCGCTCGGAGTGCGGGCGTTGAGTTGTAATCCCAACGTTTTCATAATGACTGTCGCCAATAACCTCACTAGCATTCCAACAATCACTTGACATTTTGTAGATTTCTAGGCAACGCGGTAGCGGGACGACACGAAATAGATGACATGTTATGCTTCTATGATTATGGAATATGCCCTTAACAAATCGATTTTTAAAGTGATAATGAGCGATGGATCCAATTAAAAACTTGGAACTTGAGAAACGAAGAAAAGGACGTGGAAAAAAGAAGAGCAAGACATGGAAATGACGATGACACAGCAAAGGAGGAAATAAATGACAAGAAGGTAAGGAAACTAACATGATACCACAGGAGGCTTAAAGCTGTAGTGAGTGTTATACGCGCGGTTTCCAGTCAATCAATCGATTCGCTCGTTTCTGGCATGGGGTTTCAGATCAATCGCTTCCGTTTTGGCACGCATGGGTACAGGTTCCGGAATCCAGATTGAGTTTGAGCCAGCCTCGCATCGACCTGTGACCTGGTGGAGACGTACCGGTAGCCCACCAGTGAGCCCCTGTAAGAGCAAGAGCCGCGCCCCACTTCACCGTGCTTATTTCGACTTCAAACTCCGCCAACGATTCCGATGCACCCGAGCAAGCCAAAGACAAGAAGACAGGCAGCGTGTTGAATTGGATGGCCACAGACGAAACCACACCCCTCCTCCCGACCTCACAGCAAAGAAAAGTCGAGTCCGAGAACGACGCAATGAACACGGTCTTCTGGAAGATCGGCGCGGTGTACGGAGCGGCGGGCGTCGCGCTCGGCGCATTCGGCGCGCACGGCCTGAAGAAGTACATCGCGGAACCCCAGAAACTGGCCAACTGGTCAACCGCTGCCCAATACCAGGTGACATATTTACCTACGACTTCCTTACACAGAGCCCTTTCCTTCATTTTTCCGTTTTTTTCATTTTTCTTTTCCTTCAGTGAGCGCTGACCTTGCAGGGCAGCTCATCCACTCGGTCGCCCTCCTCGTGGCCAGAAACAGCTCTGTCGCCGCCACCTTCTTCACGGCCGGCATGACCATGTTCAGCGGCAGCCTGTACGCCCTGACCCTTGACACCGAACGCTTCCGATTCCTAGGCCCTGTCACGCCCCTGGGCGGGTTGTGCCTGATTGCTGGGTGGCTAGCGCTGGCGTTTCGCAAGCCCCCCGTTGGGCTGCGGTGGCCCCGGTATTGACGGGCTCCAGTTGTCGGGCCGTGGGTGTAAGGGTTTCCGGTTCTCTTAGGATGAGACTCCGAGACACTGGGGCATTCCTCGGAGGAACGCTCTTACTTTACTACTATGCTGTATATTACTCTCTACGATGGTCACATATTCCAGTTGACTGCGGGAAATACTTAACCAGATCTCCGCTCATTTTTCGCTGACCAGAAGTCTTATGGATGGTATTGGGAGTAACAGGAGCCACTGCGTCCGAATGGGGATGATGGCCTATTATGGATGCTCAGTGGGTAGGTAGTGTTAAGGCCGTTGGGGACAGGTGATGTTGACGGGGCTCTCGCGTATGACCCTTCAGTCGCTGGGCTCCAAGATGGCATTGGATCCCATTCACCGATACTCCATCAAGGATATCCGGTTGCACCAAGCGCACAACATCGACCCTGGTGATGCCGTCTAGGGTTGATAGATCAATGCTAATTATATGACTCGAATGACGAAAACTAGAAGCTAATCCTTGTACACGATTACAATAAGCTTGGGACCTACCGTATTGCCACGATCACACATTTTCGGTAGCCATGGGCTCATCTGGGCGACGCGCACCTGACCCTTAGATGTACGCCATGCAGTTCCATACTCTCCGCCTCGCGATTCCAGCTTTCTTCCCTATCACCTAGTGCGTACCAACGAAGATCATCTCTGACCAGGTCTCCGGGCATATCCAACTATCCAACGGCTTCTCACACTGTGAGGTCCAGTATCGATAACACCAATGCGGCTAAGCACACCTTTTATAATGTCACTGTCTGCAGCGCGTCGTCATTCGAAAACCCCAGCAAGCAGCGGATGGCCGCTCGCCAAAGACTGCTTGAAGCTGCGCGAAAGCATCGCGGCGCCGGGAATCTGGTAAGCTAAAAGCTGGTACTCATTTCTTCTACAGCACAAACGGGTACACTAACGGAAAGTGTAAACAGGACTGTTAATGTCTTCACTCAGCATGCACTGGCCAAATACGGCACCTGCGCCTTCGAAGTGAACACCAATGGCGGCGTGCACGGCAAAGAGGCGGTCTTCAAGGTTGGAACCAGGACATCCGCGACCTTATTGCCGATTCCGTTTCTGCCTTCCGTTCGGAAAATGATGGGGTGGACAAGGTTAAATGGGATTCGGGTCCGGCAACCGAAATGCGAGGAGCCGATCAGGAGTTTGACAAGGACTATCCGGAAATAGGACGGTACACCACGCATACCAAAGCCACGAGAGGGTGGATTAATGGTGCTGTGTTATGTAAGCTCCATCTGCCTGTTCTTGTGCTTTTCTCTCTGCCTACCCGACACCATCCTCCGCCAAAAGGCTGGCTTCTCCTTCAGAACCAAATGCACTTAATAATCAGTCATCAAATGTAGGATTATCCAACCAATCCCTGGTCTTCTCAATCGCCGACAAATCGTGACGCTCTTCCGAAGTATCGTAATTAAGAGGATCGCCGTCAATCCAGCCCGGCGTCCCGCGCGAGGGCCCAAGCTTTCTTCCAATCTCGCGGCTCGAGCCAAAGTTGACCAGGACCGGCATGCCCGCCGCGTCCACGAGGATGTTGGCCGGGCTGATATCGTTGTGAGCAAAGCCCGCCGAGTGGAGGTGCCGGACGGCTGACTCCAGCGCAGCCATGAAGGGTTCCTTCTCGGTCTGGCCCACCCCGTCCTGGACATAATCCCTCAGACTGTGAGGATGCCTGTCGAGAACGAGCCCCGTGACGCGACCCCTCCTGACGCGACAGCCGTGATAGCGGATGATGCCGGGGGTGTGGATGCTGCGAGACGGCCTGCAAGGCGTGAAGCTCATCGAGCATGAGGGTTGGGATGGCGTACAGGCAGTCGTCCTTCTTGTATTCGTAGTACATGTTCAGCCTCGGTCGCTTGATGTAGTAGGCCTTGAGGTCCACGTCATCCGGAGCAAGTGTTATCTGGGCGTCCTGTGGCACTTCAGGATGGGACGTCCTCGTCGGGTACCCGTTCAAGCGCGGATGTGGCCTGGTCCAACGTGATCTGGAGCTTTGGTATCCGCAGTAGACCGAAGTATAAGACGTCATCGTCGTCAATCACAGTGAATGCCGTGTAGAGGAATTCGTGTGTTTCTTTGTCAAACGTCTCGTAAAGACCTGACTTGGCCAGTTCGCTCCAACTCGTAATGACGGGTGGCATGGGGGTTGTTGGATGGCAACAGTAGTAATTATGATTGCGCACCGGAAGCGAAATTCTCGGCGGTATAGAAATCAAAAGAATAAAGGATGTAGGTTCATGTGTCTTCAGGCCACTTTTACTGAAACTGAGGTTGGCGGTGTGCGGCCTAGGGCAAACTATGGTGGTTGATTAACCGCGCGCTTAGGGAGGTGTTTGTCCTTTGGTGCGGGCCGTTGTCCAACGCGCCAACCACAAAGTTCCTCTCCCTCTTGCACCCTATTATCGGAGGCGGTATCATCAAGTCACGACCGAACGGAGTTAGAGGATCACTAGGGTAGCACCCGGGGATTAGGATAGGGGAGATGATGTTACATTAGTAGTATCAAAGGGACAGGTGGATTTCCCAATAGACCAAGTACTCGACTGTATACCTTAGGTGAGAGGACCTATCCCTTTACATTGCTTCCTAGATTCAAACTGCAGGCTCCGAAGGTGGACCAATTTAACTCTCACCACAAGCAGTAGTAGCAGCTGAGATCCTTAATAGATGAAACCATCTACTATACCTCGAATATACTGCCTCCGGCGTTAGTGCTTTCCCTCCTCCGCCCTGTGTCCAATTACTAGTAGCTACCCACATTAAACGCATGGTACAGCTCACGGAAGGCCGACGGCCGTCCAAGCAGCACCTGTGGCGTGTCACATTCCACGAGTCGCCCGCTCGACAACACAGCCACTCGGTCGAACCACCTAATGTGCGCGAACCGATGAAGGACCGATATAACCTTCCGCTGGCGCCATTCGGTGTCAATCACCTCCTGCATGATCGCCTCGGTTTTGTCATCGACACTGTCGCGGATGAGTTTGTTAGTACTTTAGTTCAAATCTGTCTGCTGCTAGTACTAACCTGCTCGTCGCCTCGTCCAGGACGAGGATCCTGCTGGGCATGAGCAACGCCCGCGCCAGGGCCAGGAGCTGCGTCTCCCCTGAGACCACTCGGATGCCATCAACTCCGCGTCCAGCCCCGCCCCCGCGCCAAAGATCCGTCCCCAGAGTCCTACCCTGCGGAGTGCTGTCTCAATGGCGTCGTCAGACACGCGCCCCTCGGGGTCAAGATTGAACCGGACGGTGCCCGGCATGAAGAAGGGCTCCCTGGGAATGACATTGAGTTTGGCAGGGACATCGTTCCCGGCCAGCGCTGCGATGTCGACGCCGTCGATGGTTATCACTCCTTGGTGCAGGTCGGTCATGCGTAACAGCGTCATGATTAGCGATGTCTTCCCACTCCCAGACGCTCCGCAGATGGCGAGCTTCTCTCCTGGCGCGACGCGCAGGGCTATATCTGATAGAACAAGGTTGTTATGGGGCCTAAGCATGGTCGCCAGCGTCTCAGGGGCCTCTCATGGCTGTGACATGCTAAAGATGAGGTCAAGGTATAGGCAGCAGGTGGAAACAGTCCAGTATCGCTCGTGAGACCTGTGTTTGGACCGAATCAGCTATGGCGCAAAGTGAGTGGCGGGATGGATGGGTCGCTCACGGCAATGCCGAGGTACACCAGGACAAAAGCGCCCATCAGGGCATGGCTGTATACAGGTACTTCTCTTGGCGGCGCTGTGCTGGAGCTGCGACATTGGCAACCGCAGTTCCGATGAGGAACGGTCGGCAAAGCACAAACGCAGGCAGGGCAACGCACGGAGGCACAGCGGAAGAACGGCCAGGTGTTTGCAGCCAGGGTAGCGCGGGCAAGGCGTTTGCGGCCGGTGGTGCGCTCCCAGTATCTGTTCAGCTCCACCTAGGTCTCCTCTTCGGCGAGGGCGTCGTCGACCTTTGGGATGTCTCCGAGCCTGAGTATTGCGAGTACCCGGCTTGGAAGAATGGCAGTACCCAGATGAAGAAGCCCCAGTTGGCTCACAGTGGTACAGATTACCTTACAGAGAACACAGTGTCAATCGGCACGGAAAAAGCACCCGTCCAACAGAAGTTTCCGTCTCTTTGCGCAAGCTTTCCCTGTTGTTTGAATTCTGGCCCCGCGCTCTTCCAAAGACAAAAGATGAAAAGGAAATGCCGAGCAGAATACAAGACAACCAGTCAAACGAATCGACAAGGCTACTTGGTGACTCTAGTTCCGATGCTGGCGATCTCAACGTTCAGGTCCTCTCGCCACGCCTGCCGAAGGTTACCCATCAAGCCCGTCCCACCGCCTGGCGCACCATCCTCTCCGCTGCGGCGGTTCTACTCATACTCAATATCGGGAGCCACATCACCCTCGTCCCCCAGACAGCCATCCTCCAAGATATTGTATGCGCCAAATACTATGCCCATCGCGCACCACTATTAGGACATCCTCGAGCCGACGAGTGCAAGGTCGAGCCCGTCCAAAGCGAAGTCGCCTACCTCAACGCCTGGAAAGACGTTGTTGAAGCTGTCCCAGCTACGGTCCTGGCCGTGCCGTATGGTAGGCTTGCGGACCGCATCGGGCGCAAGAAGGTCCTCCTGCTCGCCATCGCAGGTTGCCTCCTGAACGATGTCTGGACAAGGATCGTCTGTGAGCTTTTCGCCTTGCTCAGCCTGCACCCAGCCTTACTGCTGTAGTTCTTAACTCCCGCATTGCAGACTGGTTTTCCGACCCTTTTCCCGCTGCGAGCTGTGTGGTTTGGCGGCCTGTGGCAGCTCATCGGCGCCGGGGCCGCTACGTTCTCTTCCGTTTCGTTTGTTCTGGTCGCCGATGTCTGCCCGGCTGAGCAAAGGTACGTACGTATGATACCCAACTGTGAACCCAGATGAGATGTCAAGATAGATCCTGACGGCCTTTGCGCAGATCCAGGCCGCCACTTCGTGCCGCGCCTCGTATTTGTTCCGGTTGGCGGTGCGTTGACATCTATAAATCCATGGATACCCATGACCATTGGGTTGGTCGCCATGACCGCGGGCCTCTTGGTCGCCGTGGTCTTTGTGCCAGAGACTTTGTCGCCATCCTTCCCGGAACCACTGCCCAGTGGAGACGCCCGAGCCCAAGTCGACTCTGGTACCAAGACGGAGACACAGAACAGTTTATGAGTAAGTTGGGAAGCATTTGTCAGACTCTGTGGCTGGATCCCGGGAAATGCCAGGGTGCTTTTCGTTCTCTCGAGCTTCCTGCTTCTCCACCTGGCGGAGCAAGCAGGCACGTTGATACTGCAGTACGTTGCAAAGCGCTTGGGATGGACGATAGCCAAAGCGAGTGGCCTGGAAGGGAGTATCTGGCTCAACCAACGCATGCTAACAAACTTGACTAGGCGTCCTTCATCACCTCAGTTGGCGCTGCCACCAATCTTGCGGTTCTTACATTCCTCATACCCGCTCTGTCAAGCTTCTTTGTAGGACGACTGGACCTGCACGAAATGTTCAAAGACAAGCTCATCGCGCAGCTTAGTGGCTTGTTCCTCGTCCTTGGCTCTATCACTGCTGCCTTCCGCTGGGGCATGCCCTTGGGAGAGCGCTGGATGGGAGCTCCATTCCTCATCGCAGCAGCTTGCTTTATGCTTGCCCTTGTCGCCGTCTCGGGAGCTGCAGTCTTGCCCGGCAAGCATGATGCTGAAGAGGACCACGAGAGAAGAGGCGAAGTTGATGGTGAACACCAAGCCACCTAAAACGGAACCATCCACATTGTATCTGATGATGGGTGATAGGACCCCCACCTGAAGACCGGCCTAGCTAGCCTCTGGCGTGAAGTTGTGAATGACACAGATAACGGTCTTATAAGTCCAGACGCAATTCTTAATCCACCCCTGGTCACTTACGCGAGGATGAGGTCGTTCCTTCCACTCACGATTCGACATCCACATTGCAGCGTTTTCACTTCGATCTAATCACATTCGTGGGGCTCGTAATTTTCCCAATCCCAGAGTCATCCACCCAAGAACGTCACTTCAGTTCAAACCGATTTCGCCCCTGTGCATCAAACCCAAGTTCGACGACATCCCTCCCATCCTCGGCTACCACCTTGCGCATATCGCCGGGCGGCAAGATAACAACGAGCGTCTTCCAAGGCGCTTCAAAGCCCGACGACTCATCCCTCGTGAACCTCGCCTTGATCTCTCCAGCCGCGCCTGTGGCCGTGTACGCGATGGTGTACGACGAGATCCTGTTCTTTCCAACGGCTGACACTCCGTCATCCTCATACCAGGTCGTTTCATGCCACTGGCCGTTCTTGGACGGGCCCTTCGGCGGGAAGATCTCGACGCCACGGTAATCATCCTGCGGCAGATCCGCCACATTCTCCTTCTCGCCGGGCGACAGGACCTGCACGTCGCGGCCGACGGGGATGGCCGCACCCACACGCGCCAGCACGGGGATCCCCGCGCCGTGCCACTCGGCGTCGATGTCCACCCACTGGCCCGAGGCGAGGTACTGGAACGGCGCATTCGTGTTCATGAACCCCTCGTCGTGCTCGGCATCGGCCGCCTTGGGAAGATACACGCGACCTTTGGATACGCCCGGCTCGTACACGCCGCCAACAAGCATCGCATCGCCGAACCAGTACTGCATCTCGCCGTCCATGATCTCGGGCGTCCACACCTCTGGATCCGACTCGTACCCCCAGCCGGTCCATCGCTGCGGCGGGGTGGCGCAGCGGTGGCTCTCGAGCATGAGCGAGTAGATGTAGGGGATCAGCGCGTAGCGGCGCTTGATGGTCCTGCGCACGAGGTGGGTGATGGACGGGTACATCCAGGGCTCGATGACGTCGCCGACCGAGTTGTCGCCGCTGGCCGTCTTGAAGCAGTTGATGGCGAAGCGCGGCGAGTGGATGCCCAGCTGCACCCACCGCAGCAGCAGCTCGGGCGACGGCTGCTCGCCCTCGAAGCCGCCGATGTCGTGGCCGTAGCACTGCATGAGGCACATGCCCGCATTGAGCGACAACGCGTTGGCCCCCTTCATCCCCGGCCAGCTGGTCACGTTGTCGCCGCTCCACGTGCTGGCCGCATACCGCATCGTTCCCGCCGTCGCGCTGCGGGTGAGCACGAAGGGCCGAACGTCTGGATGGACTTCGACGAGGGCGTCGTGCGACGCTTTCCCGTGGAGCTCGGTGTGGATGTTGCGGCCCCAGACGCCGACCTGAGGCGTCTTCTCGGCCCCAGACGGGATAGAAAGCCCAGGGAGGTCCAGCGCGCATTTCCAGTCATCGTGCGTGATGACGTACTCGTTGTTGTCGTTCCACATGCAGTCAATCCCCTGCTGGGCCAGCTCCTTGACGCCGTTGTACCACCAGTCGAACCCGGCCTTGGACGTGAAGTCGATGTGGCCGCCCGGTGCGCTCTCGCCGCCGCCCGCGCTCCAGAGCTTGGTCACGGCCGTCTCGCCCGTGCGCGGGTCGGTGAAGAGGGCGCCGGCGGCCTTGAGCTTCTCATATTCCGGATGGCTGCCGATCACGTATGGCTTGATGTTGGCGATCAGGCGGATGCCCTGCCTGTGCATCTCCCGAATCCAGCCCTCCGGGTCCGGAAACCGGTGGCGGTTCCACGTGAACACGTTGCGCGTCTTGGGCGGCACCGCCGAGACAGTGTAGCCCGAGGACATCTGGTGGGCCGAGCAGGGAATGTCGAACTCCTTGAACTTCCTGGCGAGCTCCAGCAGGGCCTCGCTCGCCGGGGGGTCGTCGAGCATCGAGTATTTCATGCCGCCCGAGAGATAGCCGAACGCCCAGCGGGGCACGAGCAAGGGGTACCCGGCCAGGTCGGCGTAGGTTTGCACGATATCCTTCAGCGTCTTGCCCACGATGATGTACTCCTCCAGGCCGCCGTAGTCGTGACGGTAGACCTTGAAGGGCCCCCACATGCCGTCCATCTCGGATCCGATCGAGTACTGACCGCGACCCTGGCTGGTCGAGAAGGTCGCCACGCAGCCGTCAGGGGTGACGTTGATGAGGAGCGGGATGTTCTTGTACAGGGGATCGGTGCGGTAGACATCGTACCCGAAGCTGTCTGTTGCCGAGAGCTCGAAACGGCGGCCCGCGAGGTTCATTGGCGCCGCCTTCTCGCCCAGGCCGACGTACAGTGTCTTGCGGTTGTAACGCGTGTAGCGGGCGACCCCGTCCCCGTCCACGACGTAACCCCGGTTCGGCACGTCTTGAAGAATGGGGAACTTCTGGCCCTCGATCGAGATGGACACCAGCGGGGTTTCGCCGGCGAAGTCGAGATCGGCTGTTACGTAGCCGATCTGGATCTTCTTGCTCTTGTCTGTCGAAGTTACGGTTGCCTGGACGCCGTCCAGCTTCGACTCCATCCGCGGCACGCTAGGGTAAGGTGGGACGGGGTGCGTCGCGGACTTGAAGGTCGTCCGGAAGACATTTGGACGGACGGTCTCAAAGGAGAACTCGAACGGCGGAGAGGAGTCGGAAGAGGAGCTGAGCCTCAGTGATGGCAAGACACCGTCATCGTTCTGACCCGGGCTGAGGGCCCAGGAGGACGGGATGTGTTCTCTTTGTGGGGGCATTTTGGAGTTGGACTTATGAGAGGAATGGTCTGAAAGACAGGACGGTGGAATAACAGGTCTCTGCGGAAAGAGACTCAAGACCGCCAAGGAGTGAGAAGTGACGAAGGGTATGGGGAGATGGAATGTTCAACTTCCCTCATGAAGCTCGACAATATAGCCAAGGGCGGCTGTTCTTTTTATTTGGAGACGACCATAGCTACCCCACGCCGATAGCCTGACACACGTGTCGCGAGACCGGAGCGGACCTGCAGGCCGCTTTCAACCGCTTGTCAAAGGCTCAAAGCTGTACTCCATGGCCCCATTCGACCGACAATAGAAAGCCGATGGAGCTGACATGGGATGTTGCTCGGTCAATTGGAGCCATCAACACGGCAAGCTCCACGGAATAGGACCCCAAAACCACGACTGAATATTGTCTTCGTTGGAGAACCGCGGGGGAAGCGGTGGGCCAAGACGTCTAGACTCTAGGCCCATTCCCAAATCGGCAGGAATCCAGGATCATGGCTCGGAGAAAGCCACCGAAGTCCGGCCCGTGCTAGCGCTCGTTAGGCCTCGCCAAGGCTTGCCAACCCCCTTTCCACCGTATAACCTCGGTGATTGACTACATCGTATCGGAGAAATCACAACGATGTCCGATTCTGGACTGATTCGGCAATTGTCCCCGGTACACTAGTGTACCCATCAACTCGTTGGGAGCCCCTTGTTCCCCCGGCCTCCTCTCCGCATCATGTGGCAGGTGGAGCGTCATCCCCATGGGGTATACGGTTGAGTTGCACGCCAACCGTGCGCTCGGGTCATGCATGATTTTCCGGGGAAGATTTTCAAGGAACATGTTCGTGTTATAAAGTAACGTTGGATACCGCCGAGTGGACTCCGGGACGATCTCGATTCTCACGTTCTCAATTCTGTCTCCTCGTTTGTCCTCTCAGACATTGACTTTGTTGTGTCATTGTTCGGTTGAACTCGGTGTCTGGTCCTCCCAGATCCAAACATGGCGGACAGCAAAGAAAGAAACGACAACGCCCCAGAAGCCATCCGCGTCGAGGAGGCCAGGGACGTCGAGGCCAACAAGCTCGCGGCTGACACGGATCGTGTCGAGGCCGCTCCGGATCGGGCACGAGGAGTCTATCCCAAGGGCCTGGACAAGGCAGCCGAGATTCTGAAGCAAGCCGACCATGAGGTTGTCGTCACGGTTGGCGAAAGCCGACGCGTGGTGAAGTTGGTCGACTGGAGGATCCTGCCCATCCTGCTGTAAGTTAATCATTGTGACCGGCCCTTCTAGGTGTCTTGACAGGAACAAAATGCTGACAGGGCCTTGCTTCTCATACTAGGTTCATCTACTGCCTGCAGTCCCTGGACAAAAACACGCTCTCGTACGCTTCAGTCTTCGGCCTCATTACCGACACCGGCCTCAAGGGCGACGAGTATTCGTGGCTCGGCTCGGTGGTGTACGTCGCTCAGCTGGTGTTTCAGCCACTGGTCGCATACATCCTCGTCAAGTTCCCAATCGGCAAGTTCCTGGCCTTCATGGTCTTCTGCTGGGGGGCTATCCTCTGTGGCATGGTCGCTGCCCACAATTTCACCGGGCTGCTCGTGTCGAGACTCTTCCTCGGTATCTTTGAAGCGGCAGTGGCTCCTACCTTTGTTGCCATTATTCAGATGTGGTACAGACGTCGAGAACAGACAACGCGCAACGCGGCATGGTACTCCATGTTAGGTATTGTCAATATGGTAAGAGACACACCCCGTCAGTCATCAGTAGTGCTGGCAAAGCAACCCGTTGTTGGCAAACCCCATGCAGCCTGCTGACAGTCCAATCATCACCTCACAGCTTGGTAGTTTGCTGAGCTATGGTCTTGGCCACATCGACTCCGGCGTTCTCAAGTCTTACCAGATCATCTTCCTGTTCTGCGGGTGCCTTACGGTGACTTGGTCCATTGTCACTCTGTAAGTTATTTGAGTTACTTCCTATGCGCGTCTCTGAGGAAGACTGTTGTGTCGATTGGAGGGACAATATGCTGACCCTTATCGGCGCGGTTCAGTCTCTTCATGCCTGACTCGCCTATGACGGCCAAGTTCCTGAAGGGCGACGACAAGCTGATCGCAATCGAACGCCTGCGAATGAACCAGCAGGGTATCGGCTCTGGGGTCTGGAAGTGGGCCCATGTATGGGAGGCCATGCTTGACCCGAAGACCTGGCTCTGGTTCTCGATGATGTTTGTCATCTCGTAAGTTCAAGCTGTCGCCCCGACCACCGACCCAGGGATACATGATCTCACCGCTAATGCACACAAACTACTACAGTATCCCCAGCGGCGGCATCTCGACGTTCGGACCCCTGATTATCCAGTCATTCGGCTTCGACAGCTTCACGACGATTCTGTTCAACATCCCCTTCGGAGCCGTGCAGATGATCGCCACGCTCGGCGGCGCCTGGCTCTCAGACAAGATCCGGATGAAGGCGCCCGTGCTCATGCTCCTCTGCCTCGGCCCAATCGCCGGCTGCGCCATCCTGCTGGCCGTGGGGCGCGCCACCAGCGACCGCGCGGTGCTCCTCGTCGGCTACTACATCATCTCCATCTACCCGGGCATCTCGCCGCTCATCTACTCGTGGTCGGGCCAGAACACGGGCGGCGACACCAAGCGCAAGGTGACGACGGCCATGCTGTTCATCGGCTCCAACGCCGGCAACATCGTCGGCCCGCTGCTGTTCCGTACCGACGAGAAGCCCCACTACACGCGCGGCCTGACCGCCAACCTGGTGCTGTTCGTCCTGCTGGCCGTGTTGGTGGGGCTGGGCATGCTCCTGATCAAGTACCTGAACGTCAAGCACGCCAAGGCCCGCGTGGCGCTGGGCAAGCCCGAGAAGATTGTTGACCTGAGCATGGTGGACAACCGGGAGACGGCTAATGACGATGATGTGCTCAACCAAGGCGCGGATAATGTGGGCGACCGCGGCTTCGAGGATCTGACGGACCTCAAGAACGAGGATTTCATCTATGTGTATTAGGGAGACATGCATGATTTGTGGGGATTCCTTGATAGGTCGGCATTGACATTGTACGTACGATAGTACAATATACGTATCAGTTGTGGTCGATTTGCCTTGTCCACTTTGAGCGCCAAGTTAGAACAACAACTTAATGTCGTCAGAAATGGTATGGTTAAAGATCTGACCCAGATGGTAGAGACCCGTCCGCATCGCGAATTGCCCCTTACTCGCTATAAATAATCACCCAGCTGAACCCCAATCTTCCCAGCAGCCTCCCGAATACGTGCCTCCTCCCACGGCACAGGCTCATCCGGCAAGACAAACCCGTCAAAGGGAGACACAGCAGTCTGAATCAACTTCTTGATGCCCCGTCCGTTTGTGAAGGAGATGTCGCGCACATAGCGGCCAAACGATGTCTCGGTCCGAGCGTTACCCCGGGCCCGGGATGAGCTGTCCGCTCAAACTGCGTCCGGGGTAGATATCGGCTTTTCCGCTTAAAGCGCTTCTGGAGTAACGGTCGGCTTTCCGCCAAAAGTGCGTCGCAGAATCACTCTCGCAAACTATCCGAGCGACCGAATCTGGGCTCAGGGGGGTCGGAACGGAAAGTGAATCGGGCTTCTGCGCTATCGTCCCAGAGCCGCCTTGGCCGATGTTGTGTAACAGAACTGCCAACAACGCCCAAGTACTCAATACGTAGGTACCTAATTATCATTCGGCTCTGCAGGTATCTGGTACATCACTCCAGATCTCCCCAAACTCCATTAACTCCGCTGCATGAAAGAAATGGAGACAAACATCTTGAACCTTGATTCGAGCGCTCCGTTCCGTCTCCCTTCAGTCTATAAGTTAACACAGTTGCATCGCGCGGCTTGGTGGCACATTCTCCTACCTCCATTCCTACCCTAGCATCTTTACATCTGGGAGGAAGTCAATCATGGCCCCGTCAAAGCTATTCGAGAAGATAGCCATCGTTGGCGTAAGTTCAAGTTATTCTCGCTGTGTTTCCTGCCGATTCTAATGGTTAGTAATAAGGCCACTGGGCACATCGGCCAGATCTTTGTGTCAGAGCTTCTCAAGACCGGCAAGCACACTATCACTGCCTTGACTCGTGCCGAGAGCAAGGGCACTCCGCCAGAGAGTGTCAAGCGCGTCCAGGTCAACTACAATGACCAAGAAACACTGGTTGCGGCTCTCCGTGGGCAAGACTTCCTCATCATTACCCTCGCTGTGAGAGCACCTCCAGACACCCACAGAAAGCTCGTCAGGGCAGCGGCCGCAACGGGCGTCCCGTACGTCATGCCCAGCTTCTACGGCAGCGACATTCGCAACCCTAAGCTGGCCAGCGAAGCCTTCGGCGCCGTCATCAAGGCGCAACTCGACGAGATGGAGAGCCTCGGCCTGTCGTATGTCTCACTGGCGTGCGGCACCTGGTATGAGTGGAGCCTGGCTCTAGGCGACGCATGGTTTGGCTTCCAGATTAAGGACCGCAAGGTGACTTTCTTCGACGACGGCAAGACGATTGTCAACGTGAGCACCTGGGAGATGTGCGGTCGTGCTGTGGCCGCGTTGCTCAGCTTGCCCGAGAGTGGCGCGTCCCCCTCCCTGTCGGACTGGAAGAACGAGCCCGTGTACATCAGGAGCTTCCAGGTGAGCCAGCGCGACATCCTCGATAGCCTCCACAGGGTTCTTAACACCACGGACGAGGATTGGGTCATCTCGTATGAGCCAGCCGGCAAGCGGGCCCAGGATGGACTGGAAGAGTTCTCCAAGGGCATCATCACCGGCATGGCCAAGAACATGTATGCGAAACTCTTCATCCGCAGTAAGGCAGGCGAGTTAGACTACGCAGAGGGCTTGGCCAACGAAGTGCTCGGCCTGCCAGAAGAGAGTCTGGATGGAGCCACCAAGAGGGCTGTGGAGATGGTGGAGAGCGGCTGGAATCCGCTTACCGGTTGATTCAGCTGTAGCCTGTATCTATGTTGAGTTACACGTCGAATCCGCTCCCATCTCAGAGCTTGTCGTGCCAGGTTAGAAAATTGAACCGCCACCGCCGTCAGATAAAAGGTGTATTGAGAGCGCCCATCTCTTTTCTGCTGTCTCTTCTTTCTAGACTTTCGTGTTGCTGGTATGGTTCAAAGACTATTCATGAGAAGCACGACAACACAGGTGGTGATGAAATCGGCGGTGTTGAGTGCAACTACTGAAGATGAAGATACTGTCTTTAGGTCTGTAGCATGCAGGTGGGGCTGTCCGAGAATGGAAAGATGGGTACCTAGTACACTAACCGGGCACCCACTCTCACACTATTCAGCGCAAAATCTTGACTTTCGCACAACTGCAATTGATGACTCAGCGAGCACGGACCAGCGCCTCAGCCGAGTTTTGCCGGCCGAGAACCCGTTCGCGTTCCCGGAGTGGGGCCGGCTCCGTAACGACTGCAAACGGCGCCGGCGACGGAGGCCGGAAGGCGTCGCCCATTCTACTTGGTTCACACCCCGATCAAGTCCCTCAGCTCGCACCCCGCGCGCATTCGCGATGGCGGTGCATTTTCGGCGCCAGGATCCCGTTCCCGGTTCGGGGACGCGAACCAACTACGTCCAACCCTCGAGGCTTGGTGCTGGCCTTGCTTGGCCTTGCTGGCCTGGCTCGGTCATGCTGTCGTGACCTCCCTCCTCTCTCCCCCTAAACCCCAGAGCTCCCTTCCTCTTCACCTTCTCGTCGTTCTTCCTACTCCCAACGCACTTCTTAACTTACTATGACAGTACAACGACAGTCGCGCTTCTCCGGGGCGAACTAGGAAAGCGTTAATACGCTCCTCCAGGCTTATATAGTCAGTGCGATCGAGGAGGGTGGTAATGAGAAACCCTTTGTTGCTCCGGATACGAAGGCGGAGCGCGATAGAATATAGGAAGCTTAGACCGAGTATGTCTTCTCCCCCTCCTGCTCTAGGCTTCCCTAACTTAAACCAAATCTCGATATAAAGCCTGGGGCAATATGCTAATTTGTTACTAATTTCCATTATTTTTCTAAAGTTTCTATGAACTTACTAGAAAGAAAGAAGGTGCAATAGATAGGTATAGCGTTCCCTAGATGTATATAGCTTACTATCGAGCCTTAAAACTGGTCTAACTAAGTGAAGCTATAGTAGTTTCGACTCCTGCTGCTTCTGGATAGACTTCGCCCGGGATCTATTAAATCTAAACGTTCTAGCACTAGTCCGGACGTTTCTATACTAATATATAGAAAGCTCCTATAAGGAATATATTGTGCTAGGGCTTAAGGAGCATACTATAGTCCGTACAGTCAACTCCGCTTATAGTATCATTGAGGTTTGGCGGAGGCTTGTCGCAGCGGCCGATTTTAACGTCCTCTGTATTAAGCGGGCTATGCTACGAAGGAATAATCAAGCCCTGAAGGCCAGCCGGCTTATGCTAAAGTAGGAGCAAGAAGGCGAGAAACGCAAAAGACCTACCTATTCTATTATCAGGGTATATAGGGTAGAAACGACTCTATCACTTCCCTCCCCTTATACAAAGCTTTATATAACCTTGTATTTCAATTAAGGATACATTTCCTATACCTCCTATCTTCCTATTCTATACTTTTACTATTTATATACTTTACTAAACTGCTGCCTAGCTAGTGGATTCTCTAGGAACTGACGCCAAAACTCCGGCTGGAGATCGGCTCGTCGTACGAGAAGGTCAAGGCAACAGCAGCAGACATTATCGTCATTCTTACAGCGCTATACCAGCGTGCTGATGATATACCCGCTACGCCACTTACAAGGGTGTCGGTTCACCATGCGGTGCTTCAACTAGGTACCGGCGGTTTCCGTCCAGGCTGCCTTGAAGATACCCTGTGCAAGCAGTTCACCATATCCATCGTGCGCGATCCCGATGATCCGACCCGGGTGAAGCCCATTGTCACATACAGGATTAATCGGAACAAGATCAAGGAGGCCGAGAAGACCGTCAAATACAGGAAGAACACATCGTGAGCAACTTCATCCATTAGCAGATAGGAGGCCAAGGACTGACGAGGTGTATCCCCTACCGCCTGTCAATAGCGTCGCCCACTCTACCGCTCTCGTGCCGTTTCCCCTCCTCGATTCGGCAAGCCTCGTGATCACCCGGGCGATACAGATGGACGCCTTGGACTTGGATGTCAGCTACAAATCACTCCGCGATCTTCTATAGCGTCTACGTCTTGGCAAAACCGGCCGTATCGATATCCCCTGGAAGGAGAACTTCCTTAACAAGCCTCTTTTCCCACTGAAATATGCAGACTTCTGGGCGATTTGGCGTCGGTGCCTCTATGTTATAGGCAGCCGGAAAGACATCCGCCCTTATTCTCTTCGCGTTGGTGCTAGAGCCCGGATGGATGGTACGTTGTTTTTCCGACATTTACCGCCGCTGGACGTCAATTGACACTTTTCTGCAGATAGCCTGTCAAGTGCCCTACGGAACTACATCATGGGCCATTCAGGACCTATCTTCGAAAATGACTACCAGACAGCTGTCGTAAGAACCAATCTCGCCGCAATAGCGTTTGGGCCGAAAGCGGTACGCCGGGATGAGACGCTCTTCAACGACCTCCGCAATATGACCCTTACACGGGACGAGGGCGCCCCTATCAAGGTGTCGGAAGCGCAGATCGCGAAGTTCCGGGAACGAAGGGATATCGCCAAGCTCTGCGACGAGATTCAGCATACAACCGACAAGCTTGAGAAGAGCAGACTTTGCGGCCAAATCAGCAGCATCCTCGAGACTTACAAAAGGCTGCAGCTCGAAGAGGATCGACAGGCCTACTTCAAGGAGGCGGACCGATTGCGTCTCCAGGGTGGTGAGCCGACCCCAACGCCCGGCGCGGGGGGCCCGGGGATAGCGGCTCCGGTGGCCGCCTGTCTATCGCGCTGGAGACCGCAGGATGGGGGCGAACTTCCAACGAACGACACAAGCGTATCAGAGCAGTATGTCGATGCGCAGCTGCTATACCTGTCGTCTACCGTACCTATAGCTCGTCAGCGTGCTCCAGAGGCAGCGGCAGCGGCACCCTCTAAGCCGCAAGGAACATCCTGCTGTTTCGCCTGCTTCAAAAGCTTTACAAACCGCACTAGCCTTATATAGCACTTCTAGGACATCCATCTTATGGACGGTACATTTGACAACCCTTTTGCATGTCCCGGGTACAGGCGCGCCGGGGCAGCAGATGTTGCCGTGTACGGCCCAGCACAGTGGTGCAATCACCTCGAGCATGCCCATGGCCTAATCCATACACCAAGATTCAATCGAGGTGCCAGCCACCGGGACTCGCTGTTGGCCTGCCTTCTATGCGAGGCACCTATGGCGTCTATGAGCACTCTCCTCGCCCACATGAACCGGACCGAGATTCCTCGGTATCGCAAGGGCCTTCCTGTCGCCTATGGCTCCTGCACTCGTAAGGGCCGAGTTGGCGTCGAGCCGATGAGCATCTGGGAATGGCTGACGCACGCTCGGGCCGTTCACAATTGGGCTCTTCCTCACGTAGCACCGTGCCCTCTCTGCGGACATCTCTATGCCCCAGGGCCTGGCCTCTGGAGACATTTCGCCACCCGGTACAGCGACAAGCTCGGAGAGCAATCAGAGAGCGCCGCGCGCCTGGCTTCGGCAATACCGGCAGGAGAGATGCAAGGCATCCATAAGTTTGAGGAGCTTCTCCGATAGAGCGTGGGAAAGCACCTGTTAGAACAGTCAGCGGCAGATGCTGCGGGACGAAAGCGCAGGGGGGACGGCGACATGGACGGCGAAACCACCGCTCCAGCCGCCAAGCGCACGAAGGTCGACGGCGACGGGGAGAGCCGTACCGCAGCCGCCAAATGCACGGAGGGCGACAGCGACGGAAAGTATCCCGCTCCAGCCGTCAAGCGCAAGAGGGCCGCCAGGCACAATATGGCGTACAAGAGGGAGCTCTCCCCCGTTGTGTTATACAATACCGGCAGCGACCTGTGTGAGGACGTAATTATCTGCGCATCGACTGTCGACGAGCAGCAACCGTGCCATCTGACGAAAAATCATATAGGCTCGAGTGCGGCCCTGGATCCTGATTTTCTTGGGCACGTCGACCCCGCCCTTCTCGCTCCGTGGCGCCCAGCCAGTGCCGCCTACCACACTGCCGCGGTATCCTCAGACCTTCAAACGCAAGAAGCGCTCAGGCGGCCGCGGCGACGCCGTGGCCGCTGCCATGGCTAAACGGCAGGACCTTGGGGTTTGGGTCCCATGGCTGGATGACAGGATGGTTAAAGAACTATGTATGCTTATTCATTTTGATGCCAACATTGCCAAATGACTGCCATGTCTTCTATGTGCCTTCCATTGCCAGTGAGATGCTCGGTTCTCCGGAGAAAGTAGAATACGGCGTTGGCTCGGTTTGGGAGGTATGGCACAGTCGCGTGGAGTTTACAGTACGTTGGTTAGATGATGCATTCAACGGACGTGATCGAGCAAAGCGACACAGATGAATAGTTAGATAAAACTGCTTTAAAATAGCTTGCTAGCTGTTTGTTGATCTATAACCCCTCGAAAACCATGGCTCGAGTCGCCCCCTTGGTGATACTCCCCTATTGTCTTCGTTTTCACCGCCGCTTAGGGATAGGGTTAACGAGTCCCTTATCTCGTTCCCGTCCCGATTTCGTGTTCCTGTTCCGGCAGCCCACCAAGTTGCAGCCAACCGCTAACACGAGCATATGGCGAAGAACCTCTAAAACTTCTTGGAATTGCCCTTTCGGATAAACAGAGTGTGTTCTACGTCTAGCATACTAGGAACGACCAAAATGTCCCTAGGCGCTGTACGGGTTCCTGTCGACTCCTTGGAGTTCCTATATCGAAGGCAGATCAGCTTCAAAGTGCGGGAAAGACTTGGGAGAGTGTTTAGAAATTTGTCCAAAGCAGGGGCCGCCGAGGTTCGCATACCCTGCACCGTGGACGAAGGGACGTTTGAGCAAATCATAGGGCGATTGGGGCTCTCCGCCGATCAGCTCCGTGGAACTCGGAGGAGGGGGCAGAGGGACTTGCCTCTTCTCACCGGAGTCACATTGTCGTGCCTCTACGGCGACTACCTTGTTGCGGCGGCCAAGGGCAATAAGGAGGCTTCGCTAATCGTTCATCTGTTCTCTGCGGATCGTAAGCTATAAGTTCCCACTCCTGAATTTGGCTGAAGGCTGACAATTCAGTGCTCGAACCATTGCTCGAGGTCATTTCTACGTTCACCTATGAGCTATAACAATCGGATGGAGAGCTGTACCAGAAGATCATAGAGAACTACTACCGCGATAGGGTCATATACGCACTCTGTATGGGCTCTCTCACGGGGCCTAAAGAGCGCAATATGAAGATGCTCCTAAGGCCCAAGAACCTGCCCATAGTCGAAGCCCTGAATAGCCTATTCAATATCCCAGCAATGATAGAGCAATTGCGCCTCGGCAACATCCACAAATGGCTTGCTTTATACATCGATAAGCAAATCATCAACTACCTCAACCATATATCCGTGGTTTGGAAGCAGGAGATATGCCAGGGCAAGAAGACGATCATCAGTCTCTCGACATTGATAGCATATATATCGTTCAATTCCGCATGCCTACGGTCTGTCCGGGAGACACAGATACTATCAGGCGCCTGTTCGACAACGGCATGCTATTTCCTCGCGTGACCGATTCCAGCGACAGAGATATACTGCGGCGAAATGTTCTTTCCCTCGATATGGTTATCCTGAGTTTCGAGACATTTCAGGAGAACATGTATTACGTTGGCTTGACAGCCAAGATTTTAATGCGGTATGTCGTTGACGAGCTGCCGCTATACAAGAGCAGCAGAAAGAGGAGTCCTACCATCTTCAAAGTCCTCTCCGGAAGTTGGACGGCCCCGGAGGTTGTACAAGTGGAGGCTGACGATGGCAAGATGACCGAGATTAAGGGGCCAGTATCGCCGTCTCTCGCATTCATATAGCTTTGTTTAGCTTGCTTGCGGCTCTTTCTATAGCTCCAGGATAGTCTCCCGCCCTGTAAAGACTGGCCATAGGACAGTTTCAGGGCCGACGTAAATTTGCAGTGCGTCGTATACGTCCTGCAACTGGCCTCCAAACTCGGATTTCGAACGTCCAAGATCCAGGCTGCCCTATCCTAGCCCTCGCACGCCGGCCCTAAGCCCTCCTCCTCCTCCTAGTAGGAAATACCGGACTAGAGAGGCGGCAGGCCTTTCATACGGACATTCTGGTATTTACAAGCGAATAGGTTCCTTCCTACGCTGGCTGCTATGCGGCGTCGTTAGCCCAACCCCGAATTCGTCTTACTCGATATAACGACGGCGTTCTTTAGAAAGTATACTGTTGTTCTAAAACATAGGTCGCAAGATACGCAGGCGGATGACAATATCGACGAGGAAATGGGTCTGGATGCCGAGAACGAGCAGGGAGACAGGGCCCCGATTGCCCCTCGTACTGCGGGGGACAAGATCAGGCCAAGATCCCGTTACTTTAGGTCAGCTGCAAAAGCGAGGCATAGGATGGCGGCTTCCGTGATTGCGAAGGCACCCCGACAAGACGTTGTAGGTATTCCACGACGTGAAGCAGCACGATCCGTCATAGGAAGATAGGTTATTAGAAAAGCCGCAGGCCGTGGCGGGGCAGCCTCCATCCCGAACCCTTTTGCCCAGTCTCTACCAGCTTCGCCGGGTCGCGAAGCGGCGCAGGGTGCTAAGGCAGCAGCTATTCGACCGATAGGCTCGTCAGCATCTGAGCCGTCGCACGAGGCGGCCGTCCAGCATATACAAAATCCCCGATCTGAATCCCTCGGCCTCTCAAGAGACAATTCGCAGGGCGAAGGCACCAGTTTTAGTCGCGAAGCTGCCCGTTCTATCTTCGTGGTGAAACCATCCATAATGAAACCACCCATGGTGAAATGGGATGACAGAGTTCAAGGCATCCATGATATCCTAACGCCCGTGCCGACGCCACCAAGCCGGTTACAGCCCACTACGACGAGACCAGATCGAGAATCCAGCCGCGCCACTGATGCTTCCACTCCGTCTCATCGACCCAGAGCCGCCCGCTTCGCTTTCCGTCCGGCCATACCACCTATTCGGGGTATGAACAAGCAAAAGGCCGAGCCAACACGATACTTAGGAAAACGGTCGCTTGAGGAGTCCGATATATTGACGATTCGACAAGAAAGGCCTGAGGAACCGGCTCTAAAAAGGTTTCGGCAGGCTCGCGCTGCCGAGGAGCCTACGTCGCCCAGCATACTCCCTGTCCCGTCAGATTTGCAAGATAAACACAATAGGATGGCCACGAGGAAGCGTAATGCTATGCTTTAGGATAGTCAAGTTACTTCAATATTGGTATATAGGATAGGGGAATACGGTAATCTTTTAGTATAGTCGCATCCTATAAATGCCCTAGTTCTCCCTATCTAATTAATACTAATAGACGGAGTCGAGAAAGACAGGGGCCTTTCGATATAGTCGTATCCCCTCCCAATCGAATTAATAACGAGGTTAGATCTTTCCTCTATCGAGGAAAAAGACAAGAAAGAAAAAGAAGAGGAGCAGTAATAGAAGCCGTTTGCTAGATAGTTTTTATATCTAATTCCTATATTAATTCCGACATTTAACGGAAGCTGCTATAAGTTATTTAGTCTAGTTAATATATTTACGTAAGTTCACTATATATAATATAAAGAGCTAGAGCTATATAAAGTAGATAGTAGAAAGACCGTAGTAAAGAATAGGCTTATATAGCTATATAGAAAGATAATAATAGCCCCTTTTTTTAAGTTCTCTTATAGCTCGTTACCTAGGCGGCCGGCTATCGCGGTAGGACGTAGGCACCCGGCCAACGCCGAGTATTAGCGAGCGGCTAAGCCTCGGCCGTTTTCTAGTGCATTTATACTACTACGGCTACCTAATATAGTCCCCTCCTACTTATAAAGGAGCAGGATTAACTTAATATATATATTGACGCCTATAGACTTGGGCCCTTCGCCCTATAGCAACTTAGGCTAATATAAGAAAGGAGGCTCGGTAATATTAGCTAGAGTTATATAAAGAAGAGAAATAGAAAGAAATAGTTACTATATAGTTATAAGTATAAGTAACTTTCTCTATAACGATATTCTTCTAAATTATAGGAGAGACTTATATAGTATTATTAACTAAGATCTAGATAGTATATTCATTTATATAACCTAAGTATAAATATTAGCCGGAATATATTTCTACTAATATCTATAACTAGTGCAATATAATACCATCTGTCCTTAAGTTATTGTAACTTTTATTTATATAGATAACTACTTATTAATAAGGTAATAGAATAAACCTACTAATGGAATTTACTATAATATTATAACGACCTAATAAATCTACCTAGCCTCCTAGACCCTTCTAGTAGTATATTAATAAAAAATAAATAAAAAGTAAAGAAAGAGACTAAGAACAAATTATATATCTTATACCCTTCCTGGTGAACAAACATCGGGGGCCGCCCACGCGGGCGGCCGGGCATCGCAAAAATCGGGAATTAGGTCCTTTGCGATCTGTTCTTTCGATTCCAAGGGGTTGCAGCGACGCGCAGCTTCTACGCGGCCGTGTGGCTGTCGGATTGCTGGTTTTCGCGACAAGAAAGTGAGGATTTTCGAGTGCACCGAAAATCCCGCACTACCCCGCACGACGACCACCATTGACGATAACCACGATAATCTACCTGCAACAAGTTTGCAAGACTAGGGGGACACTGGGTACGAAAACCACCCGACTCTTTCGACGTTTTGAAGAAGAGATAGGGCACCCCCGGCCCTGCCCGGTTCTAAGGGCGCCCACGACGAACGCTAGAGGGCTAGTCGTACGGCGACGAGGATACGGAGCGAAAGCCGGCATCGCCGACCGATCGTACGACCAACTATAAGAGCAGGAGAGAGAGGGAATACGGGCTCGTTAAGGGAGGCAACACGGGCGGCCGGGCCCTCTTGCGAGGCACTTCGCCCTTTGCAACACTGTAGTTGGATCTGAGGATAGGAGGCGAGGCAGGTGGATCAGGGCAGGTTAGTAGCAGAGCGACCGAGCGAGCTGTGCCGGCGTGGCAGCTCGTGCGACGGCCTGCTGCAAGACACGGTCGGCCTTGTAAGGGAGACCTAGCAAGGCAACGGGAAGCTGGAAGTCAGGGTTGCGCCTGGCGGAAGGTGGGCCGTGGCGGCTATACTAGACCGAGAGGAGGATGACGGAGGTGTGGCCCTGGCTTGCACCCAGGCCATAGGAGAGACATAGCTATTCCCTCGGCGAGGGACCCGTGGGAATATCGTACGCGGCGGGGAGTATGCTCCCTTAGCCAGAGGCGTACGATGGGGGAGGAAACCGCCGACAGGACGTACTAGAGAGTACTATGGCTGGAGATCAAATGTGTGGTGTCGCCGCTACAAGGAACTCATGGCTCTGAAGGAGTAGTATAGCCGGCCGGAGAGGACGGACGCGCGTGTCGGTCATCCAAGAGGGAGGAAGTATTGTGCCTCTTGTGGAGGGCTTAAGGTGCAAACCTTGGAGTCCCGTGGCCTAGTATTATTATGCTTGGTCCGGTAGAGAGGTTTGGCCTTGCCTCTCTGATTAGATTACCTCTATAAGGCGGATCTTCGCGATTACGCTTAGGTAGCACGTTTGTAGAGTGATAATCTAAGGACTTCAAGGCTCCCTATAGGCCTATTGAAGGCCTGTGGTAGGCCATTGTACAGGATCCTCGCACTACTCACCCAGAGATGCCTCGAACTACAATGGGTGCCAGCCAGGCTAAAGGAGGCTATAGCTATAGTGCTCCCAAAGCCTGGTAAAACCCCAGCTGACTACCTTACCCCCGGAGGCTATAGGCCTATTTCGCTCCTTCCTACCATTGGCAAGGTAGTGGAAATAGTGGTTACCAAAAGAATCACAGAGGCAGCCGAAGCCTACGGCCTATTACCCGACGAGCAGATGGGTAACCGAGAATATAGGTCAACAGACCTAGCCATTCGGCTTGTGGTAGCCCAGATCCAAGAGGCCTGGAGACAACGCGCTACGGCTTCCCTATTGCAGTTAGATCTCACAGGGGCCTTCGACCGGGTAAATCATACCCGGTTACTGGCTACAGTCCGGGACCTCGGGCTCCCGCAGTGGCTTGTAGGTTGGCTACGGTCGTGGCTAACGGGCCGGAAGGCCACACTCCTATTCGACGGCCAACTTGCCCCGGAAATCGACATCCGAGCTGGAGTGCCACAAGGATCGCCACTATCACCAATCCTCTTTATACTATATATAGCCTCGCTATATAAAGTACTAAAGGAAAAGCACCCTCTGGTCAGCTTAGTGGGATTCGCAGACGACACCAACCTCCTAGCTTTTGGAAGGGACCCCTATATCAACTGCCGGCAACTGGAACAAGCCTGGGCTACATGTCTACAGTGGGCTAAATCCTACGGAATGGAATTCAATGGGGCCAAGTCAGAGCTGATCCACTTCAACAAAGGCCGTAAACAGTGGTCTGAACCACTACGACTAGCCAAACCGGGCCACCCTCATGACCACACTACGGTTAAACCAACGGCTTCAGCCCGGTTCCTAGGGGTCTGGCTCGACTGGAGGCTTTCTTGGAAGGCCCACGGAGCCAGCATAGCTACCAAGCTAAGAACCCAAGACTTTGCCCTATCAAGGATAGCAGCCAAGACCTGGGGCCCGGGGCTAATCAGGGCCAGAGAGGTCTATACCAAGTGCATTCGTAGCGCAATAGCCTATGGGGCATCCAGCTTCCACAAGCCTACAACACTCAACGGCCCACCACAAGGCCTAGCCAGGGACCTAGCAAAGGCCCAGAACCGAAGCCTACGCATCGTAACCGGAGCCTACAAGGCCACCCCTATACGGAACCTCGAGACGGAAACTTGGATCCCTCCCCTAGACCTCTACCTTAACAAGAGGCTGGCCGACTTCGAAGGCCGGCTCAACGAGCCTACCCTACAGGCCGGGCTAGGCCCAGAGGCCCCGAGACGCCCACCAAAGGAAATCATCCAAGGGGCTTGCAACAGGCTCCAACGAAGGTTCCGGAGGCTACGGGGCCGGCCCCGGAGCCCAGGAAAGCCAACAGACGTCGAAAAGGCCTCGGCTGTAGTGGCCGAATGGAACGCCCAGGCTAAAGCCTTGGGCCCACCATTGGCCAAGACCCAGGATGACTGGGCATTATTAAGAGCTTGGGAGGCCAGGTGGAAAACCCAGGTCCAGGGACAGCCAACCAGGCTAGCCGACGAAGGCCTACCAACAGTCCTCTTCACAAACCAAGGCCTACGGAAACACCAAGGCCTTACAAAAGCCAAGAGCTCCCTACTAGTACAGGCCCGTACGGAGGCTATAGGCCTACGGGACTTTCTTTTTAAACAAAAGGCTCGTAACCAGCCTACCCCCTATTGCGAATGCGGGGAAGCCCGAGAGACAGTGGAGCATCTCGTAATTTGGTGCTCTATACCACCTATACCAAGAACTTGGCCTAGGCAACTAATACGCACCCACCGGGATCTTAGCCTTGTTTTACAGGGCCTAGGCTACCGGAACCGAAGACTTCTGAAGAAGGTACTGGGTTGGCTGATGAACTCGGGCCGGCTAGGGGAATACAGGCTCGCTCGGAACCTTGATGACGAACTGGAAGCTAGGGAGCCCGGCTAGCTATACCCGTGGCCACGGCTTAGCCGGGCTAGTACCCTACTAGCCGTTGGCCCAAGGCCTTCCCAAGGCCTTTTTCTTTACTTGCAGCAGCGTGTATCACTGGAACCATGTCTTTCCTATTATTTTTGATGAAGGTTTTCACCCGGCCTAAACGGTACGGTTTTTCCTTTGTACATAGCAGTAGAGGGTCCGGCGCGCCTTGTAAATAGCTAGGCATAGCGGAGTAGGAGAATATATATATATATCTTATAAGAAGCCGAATAAAAGAACCTATCCTAATATATATCCGATAGATATTATTTATCCTTGGATGGCAAAGTATACTAGTTGTACTTCCAATAGTAGCTAAAATATATATTAGCTATTGCAAGTAATTTAGGACTAATCTAGTCCTAGGCTATAACTATATCTTACGAGGTTGTCCGGCTTAATTGAAATTTCAATGATCGCTACTATTGCTATCTGAATTCGTCCAATATCCGTAAGTAAATAACAATAGTCGGTTTAGTTAAATAATATACGGCGTATTAGGGTACTGATATTAATCCTCTATATATAGCGCCCTAATATAGTATCCTAGATCTTAACAGTCTTATTAACCGAACCGGATATAACCTACTAGCTGTCGGGCAAGAATATAACCGACCGAACCCAGTTGCTATAGCCTTCTAATGTCTATATATAACACCTTGATATAGTATCCTAGATCTTAACGGTCTTATCAACTAAACCGGATATAACCTATTGGCCGTCGGGCGAGAATACAACCGACCGAACTAAGCTATTATAGCCTTCTAATATCTATATATAACACCCTAATATAGCGTCCTAGATCTTAACGGTCTTATGGTCCAAACTAGATGTAACCTACTGGCCGTCGGGTAAGAATATAACCGACTAAACCTAGTTGCTATAGCCTTTTAATATCTATAGGCATATATTTTAATCTACTTCTATAACCGGCTTTGTTTTAATCTAATCTAGTTCTTCTACCTTAAAATACCCCTTTATCAAACTACCAGCTAGGGTAAATATAAGGGCTAATATATATGCTTAAAGCAGAGCTTGCTCTATTATCCATCTATAAGATAGAGCAAAACAATATATATCCCGAACAAGGTTTGCCAACTGCCGCTTGTCATTATATCCCTATATCTTCGTATTATTCTAAGTTTCTAGAGCAGGGGCAATCTTATCTTTACCAGTAGGTTCTTAAGCTACCTTATAGCTATAATACCCTCTGGTATAGCTTGGAGTAGATTAAGAGCTTCGAGCTAGTAAAGGTACTTCGTCTTAAGGAATATATAGATAATCTTATAGAATACTATCCTAGTATATGCTTATACTAGAAACCAAGTTATATAGGTAGTTAACCTAGTAGATGCAAAAGTACTATACTATCGCAAGCAGGTCTAGGTCTAGCATTTAGACGTCGTCGATCGAAAATCCTAGTACGCCTAAGCTATATATATCGTACAATAATACTATAGATATTATATCGAGTGACCTAGAAAAAACAGAGTTATATATATTTTCTATCCTAGAAGTAAAGACCTAGTCGAAAGCCTCTTAAGAAGCTTTATTAGAGGCTTTATCTAAAGCCTTACTAAGGAGAAAGTCCTTAGCAGATTGGTAGACGAAATAGACGGTTTATTCTCGAATGGTTAGGAATAAACCGCAAAGCTTAACGATCTCTTCCAAGGACCCTAGATCGTTAGAAACGTTATCCGGCATTTTAATAAAAGAGGTGAGTTCGTTAAGGCTAACCAGCCGGCGAACAATAGTAGTAACTATAAGAATCTGCTTATGGAGTTCTATATCCTTATAATAGCTAATCTATTCTATTCTCTATATATATAAAGAGTTAAGTCCAGGCGGAAACATATATAACTTCGTAAGGCTATATTATCTCCGAACGTTTAAGTCTATAAGTACTTAGCAGACTAAGGCCACCTAAAGAAAGGTCCCGCTTATATTAGAAGAAAGATAGTCTTATATAATAGACTCTATCTTACTATTGTATTATTTTAAATATAATAAATAAAGGACTTTATAGTAGATATATATATTAATAGCGGTAGTAATAGATTAGGCGTTTAGTTCGAAACTTAGCCTTGCTTTTTCTATCGCTATTTCTAACCGCTTCTCGATTTCTAGCTAATTATAACTCGAGACAACCCACTTAACTCGAAAAGATCTAGATAATTTCTAGGCGATTAAATCAAGAAGCTATAACAGGTCTATTATATACTTATCAAGTATATTAATAAAGAAGTAGATTATTTATAGGCTTAGGTCTTATAGGATATTAGCAAGGATTCTTAATAGAGTATCCTATATATTTATATCTTAAAAGAAAGTTTCGCCTACCTAGTTATACTTGCTCTATATATAGGAGAAGAAAAACAGCTACTAGTCGAGAAGCAAATAGATTAAGCTATAGAACATAGCGGTTATATTATTAATATAGGAGTCGGTAACCTAGTAGAAAAAATAGGCCAGGTTATAATAGCATATATCGGTAATAGTATCTTAGGCCAGCTCATTAATAATACTATATAGTAATATAGTCTTCTCTTTACTAGGGTTACCCTTAATCTAAAGCAGTCGGCTTTTTAGATAGTTATACTATCGCTAAAAGTCAGGGTTATCGAGGACCTAGCGATACAAGTCTTAGAGAAGGCCGCCTTTAGTCCGCTCAATATAGGTTTTATTATCGCAAGGATCGGTAAGTCGCAGGTGTTTCAGGTATTGCTAGTCCTTCTCCGATATTTGCTGGATCTCCTAGTTCCTTGCATGGCTAACGAGCTGCTGGAGATAAGACGTCGCTTGCTAAGCACTATAGATCTCGGTATCGTGTCGGAAGCGCTTCTCGGCGTCTCGGATAGTTCCTAAGTTTGCGATGCCGGCCGCCTACGCAGGCGGCCCCTGATGTTTGTTCACCGGGAAGGGGAGGGGGTTCCTTATAGGAGTTGAGGGCATTGTAGCTGCTCGAGTACCTATTCTACTTGCTAGTTACTATAAAAATAGATTAAAAGGAAGTTTACTAATCTAACTAGATGGCGTATCAACCTAAATATTAGACACGCGTATCGTAATACCTGGTTAGAGCTTCATTTCCATAGTGGATTCGGTAGCTCTAGTGGCTTACAGCTGCTTGCCAAGTTGGTTCGGCTACCCTGCAAAAAAGGGGGGCAAATACAGGAAAATAGGGCCCCTAACCCATCTACAGTTAGCAGTGTAAATCAACCAGGGCCCTCCCCAGTCTAGCATCTGGCGAATTGAGTGAGATAAGACGGTAGTAGTGCTTGACAAGTTTACACTGAGCCATTCGATTTCAGTTTCCACCCCAGTCGGCTGACTCCAACAAACCTCTCTCAATTTCCCCCAAGACACCATTCTCGACTCCCATCAACATCGCGACCACAGATTCCGTCAAGAAAACGCCTCCGTGTCTCCAGTGCATTGTCCTACAAGAACGAAGCCCGATTTTCGAGCCCCAATACCTCCGGTACTGTGTAATAATAGGAAAGGAGAGCGTTATCTTATGCCCAGCTGGCTGCATTGCTGCAGCCTGTCTTCATAATTGCTATGCGCTGGGAAGGGGGGTGTTTTTGTGGGTTTGTGGGCCAAATGATGGGCCAGATGTATTAAGGGGTGAGCAAGGGCCAAGGGGTGACTGCGCGGCGAGCCGGCGACCATATTTGACTTCACAAACTCACAATTACTTGCATTGGTTCGTCCGTCCCTTCGCGGTCTAAGTCTGACTACATACCTCTGCTGTACCTGCCAAGTTTTTCATTGCTCCACACAAATGCCGGGGCCCCAACCTTAACATCACACCTTCACAGTGGAGGTGAGAGCTGATTTCGGCCCTGAGCAGCTCGGGTCTGGTTTGATCCGGGCAAATATTTGCTGACTCCGGGGTAGTGGGTGAGTAGGCTGAGCTGTGGCACGGAATTCAAAGGCGTATTGGGTCGGTTGTAGGATGATGACGGGTGAATAATTCGCTGCACTGAAAATAGGAGACGGTGATGTGGGCTGCAATGCTGATCCAGTGTGCTGGCTTGCTAACTAGGTACCTAGCCAACTAGGTATTGCCTATCACGCCGATACGTCACACCAATCATCATTGTATCATGTATGGAAACAGGACGCGCTGAGGGCTGTAATGGACCTGCCATTATTTTGGTTTTCCACCGCCATGTCCTGCAACAGCATGCCCACCTTGGGACGTTCCCTCTCATCCCCAGCTCTGCTGGGACGCGGTACTTTACATAGATGCATCCAGCGAAGCACTTTCTGTTCCCATACACGTGCCAACACCCATCCATATCAATGGCGGCGTCTGTCCCCAAACCTCCCGCCCGGGAACATCAACATCACCCCAATCCCTCCAGACACCTGCTTCCCCCTTTACCGCTTCGCCGCCTTACCGAACAAGCCGGCGGGGAGCGCGGCCTTCTCCACCTTGGCGTCGAGCACCTTGGGCGGCAGCGCGAGTGTCTTCCTGACGAAGGGGCGACGCTTTCTGCCGGCTCCCTTGGGCGCCGCTGCCGGTGGTGGTGCCGCCTTGGCCGTTGGTGGTGCTGGTTTCTTGCTAGCGGTACTGGCGGAGGGCGGGGCCGACTGCCGAACCGGAAGGCTCTGAGCGGCCTGGCGGGGGGCGGGGGGCGGCGGCATGTTGAGAGTGAGTCGGTAGGGTTGATTTGGGAAGAGATTAGGTAACTGGCGGGAAGGAGATGGATATGTGCTATGGTGGGACGGGTTTGCTGGTTGGAGAGTGTGGGATGGCGAAGTGTGCAGATGGAGTTGAGGGTAGGGCGAGAACAGGGCGCGGTCTCATATATATATATACCAGGTACCGAGGATCAGGCGGCGGCGGGACTACGGCTAGGTCGGAGGGTGAGGATGAAATTAGGCCACCAGGCCCTCGTGTCTCCCGTAAGCAGGGGCACGGCGCCTTGGATGGCCGCAACCACGGCGAGGCGAGGGGGGGAGAAGGCCAGCGGACGATGCAGGTTTTAGATTTAAATAGATACAACCGAGCTCCCAAGACGGCCAACTCGGGCCGTAGCCATTGCTGCAAATAGCTCATTGAAACGTTTCGGTTGCCTTCAGTCACCGAGCGTGCCTGTCTCGTTGCCTTTCTCGTCTGCGGCCGAGTTGGGTCTGCGGTCGGTAGACTGCCATCGAGTTGCGTGGCGGCATCGAGAATCTGTCGTGTTCACAGCATGCTCTGACTTGAACGTACGTACTACTTATACGCTGTGTCATGGGTAAAGGAAAATGCAATACGCTGAGGTTCAGGTTGTAAGAACAAGGTCGCCCAGCAACCGCATGTATAGTATAACAAGAAAATCGTCTAATATCTGCTGGATCTCGCAGCCTTCCGCATACCCACCACCAGTGGCAGGTTATCACCTTTCCCTTACGTGTAGGTTTTCACCCATTCCTTGTAGGCTTTTACCTATTTCGCAAACTCTAGCTTTTCCGTGAGGGGGGCAAAACTAGTCATATTCTTGCCTCCGAAGCGCTTGCTCAACCATTGCTGGCGCAGCTTGGGATTAGTTTCCCACTCGACCGGGATCCAACCCCAAAACTCCTGCAGCGCGTTGGTCCAGTACAGTTCCATGGGGTTTGGCGGGAGCTTCATGCCATCATAGGGTCCGATCTTGCGTATTGTCCTCGCGTAGACGACTGAAACGTTGTAGTCGATCAGCACGACCCGTGGCAGCGTGGTGCGCTGCGCTGCCGTCTGCAGGCCGGGAGGCCATTGCAGAAGGACGTTGCGCCCGGCCACATCGCGCTGCATGATCCCCAGCCAGCGCAGCTTTGCATCGCCCTCCATGACTCTTGCAAGCACCTCCAGACGGAATGCCTCGCTGAACGCCGCTGCGGGGGCGGGCGCAGCGGGGCGCGGTGCGCGACAGAGGTCGCGGATGCTCGGTCCCTGGATGTGCTCGATCAGGATGAGACGCACCTGGCGCAACCGCGGCGTCGTCTTGTTCACCATGACGCGGGCGGTAAAAGTGAAGGAGCCATAGTACCGGGGCGCAAAGGCCCCGGCCTGGCCGATGGCCTTCAGGTGCTCGTACGCAGCCGCCTCGCAGCTGTAGTCCTGGTCGGCAAGCAAGGTGACGTCGCAGGGCACGCTTGGCACGTCCCTGTTGCGAAAGGAGTAGTACAGCGGATCGTATATCTTGGCCACGGCCTGGAAGGGGGCGGGACTGGGGGCCGGATTGGAGGCCGAACTGGCCGAGACCTTTGGCGTGACGGTGCAGACGACGACCTGGGCGCCACGCCCGTCGCCAGCGGCGAGCACGTCGGTCACGGACAAGGTGTAAGAGAGCGGGTTAGGCGGGTCCAGTGTACCCAGCGGAGGGTTGGCTAGGACGAGCTCGGTCTGCGTGAGGGACCGCAGGGGCTGGCCGGCCACGGTAGTGCGTGTCCCGGTGCCGTAGCTTCGGCAGCCAAAAGGGGCGGGTGGGACGTGGGTATTGATGTTGACGGTGAAGCCCGCTCTGTAGGGGCAGGCTGGCTTGTCGGGGTCCGCAGGCGGCGTCCATGTCAGCGGCTGCGGTGACATGGTCCTGGGCGGCGTGGGCATGGTAGGCGTTGAAAGCCTGAAAGGCGGAAACTGGCAAACAAAAAGAGACGCCGAGTAGGTAGTCTTGTTGGGTAGGGGGAGCGACCGGAGCAGGCCGCAGGTGATGACGGTGATGGAATATGATGAAAATTTGATGAACGCCGATGGTGCGACCAGCAGGCTTGATGATAATCAGTTGTAAAACCCAAAAGTTAAAACGGGGCCCAGTGCTGGAATGGGCCGGCTGGAATCAAGAGTAAAAGATTGGGTTGGCGAAGGAGACCAGAAACATTTAGATTTGATCGAGTTGTATAATCAAGGCGTTGGTTGTCGTTCCGAGTTCGTCATGAATGAGGAATCAGAATGCTTTGTTCGTGTTCCGTGCAAACAAATCTTAGATAAGGTAGGGAGGGAGTTCAAAGTTCAAACAGCCATGCCACGGTCCACTTTTTTGCGCCTCTGAGTCTTACAGGCCAGTGAGGCCACAGCTTCACAGCCTACAGGAGAATCAGATTCGAGGTTTCAAACCAGCCGCTAGCCTCAGGGGAAATGACTACTCAGAGTCTGAAAATCCCTTTAGCGTTTAGGGCTTGGGGTATTTTGGTCCGAAGTCTTCTAGTTCGAGCCTCGTATTGGCTCGACGCCGCAACGCCACAACACCACAACGCCGCAATACGCGGCTGCAACGCTGCAGCGCCGTAACGCCGTAACACTGCTGTGAGGTCCGATCACCTTGTCCCCCCCCCCTTTTTTTTTTTCTGCGCTTAGGTTCAACAATGCAAATTTTGGCTGCACATGCCCTAGCCCTCGACAACAGGTATCAAACAATGCCATTCGAATTGCCCGTATTCGGCTCGTACTTGAAGCCTCCCAAATAACTGGTGATATATTTTGATGGTTCCGTCGCTATCACCCACTCTTTTACCTGCCTGCCCGCCTGCCCGCTTGCGCGCGCGCGCGCCATGACGCGTTACCTCAACCAAGACCAGCGGGCTATTGCCCGTCTTATGTTGGATGCGGGAGAGCAGCCACGTGCCATTGCCAGAGTCGTTGGCTGCAGTGAGCGCCATGCAAAGAGGCTAAAGAAGATGTTGTAACGCTGCAACGCCGCAACGCCGCAACACCACAACACTGCAACTTACGCGAGGACTCGACGGCACGAAATCATCTTGACGTGCCGTCAAGACACCTATGTACTTTGTACAGCGTCAGCACCGACCACAACACCGCCTGCGCCAGCCTAGCTCCCAGCCTCCCACTACGGCTCTCACTAATACGTGGCGTCCTACAACGTCTGGAAATAGTAATTATTTTGAGCCGTAAGCGTGAGCGTCTCGAGCATCGTTACTTGGTTGGTTGTAGGTCTGGGCATACAACCAACCAAGTAGCAGGCCGAATACTCGGCCTACACGGCCTACTCGGTCTAATGCTCGCTGGCCTTGGCAGTTGATGGCGATGTGTGTGTACATGTAGACTTGGGGCTAGTCTGACGGTCTGTCCGAGTTTCAGGCTTTCAGCTACTTGGAGCTGGTTACCTATAATACCGCAGCTTCCACCTGCCTCTCCAGGATAGAATATTCAAGTCTCCATTGTCATCACTTGTTCCAGTCATACCTACCTACCTGCTCAAAGCCGTTACCCTCGAGATCGAGTCAGTTTTTTTGACAAGCTGCCAAGATGGCCCAACCCGTGCCCCTGTCCCAGGCATTTGCCAATGCCCCGACCAACCGGCTGCCAAACTATCCCAACCCCCACGGCACTCTCACTGTCCATGCTAGCATGTCTGGCGATTCGACCGTGAATACCGACCCGCCCTACTTCTCCATCGCCGCCCAGCAAAACTGGCACACCCTCGGCACGACCCTCATTGCGAACATCCCCAACATCGCCGACCCGACCCACATTCTAAACCGCGAGACGGTCCCTTTCCGCGAGGACGCCACCTACCACAACAGCGAAGGCGACGTGGTCCGCTCAGCTGCCCTGTATCTGCTCCACCCGGTCAACCAGGCGCTCAGTTCCGCCCAGGGTGTGGTCATCCGCTGCCAGTCCGAACTCACCGCGAACAAGATCCGCAGCGACATCACCTACTTTCGCGCGCCCACGGCCGCCAATCCAAACTACAAGGCCTTTGCCGTCGTCGAGTTCAAGAAGCGCGGCGTCATCAAGGACAACGAGTTCCGCAGCACCATCAAGTACAACACCGTGCCCAACCCGCAGCAGCTCGCCACCGCCACCACCGCCGCCCTGAACCACGTCAGCGGTAAAGAGTCGCAGTTTGACGGCGACGCCTGGATACTGATCAAGCAAGCCGCCTCGTACGCCATCAACCACCGCACCCCCTACGTGGCCCTGTTTGACTGGGACTTCCTCGTCCTCGTCCACTTCACCAACATGGTTGTGCCCCCGCCCCCCGCCGCGCCCAACGCCCCAATGCCCCTGCCGGCTGATGTTGGCGACTACTGCGAGCTCGAGATCATCCCCAACGCTCAGTCGCAAAGGATGCGCGGCGCCCTGCTGGGATTCCTGGGCCACGCCTTTGAGAATGCTCCTGCCGTCTAGACTCTGGAGCGGTAATGATTCATTGCCCATTTTTGGTTGGACATCTGGCAGGCTGGCAGCGGGAACTGCCACTTGGATTCAAGATAGCATTAGGTGGTTGAAAAGAATAGAACTAGACCCTCCGTCAGTGACGAGGATGATTTAGTATCCCTGGAGAAATACTCCGAGATCTTCCCGCTCGTCTTTCTTCCTTTCTCCTTTTTGTTTTATCACGGAGCACATCCTCGAGCTCAACACCATCGGGCGCTATATGACGGCGTCGCTAGACGGTGGCCTCGGGCAGCCCGCGTCGACCATCATCGACACGCCCGAGTACCGCTTCTCGCTCGGGCAGGCGCGCCCCGAGGAGGTGTCCATGTTCGCGGCCATGTGGCCGCCCTGGTCGCACTCGTACGCCATCACACCATCACGCCGGCCGACACGTGCCTGGCGCTGCTGGGCTCGGTACAGCACACGGTCAGGCTGGTCGTATGCGACTACGATCCGATGTTTGCCGGGCCGAACCCGAGCCTGTGGACGGCGTCCAAGTGGCAGACTCGGTGGCACGAGTTCATGAGCGCACACTTTAGACGCGTCGTGACCCACACGCGCCTGTGGCTGACGAGCAAGCTCGACGAGCTCGACCGTGTCTGGCACGAGGCGCACGCGTCCTGCGGCGCCGACGAAGATTAATTAGTGCGGCTTCTGCATCCACGCACGGGGCCTTGTCACGCGGCACAATGCAGCCATCGCAACGAACCACCGGGTCAATTTCGATTATGCCATTTTTTTGATGATCGGTTGACACGGTGCTGACATAACAGTGGCAATATGGTTGATTACTGGGACGGGGTTGTGCCGGTGAGGAAAAAATATCTTGGATAAGAAAGCGTCTTAGCGCAGGGCTCGAGGGCGCCCTTGTAGATAAGTTAGCGGCAATCTGTGTCTACGATCGTGTATTGTACATACCTTACCTTTCATTAAAAGAAGTCCCACCCGGTGACCAGACACAAATATTGGTCGACCGTTTCACACGCGCCGAGCGGAGCGGTTGCGGCGGTCGCAACGCCTTGATCGCCTCCCAGGCCCGGACCTCGTATAGCGCCCACTGCTGGTCCGTCAGCGCTTCCCACCTCGCCAGCACGTCCCGGAAGCTCAGCCTAGGGTCCTCGGCTACGAGGTCGTTCCGAAAGACCTCGAACCCGGAAAGAGGTAGGACCGGGTTGGGGTTGGGCCACACCATACCGGGGTGCCGGTCCAACGTAGTTTGTATATATGGAGGCGGGGGCCCAGCTGGCTTGGGGTGCGGCGGCTACGGTAGCTCCGCGTCCTTGCAGGCGAGCCTTGTTTCGTACACAGCCCAGGCCTCGCGGCGTATCACCTCGGCCTGTGCGCGGCAAACTCCCTTCTCGTCCTCGGACAGATTGCCAAGTCGGTACTGCTCTTAGGTCGAGGTTAGAGCGTCGAGAAGCTCGCGGGAAGATTGTCCCTGGTTAGGCTGACCCTGTGGTGCCTCCGAAGTGGTAGCTGGCGGTTCGGGGGAAATGAAGCTGCTGTATTCAACCTCGAGCGAGCGTTCCCCGCAAGCTTTGAAGACAGTAATGTCCAGTCCGAGGCGGCGTGATACTAGGCTGAGTGCGTATCCGAACCCCGGGATAGCGTAGATCGCTATAATAGCCCTCGACAGAGAATAGTCGTCTCGACTGTAGAATGCGTGCGCGATCAGGCAGGCCTCGTCATCGGTGATGACAGTCTTGAACTGGCCGTTTTCGAGAGAGTCCTTGATCTTGGTATACAGCTCTACTGGCGTGCTAAGCCTGCCGTCCGTTGTACGCTGAATATTGGTGCGCACTACGTCCGGTGGCGGCCATCCGTGAGGAGCAACTGGCGCTCCGCTTTGGTGAGCTTGTCTTAATGGTCCTGTGCCTTGTCGTAGAGGCTCGCGGGGATGTCGTCGTGTGCTGTATATGTCGCTTCTTGTTGGTTCTAGGCGTTGCGATCGATAGATGCAATTAGAGAAGCTTCGTTACGACGCGTGATCTCGGTGCTCGAGTCGACATCGGGGTCGGGCTAGTCCTCGTCCCAATTGAGGGAGTTGGAGTCCTTCTCGGATGGTTCCGCCATCTTAAATTAATGGTTGGAGTTGAAAAAGGTGTTGCATACTATGAGTGCTTATTGCAAAAGCCGAAAGCGATGAGGCGTACTGGTGTAGGGTTCTAGAGAAAGTCGACGTAACAACCCTAGATAATGGCCCGGGACTACTGTGACTGCCGTTTATTAGGTACGTCGTTGCTGTTTTTGTGGGTAAAATAACCTGTAGCTTGGTGTCTGGGAACGATCGTGGTGGGATGCGAATTGCGAACGATTTCCGAGGACCTGTAACTTGCAATCGCAGGCCGGTTTCGGCAAGCCAATTATAGCTTACCTTATCGGGCTTGATGTGACGGGCACCGGTCAGGTCAGCTCGCACATACAAGATTGATATTGCGACAGAGAGAGAGCAAGATCTAGATGACAGCAGTGTGCGTGCGACCAGACCTTAAATACTGGAGCAGAGGCACATGACCAGAGGTCAGGTGATCCCGTGACACTTCCCTGTGCCAAACGAGACCCCGTCCGCCAAAGAAAAGACGCTCCACTGAGCAGGCTCTCCTGCTACTCCAAGAACAAATCTACAAAGCATGGAGAGCCAGGAAAGTGCTCAGCCTGATCAGCTTCGATGTGAAAGGTGCATACAACGGGGTCTTCAAGGACAGACTGCTCCAGAGGCTCAGGGCAAGAGGCATACCAGAATTCCTGGTCAGATGGATCGATGCCTTCTGCTTTAAGCGCACGGCAACCATTGTGGTAAACGGGTTCACGTCTGAACGGCAAGAGCTGCCCCAAGCGGGCTTGCCACAAGGATCGCCGCTGTCCCCGATACTGTTCCTCTTCTTCAACGCGGATCTAGTACAGCACAGAATCAACGCGAACGGAGGCTCAATCGCCTTTATTGACGACTACACGGCCTGGGTTGTAGGCCCATCAGCAGAGGCGAACCGCGTAGGCATCCAAGCTATTATAGACAAGAGCCCTGAATTGGGAAAGACGAAGCGGCGCCTAGTTCGAGGGCGAAAAGACAGCCATCGTACACTTCACGAGGAACAAAGAGCGATCTTCAGAAACGCCGTTCATAGTCAAAGGGGACACGGTCAAACCGAAGGGAAGTGCAAAGATCCTGGGGGTTATCATGGACTGCGAACTCCGCTACAAGCAGCACATTGCCAGGACGGCAGCTAAGGGTCTCGCAGCCGCTCTAGCCCTGAAGAGACTGAAGATGCTTTCCCCGCGGACAGCGAGACAACTGTTTATCGCGATAGTAGCCCCTGTCATGGACTACGCCGCCAGTGTCTGGATGCATGCCTGCGGCGAAAAGGCACTGAGCTGGCTGAATAGGGCGCAGAAGATCGGGGCCCTGGCAATCACAGGAGCCTTTCGGACAGTGGCGACGGTCGTGGCAGAGGCGGAAGCGAGCATTCTCCCCGTACGAGAACGACACGCTCGGGCGGCAGCCAGACTATGGATCAACATCCACACATTGCCTGGGACTTATCCCCTAGCCTGGAAGAAAATCCGGACAACAGCACGATTCGTTTCCCCGCTTCAGAAGATCGCCCGTGCGGTAGAAGGAATAAAAACCGAACGGATAGAAACAATCCAGGAATACGCCATCGCTCCCTGGGCACCTCGCCTACAGCCGATGATTGAAGCTGACCGAGAGAAGGCGACCGAGATGGCCAACGGAGCCATAGGCATCGTGATTGCAACCAGCTCCTCCGTGAAGAAAGGCATTGTCGGTGTTGGTGGCATCGCACGAGACACTCTCTTCAACAGGACCAGCGAGACCGTGACAAGATTTGCTGTAACCCTTGGCACGAGGGAGGAGCAGAACCCGTACACAGCAGAACTAGCAGCCATCGCAATGGCCTTAGAGAGGATTTCGGCCAACGCCTGCCATAGACACATCACCATCATCACCAGGAACCAGTCAGCGCTAGCAGCAATTAGGCAACCGCGACAACAGTCTGGCCAAGGCACCATACGACAAATCTACGAGTTGGCTAGACAGCACCAAGAAAGAGGGAACTCGGTCGACTTCTTGTGGATCCCAGCGGAGGCCAACTTTGCGTTGGGATTAGAGGCCAAGGCGGCAGCGCAAAGGACAACGAGGCAAGGACAGATGCCCAACCTCCAAATGCCCCAAGCCAAGTCCACCGCGATCAGGCTGGCATTGACCAAACAACGACAGGGGAGAGCTCTCCCGGAAGGCGTAGGCAAATTCTCAAAGGCTCTGGACGTAGCACTTCCTGGCAAGCACACTCGCGATCTCTACGATAAGTTGAAACGAAAAGAAGCCTGTATCTTGGCACAACTCCGAACCGGAATGGCGAGGCTGAACGGCTTTCTGAGCAGAATCGGAGCGGTCGAGTCAGACCTTTGTCCTTGCGGCCGAGCGAGGGAAACCGTGGAACATTTTCTGTTGCGATGCGTGAGATGGGCAGCTCTGAGGGAAGACATGTTGCAATGCACAGTAGCAAGGCGAGGGAGCCTCTCATTCTACTTGGGAGGGAAAGCACCATCGGATCCAAAGATGTGGTCGCCCTGTCTATGCTATGGTTCTCCTTGGCGTGTCTGGGTTGACCTTTGACCTGAAGCTGCCTCCTCGGGCCTGCCGTCTCTACTCTATCCCGGCGAATCGCAAAGAGGGAGCCAGTTCCGGGAGAGGTTGTGAAGATGATGATGGTTTGGATTAAAAAAAAAAGAAAACAAAAATAAAAAAAAGGAAATCGAAGGAAACCGAAGGCTGGAACGCCTTTTCTAATCATTCGGCCTTCAATCATCATGCCTGCCTTTTCTCCATCCTCTTCTACTACTTCTCTGTACCTAATTGACTGTCCCCGGACGTCCGATCAACGGATCCACCAGCCCCGGCCCTGATCCCAGCGAGCGATCACTAGTGTCTAGAACGGCCCGAGCAAATCCCACGAATGCCGGTGCTACGATACGGGATTCGTATGTAGGTACCCAGCAGTCACGCCTCGGCGTGCGGGGTAAGAATGTGGAGGATTTCCATATATATGTCCCCTAACCCAGCACTCCGGTCGTTCCTCCGCCGAATGATGCATCTCGCTGCAGCCGGTGTCCACGTGGTCTCGGGGCTAGGGAGCGCGGGAAATGGCAACCGACCCCAAACCACCTAGCTCGAGCTCTTAGTCCGCGACATCCTAGGCAGGTGCAACCATATACTAATTCCAGGCGAACTCGTCAACTGCGCCAGCTACCATCACCAATGTCGGATGCGGTCCAGGACGAGGCCTTACAGGCGTCCGCTCCGGCTCGCAAAAAGCGGATTCCGGTATGTCAATACTGGTACTCTCTAGTACTTCACATCAAGCAACTTCCACCGGAGCTATCCGGGTAGATGACGGCGCAGTTTCATTACTAACCGTGGGGTTCTTATCGCCATCAAGAAAGCCTGCGGTTCATGTCGAGTCTCCAAAGTAGGTGAGCCAAGCCGATGTCACAACAAGATTGCACTAGTACCCACCTAGGTAGGTAGTTTTACTGACGCGGATCTTGCGCAGGTGAGATGTGATGGACTGCGGCCATGTTCTCGGTACGCTGCTTCTCCAGTTCTGATCCTTGGGCCGTATTCTGGGGGAGAGAGGCCACAAGAGAGCCGGCTCTGACTGGAATTTCTTTCGTTCACAAGCTGTCGCTCCCTGCGTAAGGTATGCGAGTTTGTCGAGCGCCCAAAGGACCCCTACGAAGCGTGAGAACCCCTTACTACTACCACCGTCACATTGTTTGTTCGAGAACATACTAACATGCTAACCCAACACCCCTGAGCAGAAAGATGGAGGCCTTGGAGAAAGAAGTCGAGTCGCTGAAGGCACAGCTAAACACACCATCGATCTCGAATTCCTTGCCCAGTCCTCGTAGCTGGTCGGGGCTGCAGCTTGAAGATGCCGCCGTGCATTTCAGCCCACAGCCGCCAGTGGCCTCTGCCCTTCTGCCACGGACATTCCCCTCCATCCACCGTAGCCCGTCGAGCGATGGATCCCCCGGTGTGGTTGGTGGTGCTACGGTTACAGTCCTGGAAAGTACTAGTGCACGACTAAGCCAGGGAGTCCCTCTCCATACTACTACAGGCACCTCGACGATGGGATCGACGACAGGGTCGCTGAAAAAGCGGAGCAGAGCGCACTTCGAGGCCGCCACTCCACCGACGATCCCGGACCTCGACCCCATCAGCGCAGGCCTGATCACGCTAGAAGCGGCCGAGTCGTATTTCCACAGCTTCTTCTCCGGCTGCGACCGGTACGTGCCCGTTTTCGATCCGCTCTTCGACACGCTGGAGAGCGTCCGGGGCCGCAGCACGCTGCTGTTCAGCACCATCTGCTGGGTCGGCTGCCGCGTGCTCACGGGGTCCGAGTCGCACCAGAGCCGCCTCCTGGGAGTACACACCCAGCGGATGCTGAATGTTGCCATCGCTGCGGCGCCGTGCCGGGGCGGGATCCAGGCCGGCCTCGAGACTGTGCAGGCCCTCCTCGTCAGGGCCTGCTATGCGCCCGAGCGGTCGCTGCTCGTGGCCGTAGCTACCCGCATGGCGCTTGAGATGGGTCTGCCAGAGGCATACGGCGTGCTCAGCGCTCGCTGCGTCAGTACTAGCTCTACTGACCCCAAGGTGGGCATTGAGTTCGCGCACCCGTCTCTGGGGCAAACGACTAGTACCGGTTGTTCCGCTGAGAAGGAGGGAGACGAGGACAGCGCGACCTTGATGCGGAAGACGCGAACGTGGCTGCACCTCCTGATGCTGGGTCAGATCCTGCACGTCGACGCCGGCGGTCCCCCGGGCTTCCGGTTTCTGGGCGCCGCTCGACGGTGTCGCATCCTGCTCGGCAGCCCCTATTCGACCGGCATCGACCTGCATCTCTTCTCGCAAGTAGAGCTCAACTCGATCCGGGCCAAGATCCACTCGGCCCTATCCCAGTACGGGCGCAGCCATCCACCGGCGGAGCGGGACGACGACGAGATCATGGAGATGGTCCGCGACGCCGAGATCGACATCAACGTGTGGTTCGACGACTGGACGCGCATCTACGAGAAGCACAAGAGCGAGATGCCCTGGCTGGCGCCGAACCTGGCCGTGCAGCGGTGCTGGGCCGACAGCATGGCCATGTGCTGCGCGCTCAAGGCCGCCGGCATCGAGAACGTGAGCGCCATGTCGGCCACGCAGCGCACCATCCTGTGCATGGCCAAGCGGTCGCTGCGGCAGCACCTCGACATCGTCCTCGAGGAACCGCGCGTCTACCTGCGCAGCATCCGCTACGCCATGGACTTTGTGTGGGCCAAGAACGCCTTCTGCTACCTGCTGCTCCTGAAACTGTCCATCCTGCTGCCCGACGACGACGACGACGTGCAAGGGGAGGGTGGCGGGCACGCTGACGGATCGGCCAACGCAGCGTTAGTTGAAAAGGGCCGGGTGCTGGTGGACGAGCTCAGCAAAGCCGGCGGCGGGCTCAAGGACGAGGCACGCAACAACACGGGTGGTCTGTACCTGCATCTGGTGCGAGTCAGCATCGACAAGTTCAGCCACGCCACGAGGCGGGGGAGTCACCACAGGGGCGCGCCCGCCGTTGAGTCTCAACAAGGCCACGTCGCACCGGACTGCGGTAGCGGCGGTATTGCTCGGCAGACGAGGAGGGAGAGCGGGCAGGAAGCGGGGTGGCCTCCTCCTTCTTCGGACGAGACGCAGACCGAGCTTGAGTCCTTCGTGCCGGAACAGTTTGTCTTCGAGTGGGACTTTCCGGGCATTACCTTCTTCTCGTCGCCGACATACGAGACCGGCTGGCTGGATGAGTTGCTCGCCGGGGCTTTTGACGGGGCCACCGACATCTTCAACCACAGCTTGGGGTGGGCGTCCATGGATTTTAATCTGTCGTAGAGGACGGAACGTCTGCAAGTAATTTCCAACCTTGCGTTGCCTCTTACATCTTACCAATCCACCCCCATCATCGGTCCGATCCTTCTCAGCCTTGCTGTCCCTGGAAAACACGAGCCTGTTACACAATCCCACCCCACCACATGCTAGCCGCATGAAACCGGCGACTCTAGGGACCCGCTATTGGGCATCTGCATGAACCTTCTACTGTGTAGTAAGTTAGTAGTCTAGGTTGGTCGCTCCGATTGGCAGAGTGGCGAGGTTACAGCAAGCCCGAAACTTGGAACGGAGGAAGCTGAACTGAAGGGTGCTACGGCGCTAACGCGGTACTCGTAGATAAAGGGCATACAGCGCCACCATGGCTTCTTTCTTAAACGTACTACTTACATCCACATACCTGCTACGATTTTGGTCAACTCATAGTGCGCGACGTGTTCCCGGAGGCAACATGCCCCGACAACTCGTTCATCGCTTAAAGTTCATCTCCCCCAATGAGATCCTGGATGCATTGATCGGGGGATACGCCATCATCCATCCTGTCGCTCGTCTTCGGCCTGTTCAGCATCTCCTCGTTCTCCAGCTCGCGACAAGCCAATCAACAAGCTGACGTCGCCAACCTCCTCGCCTTTATGCAACTATGTATGCAGCAAGAATCAGAGGCAAGCAACGTTCTCCTCCCAAGCACGCCTTAGCCTTGAAATCATCACTAACACACCAGAACGATGATTAGGACGTCCGCAGTCTATGTGACAAGAGCAGACCCGCAGCACTCGAGGCGTTGGCCAGATACGTGGATACCGGCTTTGATTGGCCTGAGCCCTCCACGATTATCAACTACTGGCTGTCTTCGCAATAAAGGACAGAGTTCTATGTAGTAGTTTCATCCTTCTACGTCTTGATAATGTTCGTAATTTCCTTCAATGTAGCAAGGTCAATCAGACGGTGGATACAACAGGACCGGGAACAACACGAGGCCGATCCGCCGATGCGAGGGGGAAGGGTAGCTGCACGGGACGCTCTTCCAAGCGGGAGTGGAACGGTATGACGATTCGAATCTGCTCCGAGTCGTCTTTATTTTTATTTCCTTATTACGGGGTTGGGGTTTGCTCATCCATCAGAGGAATGGTAAGTCTGTATATTAGGGTGGGAATCAATGGTGGCTAACATACCGACCGTACTTGCAACATCGTGTTATTTGAACCCCCATCCTCGCATGGTTAGAGGTTCACCAGGCGCAGGGGGTCGCTACACGCTCTAGCCAGATACATAAAGCTTGAAAGGGGTATCGTATTGTATTAGTATCTATGGCAGGGCCCCGCCTCTCAAGGGGCTCCTCATCGCCAAGAAGCTGAGATTATATCCAACGAGCTAACCCGCCCTTTTATCAGAGTTCCTTATACCGTAGTGGCTAACTCGGCAACTCGGTCGGGCCCCCCTTATGCGCCGGCGCCGCGTCCATTTCGGGCGTCACCCAGTGCTGTGGGCCATATACATACACTGGGTGGGGTTTGCCGTTGCTCTCCCAGCCCGGTACCTCTGGCGGAGGTCTTGCAACCTCTCTTCTCCGCTTGAACCACATGTATCCTACGACCGCTGTGAGTAAAATCCCTCCCAGCGCCGCACCCACGCCCACACCGATCGTGGCCGCAGTGGATAGCCCGCTCTGCGCATTTCCAGATGATGCTGGCACCGAAGTTGATGACGCAGTTTCCGAATCGGTACCACTACCGGGCGGTATTGGCGCTGAGGATGATGGGAACCCCGACGGTGCGGTCGACAATGTTGTGGACGACGGCCTCGTGGTGGCCGGTACCAGGTCGGACGACTGATGATTGAGTTGGAACATTGGCGCCAGAAGGACCATCTCGCGAGTTATTGTCTGCACCACTGCGGTACCCGTGGCGTCCGTCGCAGTCGTTGTCGTTGTAACGGTGATAACGTCGGCAAACACAGCTTGGCTGACGCTGGCGAGGCCGGAGGAGCCGGAGCACATGCCCGTGGCCACGGAGATTGGGGTGCCGGTGGATGCGACGGCGATGCACGTATTGCCGTTTCGGTTGGTACACTGGAACCCCCTGAACGGATTAGACAACCCACCCCCCTAATGTATTCATCGACTACTGTAGAGATGACTTACTCTGGACAGCACCCTATCGCCGTCTCGCCAGGGACCAACGTGAACTCGACGTCCCACTCGGACCGACCTCCGTACTGCGCCGTGCAAGCGGTCGTGTAGCCCGCCGGGCAGGCCATGCCCGGCGAGTAGAAACCCCAGCCGATGAATGGAGGTTGTGGTGCCGGCACTCTAGTCGCTGCCGGGGGCCAGCACGTGGTGTGGTCTGACGCTTGCACGCTCCCATCCCTCGTGACGCATTGCTGCCCCCGAAAGCCTTCGCTGCACGTTGCGCAGTTCACGACGTGGACGCTGCAGCTCTTGGGCATGGTCCATGTCGCTGTCAACGGGCCGAGCAACGTGCCCGATCGTCCGGTAAATGTTGCCATGGGATATAGAGAGGAAAGTTAGAGGGTCACGAAGGGCGATACGGTTACGGCGTGCAGTCAAGCGAGCGAGGGATAAGCTGGCTGGCGGTCAACACTTACTACTACTCCTACCGTCCCCCCGTCCCCCGGGGCACCCGGAGTTGGTAGGTATTTATCCCACTGGAGCCCATGGCATTCGAGCTTCCTCCGTAATCATGACGGGATGCGTTGCCACAGTGTCACACAGTGTTACCGGCCCTGACAAGATGAGTTGGGGGCGAAGGAAGTCAGAGTGCCAGTGGCTGACAGTCCTGACACCGAAGCCTGGTGTCGACCGTGGACTCGATTGGGTGTAGAGCCGCTGAGCCGCCGGTGTGCATACAAGGCAACGTATCTAAGGGAAGAATTCCACAGTATAGGCGCTATGGTGGGACCTTACGACGGCCGAACAGGGCGTGGTTCAGATGAACCAACCCTTGACATTTCTTTTTCTTTTTTGCGCGGAACTGGCGATAGGGGGGCTGGTCTCCGACTTCGCAATAATATTGTGCTGAATCACTGAAAGATTTGATTCAGAGCCGGATCATGGTGCATCTCGCAATAGTCTAAAATCTTGATTTCATTTATACTTCTTCCCCGCAGAAAAAGAAAGTGGCTGTTTTGATGCTGGATTCAGATCTTGCGATTGACCAAGATCTTCAAGTCGGGCGCTAAGGAACTTTCAGGGGTGTAAAGTCACAGATGTAATGTACTAGTACATACTAGTACTTCAGCAAAATAGTTGTAAGGGCAGAATGAACGAAAGGAAACGCCAGAGGATCCGAGTGTGGAAAATGCACAGGTGCTCCGGGCTGCCGTTTTCTTTTAACGTCCCTTTCTTCTTCCGTAGGAAAACAGGTCGTTCGGGAAGATGGATAGAAAACTGCAGAGTCCTTCATTCATTGACCGAGCGTGACCTGACCCTGGCCACAGGCATCATCGAAGAACCAGGGGTTGGGGTGCACCGTACATATATCCGTACTACTAGTAGTATCCGTAACGTCACCTGCATGGATCCGGGCCGTGCATGGATCCGGGCCGTGCATGGATCCGGGCCGTGCATGGATCCGGGCCAGGGTCCTGGCCTGCATTCATTTCGACTGTCAGCCACAATGAACATCACGAACAACTTCATCAAACAGGCTGTTTGACCGCATTTTCCAACGAATCCATGGTTTGAACTGTTTTTGAACTCCTCTGACAATAGCTAACCTTTTCCACATACCAGTCAACGTACGGCATCACCAACGCAGTCAACATACCACATCACCACTGCAATCGACGCAGTCAACCGACTGCATGGTACGTACTCAACCGACCGCATCACATGCAGTCAACTAACCGTATCATGAATGCAGTCAACGCAGTCAGCCAACCGCATCAACCATGGCCCCCATTCAATCCAAACCCAAACCTCCCAAGCCCACACTCAAGAAGCCACCACGCAAGCGTACCTACAGCCAGGAAGAACGCATCCAGTCTGCTATTGAAGCCCTGCGAGCCGGGGAGGTCCCCAGCGTTCGAAACGCGGCCCACACCTTTGACATACCACGAACCACCCTCCAGGAACGGTATGCCGGTCGACGGCAGAACCACCGGGCCGCAGCCCAGCACTTGCAGCGGTTGACACCACAGGAGGAACAATCCATTGTTAATTCCATTTACCAGTTGGATGCCTGGGGCTGGCCAATGTCAATCTCGGCACTAGAACATCTTGCAGCCCAGTTGTTGCTGGCTAAGGGAGACATCCAGCCTTTGGGTGAACGGTGGATCTACAACTTCCTGAACCGGCACCCGGAATTGAAAGCTCGAAGGTCCCGGGCATTGGACCAAGCTAGGAAGGATGCTGTCGATCACAACACGTTACAACATTGGTTCGAGCTATATCAAACTATCAAGTTGGCTTATAACATCGCTGACGACGACACCTACAACATGGATGAAAAGGGGTGTATAAAAGGCATTGGGGACAACCACAAAGTCATTGTTCCGAGGGATTCATTAGAGCCGACCGTCGTTCAACCCGGTAACCGCGAATGGGTCTCTATTATCGAATGCATCTCGGCCAACAATTACGTCCTTCCACCCTTCGTCATCTTCCAGGGCAAACGCATTCAACAAGCGTGGATTCCCAAGGACCTCGACCCCCAGTTTGTTATCCGGGTTAGTGAGAACGGCTGGACCGATTGCAACATTGCTCTAGAATGGATCCGACACTTCGACAAGTATACGGCACCCCGAACACATGGTAAATACCGGCTCCTCATTCTTGACGGCCATGCAAGCCATGTTTCACCCCAGTTCGTGGAATACTGCGAGGAGCACAACATCATACCACTTTGCTTACCAGCACACTCGACACATGAATTACAACCTCTTGATGTCGGGGTCTTCGGGCCGTTGGCTTAGGCTTACCGTAAGTTAGTTACTGAAGGGGCATTGTTCGGAGCTGTCAAGGTAGATAACCACCAGTTCCTCCGGTATTATGAGAAGGCCCGGGCTTGCATTTTCCGGAACATTCCGGAGGCATGGAGAGGAGCTGGGTTACTACCTTACAACCCAGAGAAGGTCCTAGCCCGGCATAGGCCAGCCGAGGCACCTATAACGGCACTGGCACTGGCACCGGCACCTACATCGGCATCCGCAATGGCACCCGCAACGGCACCCGCAACGGCACCCAGACCCAGGACCTCTGACCGGCCGAAGACCCCAGCGATGGTCAGTATTACTGATCAACAGGGTCGTCGAGTCGAGCTCCCGGTGACTGGCGACATGGCTACAAACATCAACCAGGTTGTGGAGGAACTGTTCCAGATTTGTGATACCCCCAAGAGAGCCAGGCTGTCCTGGATAAAGACTACTTCCTAACTATGCAAGCTGACAATACCAAACTCAGGGCCCTGACCCAGGAAGTAGTGAAAAAGAGGTTCGAGAGCCGGAAAAAGTCCTCGAGGAAGCACTTTGGTGAGGCCCGGGTACTGACTGTGGAAGACATCCGGGCTCGCATAAGTGAAAGGTAGGCTAAGGAAGCCGTGGAAGCCAGGGAAAAGGAACGTCGTATAGCATTAAGAGGGGTAGTGGGCTTTGCGAAGGGTGTTTGGAAGGACTACAAAATGGGCCCAGATGTGTTCAAGTAGGTGGATTTGCATGTGTTTTCCAGACCCCCATTGTTTTCTGGCCATGGCACTGTCGTCGGCTTGTGAATAGCTTCAATTTTTTGACCCAGTTGTGATCATGTTGGTGATGGTGGGCATGGTGTTATGGTGCCCCTAAATTAGCCGAATTGCCTGGCCCGGATCCATGCACGGCCCGGATCTATGTAGGTGACGTTAGTTAACGGGCACTAATCAAGACGATCAAGCACACCTACACTACAGTAGGTAACTATCCGCTTGGCAGACTGGTTAAATTCACAGGATGAAGTCTTTCCGACTGGGCTGGGCCGCGGCGGGCCGCCACCCCTGGACAAAAGCGAAGGCCAGAGAGGAAGCGGGCGCAGTACCCCGAACAAGGTGCTCAACATTCCCCTTCCCCCCATAATAAAAGTGAGGCTCAGTCAAGACCTCGCTCGTTGGCAATCCGGCCCCCACGTGTGATCGTCGGGGTACCCAACGCTGCCAAGAAGCTGTTGGTTCTTTTGTGAACCAGGGCAGGCTACCCCATGAGAGGAGCACATCTCCAAGAGTGCATTTCCACACATGAGCTAGGGGGGAAAGCGCTCTAGAAGGCCATGCACCAATAGGAGGTCCTGCCGGTACGGGCCTTCGTTGCCGACATCCCGCAGTCCCGCCAATCCCACAATCCCACAGCCCGATCCCACCCAGGGCTTATGCTTACGTGCCGGATCTGGCCAGCCGGACAGAAATCCTTAGTCTTGCCTGTGTTGCCTGTGTTGCCTGTCTTTTATTAGCCTGGCGTGTTGAGGATACCCTGTCTCCCTCCCGTCATCATCCGTTATTATCGTCCTGCCGAGTCTTGCCAACTCAGGATCCCACGGCATCTGCCGCTATGCCGATGTTTACTCAAGGAAGGTCACTGACGGCTCTAGCGACTGGTCTATTCGTCGGTCTCGTCCTCTTATGCTTCTCCTACCTCTACAATGCGAAGACGCAGCTGTCCAACCTCGGAGACCCGAGAACCCGGTTGGACTTGAGTCCACCACCGCCCGCTTGCACCAACCGCGCCCCCGACGACGACGTGATACCAAACCAGGTCCACTTCGTCTACATCCTTAAGAACACCAGCCACGACTTCAACTTCGAGTTCAGTCATTTTCTCTCCATCTATGCGGCGTGGCACTACTGGCGTCCGCAAGCCATCTACCTCCATACGAATGTCGCAGCCGACAGCCGCTCGGTCGCCCGCGCCCGCAACGGAACGGCCGGCAAGTGGAACCACTACATCTTCACGTTCTTCAACCTGACGGTGCACGAGGTCGACGTGCCGACGCACGCCGGCAACGGGGTGGAACTGCAAAACATCGAACACAAGTCCGACTTTGTGCGCGTCAAGGCCCTGTACGAGCTCGGCGGCGTCTACATCGACTTCGACGTCCACCCGCTCCGCAATATCCGGCCGCTCCGCGAGAGCGGCTTCCGAGCCATCGCCGGCCGGCAGCTGGGCGGCCAGATCAACAGCGGCACCTTCATGACGGCCCGCGGCGGGAAGCTGGCCAGGCTGTGGATGGAGCAGATGCACGTCGCCTACACGGGCGGCTGGACGACCCACTCCAACGAGGTCATCACCCGGGTCGGCCAGCGGCTGGTGCGGGAGCCGGGCGAGATGCTGATCATGGAGCAAGACGCCTTCGCGCCGGGGAGCTGGAAGGACGAGGATACCGACGCGCTGTTTGCCGTCCACGGCGACGCCCCCTCCAACTTACCTCCCAACGATACTAGTGCTACTACCGACGTAAAACTTGACCTTCCGTCCCACGACGAGGCGTTTGCCGACCGCTGGGACCACCCGGAGCGGTTCCCCGAGTGGGAGCGGGACTGGTCGCACACCTATCTGCTGCATGCCTTCACGCCGGACCGCTGGCACCACAAGGTGCCGGGCTTTGACCACATCACGCCGCGATACGTGCTCGAGAGACGGAGCAACTTTGCCCGTGCGGTCTACCCGGTGGCCAAGGTTTTGTTGGACCAGGGGTTGATCGGCGTGGAGGACTCGCATACTGGGTTGTAGAGTAGTAGTAACCTGTACTACTACTACCTGGGCTGTTTGTGTGTTGTACTTTACAAGGGGGGTTTCTTACACATACAGGGAGACAAAGCGGTACTGGAGTTCGGGGATACGTGTTTTAGATGGAGTTGTTGGCATTTTGTATGATACTTAACCTATTGTATGCCTCGCCAGGTTTGGCTTGGGCAAACAAGACCATTCGATACGGCACTGATAAGAAGCCCGCTGAAAGTCGGTGCACTTATTATTAGTATAGTAGTCGAGGTTGCATGTTGAGCAACGGTTTGTGAGACAACTGTGAGCGAGGAGTGTGACGCGAAGGGATCCGGCAGGCCGGTGAACCAGGCGTGTGTGTCCCACAGCATCAGTAGCACGACAGACCAGGCATCAGTCGCACAACCCATACCGCCGACAAGATGAGGCATTGGCAATACTATGCGGTGGCTAAAAGAGAGAGGGAAAAAAAAGAAATCATTGCTCGCTAATCAAAGGTACAATAGTAAGAAACGCAACAGACAAGGCTCCTTCCCAGGATCAGGTCGAAGACACGGCGATGTACTTGACCTCCATCATCGAACTCAACCCATCCGCCGTCTGGTCATTGGGCGCGCCAGGGAAGTTCCCGCCCACCGCAATGTTCAAAATAAAATACATGGGCGAGTGCGCAATGGTCTTCCAGATGCCCTCGTCCTTGACATCCGCGCCCGTGACCGTATTGTACTTGGTCTGGTCCAAAAACCAGTTGATGCTCTGCTTATTAAAATCCGGATCGGTGCGATCGACCTCCAGCGCCCAGGTATGGAACCCATTATCCCCGAGCGGCACCGTCTTGGTCAGGGCGCCGCAGGGCACGTCGCCCTTGCCGCAGTGCGGCGTGCCGTGGCCCTTGGCGTCGCCGTTGATGCGCTCCATGATGTCCAGCTCGCCGCACTCGGGCCAGGGCACCCCCTGCCGCGACGACTCGCCCAGCATCCAGAAGGCCGGCCAGATGCCCTGCGACTTCTCCTTGGGCGCGTCGCCGAAGCGGAGCACCGACTCGAACCGCGTCACTTTCTTGTCCTCCGGCGTGAAGCTGGCCTTGGACTCGATGCGGCCCGACGTCCACTTCCCGTCGGCCGACTTGCGCGGGATGACGAGGACGGTGCCCTTGCCTGAGAGCTGGAGGTTGTCCGTTGAGGTGGTGTATTGCTGCACTTCGTTGTTGACATGTAGGCTAAAGATAAAGGTGAGATTTGTTGGCGCTGGGTGTGACTACTAGTATGGAAAGGGGATTAGGAGAAAGAGGGGGTTCTTACTCAGTTATGAAATTCCATTGGGATGTGTCCACGGACTGGCCGGGCGCTCCGTCGAAAGTGATGTTCTGGACGAGATTGAAGCTTTGCCGAGCCAAGACAGAAAGCCCGACTAGGACGGAAGAGTCGAGAGCCACCATTGTAGTTGTCTATCGAATTTGAATCCAGGCGAGGATGACAAGGGGTTGGGCTCTAACCAAAGAGGGATAAGGGATCCTTCCAGCTGAAACTGAAACTAGGAGACAGGGAAATAATGAGTTCGTAGGGAGTTGCCTTGGTGGTGAATACAGCAAAGGGGTCGACATGGGGGCATTCGTAGGATTTGTATGCGCGTCGACGTGGGGGCCATAGCCCGTTCTGAAGAGCTCTAGGGGAGCTCGTGCCATATCTCTCTCAGCCAAAAGCGTTATGGCAAGCCTGAAACAACGGACATACGACGCTGACTCCCACCAAAGTGGGCGATGTAGTGGGCTGCGTCGTTTGTAGAGACATCCATGGTGCTGTGGTGGTAGCCCCGAGGGCCGACTCACCAGGGCGACCGGGCCCAAGAGAGAGCCCGATATTGTACCTAACCCCTAGATATGAGGAGTAGTGGAGTTGTGAAGGAGGGCTGCTCGCAGTGCTGGAGATCCGCAAGTCATTGCTCCGTCGTATGTTTGTTGGTCAATGGCTTGGCTTCCATGCTAGTCGTGGTCGTGTAGACCTGTTTTGTGGTGGATTGAGAGTTTGACAATGTGTCACTGACCGGAATGGCCCGGTGGCTCCCGGCCCACAAAGGGTCTTGTCCCGTCATGGTGGTTGGGCTCAGATGAGGTACATAGCGGGGTTGTGCTAAGCTTTTGTGGTCGGGAGGAGGCCAATGAGTCTTGGGGCTGGTCAACGGGACGGCCGTCTGTGAGATGTGAAACACGGTCCCCCGCCTGGCCATGTTGGTGAGAAACATACGCCACACGGGCCGCAACCGGGGCCAACCAGAGTATCGGGACTTACAAACCAACAAACGAGGTTGGTATATCGATAGCTGCAGTCAGCACATTTCTGGTAGTGAAAATGTCCTGATTCTGGTGGCTGCTTGTCACTGGCTGAACATTAGACTACCTACACAGTACATACCCAGGGGTTAGGATGAAAAGGGGTAAACAAAGCGGTTGCTTACGTAAGCCGGAACGTTACTCTCCTCTTCCCTTCATCTTCGTTCTTTTCTTTCTTATCCTCTTACCATTCTTTCGTATGTCTTCGCTCTGGGGTAAAAGGTTTTATGTAGGGCCTCACCCAGCGATGGCCTTCCCCGGTTCTGCCGGGACATGGAGAAGCGCAGGGGCAGGGTGGAACACGAACTAAGGCCGAGCCAGAAGGAGCTGTCAACTGGATGATGCAACGCGAGCGCGTGCTCCTCGACTTTGTCAAGTCCAAAATCGAGGAAAAAGTGGTGGCACCGCCTGAGTGCTCTGTCATGGGATCACCGTAAGGTCAGTTGTTATAGATCGCGATGGGATGGTTTGGGAGCGGCGAGAGAAGAAACTCCGTTGGGAAGAGTCCAGAGTCCATGTTTGAGCGCCGAAGCGTAGGGTCACTGGCGGCGTTCACAAAAGGCCCGGGTTTTCAAGACAGCATAACGTGCCGACGAGTAAGCGTAATGCAGAAGCCTTCATACTCAATCCTGATATCATAAGTACCGAAGCAAACGACAAAAACAAAGATCGACGCCTCCCACGGGGCCCCGAGCGCACGATGCTTACTGCTGCCGCTTGAGCACGATCTTGAGGGGCCGGCCGGGGTGCTCTTCGTCCTCCTTCACTTCCTCTCCCCTATGCTCTTCGCCTTTCTCCTCCCACTCGTTACCGGAGTCGTATCCCTCCTCATCCCCCTCGTCCTCCTCAGCGTCGGCGAGGCGTGGGGGGCTTCACCGCGCGGGGTGCGATATCATCTTTGTCGTCGTTGTCATCTTCATTCTCATCCTGCTCCTCCTCGTCGTCGTCGGGGTTTGAGTGACAGCGGCATCTCTCGCGGTGCCCCGCGTCAAAGGCGGCGATCACCATCTTGATGCCCGTCCAGGCGTTCCGGACGGTTCCCTCCGTTAGGCCGAGGCGTTCGGCGACTGCGGCGTAGTCTAACCCGGTACCCTAAATAGAAATCTAGCCGTTAGTGTTTGGGTCAGCTTTGCGATGATGCGTGAAGGGTGCATTGCAAAAATGGTGAGAAAAATCCAGGTTTAGACGAGAATTGGCAAAAGACGCTGTGTGAATCCCGCACGAACCAACCCTGTCCCGCTCTGGGCCATCTACCAGAGGAGGTGATGTTGTTGATATGGCCGGAACTAGAAGGTCATAGCCAAGACGTCTCGTTTTATAGGATGCGCTTCGTGGCTTCTGTCGCCTCGGGAGGTTCGGCTCCTTCGCTGGCAGCGTCCGACCGGGGTGCCATGTGCTTCCTCGACATTGTGTGGGTTAAGCTTCTTGGTCACCGTTCGATGAAAGAAGCAAACACTCCGGCTTGGGAGTGTCTCGGTGTTGTGTGGTCGAAGTCACCTGGGACATTTGGGATGAGGGCGAGTACTAAGATTGAAGTTCCACCTCCGAACCTCATTATCATAAACTTCGGCCTCGTATGCTCACTGGAAATAACCCCATAGACATACCCTCACCGTGCGTACCACGCTGGACTATTGAAGAGCCCCTGGCCGTAATGGCATAGTTGCCACGCCAACGCCTTCTACTCGAGGCGTCGGATAACGGGATGGAACTCGGCCTCTCTCGCGGGTGTGGCAAGCATCGCCCGCCTTGACAGCAGCCATGGAGATCGCTCGACGTACCGCTGGCTGCATGTCCGGGAGTGTGGCAGGAAGGAGACAGTGCTCGTATTCTGCAAACACTGCGGCGATGTGCTTCAACCTACCGAACGGCCATTCTCTGCGACACATTGGACCCGTCGAGGGTCTGAGAGCGCAGGAATGGCTCCTCCCGTGAATCAAAGAGTAAGGGAGCGCAAGGGGGCAGTAGGTAATCAAACAAGCCATGACTTACTCGAGGAAAGTCCGGGAGTGTGCTGAGGCTGTGCAGCAGAACCCTCTACTGCCGAGCCGAGAATAACGCCAGCGGCGTCTCCGAAGTTGCCTGGCCAGGAGAGAGAGTGTGAGCGGCGGGGGCAGTGGCGCGGGGGGTACGGGCCGCGCACTCGGCCCAATGTCCGACGAGGCGGATGCGAGTGGGCGGCTGGGCCGGATTCGCGGTGACGGAGGGCGACGGCGCGGCGGGTGCGGAAGCCATGCGTGCACTAGTTGCGGCGAGGGTTAGCAATGTATCAAAGCAATGTACCAACGTCGTCCTGCAGTGAACGACTTCGCCGCTCTTCACTTCACCAGAAGCATCGTTGCTGTCTCTGTCCAGGCATAGGGAAGCTTACAGGGTTTTGTTGGGGGGGGGGGGGAAGGATCTAGGTCCAACCGACGACAGATGCTGGCCGCGAAGGGGAGGTCTTGTTAGGTGGGATTTTCCGTTTTAGGAATGGCTCTTTTGTTAGATGTGTGAATGTCTGTTGCGGTTTGTGATGTCGTTAGACTCAGGAAAAAACATTGATGTGGGAGGATGAGGAGAATTTATGCTTGGGAGCAGTAGGTGAATCGCCGCTCTGGCTTCGACATACCATGCTGGTTCGTGGGTGAGGAAGCACGGGCTGGAGGTAATGTCTGTATGACGAGTCGACGTGTTATTTCTGGTTTCTTCCCATCTCTCTGGATCTATTAGGTGTTGAAGTTGGTGCGGAACCACTGAAGCCCCTGAAGCAGCACGAAGGGCCCTCGGAATCTGCCATCACAAAGCGGATTTTGCACACTGTGATGCCGAATTGCTTTACCATGGAGCCAACCATGTGGAGAGGAGACTGACACACTCTGACGACGATGCGTTCAGATCCGCCGAGCCTCAAATCTGATAAGTTCTTCCCAAACGGGTAATGGCGACATCATAGCCATGCACCTACTGAAACAAACACCACTACGGCCAATGAAGCCATAGGATCTACGGTGTTTGTTCCACAGAGGCTACTAATACTGCGGCCCCAACACGCTTGTGGTATGGATGGTGAGCTGGCAGGTATTGCCTGTTGTCTTCCATCGGTTCTTGTACTGTACATCCTACTGCACAAGCTTCATGTCGATGTGCGAGCCAGATGCTTCTTTGCTATGGCTAACTCTACCCATGTTAAGATTCACATAGGTTACCGAGGTGAACTCGACGGTTACTATGCGCTGAGCATGCGTTGTCACTCAAAACAATTGGAATGGGGAACGCTCGTGCGAAGAGGAGAACGGAAAACAGAATTCGTAGTGCTTACGGGTGAAGAGTGTACAGGACCAAGTTGAACAGAGGTCAAGCAGCTGGCGTTACTGTTTCTTCAGCCATGTCACCTTAGAGACACGAGGACTAACTTAAAGGCTGTAGTGAGTACTATTGGCTACAGAGCTATGGCCCGGCTTAACAGAAGAGCGATCATCGCTAATATACCCAACTGGGAGGAAAGAATCAGCTTCAATCCCCACAGTCTCTCTCTCCATCACCATGTGATATGGTCCCGTGGGACTAATCATCATAGGGCCCAAAGGCCACGACGAGACGGGTGTCTCGACTGGCCAATGGGGTAAGCGTTTTCAGATCACGCCTTTCATTTCCGCCCATCAAGACGTAGCTCCAGCTTCCTCGTGGACTTACATGGCCAAAGGCTCCCAGAGGTACTTAAGGACAACATCCGTCCTGCTCTTGACCGTGGGCTTCCAACCACCGCCAGAGACATCAGTTAGCTTTCATGATGGCGTTCAAAACGATACTCCGTTTCATCCTGTCTGCCCTGGTCGCGGGTATGGTGGAAGCCAAGGGAAGCCAAGGGATTGGACTCCACCTGGCAACCCGAGGTCTTCTCCAAACCCACGCGTCTCTGGCTGGCAGAGGCGTTGTTTTGTACCCAGCACATGCTCCCGACCATAACATTGACGACGGCGAGCACTTGGCGCCCGCACAGTACCACGTGCTTTACTACGCCCAAGAGGGCCACCGCCGTAAGATGCTCCCCCGGGCGTACTTGGTCTCGCACTGATATGTGTTAGCGGCTGTTCATGGAGCAAAGCATGCCACTTTCCGAGCCAATTTCTCCCGGCCGACTATCGTTTTGGACCACTCTAGTCAGCTGAAGTCAATCCGGTGCAAGAACGGCAAGATCAATATCTGCTTCAAGTCCAACTCCACGGGTTTCGTCAAGGCCAGCAACACATGGACGATGAAAACCTTCAACCTCGCCACCTACCACATCGGCTGTGGTGACGAGACCAGCGGACAGCGCTCTTACTTCCTCGCCGAGAACCCTCAGTTTGACCATGATTCCGGCTGTGTCGAGGTGGCCGCTAAACCCCTTGCGCACGAGGAGGCCATTGCGTCGGGAGAGAGATCCAGTGGGGCACCTACCGGGAGAAGGGCAACCCGGTTCCCGTCAAGGACCATGTGAGCGTGTACACGCCTTCCGAGACTTCTATCAACCCGAGACGGGCCAAACCTCGGTCTGCCCCGCCGTCGATTCGGAAGCCCCCGATTCCTGCACGTCGAGGGTTCCCCGTCACGGCATGCCAGGGAACGCCACCAATGGGACAGACCCGGACGCGCCGCCTTTCCCGCCCGACTTCTTCAAGGACCTGGATGACACGTCGCCCAGGGATATCACCGACGACCTGCAGGCGCTGATCAACTTCTTCCAGACGGACAATTTCGACACGTCCGACATCTCTGACCTGCTCCAGTGGTTCGAGGATCTGGACTTCATCGACTACGATGGAACCGTGTGGATCGAACCGGAGGATATTGCGGGGGGACTGGACAAACGGTAGCTTCTCGCGCGCGAGGCACGTCAACTCCTCCGGCGCCGCATCATGCAGAGGCGCGGCTGGGGCTTGTTCGAGGGGATCTACAACGCCGCCAAGGCACTGGTGAACGTGAGCTGTCTTCTCTACTTATAAGTTTATGATGATAATAACCCATTTATCACTCTTGCTTACCCTGGAAATATGGAACAGAAAATTGGCGACTATGTCTCAACCGCCGTGAAGACGATCCTGGGCGTGGGAGACAAGCTTGTCAGCCTGGCCATTGTGGCGGCCAAGGTGATCGCCGTCCCGTTCGGAGTCCCGTTCGACGAGTCGTACAAGAACGACTTCACCTTTCAACTACACGGCCAAGGGCAGCGCCACGAACCGCCCGCCCCAGATCTTCGGCTACACCAACGGCTTCAACCTCGTCGACACTGGAGGCGTGTACAGCGTGTAGTGCGCCAAGTGCGGCGTGTCGGGCGAGTTCACGGTCGAGGGGCGTCTGGCGTTCAACATCCGGGACGGCATCACCTAGGGCTACGTCGCCCTGGTCAACGTCTAGAACTTCCACGTCGACGCCGTCTTCGGCGTCACCCTCGAGGTGCAGTATGGCAAGCCCATTGAGGCGCTGAATCAGCCGATTGCCTCGGTTCCCATGAGCCCGCTCACGATTTCGGGCATTATCACTCTTGGCCCGCAGCTTACCATCAGCGGCTCCCTGGATCTTGTGCTCAACGGCCAGGCGGAGCTCCTGATTGGGAGCAGCCTGAAGATCGCCCCCGGTGAGGCCCGATTGAGTCTTGTGGAAAGAGAGGACAACAGTTTCACGGGCTTTGAGACTGCGTTCGACCCTGTCGCCAAGTTCAACGGCGCGCTCACGGCGTCGGTGGAACTGGGTCTGCCCATCACCATCGAGGTCGGCGTCGAGATTCTGAACGTCAAGTTCAAGAAGACGGTCGGCCTGACCAACAAGCCTTCCGTCTACGGCATGGCCACCCTGAACCTCAACCTGCCCGTGCTGTGCAAGGGCGTCACGCTCAGTGTTGGGGTGGAGAGCCGCATCTACATCTCGGCCATCGGCTTGTGAAACTACGACGTCCGGACGGATATTCTCTACCAGAGGGCACTGGGCTGCGTGACGTGAGTGGAACACGAAGTCTATCCAGCTACCGTGTGCTGATACTGCAATGAATGACTAGCGCCGAGGGCTTCAACTCTCTCATCTCGGTGCCCGACCTGACCGTGACCACCGCGGTCCCGCTGGCCGTGGGCGGGGACATCGCGAACATCAAGCCCAACATCACGGACGTCTCGGCCGGCCTGATCCAGAACATAACCAATAACATGGGATTCAAAGTCATCATGAACGAAGACCGGACCTCGATCCTCGTGTCCGGCAAGGATGCCTTCGTCTACCTCGTCGACACTCAAGAAGCGTACGACGTGAGCTCGCCGTGGGGATCCGTCAACCTGGCCTCGGGCACCATCAACTTCGACGTCTTTGGCCGCGTGCTTTCGTTCATCATCGACCGGCACGCCCACGTCGTGACCAGCGTCTAGGTCTTTGAATTTGACAAGGTCGCCGGCAATACCTACGCAGCGTACGTCTATTCCACTACTAGTAGTAGCATCTCCTTCCCCTTTCCCCTTCCCTTTTCCTTCTTCTAACATCCCATCCCCTAACTGCATCCTAGTACTACCTAGTACTACCTAGTACTAACCAGATCCATTCTAATTATCATCAAAAAACAGCGCCTTCACCCCCGTCAAGTCCTCCGACGGCAAGACGCGATACACGGTCGTGTACACGGTCAACGGCGTGACGGTCACCTACTTCCCGACCTTCTGCAAGACCCCCGCCGGCCTGCGGCTGTACCCCACCTACTATCTCATCGACGTGGACGGCAACATCCAGACCACGCCGGTCTACCAACAGGCCGTCAGGGAAGGGTTCAACGACTTCTACATCAGCGACCCCCTTGGGCTCCGCGAGCTCCCGGACGGTGCAGTTGGTTGCTGCTTGATATCATTTTGGGGTACTACTAGGAGTAGTACTATTCCGTTGCTAGTACTAGTGAGGCTTTGAGTGCCGGCGAGTGGTGTGTTGGTACTACATGTAGGTATAGTGCATTGTTAGCTGATAGGGGGATGGAGGGTAACGTTAGGGTTTTGGAAGTAGGGCGGGAGGGATATGGGCCATGATTCAACTCATGACTCTCCTCCATTGTTTTGACATCCCATACCAGTATTTCTTCTTGTCAGGTAGCCATACAATTTTGCAATCCATTATCCCCTCCTTACGCTACAAGAAAGTCCAGGGTTTGTCGGTACGAAAACCTAGGAAGGTAGATACCGGGAAGCCCAGAGCGGAGAAAGGAAAATGCTAGTACCTACACACCTCATACCATGTTATTCAGTAAGAAAAGTACTCTCTAACCTACCATTTCATCAAACCTGCACACCAACCACCCGACGCTTCAGACACATCCCCAAATCAACTCATATCCCACCCACACCCCTTTCATCTAAATCCCCTGCCGCTCCAACTCCTTCTCCGTCCACTCCCACAACCCCTTCCCCAACCCCTCATCCTTCGCCAACGCACTCTCCCCGCCGGGAACCCCCACCGGCTCGTAGTAACCCCCACTCTGTACCCCGGCCGCCACACTCGCCCACAGCTGGTTCCGCACCCCGTCCTCGACCTCGCTGAACAGCCGCCTCCCGACCCTCACCAGCATCCTCACAAACGCCGGCGTGCCCGTGGCGTTCTCCACCAGCTGCGTGTTCACCATCCCCGGGTGCACGGCCGCCACCGTGAGGTATGGGTATTGCCTCGCCAGCTGCCGCGCCCAGAGCACGTTGGCGAGCTTGCTTTGGGAGTAGCGTCCGACGAATCCTAGATCTTCCGCGGGGGTTTTGAGAAGGGAGAAGTTGATCCCTGGCTTGGGGGCGTAGATGTGCCCGTGGGAGGAGAGGGAGATGACGCGGACGTCTGCGGATAATGAAGAACTTGAAGAAGAAGAAGTGGCGGTTTGGGTCAAGAGAGGGAGGAGCAGTTTGGTGAGTAGCGCGTGGCCCATGTGGTTGGTGCCGAACTGTAGCTCGTAGCCGTCGGCTGTGAGCCCCGGGGGTTGGGCCATGATGCCTGCGTTGAGCATTAGGATGTCGAGGCGGGTGGAAGTGGAGAGCACGGTGGCGGCGGTGCGCTTGACGGACGCGAAGGAGGCGAGGTCTAGCTCGAGAACGCGGATGGGGGCGTCGGGGACGGCTTGGCGGATTTCGGCGGCTGCGGCGTTGCCTTTTTCTGTGCTGCGGGCGGCGAGCCAGATGAGTTGGGGTTGATGCCGGGCGTACTCGAGCACGGCTTGCTTGCCGAGGCCGATGTTGCCACCCGTGACGAGGATTACTTTGTCCGTGAGGGGTGGGATGTCCTTTGCGGGGTTGAAGGAGACAGATTTGTTATTGCAGATCATGGTGATGCGAAACGAGGATGACGGGAATTATTGACGAGCTTGAGGAAGTTTTGATGATGGGGTGAAGAGGTGAAGTGACTGAAGAATGTTAAAGAACGTCGACCTCCATGACAGATCCATCCTTTATATACCGCTCCTCAGGCCCCTGGCACGCTACGTGAGTACGTGCTTGTGAGGAATGAGGATCCGCACACGCGGACAAGTATTGATCCCCGATTGTGGGACCTGTTGAGCCGGTTGTTCCAATATCTAGCCAGTATCTATGCCGGTCAACCTCTTCTCCGCCTCTCGTTCTCCCAGATCGTCAACCGGCGTTGTCCGTAGTCCGTTCGTGGTGTAAGCGGGAGGAACGGCTAGTCCCAAAACGGAATACATTCGTGTGGGTCTCTCAGCAGGAATCCTTATAAACCCTTGACGCGGAGGCTGAGCGAACTCACACCCCTCTTTGCCAATAACCGATACAACCAACATTGTCCTGAAGAGACCGGTCCGGTCCTTCTTGTTATCCCCGGTCCGGACCTGTATACCGCGAGATCTCAGCACAATCACTGCTTGGAATTGTTGAAGGATCAAGTCGGCCACCCGCCCTCGGAATCTCGGACTTAGACGGTTACACCCGTGTGAGCCTGGTCCGCTTCGAGCCATAGCTCCTTGTCTACTTATTCTACCGTTTGTTCCTCGGTTCTCCCATGAAATCCGCTGCGGGAAGTGCGTTGACTGTGAGATGGTTGGCTGTATCACGGCTCAACTAACTCTCCGGTGCAGCCCCGGGTTCCGCCCCCTTTATCATAACCACATCCCTTGCCAAACCCGATCCGAAGACGCGCCGCTTGATCCGCAGCCATGTCATGCGCGGCAAGAATGAGGGCAAGTTTAGGAGCAGCAAGTACGGGCCGCGCCCGCAATGGGTGACCTCTCCGAGAGAGGATGTGGCTTCGAAGAAGGCTACGGGCACGCAGGAGAGAGTCCCGGACCAACCAACAAGGCAACCGAGACAGGATGGTTGGGTACTGATTTCGCCCCGTAAGATCGCAACGGAGCTCTCACTGTATGGGTTCGGTGGTGATATGCAGCCATATGTGCAGGAACTCATCCACCGTGGTGTGTCTGCCTCATCTTCGTCAATGATCTTGTCATGTGAATTACTAAGCCCCGAGGACCCTCTAGCATTCACCATCGTCAAACCATCAATGTACGCATGGCCGGGCATGGCACCTGCCGATCCACAAGAGAATCTGTTCTGCTTCGACAATCTTGCCCAGCATCCCGGGGTCCTCCACTCGACCCTCTTCGTCGCCCAGGCCTTCCATGACTCGGCGGTTGGCAGTTCCGACGGGACAGTCGCCCAGCTCCACTTATCCAAGGCCCTCTCCCACCTGCAACAAAGCCTGAACAACCGGAAAGAAGCCGTCCAACTCTCGACCATGGCCGTCATCACATCCCTGGCCATGGCGGCGGTCCTCGCGGGCGACCTCGATACCGCGGCCAAGCACATGGACGGCCTGTACCGCATTGTCTCGCTGCGCGGCGGCCTGCACTCCCTGGAGCCGGGCAGCATGATAGAGCACAAGGCTCGCTCGTAACGCTTCCCTTTTCTAGTCACATATACTGATTATTTCCTCCCACACTAACCCAACCTACTTTCTGTTACCTAGGATTGACCTCGGTCTCGCAATGGCCCGCGGCACGCCCCTCCGCTTCCTGCGAGACGACCATCTCTCCTGGTCCCCTAACCTCCCACCACCATTATCGTCATCACCCCAAACCCGATCATCATTATCACCCTTCTTCGCAGAACTCGACTCCATCTTCCAATCCCAGCCACCCTGTCGTCCCGATCCACGCCTCCTAAACGTCTGGGCCGACCTGGGTGAGTTCTCCCGGCTGGTCAATGACAATATGACAGCGACGGTATCCTCCAGCAAGCTCACGGCGCTGGCGATCTCGGTGCCGCACCGGCTGCTGCGCTTGAAACCACTACTAGTACTAGTAGGATCCGGGCCGGAGGAGGAGCATTCTTCTTCCCTGCACGAGTTGCTCCGTCTTGGCATGCTGGCGTATGCGAAGATGCTGCTTGTCCGGTTGAGCGGGGTGGGGAGGAAGATGGTTGTGCTCGCGGGGGGGTTGAAGGCGGTGTTGACTGGTTGGGATTATAGCTTGGGGTTGGGTTTGTATGCTGTGGATGATGTAGGCATGGTCAATGGTTGCGAGGAGACGGTCAAGTTACTTCTCTGGGCTTTGTTCGTGGCCAGCATGTCGATCTTTGAGGAGTTGGATCAGATCTGGCTGCGGGAGATGCTGGTGCGGACTGTCTCGGTGCTTGGGCTGCAGACCTGGGCCGAGGCAAGGGCAGCGCTGAAGGGGTTCTTGTGGATCGATGTTGTTTTTGACCAGCCTGGGCAGCGGGTGTTTGAGTGGTGTTATGAAGTTCAAGTCAATGGCTGATAGGAAAGACAAGACACTGTGCTCTTTACTTTTCTTTTCGTGTGAATCATGCTGGATCTACCAGACATTAATGTAAGGGACGAGAACCTGCGTTATACTAAGGTAAGACTGATGTTTAGACTCTGCATCTACGTATTTCCGATTGGCCCCCCGGGCTCTATCAGCTTACGTTTCACACGCAATACGCCGGCACATCCTACTGGGTCGCTCGCCCTTCCAGGCGGGGTAGGGAAAGGGAGCAAACTCAGCAAGGGCTAGCGTGGGTACCTTAAGGTACCTAGGTTGCTCCTCCACACACGATCTGCTCTCGTTACTCCTCATCCTGCACCGAGAACAGCCAGTGTTCACCAACAATGAGATTGATCAACGCCACCACGCTCAAGCTCGAAGAGTTCGTCAACCATGAACAAGCCCCGCCCTACGCCATCCTCTCGCACACCTGGGGCGATGAAGAGGTCACATTCCAGGATATGGCCGACCTAGAGACGGCACGCAAGAAGGCAGGGTTTGCGAAAATCAAGCACTGCTGCCGCCGGGCCCTGTACGAGGGCTGGGACTGGGTGTGGGATGACACGTGCTGCATTGACAAGACGTCGAGTGCCGAGCTGTCGGAATCTATCAATTCCATGTTCCTCTGGTACGAAGCGGCGGAAGTATGCTATGCTTACCTTGCCGACGTCCCTCCGCTGGCCTCGTATCCGAGTGACCAAAAGCATCGGCAAAGGTTGGACTTTGTGAGCAGTCGTTGGTTTACGCGCGGCTGGACGCTGCAGGAGCTGCTGGCGCCGGCCTTTCTCGAGTTCTTCGACAGCGGATGGGGGATGATCGGCTCGCGGGAACAATGGGCGGATGACATCGAGAAGGCGACCGGAATCGAAGTCGACCAGCTGGCCATCTTCCAGCAGTGCTCTGTGGCGACCAAGCTCTCGTGGGCCGCGAATCGAGAGACAACGAGGATCGAGGACCGCGCCTACAGCCTGCTCGGTCTGCTGGGCGTCAATATGCCCTTGATCTACGGGGAGGGCAAGTTGGCATTCATCCGTCTGCAGCATGAACTGACACGTTATTTCAACGATGAGTCCATCTTTGCGTGGGGCTTCCCGTTAGGTATGTCCTAGGTTCGAGAGATACTCACTCCATGGTGGCCTTCGCCTCCGGAACAGACACTGATCATTACGCACTCGCTAGAATCGGGCATTCCGGCTGTATTTGGAGAGAACACAAACCCTGCTGGCGGGCGTAGCTACCGAGACACATTGGTCTTTGCACCTTCGCCTCAGGAGTTTGCCTCCTCACGGGGTATCGTCCCATCGATGATGGACCAGCAACCGCGGTTGTTCCAGATGACAAATGCAGGCCTCAGCATAAAGGCCGAAGTCTTCAAGCTACCTGAAGACGCTTTGAACGCCGACTGGCTTTATTTCATTCAGCTCAACTGCAGCTGGTCCAGGGACCGGCCACCAGTCCAAACCGACACAAACCCTGCCGGGCTTGTGGCGCTCTTTCTCCGCGATGCTCTACCACCAGCCAACAACAACAACATCAACAACGACAACTCGAACTCCGGCCAGGTCCCCGTCTTCTTCACCAAGGTCGGCTGCTCTCTGCTGAACCCTCAGGATGCGGGCAAATGGCAAAGCCTGGGCAAGCACACGATCCTCATTGCCGCTCAAGGTCCCGCAGAGTCCGCGGATGAGAAGATGGAGGTGAACATCCGGTTCCAGCCGTATGGGCTGCACTCGGCCGATGGGCACGCGACCCGGTTCGACCACGCATACTATCTAGGCCGACGGCACCGCCGCACGGGACAATGGGATATCACGAGAACCCAAAGACCGCCGACGACAATAGCCGAGCATGAGGCCTTCATCTGCATTGTCACCGCGGAAGGCAGGTCAAACGGGAGGTCGTTTGGCTATTTGGCCATCGTCAAGTGGAACTGCTTTGTCCGATGGAATCGCTGGAGACCTCGTCCGGGGCCGTCTCGGCGAGGCTTGACGCACGGCATTTGGCGCGTTGGCGGCGCAGGCGCTTCTTCCATGTACGACGAAGACATGCTGAAACTGAAGCTCGACAGCGACCGGGTCCACCGGTACCCAAACACCGCACCGGGGAGCTTGGAGTTTGGCTCCCAGTCTACGGGCATGTATGTATCCGTCACGCCGAGGGGAAACCCGGCCCGCGCGGGCACGAGGCAGTTTCTCGTTAGGCTCTCCCGCATCCTCCACCGACCTCCCCCCACATACATAAGCGACAAGCAAACCCAAGATCGAGACTCGGCGACTACTACTACTAGTAGTAGTAGTGGCTCGCTGCCAAGCGAACACTTACCTGTACGCAACGTTTAGCTTCTTCACATCCCTACGGGACAACAATGGCTTTGTAATGGGCCCTACAGAGCTGTTCAACACCCCTCTCTGCCCGACCTTGCTTTATACTAACTGCCTTGTTACTCATTTTCCCTAATCTTCTCTAGCTTACCATCTCAGAGTGGTCATATCATCATGAATCCAACCAAATCGCCCACAGGCATTCAGATAATCGATAGCAAGTACGTAGGTAGTTACTGTTCGCACCGGCTGCAAATATGTGAAAAAGCCCCTGATCCTCCCAAGATATCTTTATTTATTCTACTTTGGGATTATATGCATGGCACTATTAAATTGACTAACAGCAACTGCTTTCAAGTTTCATCACTAAAGTACTAGTCAACTTGTAAGGACTGCGCTTTGAAGCAAAAGCTTTGATACCCATCTTTCACATCCTTCCTCAGCTGATCATTGTCCGACAAGCATAATGTCCCGGTGTCGTTTTAGGAACTCCCCCACAGCGGCAAGGAAACGATCCAGCTCCTCATCCGGTGTCTCCAGGATCATGGCGATATAGCCCCTCCTCACAGTCCAGAACCCAGCCTCCAGCATCTCAAACCAGAAGAGGTCCCTCAGATCCAGCCGCTCCTTTCCCTTCAGATCCTCACCACAAGTGATGTTTTCCATTCCACCTTCGGTAAAGTGCAGCCCCAGCAGAGATCCCTTGCCCGTGACACTCAGCCTTGTCCCCCTGGCCACCTCGCTCAACCGCTCCCTGAACCAATCGCCCTTCTGATTGAACACCACATTGACCTCTGGTGTGTACACCTCATTCAACGCCACATAACCCGCACACATGGCCATCGTATTGTTGTTGAACGTCCCGGAGTGTGCCAAGCTCCCTTCCACCCGCGGGTCATACACAGCCATGACGTCCTCGCGGCCGCCAAACGCGCCAAATGCCAGACCCCCGCCCAGATACTTCCCCAGCGTCACCAAGTCCGGCTCCAGCCCCATCTCAACCCCAAGCCCACCCGGCGCAAGCCGCGAAGTCATCACCTCATCTAGAATAAACAACCCCCCCTCCCGGCGCGCCGCATCCCTCACCCCAACCAAGAACTCCCTCGTCCCGGGGATACACCCACCAGCGCCCTGCATCGGCTCCACCAACACAGCCGCCAGCTCCTGCCCAACACCCTCCACCACCTCCCTAGCGAGCCGCAGGTCATTATACCGCGGCACGACAACAAAATCGTCGCGATCCACCGTATTCGGCGCCGGCCTGCCGTCGGGGAAGGATAACACCGCCCCGTGGTAGGCCCCGGAAAAGACCACCACCTTGCGCCGTCCCGTGAAGTGCCGCGCGCCCGCGACCGCGTGCAGGTTGGCTTCGGTGCCCGTGTTGGCCATGCGCACGCGGGCGAGGCGGAAGCGGGCGCCGAGCAAGGAGGCGTAGGCGTGTTCGTGCACGGTGGTGGCGCCGAGGGAGACGCCGACCTGATCGAGTGTGGAGAGCAGGGTTTGCTGGATGGCTGGGTGGGAGTGCCCCAGTAATCCGGCCGAGAGCTCGCCTACTAGGTCGAGGTATCTTTTGGGAAGGGACACCCAGTCAGTTGTTAAGTGCGGGTGTTGAAGGGGAGTGGCCGGTTGTTGGGGTGGGGAGAAAGGGAGATAGTACTTGTGTCCGTCGAGGTCCCACACGTAGGCGCCCCTGCCTTGCTTCATGGACAGCGGGAATGGGGATGTGTAGAGGAGGGTGCGGGTGTTGCCGCCGGGGAGAGCGCCTACGGCGAGATCGTGTTGAGCTTTGGAGAGGGAGTTGTTGGCGATGAAGCGCGCTTCGGCTGCCCGGAGGGCGGTTTGAGCGGGTTCGTGGTCCGACGGGGTGTTTGAAGACGCCATGGGCATGGGGAAGATGTTGGAACGTTCCCGCTCATATGTTTAGGTAGAGCCCGCACTTGAAAATACGAACAGGTTCCATGCGCACTCAGTTGTAACTTCCCACAGCCGGAGGGCCCTCTGAAAAGATAGGACAACGGAAGGAGCGCCCGGTCTAAGCTACCCCTCACATCGGGCCGGGATTAGGGCCCTGATCACTCGGACCTGCCCCTCTTCACCCCTTCCGCGAGATCCACTTTCTAACACTGGCAGTTAGCAGAGACCCGAGAGGCATATGCGCTTGTTCTTTCGGGCCGTGTCGAGATGGCAAAGGAGGACAGGGTTGGAACTTGGAAACGATCCCGCCTTCGCAGTTGCAGAACTCGCCGTGGCTGATGATCGCATGCATGCATTTTCGATCGAGCAGAGTCAGCATAGCAGCCAGGCAGTCTGTTGATGAAAACGGGATCAGGGCGGAGTCGCCCTCCAGAGTCCATACGAGCGGCCAGGTCGGGCGCGGTAAGGCTTAAGAAAATAAGCCGCGTGCGAATGAAAGAAGAGGGTTATCGTGCTTCCCAATCCTTGTCTCTGGCTCGCTTCCATTTTCAATTGATGAGGTCTCGGTTGGCGGCCCGGATGGGCCAGGAAGAGCACTGGCATCAAGCTTCACAAATATCGTAGTGGTGAGCGCCCGGCGACCTCGGGGGTCGGTGCTCCAGCTGAACTTTGACGCACTCAGTTCGAGTTGTATAGGAGGGCAGGAGATGACGCAACGGTGTCTGAGAGAAGCCGGATCCAGGGAAGCGCCCATGAATTTTCCGCGGAGCTCCGCGACCACGCTCATGAGGGAATAGGGGTTGGCAAGCTCAGACCTCTTGCATGCACGTTTTCCAAGGACGTGTACGAGCCCGCCGGGTCCCTCGCATGCCAGTTCGACCCAAGGTATACGGACACGCCCCACGACGCCGCAGAAGAGCCAACATGTATGTGTGGCCTGGGGATCCCGCGGGCTTGACATGGTTATCTCCACTGCGGCGAGTGTGATGTCTTCGAGGAGGTCGCTCCTGGCGTCAGGGAAATAAGCGTCTCCTCTGTCCCACAGATGCGCCGGGTGGTAGGTGTATCCGAATTTAACCTCGGGAACGACACTAGCGTGGACCCCCCAGCTAACCCGCAGTGTATTGGACTCGTGTTTGCGTGAGGGATTGAGACGAGCATCCAGAGGAAGCGGCGGTGACTGCCATGGAGACATCTGGATGCGGATAGCCTGTGGCTCAGTGAACCTCATGCTGGACAGCTTGACCGAGTATAGCTCTCCGGGGGCGTGCCGGAAGAAGCCAGAATCTGTTTTCCGAAGGCAGATGACAAGGACCTGTGGATCCCGAGGGTCATCGTCGAGCGGGTCCTGGCTCACACGGCAATGCAGAAACAGCCGGGGGTATAGTGTCACCCCGGGCCGGCTCTGTTTGAAAGGCCTCTCATAAAGGCTCTCGTAGTTACTGAGCCTGCCCCCAGCTCGTCTATATTGCCTGTACTTGGCCTTATGAGACGTATCCAACGCTGTGGTCATCTCGATGCCGGCATTGCTGATGATCCAGGAGGGTGAGGGTAGCAACGGATCCCGGACGGGCTCAACCGAGGAGCATCCTGCGAAGTGCAATGGGTCGCGAGCCAGAATCCCGGAGGAGTTAGAAGAGGTGCTGAATACCCAGGCGAAGAGTGACATGTCATTGTACTTCTGGGCTATGGTCTGCTGCAATCGGATAAATGCTTGTTCTCTCTCTCCGTATATCAACGGCATATGGACATTGAAGATGCCCAGGAGGCAGTATGCCTTGTCTTCGAGTCGTGTTGTCTTCCGATTCGCTGCCCAGGACATCCTCTTGGCTATCGAGAGTGCATGCAGCGAGCGCGGTTCTATAAGGACTGCCATGTCGATTCCCGTGACTCTGGAAATAGGACCCGAGAGCTTGTTTCTGGTTCCTCGGAAATTCCACGCCCTGTCGTAGAAGTCAACCACTCCGGGAGCCAGCAGTTCCTGGAGTGTCCAGCCGCGCGTAAACCACCGGCAACCGTGGAAAGCTTCTGCGATTTCGTCGTCAATCTGCTCGCCATCCCCGGTCTCATGGCCCGGGTCCGGCTCGAGGTCTTCCAGGTAGGCAATACAGCGATCGGCGCTCTGGTACCAATGGAACATGGAGTTGATCGACTCGCTGAGCTCGGCGCTGCTTGTTTTGTCGATGCAGCACGTGTCGATCCACACATATTTCTGTCCATTCCGGGACGCGAGGTCGCACATGGACTTGATCTTCTGGAAGCCCCTTTTCTTGGCTGCCAATTGCAGATTCTGCATGTCCTGGAACGAAACCTCCTCCGGACCCCATGTGTGCGAGAGGATCCAGTACTGCCTCGAGTCCAATCCGTCGACATCGTTGAGTTCGAGGAGGTGGGTAGAGCAGTTAAGGAGCCACATGGTGAGGACAATATGGTAACTACTACTAGTAGTAACAAGAACCTGCTTCAGTGTCGTTATGGAGATCGGAGGCTTCGAGGGATGTCAGAACGGGGAAAGACGGTAAGGCTTTTTGGATTGCGGGGGCTGGGTGGAAGGCTGTGGGTTGAGGCGCATCCAGGGAGCTGAGTGGGAGCCCCGGAGTCATAGGTAAGAACAAGAGGCGAAGCGCTTATTATGCACGATGCAGCCTAACTGCCCGCATAGGGTATGCAGAATAACCAGCCCCTTGGCATTTTTTATCCTCAGATTGTCGCGCTGCATGAGTAGTTCGTACATACCAACAAAATATACCATCATACCGTAATATCAGTAGCGATGTAATTCGTTCAGAATTAAGACAGTATCGCAACCACATACAGTAGGTAATGGTATGTTCGAATTAGTATCGACCTCCGTCCTGAATCCCCTTCAAGTTCCCACTACCTGATATCCTTCCCCTTTGGCCCTTCCCTCTCTCCCTCCAACTCCCTTTTCTCAATCAATACGCGTCTCCTCTGTCCCACAGATGCGCCGGGTGGAAGGTGTATTCGAATTTAACCTCGGAAACGGCACTGGCGTGGACGCCCCAAATGACCCGCAGTATATTGGACTCGTGTTTGCTTGTCGACAGGGTCTTGATTGACCCATGCACCTAAACTGTTTGCATTGTTTGGATGCTGAGGGACTTGGGTAATGGTGGGCAGCAAGCTGGAAAAGACTAGTTCGCAGCTGGAGACCTCAGAACAAGTACTGCGAGGGGAGAAGTTAGCGACAAGATTGGGTTTAGATCGCAGGCTTGCCCGGCGCTGGATGGAGGACCGATGACGAGGGACACGAGGATGCTCTCTGGGAGGACGATGTGCAAGAAGATGGGGTCTTTTCTCATACATTCGAGGGCCAATTGGATGAACTGATTGATCAAGAGGAGCAAAGGACAATGGAGTCGTCTAGGCACTTTAGCTGTCTCGAGGTCGCGGGCGAGTAACTGCAGCAATTAGTCTACACGTAGTCCCCGAGAGATGCAAGGCTCCAGGGCTGTCGTTGAATCGGGGATTTCTATAATTAGGTAGTTACTGATTTGTATCAAGACAAATTCCTTACCTCATTCCGCAACCAGCCCAACCATCAGTCCTTTTCCGACGGGCGTCACAATCCAAGGCCATGGAGAGAAAAATTTCATCGCCAATGGCGCCTACATTCATGGTGTCCGCACCAGGAAAAGTCATCGTCTTCGGTGAACATGCCGCGGTTTTTGGCAAGCCAGCCGTTGCCGCAGCCATTTCACTCAGATGCTACCTCCTCGTCACGACCTTCTCCAAGTCCCGACGTACCGTCTCATTGAACTTTAGAGATATCGGTTTTTGAACCACACGTGGACAATCGATACTCTGCCGTGGCCAGTTTTCCACCATGTTTCTAAGAAGAAGTTCTACTACTCTGTTGTCGACTCTCTCGACCCAGAGTTACTCGACGCCATCAGGCCGCATGCGGAGGCCGTGTCCAGAGACCTTTCTAAGAAGCAGCGAGAAATGCATGTACAATCTGCGACCGCTTTCCTCTACCTCTTCCTTTCCTTAGGCTCCCCGCAAAGCCCTGGATTCGTCTACACCCTTCGATCGACTATTCCAATCGGTGCCGGCCTGTGTAGTAGTGCTAGCGTTTGCGTTTGCTTGAGCACAGCGCTGCTCCTCCAGACTCGTACCCTGACAGGACCTCATCCCGACCAGCCTCTCAAGGAAGCCGAGGTACAAATCGAACGCATCAACCACTGGGCGTTTGTGGGGGAGTTATGCATCCACGGAGATCCTAGCGGGGTGGACAATACGATCTCTTCCAGGGGGAAAGCCGTACTTATCCAGAAAAGCACCTCTGGGGCACCATCCGTTACCCCTCTCGTCAACTTTCCGAAGCTACGACTCCTTCTCGTCGACACTAGGCAACCGCGTTCCACGGCCACGCAAGTAGAAAAAGTGCGACGGTTGAAAGACAACCACCCTACGACGATAGACCTAGTCTTGGATGCAATCGGCCAACTCACCGCTTCGGCATTGGAGCTTCTCTCATCTGCCAACTTCAACGGTAATGGCACGTGCGATGCTCTCGACCGCTTAGGGATGTTGACTCGCATGAACCACGGATTGCTAGACGCACTAGGAGTCTCTCATCCACGCCTACAGCGCGTCTGCGAACTCGTCGAACATTCTGGTGTCGGCTGGGCAAAGCTCACTAGTGCCGGGGGTGGTGGGTGTGCCATTACACTTCTCCGGCCAGACGTCAAAGAGGAAACTTTGGAAGAACTCGAACGGAGGTTCACGGCAGAAGGCTTTCAGAAATATGACGCGATCCTAGGCGCCGATGGAGTTGGCGTACTTTGGCCCGCGGTATTCAGAAACGGTTCTGCTAGAGAGAACGGTGAAGAGATCGACCAAGAAAAATTTGAGAATGCCATCGGCGCTTGGGGTATCGAGCAACTGGTTGGCGTAGGGGAGGACCGTGAAGGATGGAGGTTTTGGACGCGAGCTGACGACTGATTTTGGCTACTGTTGAGTTACAGGTAGCCCTCCATCTGCCTGTCGATCAGATTTGAAGATGGGCTTTGTTTCCCTAGGAGGGAGAACCCCGAGAATCAGATGTGGGACTGGTATGATAAGCCAGGGGAATAGCACTCGATAGAATTGATACTGGCGTTTGGCATCGGGCACTCCGCAACCTCTGGCGGCAAGCCCTCACGTGAGAGGAATAGATTCGGACAACTACAATGTCTGCCACACCGAACGCATGTTGAAAGGAGGGTTATCATCAACAGATAGCCAAGCGTTGACAGGGTGATCGTACATGAAAGAGATGTGTAAGTACACACCAAATGACGAAGAGCCAAAAGGTCGGGAGCATTTTTCAGCCAACTTATTCTTTGGATATGTCTTAGTGCAGAAAAAAGGAAGACGTAAGCAGGCGCATGAAAGATAATGAGACAAAGACGTTCTCCAAGTCTTCCCTCGGGAGCTTCAAGTTCCAAATGTAAAATAACAACGTGACACATGCAATCTGGGGAACGGTATCATTATAGGAAAATGCAAAATTCACTTAAGACACCGATATGTAGACAGCACATCAATTACAAGGTTGCAGACATGATTGAGGGTACCCTGTTGTATACTTGTATTCAAGATGGAACGGGAGGCGAAGCGCTTATGCACGATGCAGCCTAACTCGCCGCATATGAAGAATAACCAGCCCATTGGCGTGTCCTATCCTCACATTGTCGCGCTGCATGAGTAGCACATATTAGCAAATATACCTTCATATCGTATTATCAGCAGCGATATAACTCATTGGGAATTAGGACGGTATCGCAGCCACATACAGTAGTGGTACATTCAAATTACCAAGTACTAGGTAGTATTGAACCCCCCCCCCCCTTTCCTTTAATCCCCTTCCCACTACCTTGTATCCTCCCCCTTTGGCCCTTCCCTCTCTCCCTCCAACTCCTTTTCCTCATCAATATCATCATCCAAGATTACCACAGATCCGCCATCGTAAAGATCCCTGTTGTGGTCCCGGGAAGAGGCGGTGCTGACCCGGCTGCTGACACTGCTCGACCTGCGCAGCTGATGGTGCCGCGAATGGGGCAGCTGCGGGTCGCGTCGCGTCGCGGTGGTGGCGGCAGTGTGCACGGGAATCGTGGAATAGGCCGGCGTCGAGGCCGCTGTGGCGACGGTGTCAATCTCCAGGGGGATCGGATTGCCCCTTCTTAGGGAGAGGGCGCGCTGGACCATTGTGGCTGACTTTCTTGCTCTTTTTTCCTTGTCTAACTTTTCTCTTACTTCTTCACCTTAGAGGCGAGTCGTGAATCGTGGGTGAGTGTTGTTGGGTTCGGGTTGGGATGGTATTAGTACGTGGTAAGCAGTCGATAAGCGCTCACTGGAAACCAGTTCCGTGGTTCGATTGTTGAATTAAATGATGTTTCAAAAGAGTGATCATAGAGATTTGGGTTGATAGAACTGTTGATGTGAAGGAGCGTTGGCCCTGGTGGGCTGGGGAGTGGAAGAGCGTGGCTGTTCGAGGAGTTCGGCCGGCATCGAATGCGGCGCTGCCCAACACTACAAGTACTAGCTAGAAGGTTGACGATCGCCTCTGCGAGTGGCGTTCGCCGGAACTTCCTTGTGGGACGGTCCTGATCGCTGGTCAGTATGATAGATTGTCAGCCGGATAAACGGGTTTGATCCCCGCGAACGGCCTTGACGAGACCGTTATGCCTCGGCTTGGGTAAGGTGGCTATGCGGAGATTCAGTGCTGTGCCGTTTTCTATTTCGCTTCTTCCCATGGGTGGCCTGGCCGGTGGTGTGGGTCCAGCCGGAAGTGAGACGCCCCCGAGTCAGACGCCGCCGGCACTTCAACCGGAGTCAGAGGAACTTCCTGGAGTTGATGTCAAAAGTGTTAGAACAGCCACCGCCCACGCTCTTTCGGATTTTTGATTCCAGGCTTTCAAAGTTAGAGAAGTCTATCTGCACTCTTCCGGTGCAAACTTTCCCTGGTTCAAGGGTGTAAGATCAGCCACATGTATATGGTGGTGTGCTGGCCGCCGAGGCGGTGGCCGCCGCAACAGACCTCATCTCAAACTTGTACCCTTGCCCGAGACAAGTTGGTAAAGGCTTCTCAAAGAACGCTGGTCACATCCGACCGTAGACAGTGAATGTTGCTCATTTGAAAGCCGCGTTAAGGACAGTACTATGGCCCGGAGGCAGTGGGCTAATCAACCCCTGAATCGACATTCGACGGGCTGATTTTCCCATGGCAAAACAAAGAACTCCGCGATGGACTTAGTTCCATAGTATAAGTCTGACGAACTTGGCCGGATGCCCGGCCATCCCAGATCACACCGCCAGAGGCCTGTCAGACGGCGTGGTCCCCCGGATCCCCCTTTTCGATGCACCTGATTTCCTTCAGTTTCGCTGCATAAGGAAGCCGGATGAACTACGCAGGAGAAATAGCAAGCTTGCCGTAGCTAGCCCCCGGGGAACGACAATGTTGCTTCGGCATGCCGCAGATTGCTGCCATCAATTACTCAGAGATGCGAGATATCGTACATCAACCATCGTCGTACACACCATCGGACAATGGCCCCTTCCCATTAGGTATCAAGGTTTTGCAACGCCCAGGTCGCTCCGTCCAACTTACTCAGCCGGTGCCCTTTTACCCTCATTGATGTGACGGTTGATCGTCTTCAACCAGTGCCTAATTCTCGGCGAGACGGCAAACTGGAACTCGGGCAAGCTGACCAACTCACGCAGGAAAGGCCCCCACTTGCCCTGGTTGGCGGAACCCATGAAGGCGTCGATACTCTGCACAACCGCACGCGTGCCGGAATTGCAGTACAGGCCCGCCACGCGCATCTCCTCGAAGAGGTTAAACACGGCAACCGGGTCGCCGTACCTGTTCCACAGGATGCGCGCCAACTCGTTGTAGAAGGGCGTGCTCACGCCCAAGACGTAGCTCGCCGGGCCGAGCGCCTTGACGCGGGGGAGAATGTGAAGAGCTAAGGGGGAAGAGCGCGAGAACTGCGTATCAAAGAGGCGTAGGGCGTGGAGGAGGTAGCCTGGATAGAGGGGCCCGTAGATGTTGAGCGGGAGCTTGCTGTTGTCGTTCTTGCGGCTGCGCTTGTTGGCCTTTGTTGAGGCCTCGTCGATGCCCAGCTTCTGGACCATCGGAAAGACCTCCTGCTCGAGAACGTCCCAGAGCTCGAAGTCGGTTTTGGCTTCGTGCATCATGGCCTCCACGCGAGAGCGCTCCTCGCGCCTAAGAGCTTCGTTTCGGACGGACTTGGACAGAGGATCCAGCGCCAGATCGATCTGCGCCGCTGCAAGGTTGTCCTCGCTCATGATCACCTCGCCGGACGGAGCTGGGGTGCCCGTATTCCCCGGAATGCTGTCCTCCTCCATAGCATGCAGCGCCATGTGCGCGGCTCGGCGCAGGCTCGGTGGGAACCGGAGCAGGGCCTTCTCCCAGTCGCCTGTGGTCGACGCAGGATGAAGCGGATCAAACGGCTTCTTTATGTGCCGTCTGCTTTTCGTTTGCACTTCAGCCGCGTCCTGGACAATGATGTTGATCGCGCTGCGGACAGACTCGGGATTCGGGGCGTTCGTCCTAACGCTGAAGTCGTCGGAGTCGGTGAACCCGAGATTGGACGGCTGGGAGACGGTGGCGGTCTCTGCGGAGGCTGTAGCCAGGTTTGTCGCATTATCGGATGGTTGGCGGGGGAGTGAAGCGGCTGGAGGAGAGCGGGCTTGCTTGCGGGACGCAATCTCCTCAAAGATGCGATTGAAGATATCTTGCTCCTGGGGTGTGATTGTCGACCGCACACCACTAGGTTCGGCCTCTTCTTCTGGTTCATGATTCTTGCGAGGGTACTCGTATCCTTCTGGCAGCTCAAAGGGGATGTCGTCATGCCTAGACGGCGGCGGCCAGGGTCGGCCTCTTGGACTGTTGCCTCGCCCTGTCGAATAGAGGAGGGCGCGGAACACAGAGTTTGAGGGACCAGGGCGAGTAAGCCGTTGCAGTGTCCGCGTCTGGTAGAGGAAGGGGAGCAAAGTGGTCGACATATTGCGCCAAATGTTAGGGTCCGATCCCCCGTCTCGTCTTTCCCGTTCCTTGTAAGTTGTGTGCGCGATGTTTTGAGTTGCTTCCGGCTTTTGTCTCTTGAAAAATTCCCAGTTGCCTGTTGACCCCTGTGACCTGTCATCCGTGTCCCCACCTGCAGAAACGCCACCAATCACGCTTCGCAAAGACTCAGTTCTTCCCCGTGATTTCGCGACTTGACTCGCAGTGGCAGGCGCGCCTTTGCTTAATTGATTCTCTACTGTCGCGCATCCAAATCCTCCAAGGCTGCGTTCCAGGTTCTTTTGCCACAGATTGCTAGTCGCACACATATGATCACGGGATTCAATTGTAATCTGGCCGCAATTTTTTTATTCTGTCACCTGATAGTACAGGTGTTTTTGTAGCGCACCATGCCGCCCAAGAAGGAACCTGCCATGAGCGCGTTCGAGCGCAAGCGTCTCGAGAACATCGCGACAAACACCGCGATCCTAAGCGAGATCAGCACCACGGCGAGCAAAATAATTCCGAAGCCCGCGCCGCCAAAGCCAAAGCGTTCAAGCACTCCGCGAACTAAACGAGAGCCCATCAAGCGGGAGCCGGTCCTCCCGACGCGAAAGAGCAGCAGATTAGCAGGAGTCGATGCCGACGCAGCATTGCTCAAACGCAGGGCTGAAGTGGAAGCGGAAGCTGAAGCTGATAAGGCTAAGGCAAAGAGGTCGCGAGTCAGCGGGGACCTTAACCTCGGCGATATTCAGGTTGAGGGCCGCAAATGGGAGGGAGGCCTCGATGGGTTGGCGGGCCTGAAAGGCCTTGCTGTCAGGGGTGCACAGCCCGGCGTGCGGACATTCACGGACGAAGACATAAAGGAGACAACGGATAAGGGGCTCAAAGACCTACGGTTGCGCATGAGCGGGTTGAAGCTTTATGAGAAATGGCCAGTGCAAGGTAATCTCTCTGTTCCCCTGGGGCCGAGGATGTCACTGACAGGCGATCAGACATCAAGATCGTGCCACAGCGGATCTACTCAATGGGCTTCCATCCTACGGAAAATAAGCCCATTGTCTTTGCCGGCGACAAGGAGGGCGCAATGGGCGTCTTCGACGCATCCCAAGAGCCTCTCAAGGTCGAGGACGATGAGGATGAGGAGGCGGAGCTTGCTCCTCCAGTAATATCAGCCTTCAAGACACACGCGCGTACCATCTCCTCCTTCCACTTCTCTCCTGTCGACGCAAACGCCGTCTACTCGGCGTCGTACGACTCATCCATCCGCAAACTCGATCTCGACAAGGGCGTCTCAACCGAAGTCTTTGCGCCGGCAGATGCAGATGAGGACTTGCCTATCAGCGCGATCGACATGCCGATTAATGACCCCCACATGATTATTTTCTCCACGCTCCAGGGCTCCCTCGGCCGGCATGACCTACGCACCAAGCCCAGCACCGCAGAGATCTGGGGCGTCACTGACCAGAAGATTGGCGGCTTCTCCCTGCACCCTCTCCATCCTCACCTGGTCGCTACCGCCTCGCTGGATCGCACCCTCAAGATCTGGGACCTACGCAAAATTCAAGGGAAAGGCGACTCCCGTGCACCCGCGCTCCTTGGATCGCACGAGTCGCGTCTATCAGTCTCCCACGCGAGCTGGAGCAGCGCAGGCCACATCGCGACGTCCAGCTACGACGACCGCATCAAGATCTATTCGTTCCCCGACGCCAGGGAATGGCGCGCGGGCCATGAGCTGTCAGAGAAGCAGATGAAGCCTGCGCACCAGATCCCGCACAACAACCAGACTGGTCGGTGGGTGACGATCCTCAAGCCGCAGTGGCAGCGCAGTCCGCGCGACGGGTTGCAGAAGTTTGTGATTGGCAATATGAACCGCTTCGTGGATGTGTTTGCGGCGGATGGCGAGCAGCTGGCGCAGCTGGATGGCGATGGTATCACGGCTGTGCCTGCTGTCGCGCATTTCCATCCGACGATGGACTGGGTTGCTGGAGGAAACGCCAGTGGGAAGCTGTGTCTGTGGATGTGAGGTGACTCGCATACCATGTACATGCAGCTACGGTTGGTTGGCTTCTTGGACAGCAGTTGCTGTCGGCCATGAGTGTGCTCTTAAATCTAGCGTGGGTATTCCCTCACACCGACATTGCATTACTCCGTTACTGTGCAGCTGTCAAGTTTCAAGTCGGGCAGTGCATCCTGAAGCCCCCGCTATCAGCGCCAAGTCATCTAGTTGCAGCTAGAACTCATATCCGTATTCTTTATGCAGACCCCAATAGTTAGAGTAATGAGGTGGGCGAGATCGGAACAGTAAATGGCGAAGTAGGTAGGCACCTTACTGGTACTTGCATGAGGGAACAGGCAGAGCATTGCGACTGAGCATCGATGCACTTTCCGGTTGATGGTTGCATGTGATGGTTCCACGGGTCCATTCGCATCATGGGACCCAGCAAAAGCTTATCGATAAAATTACCAGGCCCAGGCTTCCAGTAAAACACGCTCAGGCTTACGGGAGAGAATGGTAGGAATTGGACTCAAAAGCAGTCAACCAGAAGATGCCGTATCACCCATCCGTCATCGTCTCAGGCTACAAGTACGAGGGTTGTCATCCAAGCTTTCGTAGTCGGAGACGGCGTTGCGAGGACCCCGGACCGTGCGTGGGTCTGGTGCGTCACACGGGAGGGAACCTTACAGGCCGCCCCTGGGCCGCGCAGTTCATCGCGTGCGGCTCGGCGCCAACCACCCTGGCCAACAAATCCCGATTGAAACTCTGGACCATCTTACCTTATCCATGAGGAAATGGAAGGCGACCTAGTCTACCATGCATATTCCGTGGATATGATACCGCTTGCTGTACTTGGTGTTTGAGTACAACGCTCTCTGTCCCCGACTGCAGTCCTTGCCCGATCCCAAGCGCTCGCTCAACCGAGAGCCCACCGCCGCTACCTTTCCGTTCCGGCTGACCCCGTCGCGCCGAGCCCACCAGCCCAGCGGGATAACTACACCTCAATTCCTGGTCCAGGCAGATATCCGCACCTGGTTTAGGTTCTCTTTCTGGGCTTCCCTCTGTGATTATCACCAGGACGGTTGGTCCATCCTACCCGCTATCGAACACCGAGATCTTGCTATACCGTAGGCTCACATGCACTCGTCCGTAGCTAGCCGTCTCTCTTTTGTCCATCCTCCGTGGCGGGCCCTCAGCCATGGATCCTGTGTCACCAACACCACCACCTCCTGCTGCTGCCGCACGCAACCCTCTCCCCACCAGTCCCCAGCCGGCGGATGCGAGCGGACCGCCACGCTATTTGTCACCACCATCCTCGCCGTCAGCCGGAGGTGCCGGTGCGAGCCACGGTGAACCCGCCGTGCGCCGCGTATCGAGGAAGCTGCAAAAGAAGAAGCGCCGTGATGACGAGAATATGGCCACCATGGAGCTGCCGGAGCGCTTGAAAGACCCCGGCGACCAGGCCAGCAATGAAGAGGAGGTGCTTCGCCCACAGGGTTATGGCGGCGGCTTGTTCATGAATATGAACCAAAGCATCTTCGGTTTGATTGCTGCTGCAGGCAGTCGACCGGAATTTGCCGACCAGTTCGGAGGTCAAAGTTCGGACGATGATGACGTCGACACCTCGATGACACAGACGGTTGGCGGGCCTGGTTGGCTGAGGTCTGAACATTCTGCAGCACTGTCTTTGGCCCGAACAACTGTTCTGTCCAAAACTGACGACTCCCGCTCCAAACTGGTCGAGCGCCACAACCGCCATCGAAGGAAGATTGCTGAAAGTCGGCTGCTGCGATCGGTCCCAGGGCTCGCGCGACTCACCAGTAAAATCAAGTCACCTAATAAGACTTCCAAGGCCAGGTCAGATGATGACGTGCAACAGACTGACGCGGTGCATTCTGGATCCCCACATCCTCCGGAGCTCACCCCCGCCATTGCGGTCACGCGAACTGACACCATGAAAGGAGTTCTGGAACCGCCCGCCCAAATCCCAGCGCGGCCAAGCTTTGACCTCGATAAACTGTCGGATGAACCGCCACGAGACAACACGATCCGCGGGACTGGGCGGACGGAACTCGCCAAGAAGCTCAAGCAGATCTTCGAATTCGAGAGCGAAGAGGAAGTGATTGAGGAATATCCCTGTTGGCTCCTTCAACATGTTCTCCTCGAGGGGCACATGTATATCACAACACGCCATATCGCATTCTATGCGTACCTGCCCAAGAAGGCTGTCAGTCCTTGCGCTCCCTGCCTCCTCCGGTGTCCAATGGAAACTAACCCTTTGCAGAACGAGGTCTCCAAGAAGGGGTACCTGGCGAAGTCTGGGAAGCGGAACCCCATGTACAACCGTTACTGGTTCTGCCTCAAGGGCGATGTCCTGTCGTATTACCTCGACACCAAGAACGTCTATTTCCCCCACGGGCAGATCGACCTGAGATACGGCGTCTCGGCTCAGCTCACGGACGGAGACAAGGAAAGCATCCATTTCACGGTCACTACTGAACAACGGACCTATTACTTCAGGGCGGACAGCCCGCAGAGCGCTAAGGAATGGGTCAAGAGCATCCAGCGTGCCATCTTCAGGTCTCACAACGATGGAGATAGCGTCAAGATCTCATTGCCGATCGAGAATGTTCTGGACGTCGAAGAAACTCACATGCTGAATTTCGCCGACACGTGCAAGATTCGCGTCATCGACAACGACGAGACATTTGCGATGGACGAGGTATGGTTACTGAGAACCCCATGACCTAGCACCGATACTGACATGGCCCGGAAGTACTATTTCTCCTTCTTCAGCTATGCCAGGGAGGCAATCAATGTCCTTAAAGCTCTCGTCGAGGACTCTTCGTCGCGCGAACAGGACACGAGCGACCAGACCGAACCAAGCTCCGAAAGGACCAGCACAAGCAGAAGTCGGGAGCAAGTTGCCAACCTGCCTGGGCCCCGTACCGGGAGGATCACTGAAGGGGTCAGGGCGACACTGTCCCCGGTTTCGCCTGTGCGCGGAACCTCACCCAGTCCCCGACAAAGCGAGGAGCGTCCCCGCGCCAGCCCCCGCGCAAGCTTCGACCGGTTCCGCTCGTTCACGAGACGAAGCATGGACGTCGATCGTAGCAGCTCTCCGCGTCTGGGATCGCCGCGCCGCAGCTTCAGCGACGGTCGACGGTCGCTTAGCAGAAAACGGCACGAGGGCCACGAACGGCAGGAGAGTAGCGACTCCTACGTCCATAGCTTGGATGACCCCAGCCTACCGAGTCTATCGGCCATGATTGCTTCGGCGAGCAGCGCGGACGCATCGGCCAGTCAGATCCTGAGAGGCAGCGATGTTTTCCACAGCCCCACCTTCCAGCGGACGCCCCGGACTCGGGATGAGCAGGTTGCTTTGTCCCCATTGTCGACGAAGCCAGCGCCGTCCGCTGGGCAGGATCGTGGTCGTGGCCATCAAGCCGCGCAAACTCGTCGCAGCGCAGAGACGGGAGACTTGGAGGGTTCCGCCACGACTCCAACACTCCAGAGCATTGCCACAATGGGAGGCTACCCGTTCCGAAAGGCGAATGCGTTCATGGGGTATCTTGACCGGCAGTCCAAACGCATGAGCAACCTTCTGGCGACCGAATCTATGGGCTACGTCGAGAAGGTGTCCGGGATGTGGAAAGGCGGCAGCAAGCATTACGATGAGCCACCCGAATTGCGGACAGACGAAGAAGATAGCGTCGGCGGCGCTGAGGAGAGGGCGAAGTCCGAAGCCAGCTTCCGCGCCCACTTTGCTCTGCCGCAAAGCGAAAAGCTCCAGGCGACTTTCTACGCGCACATGATGCGTGGCATACCCATTTACGGGAAAATCTACATCAGCGACCGCCACTTTTGCTTCCGCAGTCTGTGGCTCGGCAGCCGCACCAAACTCATCCTCCCGCTGCGGGACATTGAGAATGTCGACAAGGAGAAAGGTTTCCGGTTTGGATATTCCGGCCTTGTGGTCATCATTCGTAGCCACGAGGAATTGTTCTTCGAGTTCCACAAAGCCTCGATCCGCGACGACTGCAGCATCACCATTCTCCAAAGCCTGGAGGCGACGCGATTTGCGCGTGACTCCAACCAGGACGCGGGAGAGGTTGGGGACGAGGACGAAGAGGCTCAGACTGCCGTGGCAGAGCACGATGCGCTGCAGAGGGCGCGGACCGAAGGCTTCGCTGATCACGAAGTGCAGCTGCCACGCGAAACATCCAGCATGTCCGAGGGTCCCACCATTATTTTCGACGACCCCAAAGCTTCCTTCCTAAACTTCAAGCCGAGCCAACCGCTGAACATCACCTGCCTCACCATTGGCTCACGCGGCGACGTCCAGCCCTACATTGCCCTCTGCAAGAAGCTCCTTGAAGAAGGGCACCATCCACGCATCGCCACGCACGGCGAGTTCAAATCCTGGATCGAATCCCACGGCATTCAGTTCGCCTACATCGACGGCGACCCGGGCGAGCTGATGCAACTGTGCATTCAGAACGGCACCTTCACCTGGGCCTTCCTCAAGGAAGCCAACTCCAAATTCCGCGGCTTCCTCGATCAGCTTCTCGTCACGGCATGGCAGGCTTGCCAAGGGAGTGACCTCATCATCGAGTCACCCTCTGCCATGGCCGGCATCCACATCGCCGAAGCGCTTAACATACCCTACTTCCGCGCTTTTACCATGCCGTGGACTCGCACCCGGGCATATCCGCACGCCTTCATCATGCCGGGCCAGAAGATGGGCGGCGGCTACAACTACTTCACTTACATAATGTTTGACAACTTGTTCTGGAAAGCGACCGCCTCGCAGGTCAACCGCTGGCGGAACCGCATGCTCGGGCTGCCGAGCACCAACTGGGAGAAGCTGCAGGTGCAAAAAGTGCCCTTCCTGTACAACTTCTCACCCTACGTAGTACCGCCGCCGCTGGATTACAGCGACTGGATCCGCGTCACGGGTTACTGGTTTCTCAATGAAGGGGGCGAGAAGTGGACGCCGCCGGCGGAACTGACCGAATTCATCGAGAAGGCCCGCCGTGACGGGAAGAAGCTCGTCTACGTGGGATTCGGGTCCATCATCGTCCCCGACCCGGCCAAGATGACGCAGGAGGTGATTGATGCGGTCGACAAGGCCGATGTCAGATGCATCCTGAGCAAGGGATGGAGCGACCGGAGCAAGACGGAGAAGGGCGATGTAGTCAAAATCGGGCCCGACGAGAAGACGCCCGAGCCGGCGCTGCCGCGGACCATCTTCCAGATCCAGTCTGCGCCGCATGACTGGCTGTTCCAGCAGATCGACGCGGCCGCGCACCATGGCGGGAGCGGAACCACGGGCGCGAGCTTGAGGGCGGGCATTCCGACCATCATCCGACCTTTCTTCGGCGACCAGTTCTTCTTTGGCAGCCGGGTCGAAGACCTGGGAGTCGGAATCTGCCTGAGGAAGTGGGGCGCGCTCACGTTTGGGCGGGCGCTGTGGGAGGCGACGCACAACGAGCGGATGATTGTCAAGGCGCGCGTGCTGGGGGAGCAGATTCGCAGGGTATTTACTACTGTCTTTCACCACAGCCCTCCCCAATTTCTCATCCCAACCACAATGCTGATTTGATTCTATCTTGACAGGAGAACGGCGTCGAAACGGCCGTCCAATGCATCTACCGCGACCTGGAGTACGCCACCGACCTGATCAACACCAAGGCCGGCAAGAACCAGGCCCGGCGCGCAGCCGCCGCCGCCGCTAGTACTGGCGATGGTGCTGCCGGCACCACGGACGGGTCTGGCCCGCCTATCGTCGACGTGGACTTAGACGACGACGATGCCGAGGACAGCTGGGCGTTTGTGAGTCGTGATGAGATGGTCTACGACGACGACGCTGTGGAGGGTGCCGTCAAGAAGATGTTCCCACAGATGAAGAACCAGCAACCGGATGGGAGACTGTTGGGTAGTCGCGTACTGGGCGGTGCTGCTGGCTCCGGCCTCGGGATCAAGCAAGGTTAGTTTGCAACGTTGTGATGGGGTGTGGGTCACGGCATTCTGGGTATGGGTATATGATAATGTGGTGGCGCCTGGTTTCCCGGCCGACATGCTTCGGTAAGGTACTTGATGGGTTACTGTCTTTTTACGAACCCCTTCGCGATCACGGTTTATGACTCGTCTGTGTTGCTTTAGATTGGGCCTGGCGTAGGGTTTGGACAAGAGGACCATGATTATGACCCGCAGATGGCAGACATTGCTATCCTGAATACATTAATAGAGCAGAGAGACTGGCTTGGCCTGGCTTTGGAATCATTGGTCTATCTCACTTCTAGAGTCAAATCTCGTATTACTTTCGCCGTCCTTAATTCACTTGTGGTGTGTTTGCTTCCCAGCTTGGGTGGTACCTAAGGAAGCCGATTCGTGGCATAGCATTCCTCCCGCCTGTCAGTTATGGTTGGTAGGACTTCAAACCAAGGCCGCTGCCCTCGCTGCCCCTATTCTTTTCGAGAAAGTGCGGAGGGGTCGGTCTAGTCAACTACTAGTATCTTCCGAAGCAACATTCCCCGAACACGGACCCAATTTTTGGAAAGATCACATACTGCCACTTCTCTAGCAACTGTTACCGTCATATCGACCGGACCATGGACATCCCCGTTTTCCCTTGAAGGGACTTCGACCCGAACACCCATCTGAGTCCCTAAATGGAGCGGCTTCAATCCTGGTGCCACGGTGGACTACCCTCCTATTCCGACGTCGATGCGTACGGTACCTACCTAGCCCCTACTGGTGCCATAACAAAGGGTCGACATTGTCGCCTATCCCGTCTATAGCAACAGAGTCTGGCCAAAGCTGAGTGGGCTGATATTCGGGAAGGAGGAGCCCATGATGTATACTACTATACTACACTGTCTCAGATTGTGACGGGGAACGCGCTGGTGCGTTAAATCTTTCCTCGGCGTTTTCCACGGGGGTCATTGACGACGACAGTGGCCACGCCACGTAAGAGCTGTTATTCTGAAGGCTAGCCAAAGCCTGTGCAACGCAGCATATCGGACATTAAACTCCGAACTTAGTATTCTGTGCTGTGTTACCTTGTAAAAGTGTTGGACCGTTGGGATATTGTTGACTGGTTGATCTCGGAGGATGTAGTTCAGGAAAGAAAAAAAGAATGGAAAAGAAAAGGAAAAATAATAAAGGAAGACAAGAAGGAAAACCGAGAGAGTAATGAGCACATCATGATGAATGAAGTTCAATTTCAGGATTACTCCTTCATGGGATTATATATTATAATTGATGGAACTCTTGCTCATCTGGTCTCTACGCGGCAGATGTGTTGGGCTGGTGTCATTGGCAATACCGTTGGACCACTTCGGCGCGTTCTTTCAAGTTGACGCCGAGAGCATGGCCAACAACGGTGGCAGACATAAAGAAACGGCTGATCAAAGGAACCGCTGGAGCGGTTCAACCTGCAGAGTGCCATCATCGGTTATAAGTTTACCTATGGTCAGGCTAAGGTAAGTAGAGGTCGTACCAGTTGCAGAGGCTTCAAATAGATAAAGAATTACCTAGATAGTTTCAGGTGTAAGTCCGGGTGATCATGGTGATGTGATTCCAAGCAACTCTTCCGTCCGCGTCGGCCAAGTCAGAGCGTCAGGAGACGGACACATGATTGGCTGCGCCACACATGACCAACACTGTCCTTTCACCAGGAGCCAGGTCAACGCACGCTCTGGTGATAACGCTTACATTAACATGAACATATCTAAGTTTCAATTAAACACTCAATCTCCACAAGCCTCAGTAGAAGAGAAATGAGCTTAACTGACCTGGCAGTGCTTTCTTGAATTCAGAATGATGGATTCAAGGACCACGTCACAGTTCAGAAGTGTACGTCACAGTCCAGCGCAGTACTTCGTACCGTAGCCACGTTCCAGCCACAACGATGACCCCGCAAACGGGAAGAATGTGGGCTGGCAGGGGTAGGAGCCTAGAGAGCACCTTAGTCACCCACTGCGTCAATGGACATTGGACATTGGGCCACTGCTTGCTGGTGCAAGGGCTTGCATCGGATCAGCCGCGGAGAGGTACAAAAGGACCGGCCCATCCCACCCAAAATCCGGGCCTACTCCATGCGGCCGACGCCCGACTTCTCGCCAATGCGCCAATACCACTGATATCGAAACCATTACATCACCCCATACTTTTTGTGCACCAGACACATCAAACACATTCCAAGGCCTTCGGAGCACAGAACCTCGCCCTTCCATTTGCATGTTACTAAACTGAGATTATTCGACTGCAATTTGAGCCCTTCAAGCTTTGGCCCATCTCGACTCGGACCCACACGACACTCGGAGCTTTGACCAACAAAGCTCACTGTGCCCCACCTACACATACCTGGCGCTAGCCTCTCTCGGTTCAAACGCCCCGCGTTGTGCTGCAGCTTTGCCGGCCGCCGCAACTTTTGATGAGAGTCGGTTTGTGATCGCGACTCTGCCGCCGCGCAGCCAACGAAACGCGCAGACAGCCCGACATACCGAAGACTGCGACTGGTTGAACACAACACGCGCTGCATGCGCGATGGGTGTATCAATCTCCCCAGGCACTCGTCTTTTGCTGTCCTCGAAAATTATTGTGTAAGGACGCCGTTCGGTTTCCGTCCTTGGCGCATCTCTGGAGAACCAAAGGTGTTGCTAACACTGGTCTCGTCGCGTCATTCGCTGCAAGCTCAATACGACATTCGAGGCATAACCTACCGCTTCGTCGTGCAACGAGGCCGTTCCCAACGCCGCCATGAGCAAAACCATCAGGCTGGGGACCCGGCTACGGTACCCCATTACCATCGTCAGGCTGCTGAAAACGCCTGGCGAGCAGATCAAGAAACAGGAACCTCTCTTGGAGTACTCCTTCAAGTGGAAGAGGGAAATAGTTGACGAAATCGGCGGCAACACACGGCAGGAGGAGCAGACCACCACCGTGACATGGGACTCACCGGCCGACGGCGAGCTGACAAAGTGGCACATCACGGAAGGCCAGCGCATTGTGGCGGACAGGCCCTGCATGGTCGTCAAGGAGGAATGCCCTCACGCAGTCCAATTCGGCGGCCTTTGCGCCATGTGCGGCAAGGACATGACCGAGGTCAACTGGGCTGCCGAAACTCGGGACACCGCGCGAGCCCCGATCCACATGGTACATGATCAGACTTATCTCACGGTCAGCGAAGATCATGCTCAACGCACGGAAGCGAAATTGCAGAGACGGCTCCTCCACAGCCGGAAGCTGAGCTTGGTGGTGGATCTGGACCAGACCATCATTCAAGCATGCATCGATCCCACCGTCGGCGAGTGGCAGAAGGACCCGTCCAACCCCAACTACGAGTCTGTAAAGCACGTTAAGAGCTTCCAACTCGAGGATGGCCCATCCGACCTAGCGCGCCGGTGCTCCTATTACATCAAGACGCGCCCAGGCCTCGAGGACTTTCTCAACCGCATTTCCCAAATGTACGAAATGCACGTCTACACCATGGGCACACGGGCATATGCGCAGAACGTGGCGCGGGTGGTTGATCCACAAGGGAGACTCTTTGGCAACCGTGTCATCAGCCGCGACGAGAACGGCAACATGTTCGCGAAGGATCTTCAGCGGCTCTTCCCGGTGAGCACGCACATGGTGGTCATCATCGACGACCGCTCCGACGTGTGGCCGCGTAATCGGCCGAATCTAATCAAAGTCTCGCCGTATGAGTTCTTCAAAGGGATCGGAGATATCAACTCGAGCTTCCTGCCCAAGCGTCAAGACCTTCTGACGTCGGATGCCACACCTAACGGGTCGAGCAAGAAAGGCAAGGCGCAAGAGTTGCGCCAGATGGCCGAAAAGATTGATGCGACACTCAACGCCGGCGGCGAAATGACCGGCGGTGATGATCCCGCTTTGACCAAGCTGCAGCTCGAGGAGCAGGAACGTGCATTTGAGAAACAGATCAATGATCGTCCTCTGCAGGTGCTCCAAGAGAAGCTGGACAAGGAAGACGAAGAAGCCGAGAAGGCAACAGTTCACTCGGAGGATGGTTCGGAATCTCGCTCATCATCCCCCCCACCACATCGACACCGCGTCCTACAAGACGATGACACGGAGCTGAAGTACCTGGAAAAACATCTTACGTACCTCCACCAAACATACTACGCCGAGTACGACAGCAACTGCGGGTCGCACGCCACAAACGGCAACGTCGATCTCACATTGGTCCCGGATGTAGGCCGCATTCTTGAGGAGCTGAAGGGGCAGGTGTTACAGGGCTTCAAGATCGTGCTCTCCGGCGTACTACCGCGTGGAATAGACATCTACAGGTCCGAGATCGGGTTGCAGATCATGAGCTTTGGCGCGGACCTGCTCCCCAAAATCCGCAACGACGTGACGCATCTCGTGGTCAACACCTCTCAGCCCGGTAGGGAGAAACTATTCGATGCAAGGTGCCGACCGCATATCAAGATCGTCAGTCAGGAGTGGCTCGCCGATTGCTTCAGCCGGTGGGAGGCTGTGGATGAAACACCGTATTTGTTTACTACTCGTCTAGTTGGCGAGGAGGAGCCAGGCGACAAGCCAAAGGGCGACGATATGATTATCGGCGATGACACAAATGGGGAAGCAGAGAATACAATGCCCAACGGCAAGCGCAGCAAAGGCCTCAAACTGAAACTGATCGCCGCGCCTGGACACACAAGGAAACCAAAACCTGTGGGTGACGGTGACGAGGACGATTCGGAGGACTCTGATGACTCGGAGATCGAGGAGGGCTTGCTGCCAGAGGACCTGCCCGATGGCCAGGTCTCCCCGATCGATAGCCTGAAGACCTTTAATTGGGACTCTGCAGACGCCGAGCTCGCCGAGTTTCTCGCGAGTGGGTCATCCGACGAAGAGGAGGACAACGAGGATGACGAAGACGACGAGGACGATGATGCCAGCGACGATGTAGATTACGTCAAAAACGAAGAAGATCAGGAGATTTCCAGCTCATCCGACAACTCCCGCAAGCGCCGTGCGAGGAGGAGCAGGAGCAGGAGCAAGACCGCCAGCCCATCTTCTCCGAGTCGGAAACGTAAGAGTCACGACGATGAGGAGGAAGCTGGTACTGAGTCGGGTGGTGGTGATGAGAGTCCTACCAAGAAGTTGCGGAGGACGAAGAGCCAGCGCGCGTCTTCATTGAGGAATCAGTATGTTGCTGATGAAGATGAGCCTCAGCAAGGGGATCATAGCGGACTGCCTACCCCTCTGGGGACGGACGATGCGGATGCGAAGCAGCAAAAGGAAGTGAACGCGAGCCCAGTCCCGATAGAGGAAGGCGGGGAAGAGGATGACGACTTGGACTTCGACGAGGCCGAGTTGGAAGCGGAGTTCGAGCGCGAGTTCGAGCGCGAATTTGATAAAGTTGGGGCGGAAGCCCAGGCGGAGGAAGACGGGTTGAGACAAGGGGATATGGACGGAGCGGATACGGAGAAAGGATAGGTAGCCTTTGTCCCACGTGCAACTCGGCCCAGTGATTGGGACCCGTCGACGCTCTCAAACAACCATCAACAAGATATCGGATCGCGGTTCGGCGGAGTTGGTTTGGTTTAGCGGGCTGATCTGGGGTGAACGGAGTTCTCTGGGGCTTATTTGTGTAGCTTAGTACTTGTAGTGGCATTACCTCGCATCATCCATTCTCAGGAGTTATCTGCCTCTTCTCTCCTCCTCGCTTCACTCCCATCTTCCCATGTTCTTTGCGGTGGGAGAGTGGGGTGAGTTGTATCCAAGAGCGGTGTGTGCCTAACACCACCCGATCTGTCCCACCTTACGTAATCGCCAAGCCCCAATCCACCTCAATCCAAACCTCACAACCCAAGAAACAACACGACTTCGAGCTCCAGTTCCGAGGATTCTCTACGACCATTGCGACAGCGCGGATACCCGTGACACCTCGAGACCCCATAGCCAACTTCCAGTGCTTTGAGCTTTAGTACCCGACGCCCAAGCGACCAGTGACTTCGATCGTTCGATTGCCGCCGCCGCCGAGTACTCCGCTTCAATTTGCCTCGAGCTTGGGGACACACATAAAGGAGAGAGAACAGCTGCCCGCCATGCCGCAGGATATGCCGCCTGTGGGCGGCTACGAGGCCGTCCAGTACAAGGTGGGTCAGCCTTTTCCTATGTGGGCACTAAGGTTGAGTTTGCGGGAGTGTGCATGAGGTTTCGGGGGACGGGTTCGAGTGGCTACTAGTACCGGTGGGCTTTGATAGGGGGGTGTCGGTCGGCTGGCGGAAGAGGAGGGATTTTGGCTGATGGAATCGAGGATAATGGGATGGGCTGCACATGAATGACGGCATGGGAAAGAAAATACGGGTAGAATTGGGAATGCGCGCGTGGGATGTTGCGGTTGGGTCGGGGTTGGGGCGTATCCTGCAACGGGCATGGGAGGGCAAGGCGATGGACAGAAAGCGGCTGGATGGGATAAAGGGTCTTTTGAAGAGAGAAGCCAACCCACGGAACCGATTACACCTTGCGCGCGGTCGTCGCTACATCTCCCCAGCGCGCGCAGCCTGCTTCCACAGAATCACAGCTAACGTTTCCGATCCTGCCACAGCGCAACCTCCCTTCCCGCGGCCTGTTCCGCCCCGGGCCGCTCATTGCCGGCGGTGCTGTTCTCATGCTCTATGGCTGGTGGAGGCTGATTGCCGGCATCCGCGAGCAAAAGTATGCTTCGCTTCCCTCCGTTCTCCTCCCGGGGCCCCACCAAAGCTACATTCGATATATACCTCTTCCGTGCCGCGTTGTGCTAACAACATCTCACAGTGAGCTTGCGCGGGAAAAGATGTGGGCCCGCATTCACCTGATCCCGCTTCTGCAGGCCGAAGAGGACCGCGACCACGTCCGGAGGCACTTGGCGGACCAGGCGCGGGAGAAAGAGTTGTTGGGGGAGAATATCCGGGTGTATCATGCTGACCGGTAAGTCTTCTTTCTCTTCAGTGTGGCGATCTGAGATGGGGCTGCCATGCTGATTCGTCCTTGCAGGTACGTCCGGCCGACGTTTGGCGTCATACCGGGCAAGGTTACGAAGGAGTAAGCTGTCGGGGAGGATGGAGTGAGGTTGTGGTTGGGCGGATGGCGGATGCCCGGACTGGGAGCAGGCGTTATAGACTGAAGTCAGACGCCGTATAGTGTATAGTCTGTGTTAGAGATGGAAGACAATCATCGGATATGCTGGCGGCATTGTCTGGAGCCAGATTTCAGGATTGATGAGTCAGACGCGAGACCAGCCTCTTGTGCAGCCGGTATCGACATCTCATGCTTCGGTCATCAACCCCGGGGAGTTGAGGGGCCTAATCCAGTATCTCTCGATTCAGCACCAGATTCCTCCGTACCACTTCGTTCCCAACATCAGACAGGGGCGGATCTGCTCGAAGACACCCAGGCTAATCAACGTTGGGGGCCATATCATCGTCGCGACAGAAGGTCGAGCATTTCTATGCCTGCGGGGTGGACGGAAGGCAAGGAGTGCTAGAAATAGCATGACTTGTCACAAAACTGTAGTGCCAAGGGACTCGCCACGGGCTAAGCTAAGTACTATCACTCATCGCCAGACCGAAGGTTCATGGAAATGGTGTTGGATGCATTTGGGGGGGAAGGAGGACACACATGTGCCGCGAGAGGGAAGTATGCGGTGTTGCACTGGATAGACAAGCGCCGCGCGCAGTCACTGCTGAGGGGGGGGAAGGCGAAATCCCTAAGATCGGGCAGGAACTTGATGGTGATTACCCGAACTTCCCGGTCACAGCCGATTAGGAGTAGGAAGGACCATGAGGGAAATGAGCACTTGTTCCTGCTGAAGAACCAACAGTCAGCGGAATCGGCTCCCTGTTTCTCGCATAGAAGGGACGTCAGTTAGGTTGCAGTTGAAATGCAGGGACATCCATGATCCAGATACACAATCCCATGTGTGCATGTTTCTTACACTTTAGTCGAGTCAGACGTCTTCTGCTTCTCTTAATAACACGTACAATTTCACATTGATTCGGTTTCAAGTTGAAGTCTACGCTCTCGCATTTCGCATTAGCTATCGAGTATCGAGCAACCGCCCTCCCCATTCCTGTACCCCAGCTTATTTCGCTACGCACAAGGAGAAGAACGGTCGACTGAGGTGCCAAGTCAAAAGGTAGGAAGATCTCGGCCGTCCGGAATGCGTCAACGCTAATGAAATTGAATGCCTAGCAGGTTTCGACACCGGATAGAACAAAGCCCGCAGTTTGTTAAACAAACCATGGAAGGCTAACCATCCAGTGAACCCGGAGCCAACGGACACGCGGAGCCACGCGCACCACTACCACCACCACCACCAGCAGCAGCAGCAGCAGCCCAACACTGGCAGTCATGGACCTTGGACGGCTACCCCATCGTGGACGGCAAATACCTCGATCTGAACAGGGGGCAGCTCATGTTCTTCATAGGACTCCTATGGAAGGCGGGCCCCCCGTATATCGAGGTGTGTTGGCAGAACCGCTATTACATTCCGCCGGGGGACCAGTTCCACAGCGCTTCCAACACCATCTTCAGCACGCGACGCCTCGGCGAGTACATCATCCGGATCGGGAATTTCTTGCGGGAAAGGCCGTGGGTGTGCGAGCTGGAAGCCCTGAATGCCACGCCATATTCGGTGTATGTTGTTGTTAAGGCGCAGGGGAGTCAAAGGGATCTCATTCGGGCTCTCAAGGACTATGGTCTCGCGGACTAAACAGGGAGGAGGGTTGGAGGAGGTATCTTGAATCAGGGCAATTAGTACCCAGCCGGCCGAAAGTATCTGGGATGACTACCGCAGTCATGATTCTAACATCCTTCCTGCTCTACACGGTCACCGATTGAGGATCTTCCGGGGAAGTCTGGTACGCAAGCTGATGTTGTGCTGAGGATCCTTAAGAGGTTTCATGCCGCTCATCATCCAACTAGTAGTAGAGTCACAGTGGCTAGTACTCTCGTACGTTTACAATCAGGCACTGAAATATTCAACTGTGGCTAGGAAGCAGGAGGTCACCACATACACTAGATCAACATGCGCCGGTCGCTTCAACTTGTGAGTGTGAGCAAACGTTCAAGATCATAACTATCGTGCACGTTTCACATAAGGGATCCAAACAACAGCCCACCCCGACTGATAGCACGACCGAGGCGAGGATGCCTGTTTCTCCGTACCTAGCCCGACACGCCAGACGCCACTCTAGAACCCCCCCTGCCCCCCATGCATATTCTCAGAAGAACCCGGAGACAACTGCCATCCAAATACTATATCTGACAAGACAAGCCTACTACGCAGGAGCCTGTACCATCTTGAACCCCTCGGACACCAGCTTGGCGATATCCTCATTCTTGTGCTGCAGCAAGCCCAGCGCAAACGCCACATCATTCCACTGCCGCTCATTCTCGCACCGGGCCAGCCTGGCAGCCAGCTTCTCCGCGAGTTGCTTGGCATGTTTGTCCTGTTTCCAACATCGTCAGCGTCAGCAAAACCATACTGCAACCTCCCGGAACAGAGCGAAAATGAAGACAAAAAAAAAAAAAAAATCACCTTCTCCACAAACCCAAGTAAGAACCGCACAATCCGCCTGAAGCTCTCCTCGTTGATCCGCCGATCCGCCGACAACAGGCTGAACATGTCCACAAAGTGGTTATACACGGCGTTGTCCTTGGTGCTCAGCTCGGTGAAGAACATGCGCGCCAGGTCGGCGATCCGCTTGTCCTCGTCCTCCAGGCACTTGGCCATCTCGCCCAGCTGGCCCTTGACTTTCACCTGCCCGGCCAGGATCAGGAAGGTCAGCGTCATCAAACACGTCCGCTTGACCGACGGGTCCGGATCCGCGAGGCGGCGGTACAGGAAGTCGCTGTGCTCGTCGATCAGGTGGTTGAAGCACACGGCCATGTCACCCAGGGCGATCACCGCGTTGCTGCGCACTGTCGCGTCGGTGGACTTCTCCATGATGGTGATGAGCAGGCCTAGGTTGGCCTCGCAGTACTCGGATGAGACGCACATGAACTTTGCCAGACAGAGGGTAGCCGCCTGCTGCAGGTTGCGGTCGCGGTAGAGGTCATTCCGGGCGCAGATCTCCCTGACCATTCCGCCGAAGAGGGCAAGGAGCGAAGTCTCCCCGGTGACCAGCTCGTGCTCACGGATGTAGGCTATCTGGTCCGTGACCTCGTCCTCGGTTGTGCCGCCGATGAGGTCAAGCTCGTCGCCCTCTTCCTCTGCCTTTGACTTTTCCTTGTTCGAGGCAGATCGGCGGCTGGAGGTGCTCACACCGAGAGAAGAACGCTCCTTCGATGCCCCAGAAGTTTTCTCCTTTTCCTGATTCCGGCGCTTGATGTCCAACTCGCAGAGTTCGAGGTGCACAATCTGCTTGATAGCGACGTGGCCGACTATGAAGAGGAGCTGGGAGAGACCGACGGTGCTGTCCTTGTTGTTCCGCTTTTTTGTCGGGCTTGTGGGCGACGGTTGTGAGCCGATGACAGTTGGGTCGCCGTCTGCACCTTCGGTAGCCGTAACTTGACTCGGTGCCGGTTGAGCCTCGTCGCGGGAACCGGGACGCGAAGTTGGTTGTGAACTCGCACGTGAGCCGGGGCGAGAGAAGACAGCTTTCGTCTTGCGCCGTATTATCTCAGAGCAGAGCACGTCTGGATGCTTCGAGATAGCGTAAATAGCATTGATGGCCTGCTCAGCAACACCATACCAGTCCTTGCTGTCAGTGGGCACTTCCGTGATAGCAGCCAGTCTCACGAGCACAGCATGGTCGTTTGGCAGCCGGGCGAACTTCGGGGCGGTGGACTCTTTGGCCTGACGACCCGTGGGATTGATGCGCCGGAGGGCGACGCAAGTGTACTTGGCCAGCTGGAGATCCGCACGACCGTGGGATCCGAGCCCTGTACGCAGCATCGTCTCCATCTCACCGACGACAATCTCTGGGCTAGCAGTAGCGAGCATGCCGAGAACGATGATGGCACCCCTCCTCTGCTTCCGGGAGATTTCTCGCTTCTGCACACCATAGACCTGCCACAGCTTCGCGATGACCAGCTCGGGGATCATGCCTTGCTTCATCATGGTGCTCAATAGCTGCTCCAGGGAGGTTAGCTCGGCAGGTGTCGCGCCAAATGTCAGACTGATCATATTCCTCGCGATATAGTTGGCCGCATCGTTGGGGCTGAAGTTGTCTGGCGCTTCGAAGAAGAGACGCTTGTAGCACTCGATCAGATGGGTTTGCACGCCCTTGCCCTCGTCGCTGTTGCCCTTCGTCCAGATGAGTCTGAGCATCCGACGAATGCCGACCTTGTTGTTCTCGATATTATAAGCGTCACCGATCTCGAAGTAGTCCATCGCCTCGATGACCTCGCTCTTGTTGCGGGATCCAAGTAGCTGGCACACCGTTTCGGTCGCCTCGTGCAGGACGTCAATGAACTTGAGGGCTTCGGTGTAGTACCGCTTCGTCAGCGTCAGCTTCTCGATGGCCTCAGAGGTGGCCGCCTCTTCTTGGGCCTTCCGGATGGCGGCAATCTTCTCCTCGTCGGTCATCTCTGCCGGCTGCTTCTTCGGGGACTGCTCGATCTGGGTGGCATCGTCCAGCAGGTCCTGATCCACCGTGGTATTGGCCTTGTCGCCATCAAGCCCAGGCGCATCAACCGGCGGTTTAAGTGCGTTTAGCTCAGCGTCAACCTTTTCCAGCCGCTCCTGCCAGTCCTTCTTAGCGAGCTGCGCGCCGTGGAGTGCGGTAAATGGATGTGTCCTGATAAGGGTGCCAAGGAGCTTGATGGCGTTTCGCCTGACATGGCTGCTCTTATCCTCGAGACTACGGCATGCCAACTCGGCTGCCTTCTGCCGCCGCTTTGGGAATTTTTGGTCCAGCTCGCACAGCTTGACGTAGACTTGGATAGTCCTGCATCGACAGTAAGGGTTGATATCAAGGAAGCGCTCCTCCAACACGTCAAAGAATGCATTCATCTGCGTCTTGTGGCTCTCTCCTCTCTCCTCTGACTTGCTCAGGTACGCAAGCATGTTGCCGAACACTTCGATCAGGGCGCACCGGAGGGTGTAAGACTGTGCAGGTCAGTTATGAGCAGCTCAATCCAACCTTATTTTCCCGTACCTCGCTGTCCAGTTGCTTTGCCAACAATGTGACCTGCTTAATGACCAACCGCGGCGCGAGCTCAGACAGTCGAATCATGAAGGAGGAAACAGACTTCGGCCCCTTGGTATCGTTGCTGTTGAATTCCTTGTTGCTGAGCTCTCGCAGGATCTCGTCTGCCAGCTGCGGGTAGTCGTACTGTTCCGCCAGGATGTGGAGGAACTCGGCCATTGGCTCCGACAGGTGTTCGAAGTACGTCAGATTCTGCACGATGGATATTTGGGCGGCTGGGCAAGTTAGCTTTCCTCCGGACAGCGCATGGTGGCATACCCACCGTATCCGTGGCCATGGTGTTTGACCGCAACGCAGAGCACCTTAAAAGCGTGCATCCGGATGCTGGTGCTCTTGACGCGCTGCTCGCTCTCAAGGACCATGTAGACAGGGCGCGTCAGCAGCGATATGAAGGTGTCACGCTCTGATGTTGTCAAGAAAATATTGTTCAGTTTCAGGCGCAGCACTTTGCACATCGTGCTGAGCGCCGTCTCTAACTGTGTCGACGAGTCCCAGGTTGCGTCTCTTCCGCTGTCTTTCTTGCCCTTGGGCTTGCCGCGGCCCCGCGTGGGCACTGTTGTCGACGACTTCTCGGCGGCCTTGGTCTCGACGGCGGCGATAGTCCACTGCAGGAGAAAGCCGTACATCTCGAGCAGTTGCTTGTGGTGCGCGATGAGCTCTTGCTCGTCCGATTCGAGATCATGGTGGATGACATCGGCTTCGGTGGCGAGGCCGGAGGTAATCAGGTCAAAGATTTTGCTCAGAGCGTGCGCCGACAGGAAAGACGTGTACCTGGATTGTTTGAACAGCTCAGAATCAGAGTCCTTCAAACGACGATCTGTGGCGCCGGAACCCAGAGGACGCGCGCGCTTGGCAGGGGTAGGTGTGTCCGCTGCCAACAGCGACGTGTCTCTTGCGGAGGGTAGTAGGGGGTGAGAGGAGATGGGTGCACACTTTAAGAGAAACTGCAGCGAGTCAAAGATGTGGCTGCGTGTGATCGCATCTGGGTTCTCGGCCACAGCGTCGACGATGGGGTTGAGGACGCCGTTGATGACGGCATTGTCGGCAAGAGCCTCGGGCTCGTTTTCGCAGTCGACCAGGGTTCCGTCAGCCTCGGGCGTCGGGATATTGGCGGGATCGTCCATGTAATGCTTGAGCGCATCGTTGATGTCGAAGGTGACGCTGTCCATGGCGGACAACAGCCGATGGCGGGAATCGCGGGAGGGGAGCCAGTGGTGCAGAAAAAGGAGGAAATATATGCAATGTTATCAACGGCTGAGTTGTTAACATCTATGTCGTAAGTGTTCTGTCGCAGTTGTCGGCCCTCTGCAGCCGCTGTTGCTGGAGAACAAAGTATTGGGCCGAGCGACTGTCGCAGCGCCCCTCCTCCGGTCGTTGCTTGCAGCGGGGATATCGCCTGGCAACGGGCAATTTTGTTTGTTGACTCTGTAGGTAGTGGGGCGCAAATGAATCGCGTCACCTGTCAGCTTGCCGCGTCGTGGTCTGTGCACTGCCCCTCCAAACAAGCACTCGACCCGTCTGATCTCCAAGACTTGCTGCAGGCATTCCGCAAGAAAGACGTCCCCAGGATACCTCCTGTCGTCAAGCTAATCCGCTAGGAGCCCAGACGAAGCGTGGTTGCCTCAGGAAGACCTCATGCGCCCTCAATAACACGCAATTGAGCCGAGTGCAGCCCGCATTCTCCCTTTCTCTCTCGGTCTCGCTCTGTGTTCCCTTAAGCAGGTGCCCAGAATGGCGATGGTAATGGGTGCACGTCGGCGTCGCGCGGATTCCTTCCAGACGGAGTCGTTCCGAATACACGAAGATGCTCCCTCCACTGAGGATACCGAGATGAACGAGAGCGCGCTGCGGGACGATGACGAAGTGGAGCAAGATGGCGAGCCCGCAGACGATGATGGCGAGGAGTCCCGGTCCTCGGGGAGCTCAGAAGAGGAATTCACAGACGACAGCCATATTCAGCAGGACATGGAGAGGTTGCAGAATTGCTTCGAGGGTTTCCGGAACAAATACCGGTTGATTAAACGCATAGGCGAAGGTAGGCTTTGGCCTCTGCCCTTTCCCCAGAACTCAGGGCGACCTCCCTTGCTGACTTCCACATTCCAGGCACGTTCTCTACCGTCTACAAAGCCGAAGATTTGCTATATGATAGGTACGACAACTCGTGGGATCTGGAAAAGGAGACAGAAAAATGGACGCCACCCCCATTAAAGAGCTTCGCAAGCGAATCCAGTACATCACTCGACTACCCGTCCCAATCACACCGTCGCCGCAAACCCAAATACGTCGCTATCAAGAAAATCTACGTGACTTCCTCTCCAAGCCGTATCTTCAACGAGCTGGATCTTCTGCATGACCTGCGAGGTTGCGACTCGGTATGCCCTTTGATCACAGCGTTTCGCTGGACCGACCAGGTCATTGCCATCCTTCCTTACTTTCGCCATTCGGACTTCCGCGACTACTTTCGCAAGATGACGGTCCTTGACATCGCCATCTATCTGCGGTCACTTTTCACGGCGCTCGCGAGCGTGCACTCGCACAACATCATCCACCGCGACATCAAACCGACCAATTTCCTCTATGACCCTACCTCGCGCCGAGGCGTCCTAGTCGACTTTGGTCTGGCGGAGCGCGAGGGCTACGACACCAAGCCATGCGTGTGCCATGAGGAACCGGCAGCGCGGAAAAGGAAGCTCCGGCCGCTGATCACCGGACCGAAAGGCGGGATGCCGCGGGAGGACACGCGCCCATCGCGCAGGGCGAACCGCGCCGGCACGCGAGGTTTCCGTGCGCCCGAGGTCCTGTTCAAGTGCACCGAGCAGACGACCAAGATTGACATCTGGAGCGCCGGCGTCATCCTCTTAACCATCCTGTCGCGGCGGTTCCCCTTCTTCAACTCGGCAGACGACGTCGAGGCCATGATCGAGATCGCTACAATTTTCGGGCGGGACCGGATGCAGATGGCCGCCGTGCTGCACGGCTGCATGCTGGAGACTACAATCCCGACCATTCCCCGGTCCGGGTTCACTTTCGAGGGGATTATCGCGTGGAGCACTGACCGGAGCGGAAAGGGACAGAAACTCCCTGATGACGAGAAACTGGCTATCGAGTTCCTCTCAAGGTGCATGGAGTTAGATCCGAGCAAGCGGCTCAGCGCCGAGCAGGCACTAGAGCACGAGTTCCTGCGCATGGGGCTGGACGAATCCGTCGAGGGGTCCAGCGACCCGGGTTATGACGACGAGGATGAGATTAACATTCTCAAAGTAGAACCGGAAAATTAATGGAGTGGTATTAGGAGAAGATCAAGTCTATGGTATTACATGTTTGCTATAGAAGCGGAGTCCGGCGCAGGTAATCATGAATGGTAATCGTTGTAATCCGTATTAGAGCCTCACGTGACCGTCTCGGTCTCGACCTATGTCCTAGTCTTGTCTCCAACCATCTGAATATGTAGAAATCATTTCTCAAAAGCAATTTTGGAGGACCACAACCAATACACACACACCTTATATGCCTAAGGTTCCTTCCTACTCGGTTCGCAACATCGCGTGTCGCGAACTAGGGTCTTCCGATTGATGAATATCTCTTACAGATTTGACGAAACAACACAACCTGCACCAGCAACGACCTGTAATCAATCGAAAAGAAAATGAGCGAAAACGCAGCCATCGATTTCCACCACCCTTACCAACCGTACGACGTGCAACTGGAATTCATGCGCACAGTCTACAATGTCCTCGAAAAGGGCAACGGCCAGGTCGGCATCCTGGAGAGCCCAACGGGCACGGTACCTCCTTCCCCTCCCTTTCATCGAATTTCATCTCGCCCGATCGAAAAAAAAATATTGAAATACCGCAGTACAACGACTGACCATTGAAATTGAACAACAAAAACTAGGGCAAATCCCTCTCCCTGATCTGCGCCGCACTCACCTGGCTGCGCAACCAAAAGCGCTGTCGGTACGAGGCCTCCTTCGACACCACCGCTTCAGGCATGGCCGGCGAGCCCCAGTGGATGGTTGAGGCGGCGTTGCGGCGGAAACGGGAGGAGCTCGCGAGGCGGTGGGAGGAGAGGGAGCGAGCGCTGGACAGGGTGCGGATGAGGGAGAAGGAGCTGGAGGCTAGGGGTGGTAGTAGTCGGGAAAGTCAAAGGGGCGCCAATAAGAGGGTGAGGGTGGATGAGGAGGGGAAGAGGTCAAGGTCGAAGGGGGAGGTGGATGAGGAGAGGGAGTTTCTGGTGGACGACTGGGGTGCCGGGGAGGACGGGACGGATGACGGGCTAGGTCCGTTGAGTAAGGAGACCAGGGCGCTGTTGGAGAAGGTCGGTCTTGGGGGCTCGCGGAGGAAGGAGGAAGTAGATGGGGAAGTGGAGGATGAAATCAAGGTCGGTTCTGTTGATGAGTGGTGAAGTTCACGGAGAGTCGGGTCAAGTCAAGCTGACAGGAGGCAGATTTACTACACCTCTCGCACCCACTCGCAGTTGACGCAGTTCATCTCGGAACTGCGGCGGCCGGCGTTTCCTCCATCTATTCCTGCCGACATGGTCTCTTCCAAAGGAGGCGACGAGGAGAAGCCCGCAACAGAAGCGGTCAAACAGCTTCCTTTGTCATCGAGACAGAAGCTGTGCATTAACCCCTCGGTTGCGCGGCTAGGGTCGCTGTCTGCTATCAATGACCGATGTACAGAGCTTCAGCAGTCAAAGGCCAAAGAGAAATGCCCGTTCATGCCAAACGCAGAGAACTTGAAGCAGACCCATGAGTTCCGAGATACAGCCCTGGCAACGCTGCCGGACATAGAGGACCTGCACCGGATAGGCAAGGAGCTACAGGTGTGTCCGTATTACGCGTCGCGAACAGCTATACCAGGGGCAGAGGTCATCACGCTGCCTTACCCCTTGCTGCTACAGAAAAGTGCACGAGATGCCCTGGGCATCAAACTCGAAGGGAACGTTGTGGTGATTGACGAAGCACACAACATTATGGACGCGGTTGCCAATGTCCACGCAGCAGAGATTCGTTTGAGCGAGCTTAGAAGAGCGAGGCAGATGCTTGGAGTCTATGTCAAATGGTTCGGCAAAAGGCTGAAGGGCGAGAACCGGGTCATGGTGGCCCAGGTTGGCAAGGTCATCGAGTCCCTGAGTGAGTGTCTAAACGGACTGCTCGGTGCAAAGGTAACTTTCAGTGTTCCCTGTATGAAGAAGCACACTGCTGATGGCCATTAGGGTGACCAAGGCATTGTCGACTCAAGCATCCTCCTGAAGGCCCGCGGAGCGGACCAAATCAACCTGTACCAGCTGATAAAGTACATTCAAGAGTCTAAGCTGGCGTACAAGGTCGAGAGCTATGTCAGCCACGCAGAAGAGCAAGAATCCTCGTCCTCCGGTACGGTTGACAAACCTGCTCGGCCAACGCCGGTTCTTCATACCCTTGTCTCGTTCATGACTGCACTCACAAACCTCAGCATCGAGGGCCGAATTTTCCACGAGAAGCTGGCGGGCACCCCGCCGGACATCAAACTGTCATATCTCCTACTGTCACCAACACACGCCTTCTCCTCCATCGCCTTGGCAGCGAGGGCTATCATTCTCGCCGGCGGCACCATGTCCCCGTTCGAAGACTACAAAATGCATCTCTTCCCTACCCTTCCGCCAGACAGGATTACCACACTCAGCTGCGGGCACGTCATCCCATCGTCCAACCTCTTCGCTTGGACTCTTGCCTCGACAAAGCCGATTCCACCAGACAATAATAATGCCACCGCGACCGTCGACTCCTTCGAGTTCAGCTTCCAGAAACGGAGCGACCGCTCCATGATCCGGCAACTAGGCCTCGTCCTGCTCAACATCTGCTCGGTGGTCCCCGACGGGGTGGTCGTTTTCTTTCCCAGCTACGGCTATCTCGACGAGGTGGTCACCGCGTGGCAAACAGCCGACACGCCAGGGCAGCCAGCGCTGTGGGACCGGCTGGGCGCGAAGAAGGCCCTCTTCCGCGAGACAAAGAGCGGCGGTTCGACAAGCGAGGAGCTCCTGCAGCAGTACAGCGCTGCCATCCTCTCTCCGCCTCCGCCTCCCCCGTCCCAAAGGTCCAACCGGGGCGGAGCCGTCCTCCTCAGCGTCGTCGGCGGCCGGCTGTCGGAGGGCATCAACTTCTCGGACCGGCTCGGCCGCTGCGTCGTGGTGGTCGGCCTGCCCTACCCCAACATCCACTCGCCGGACTGGAAGGCGCGCCTGGAATATATCGAGTCGACGGTCATGTCGCGCCTGCAACAACAAGAAGAACAAGAACAACATCAAAATAACAACAACAATAACAACAGTGATGATAATGACGCCCAAGCGCAAGCCAGCCCACAACAACAAGCGAAGCAGGCCGCCAGGGAGTTCTACGAGAACGCGTGCATGCGTGCCGTCAACCAGAGTATCGGTCGGGCGATCCGGCACCGCGCCGACTATGCGGCGGTGGTGCTGGTCGATCGGCGGTTTGGCACGGAGCGCATCCGGGGGAAGCTGCCGGGTTGGATAACGGCGGGGATGGTGGAGGGCGGGGAGCGGAAGGGGTTGCAGGGTTTGATGGGGGGGTTGAGTTTGTTCTTTAAGGGGAAGGGGGCGTGAGAAGGGGGGATTGGGTACTAGTAGTGCCTATTTTAGGGATAGATGTGTTTGGGCAAGGAGCATTTCGTTTAATTTGTTTACCTTAGGTGTATCCCGGGGGAGATAGGTGAGAGTGTAACACCTCCTTTGCTCCTCGGCGCCTTCCGCTCCTCTAACTGTCCTTTTATGAGTATCCTCCCTTCCTGCTCATAGCAATGACCTTGGTGCGCCATAGTAATATGTGACCATAGGTAAATCTGATTCAGGGGAACGTTCAACAACTTCCTCGCATGCATAACGGGCTCCTGGGTATCTTATCACTCTGTTCGAATTCAGAAGTTCACGAAACTCTGTTCAGTCGCTGTACATGCTATTCGTGGATCACCCTAACACCAATGCTCTTTTGTAACCAATACATCAAATCATCCAAATCGACACTGCCTGCCTTTTCTCAACGGCCCCTCTCCCACCCCTCGCCGGAATAGTGCGGATCGTACACGGGCACATAGCCGCCGGTAGCGTACGTCACCGTTGGCGGCGGAGTGGGCTCCGGTGATGTGTACGCCGGCGGCTCGGTCGCATAGTAGTAGTACGACGGCATCACGGCCGTACCAAGCGGGTTGTACGAAATGCGACGGTCGCCGTCCGGCGGCGTCACCGCCCGCTCCGCGACAATGAGGCTCTGCTTATCCCCCGCGGCGTCTTGCCCGCCATCAACGCCGTCCGGGTGCTCTCTAGCATTGTGGTTCCCTCCGTGATGATCGTGCCCATCTCCGTGGCCCGCGCCAATCAGCGGATCGCCAGACCGCCTGTTCCTCCTGTTCGCAATCCAAGCGCCGACCCGGTCGAGGACGATGATCAGGTACATGAGCCCGACGGCGAGGGGCAGGATGACGGGCGTGCCGATGATGGCGTACATGACGTCCTTGCTGGCCGACAGGGCCAGGATCGAGGCGGCCGCGACGATGACGGCGGCGCGGGCGAAGCAGGCCGTGTAGTCGAAGGCGTCGACCTTGGTGGTGCGGATCAGCAGCGTGACGACGAGGAAGCAGGCCATCAGGACCAGGAAGGCAGCCCAGAAGTAGCGGTACACCAGCTTCCACGACTCGAACATCACGCCGAGCACGCCCTCGTCCAGCGGGATGCTCAGCCCAAGCGCGCTGTACATGGCCGCCACGACTTTGCCGTACAGGACCAGGAGGGCGTCCGGGAAGTCGGCGCCGCTGGTGCCGTTTGCCACGCTGTTACTACTAGTACAAATGCCCGTCGAGTTGCCGATTGCGTAGATATCCCGCTCGATGCCGTCGACAAAGATGAGGCTGGCCAGCTTCTTGTCGAGGTGGAGCGACTCGACCGCGGCGCGCAGCTTGTCCGCCAGGGCCTCGCCGTCGAGGTGGTCCCTGAAACAGTACTGCACAAACTTCTCCTCCAGCTTCAGCCCGTTGTGGGCCACATACCGCGCCAGGGCGACCTGCTGGGCGCCCTCGACTAGCCCCACGATGGCCAGGTGGATGGGGAAGTGCAGGGCTGACCAGATCTGCTGGCGGATGGTGCCGAAGTGGCCGTGCGGGTGGTTGTCGAAGTAGATCATCCACGTGCCCACCAGGATCAGGACGATGCACAGGATCAGGCCCGACGCCTCCGGCTCGAGCCCGGACTTGCCCATCAGGCGCGAGATGGTCTTGGTCACGCCGATGGCGCCCTCGCCGATGACGATCAGCGTCAGCAGGCCCATGCGCTCGACCAGGTGCGTCTTCTTGAAGCTCAGCATGCGCCAGATGCACGAGATGCTGACCGTGGCGAGCGTCTCGGCCGCCATGACGATCCACCACACGCTGTAGATGCCGTTCTCGGCCGTGGCCGCCCTGTCGTCCGGGAACAGCGGGATCAGGCCCGCGAAGACGGCGGCGGCCACCACGTAGGTCAGCACGTTGAGGAACAGCGGCAGGTAGAGGTCTGTGCGGCGCGCGCGGCCGACAAACACGCCCACCACGAGGTACTGCAGCGCGAACAGCGCGCGGCTGAGCACCAGCGTGTAGCACAGGATGCGGAAGCTGGTGTTGTCGCCCCTTTCGGTGCCGGGTGCGAAGGCCGAGCCGACCAGGGCGAAGCCGACGAAGACGATCATCATGACTGTCTTGCACGCCCGGCTGTAGATGCTGTCGTTTTCGAAGCGCACGTCGTACAGCACCGTGTGGAACCAGGTCGCCCAGATGATGGCGAAGAAGCCGATGTAGGCGAACAGCGAGGAGTGGTCGGTGATGGAGTGGTAGGCTGTGAACGTTGCTAGGTTCGCCACGCTGTCCCGGACCTTGTCAGAAGGAATAAGGTCGGCTGAGGGGGGGTTTACACGAATCCTATGGGGTAGAGACTTACAAGAACAAGTCAAAGAACAGCTCGAGTGTGCTGGCTTCGTGTCTCGGGGCAAAGACAATATGTTGCTTGTCCACGCCTTGGAGGGGGTTCTGGATCCATGGCACGATTCTGTGTATCCGCCTCTTCGTCCTTGCCTCGAAGCTGCACAGGATATAAGTTAGGCATATCACATCGTTCGAGGGACCTGTCGATTGAGAGGACCACCTTACATGGTCTTCACACGCTTGAACTGAGCCATCACGGCGTGTTACAGTTCCCTACCCGCTGGACTCGGGAGTGTGCCGAGTGATAACTTGAAGGTCAACGGCACGAGCACAAATCATGCATCTTGGCGGAAGCTTCTTTTTAGATGTTTCCAGGACCCATGTCCTCGCTGACTCTGCAGGCTTCTCATTGCGGTCTAGATCTGGCAATGCGCGTGTGAAGCGGCTGTGAAGGATTGGACGGCGGTGCGAAGCCTGGGGTTGTAATAGGCCAAAGGGCGTTTTTAGCTTCCAAGCCACGCCTTAAATCTCACCTTTGGTGCTAGGATACTAGGGTGAGATCAACACGTGGACCCTGTCGTTTGCTGCCTGGGACACTTGTTTACTAAACTTTCGCGCGCTTCCCCGCGGAGTTGCAACCGTGTGCTGGGCCGGGCGCGATCCGGACTCTCCAGAGATGGATCGATCTCGTACTTCAAGAGAAGCTTCAATGGCCAGTCTTTCTTTGGATGTCCAGCGCAACAGGGGGAGCGATTCGCTGGATTTCTGCGGCGGCAGCTTTTGATTAGGCGCGCATTGGCCAAACACCCGAGGCGCCCCTGCTAGCGTGGATATGAGGTGCCATGCGGACCGACCCCCTGCGGCCTCCAAGAAGAGAGAGTCGACCTCGTCGCCGAGAGGTGGTCGGATGCCTATAAAAAGGTCGGAGTGGATCGTAGGTCAGGTAGTATCTTTCTCATCCGTTGCGATTTCAGACTGCATGTGGTAGGATAGCCTGATGGGGCAGTTGTGGCGTTCGTGTGGCTCAGCCGACCTCCTACATTCGAACCCAAAGTTGAACTAGGGCGCTGCTGAGAAGGCGTCGGCACCTTGTCTTAGCTTCATATTATATTCTTCGCTCTCTCCCGTTCGCATATCCTTTCCCTTCAATTCTGATATCTCGAGGTACCTAAATAAAGATCTGGTGTATACTGTATACCTTAGCTTTCTTTAACCCGAGGTAGCCTGGGACTAGGGATAAAAGTTATAAAAGAGGGTTACCGGTGCGGGTGCAACTTGGTTCCTGGCAGGTGGCGTATGGTATGTCTGCCCTGGTAATGACTGTCTCTGGTATTGGAACAGGCCTGCATCATGGTTATAAGAACTGTCTGAGATGGAGAAGCATCAGCTCCCTTCATGTGTTTACTGGGGCCTGCGCCGGTGAGCACAATAGAAAGCGAGCCTCGTCACTCCACGTAGCGAAACTAAAACCAGAGTGTTGTTACTGTACTTGATAAGTAAAAGTGCTAGTTATCGCGCTTTCTGACTTTCTATTCACATAGGGTGCCGCCGCAGAGTTGGTTCCTCAGGGATACTAGTAGTAGTTACTATGATCAAACTGACTAGCTGTGAGGAGGACATATAGGCTCCCCAAGGTATGGTCAGGATCTGCTTTGTTACTCAGCCAACCCTGCTCGTGCTACACATCCGTTTTCGAACTTCGGAAGCTCATCCGAACCTGAAACCAGACGGTGGAACACCATCATGCCAGCAGCATTGGCTCGGTGGAACCGTTGTATCGACCTACCTGCTGGTGAGAGCCGAAGCACATTCAGGCTAAAGGCTAAATTCAAGGCGTCGGAATCCGGTTGACGGGACCTGGCCCTGCTGCTTTCAAAAAGGTATTCCCCGCAGTTCATGATCCCGAGCAGAGAGAACCGGGTTGCTGGGCGCAAAACAATTGCACGGAAGCGGAAAGCGGATGGTGGCAGGGGGGCGATGCACCTTGCATTCCCGGAACACTCGCCGAGCCTTCCCCACAGACAACCCCATGAGACCCGGCGAGCCCGGGTATTATTCCACACTGTAACCTTACACTACCTAGGTAGGTATGCACACACACACAACACCTCACGATCAGGTCATACAAGAATAGGGGTTGATCCCTGTCAGGGTGCCGTCCAAGGCTTCTCGAAGACTCCAAGTCTGCCGGAGGATAGTGTTAGGTAGTAACCCCGGCCATTGCTCACCATGGCAAGTCGCTTGGGATCTTCCGCGAAGGGTTGGCAGAGAGGGGTGTCCTGTCAACAAGATGCTACTCTATGGCCACTAAACACTAAGAAGAGGTCCAGCCCGGGCAGCTTGGCGGAGTAACGGAATGCAACGGTTCCCAGCTGGTGAGCTGGGATAGCATGGCATCACAAGGGGTTGCCAGGGCTTGTTTCCGCAAGGCCCTGGGCGGCCGTTTCATCAAGGATCGTCTATAAAGAGGTCGGTTGCAATCACCTGGTCTTAATCTTCCCTCCACATCCCAGCCCAGTTTGAGTCTTTGAGATAGCAGCACCAAAGGACCCTCAGGACCATCAGCAGCAGCTTGATCCATCACCATGTGGCCCACTCCCAAGGTTGCCTTCCTCCTCCTCTGGGCGCACTCGCTTCTTGTGAATGGCACCCCTCTCGAGGCTGATTCCGCCGTACTCGCCAAGCGGCAATGCCCGGAGGTCCACGTCTTCGGAGCGCGTGAGACGACGGTCCCGCCCGGCTTCGGCACGGCGGGGCAGGTGGTCAACCTGATCCTACAGGCGTACCCGGGGGCGACGTCCGAGGCGATCAACTACCCGGCGTGCGGCGGCCAGTCGAGCTGCGGCGGCGTGCAGTACGGCGACTCGGCGCGGCAGGGCACCAGCGCCGTGGCGTCGGCCGTCAACAGCTTCAACCAGCGCTGCCCCAACACCAAGCTCGTGCTGGTCGGCTACTCGCAGGGCGGCCAGATCATGGACAACGCCTACTGCGGCGGGCCCGACACCGGATCGGGCATCACCACCACCGCCCCGCCCATCTCGGCCGCCGCGCTCGGCCAGATCAAGGCCGTCATTGAGATGGGCTCGCCGCGCTATGTCGCCGGTCTGTCCTACAATGTGGGGACTTGCACGGCTCAGGGTGTATGTAGCAGTGTTCCCCCCGTATTTCACCATCCCCTTCCCACTTCTTATAGTATTGAACTTAACTCACTCACCTGCTTTTTCTTTTTCATGGTAAAATGTAGTTCGCCCCCCGCCCGCGAGGTTACGTCTGCGCCTCATCCGCATCCAAGATCCAGTCCTACTGCGACGCCACCGACCCCTACTGCTGCACGGGCAACGACGCCAACTCACACCAGCAGTACGGCACCAAGTACGGCCAGCAGGCGCTGGCCTTTGTCAAGAGCAAGCTTGACGCTTCTGGTGGTGGTGGTGGTGGTGGTGGTGGTGGTGGTGCGCCCACGACCACGACGACCCAGCCCAACAACCCCGATCCGACGGGCGGGAATGGCGGCGGCGGCGGTGGTGGTGGGAACTGCGCTGCTCTCTGGGGGCAGTGCGGTGGTCAGGGTGTAAGTTACTACTCCCTTCCGAGGTTCCCGCTTTCTTTAGGTTCATGGGCAGAGGAAGGTGAACTGTTACTGACAGGGTGTTGTAGTGGACGGGCCCGACATGCTGCTCGCAGGGTAGTTGCAAGGCGGCGAATCAGTGGTACTCGCAGTGCCTGAACTAAGGTCACCACCGATGTTTTGGGGGGTGGGGGGTGGTGGTTGCGGCATCACAGGTGGATATGGGAAGGACGCAGAAATTTTAGTGGCTTAGGTTCATGTAAATATTCCGTTTCTGATGTAACCAGAACAACGCCGGTACATAAGTATGACTGAGCCTACTGTTCGGTCGGCCTTGCTGGGCTCTGCGGAGCAATAGTAGTAGTACCTATGTGACAGGATATGCGCATGATTTGTACTTAGTACTACCTGTGAAGTCCATCGACCAGCTCTCGTCTTTTGGCGTTGCAGTATCCAGAGGTCAGAGGCCGAGAAAACAGTATAATACAGTAGTGGGTGAAGGTGAACAAGGTGATGTGTCCAGCTAAGCCAGGGAACTAGCTTATATGTGGGAGGCTCCAATCGCCAATCCCTGAGGACCACCAGACGCCCCTGTGGCCTGACAAGCCAGTGTAGAAGGCACATGACTGGGCTGTGAAGGATAAAGGCGTGGCGAGGTAGGACCGCTAAGGGGGCAGGCCCCTACTAGTGAGCAGTTCAGTATCTTCCGCAGCCATATCGTCGACCTCTTCGAACCATGATCTGGAAGTCGGACTGGCGCCGGGCATTCCCAATCCCACGCGGTGGGCGATGCAGAGCAGCAGTTCTGTGCTGCCTGGGAGAAGGGTTTTTCGGAGTGTTTGCTTGGTAGTACTAAGGGTGTTTGCTACTGGTGGAAAAGGAGGGAAGGAGCGACGTGCTCGAGGCGTCTAGAAAGAAGAGATGGATTAGTACGTAAGGATGGTGGAAGCCGCCGATTGATTTTCGCCACCTTCTCCTTCGGTTCTTGACGAAGCGAAGCTGGGCCGCCTTGGCTGCCATCCACAACGGCGGCGAACGGCGAGCCCATTCCCGGTCCGATATGTTGTTTGCTGGCTCCCAGCCTTTGTTGGTGCACGTTTTTAGACCAGATAACCCCTTCCGCCAAGGGTTAGAGTGCCCAGGGGCCAAAAGCCAGCGCGGCGTGCAGCCTTCTCTTTCTCGGCGAGGCTGCTGAGCCTGCCGTGGATGCCGTCCTGCTCGGCCTTGGCGGAAGGAACGAGCGCCCCTGGGTAAGGTCGTGATCTCTTCGACGCGATGCTGGCCCTTGCCGCGGGCATACCGCGACGCGGTCCGGCAGCGAGGAGTAGAGAATGGCCAAGTTGGCTGCTGGCAAGGTCGTCGCTCCTACTTCGCCGCGGGGTACGGCGGGGATGTTGGCTACGAGGAGACTACTTTCCCGCCGAGCATGCAACGGCGTCGGGATAATCCCAGCACGCTCTTCATCATCTTGTCAACGAATATCGAAGCACTACTCATAGCACACGGACGGGTGGCTCAGGTCAAACCAGCGGCGCCTCCGATTTGATGACCTGCGAGACCGCATCGGCAGCTCCCTGGCGATGCTGCTCTAGGACATGCCACCCCTTTCTTTGAGGCCGGTGGATTCTTGGATGAGGATACCAAGCTGAATAAAACATTTGCCAGGGTCTTGGAGGCGAAATGTGCCGTGGAAGGCAAGGATCCCTTTGGTACCGTTTCTGGCGGCTACCTCAAGATCATGGCACCATTGCTGGAGATGTCCTGCGTTCGTTGTTCCACTTACGGTACGTGCGATCTAATCCCGCTATGTTCTGGCGCCAGTTCGGCTCGGATTACTGCCTGGTATGACTTTGGATTTACCCCGGATCACAGTGCGAATCTCTTTTGTTTATTCATCGGTGAATTAAGTTGCGGCTCTGATGGCGTCCCATGCCGCGTGCTGGTTCTTAAGAAGCGGGGTGATATTTCGGGGACCACCTATGAGAGGGTTGGCAGCTTCCACCTTGACCGAGGAGCGGAACAAGACCTCATTCAGGGCGTCGAGGACAGTGTTGTGGTAATCGTCTAGCAGTCGGACGTCTTGAACCAATGACCAGTCATCAGACAGCATCACTTCCAGAACAGAACTCTCATTATCCACAGTCCAAAACGTGGACCGCGTACTATTTGCGTTCTCTCCTAGCTGCCGCTGCTCCTGTCTTACACAACTCCTCTTAAGGTGCCAGTCAGCGACGACTCAACCGACCCCTGTGCCATCTCTGGTACCCGGACTACACGAATTCCACTGACAAGCCCAGTGACACTGTTACTCTGGCTCAGCGATGGTCTCTGACTCCATATTCCGTAGCAAATGCGTCGATACCACGCCCAAGCTTAAGGCTGTCTAGTACATGGTAGGTACTAGCTTACCTCTAGCTGGGGACAGCGCTCTTCAGCCACCCCTGGTGGTCCCGCGTCTGGGTCATCCAAGATCTGGCAATTCTGTCTCGGCAGGTTATCGTGGTATGGGGCTCTCAAAGGCGATGCCGCTGGACCACTTGAAAGCAGTTGCTGTTAGTCAATTTACCTTAATAGTGCCATGTATATAATCCCGAAGTGGAATAAAGATATTCTGGGAGGATCAGGGGCTTTTTCATATCTTTATAACCGGTGCGAGTGGTAACTACCTACGTACTTGCTATCGATTATCTGAATGCCTGTGGGCGCTGTTGGTTGGATTCATGATGATATGACCACTCTGAGAAGGTAAGCTAGAGAAGATTAGGGAAAATGAGTAATAAGGTAGTTAGTATAAAGCAAGGTCGGGCAGAGGGGTGTGGAACAGCTCTGTAGGGCCCGTTACAAAGCCATTGTTGTGTCAACCTTCTTTGGGGATTAGGCACCAGGCGTCTACGCTTCAGAAATTAGCTATACATCCCATCCGCGCTCTAGGCCTATGGAAATGCGGGTAGTAATGGGAGAGTATGAGGTTATGGACTGTTGTGCCTCATCACCCACTCATTGCTTGCGACTGCCGAGATCCATGCTTATTACGTCCTTCACTCACCCCTCCCTACCTGTACCATAGGATACTACTTGCTGGGCGGCGACAGCGAGGAGCCGGATTCGGCCGCTTTGGGATGCGCAGCGAGTCGTACCGTAGGTACAAACTCGCGAAAGCGGCACATGCGCTACGTGGAAGGGAGGGAGGGATGGGATCGGCACGTGATGCATCGTACGCAGGCTACCCTCACCAGTCCACCAAGTACAGTGTACGTCAGAGAGGTCACACGGTATAGACTTGCCACAACGGGATTGGTTAGTGGTGCTACAGGGGCGCTTGCACGGGGTCTGATAGGTCAGATAGGGCGTCTTTAGTGCAATGCAACGTACGTCACACTGTCACATGAGGCCGACTCGACAACCATCGTCCAACCATCTTCAAGGTGGGAGGGTGGGCTGGTGAGGGTAGCCTGCGTAGGTGGGGGGGATAGTGACAATGGCCTTGTCACGAATGCTGTTCCTTGTCCACCTCTCTTAGTAAAAGACGACACACTGCTCTTAGATTGTGATTGTTGGTCCATCTCAGCCACCAGTCGATCACTCTTTATAAGTTTAGTTCAGACCATCGCCAGCTCTACACTCTCGGATGATGCCTTCCCGGAATCGGTCCCGACAACACGGTCTCGGCGGTAGTGCACCTCGCACCTGCCACAATTGCAAACAAGTAGGGCACATTGCTTGGAACTGCCCTCAAAGTGCGGGACCACAGAGTCCTAAACAGAAGCAATCGACGCTCCCACACGAAACACGGACGTCAGAGCAATGGAGCCAGCAGAAGCGCCAGATCGAGACCATGGGCGCTGGTGCCTGGCAGCAAGGTCAAGAGCGCATGGAGGGCGAACTGCAACAGTCCCTGTATCACCTACACCACGAGCCGCTGCAGATGCAGAACTGCCTGAGCCAGATGGCGGCACACCGGCCCCAACACCGGCACTTACAACCGCTCCGACCATGCCTCAAGCAGAAAACACGACCCCCCTCCCCAGCGCCCGCTCCGCAGGATCAACCAAGCGTCTTGCCACCACAACAGCTACCACCCACTCCCGCGGAGTCATCCCCGGAGCCGGAGTCCGCTCCGCAGCACACCAACCAACCCGCGCCAGAAGTATTGACCGTCACCGAGCGGCTTTCCATCCTCAATGGATTAAGCGAGGCCCTCACCAAGGCCCTCTATAACACACGTAACATCATCACCGACCACGAACAGCGACTGGCACAGCGCGAGACGCGCCCGCCCCGACTAGACGAAATCACGAGCTTCTTCGGGATGCTTGAGCGCACCGCCGAGCAAGCCACAGCCCAGCTCAGGGAGTACCACCGCGCCTCTGGCCATTCTTCATCTCATACGCTAGGCGATACAGAGCAGCAGTTCTGTGCTTCCTGGGAGATGGTAGTCAGGGGCTTTGCGGAGGTGGAGGATTGGGAGAGACGGTTTTCGGAGCGTACCACCAAGGATGAAGATTTAGACTTGGTGTGGGAGGGGTATGTGGCGGCTATGAAGGAGTTTGGGACGCTGGTGAAGCGATTTGAGGAGGAGCATTTGATGGGAGATGCAGAGGAGGAGCTTTAGTCGGCCGAGGTCTTCAGATTGACAAAAGAAAAGAATGTATTTTAGACTTTGTTGGAGGAAGGCAAAATTGCTTAGGACGAGACGCGATTTGAACGCGTGACCTACCGGACTGCAGCCGGTTGCTCTACCCCTGAGCTACTCGTCCAAAGTGTGGTTGAGTTGTCATGGGCGAGAGGAGGAAAACCGCCGGGATGTTATCCTTGGGGTCGAGAGATTGATTCCTGTACTTTATCCAGAGTGTTAAGACCACTAAAGCATATCGGAAGAACATCGGTGATAATCGGTGATAATGTCCTTGTATGTCTCGCTGAAGGTATATACAGCACATACCTAACACACATCACCTACGGATCAAGGCTAGCATACAAGGTACCATGACTAGACTATATATTGAAGCTTCCGGACATGACATGATTGTTTCCGTGGCTGCCACCATTTGAAGACGCAGTAATTGAGTTCGGGTAGAACCCCCCCTCCACCCACCATCACATGGGAGTTGGATGGGACAGAAACTGAATACCTCACTGCGCAGAAACCAACATCGACCCACAAAAAGGCAGTTAGGGTAAGACAGGATACAAACCCGAAGAAGGACATTCCCCACGCCCCCCTCAATGCGACCGATCCACCTCTCCATTCGCGCCCATACCCACAGCGATGCTCGTGGCGGCATCCAGATCCTCCTCCGGAAGGCCCAGCACCTCGTTGTGCAGGATACGTCTAGACTGGTAGTCGCCGTCGCCACAGCCAGGAAAGAACATGCGGCTGTAGAGCATCTTGGTGAAAGACCCAAAATTGCCACGCATCACCTCAGCCTTGGCCTCTCTGTAGCGCTGCGCGGCCGCACTGCGGCCAGGTGGTCGTGTTGATGGCGATGGTGCCCTTGTCGAACAGGGTGAGGGAGCGCGTGGGGAAGTCGAAGCCGAAGCAGTCGGGCCCGCCGCCCAGGCTGAACTCGTACCAGAAGTTGCAGACCAGGAACAGCGGGGCGCTGACGCCCAGGTGCTGGATCTCGGAGCGGACGGTGTCGCGCATTTCGGTTAGGAGGCTGTCCTGGCAGAGCGGGTCGTTGGCCGCGTCGTGGCCGAACCAGTTGGGCAGGATGTACGGCACGCCGGCTTCGGTTGCGGCATGGGTGAGCTTGGTCATGGTGTCTCGCGGAGCTGAGACAGCCATGGTGATGATCAGGGCGTGCTGGCCACGGAGTGCTTCCACTAGCGCCGAGGTGTCGTCGCCGCTGTAGTCGACGCGGACGACCCGGACAACGTCGGGCAGCTGCTTGATGCTGTTAGGACGCGAGATGGCTGTTACATCGTGCTTGCCCGCCTTGACTAAGTGCTCAGTAAGGTGGCGACCGATTAAGCCGCCGGCCTGGGGAACGGAACGGGTTAGACGGAAGGGCTGGGATCAGGACGCAGGTTAGCGACTTGACGTACTCCGACGATGGCCACTTTCTGGATGTAGTTCGAAAAGCCCTGGGGCTGGTCCCTGGCATACTGCCCAGGCATGGTCGCGGACGGCGTTGTCGTGACCTAGAGACTGTCCGTTTGTGCAGAGACAAGTACTACGGGACAGGACGTAACTTGAAGGCGTGCAGTGTCTTCAGTCTGACTCTGGGCTGGGACGTTGGCCCTCCCTGAGGGCTTCGTGGCCTTTAAGGCAGCTGAATCCATCGCAAACACCGCTGTACGCACATACAGTAGGCACTTCTCTCCAAGTTTAACTTGGTGGGCGGTTGGGGGCCAGATCGTATGCGGGAACGTCGACTTCGGATGTAAACGGGATTAATTGTGAATCATGGAAGGAGATAATTCTTGCGGGCTCCTATCTCCGGGAGCGGAATGTATGTACAGTAGAAGAAGGAAGGAACGAACGCCGAAAATACAGACTGAAGGCACAAACAACTCAAGCTTGACCCAAAACCTTCTCAGCAACGCCCCGCCCAATTGTCTCGCATGTTGAACCGCCCAAGATCTCAAACACAGCAACATCAACCTTCAACCCCTGCAAAAACCAATTCCGCAGCTCGACCGCCACCAGCGAGTCGACCCCGTACACATGCAGCGGCTGGCCCCGGTCAAACGACTCGGGCGCCCTCGCCAGCACCTTGCACAGCTTGTTGACCAGCGCGTCCGACACGATCTGCGCGGCCTCGCCAACCCCCGGCGCCTCTCTAACCCGCGTAAGGAGGTCTGCGCCCTGGCCGCCCTGACCCTTTTTCTGTCTGTCATCCCCTTGGTCATCGCCGTCCTCGCCCTCGGGCGCGTCCATCTCGAGCTGGTGCAGGTTCGCAAACATGGGCTCCTGCATCCAACCCGGCGGGTCGAGGCCCCTCGCGCGCGCGTGGGCGGGCAGGTCGAGACCCATGACGATCTGCGGCGGGAGGTTTCCTTCCTCCGTAGCAGCAGCTGCCTCTGGTCCGCAGAGGTGATCTAACAAACCCAGCATCTCGTTCTGCGACATCTCGACGACATGCTTGGTCATGACGAACTGCTGCGCCAGCTCCGGGTGCTCGGCCGCAAAGCCGTCGCCCTGCACGAGCGAGAGGTTGACCGACACGGCGCGCTCGCCCAGCTGAGCTACCCGGTACCGCGCCAGCTCGTCTTGGAAGGTGTTGCCCGCGGCGTAGTTGGCCTGGGCCTGCGAGCCGACGATGCCGGCGATGGAGGAGAAGAGGATGAAGAAGTCGAGGTTGCGGGGCAGCTGGGCATGCAGGTTCCAGGATCCGTCGATCTTGGGGCCCAGCGGGGCCGTCCAGTCCGCGTGGCTCATGTTCTCGAAGAAGCCGTCGCGCAGGACCATGGCCGCCTGGATGCAGCCGCGGATGGGCGGGAGGTGGGCTCGGCAGTGGGCTAGCACTGCGCGGAGCGAGTCCGCGTCGGCGACGTCGCAGGGCGGGCAGTAGAGCTGTGCGCCGCTGCTCTCGAGATCGCGGGCGAATTCGGTGATCTTGGCGTCGTCAGCTTGCAGACCCCGTCGAGAGAGGAGCACCAGGTGGCGGGCGCCCTTGGAGACCATCCAGCGCGCGATGATGCGGCCCATGGCACCGAGGCCGCCGGCAATGACGAACGATGCGTCGGGGCTGAAGGTCCATTCGGATTTCTTTGGCTGGATGACGGCCTGTTGAGGGGGGAGAAGAGGACAGAGCCCGTTAGACTTGTTCTCTGACACAGGGGGACATTCAACATGAACTTACCGGTACCACATCATCCTCGCCAACCTCCACCACCACCTTCCCAGCATTCTTCCCGCTCTGCAGGTACCGGAACGCAGCCTCCACCTCCCCGATGGAAAACACCTTCATCGGGTCCGGCAGCCTCAGCACCCCCTGGCGGAACAAATCCACCACCGCACTCAGCTCCTCCTGGATCAGCTCGGGCTTGTCGACAGTCATGGCGCTCAAATCGACCGCGCAAAACGAGACATTCTTGGCAAACTGAAACATGGGCAGCTTCCCATGCGCGAAGATATCCTTCTTGCCAATCTCGACGAACCTGCCATACGCGGCAACGCACTCCCACCCGGCGACCAGCGCGTCACCCGCCAGACTGTTCAACACGACATCCACCCCCTTCCCGCCGGTCAACCGCCGGATATCGTCGGCAAACGACAGGTCACGGCTGCTGAGGATGTGCTGGGGCGGGATCCCGTACCGGTCCGTCATCAGCTCCCTCTTGGCCTCAGACCCGACCGTGACGTAGATTGTGCGTGCGCCGCACCACTGCGCGATCTGCACGGCCGCCTGGCCCGTTCCGCCGGCGCCGGAGTGGATCAGGATGGACTCCCCCCGCGCCAGGCGCGCCACGCGCACGAGGGCGTGGTAGGCCGTGACGAAGTTGGTGGGGATGGACGCCGCCTCGGCGAAGGTCACGCTCTTCTCATCCTGGTTCGGGATCTTGACGGCCAGCTGGGCGTGGCAGGTCACGACCGTCTGGAAGGTGTCGCATGCTGACACGAGGACACGGTCACCGGGCTGGAGGTGGGCAACCTCGGAGCCGACGGAGAGGACGATGCCGGCGCATTCGGACCCCAGCGTGTCTTGGTCTACACGCCCGAGCGCGATGAGGCAGTCGCGGAAGTTGATGCCGATCGCTTTGACGGCGACCGAGATGAATTGTGGTGGTAAGGGTGACGGGGGTGAAGGGGCCGCGGTGAAGTAGAGCGTGTCGAGGAGCCCCGGTTGGCGGATGGCTAGTTTAACTTTGTGGTCGAGCGACGAGAAGCGGTGCGAGGCGGAGAAGATGGGGGTTTGCGAGGCGGCCGAGGTGTACTGCAGGATGGCGTTGTCAAGGTGCGGTAACTCATACACGCGCGGAATAGTGGCAAGAGAGGACTCCAGGGATGCGGATGGGGTAGCAGTACTAGTAATGCTGAGTTCCCACTCGCAGCTCCCGGTTGATACACCCTGCAGGAAGTTCTCTACTGCCCTCGAGACATGAGCGGAGAGGAGGGACGCATCAGACTTTGTCGTGTCTAGGCTGACGGTGGAGAAGACCAGACCGTGTCTCTCTCTCCGCAGCGCCCGAGCGAGGCCGTTGACGGGGCCGATTGCGGCGGCGGAGGAGGAGAGGACCAGCCACATCACAGCCCGCGCGCGCGAGAAGATGGAGTGGAAGGCTGTGTACTCGTCAGAGGTCAGGTGGGCAAGCGACGGCCAGCCTCCGGAGCTGGGGTCGTGCACGACGACCAGGAGTTCGTCGCCGAGCTGTTGCTGTGCGGCAAGATCGAGGAAGTTGGTCTCGTAGACGTCTGAGGCCAACTCGGCGGTTTCTTTGAGCTTCGAGACTACTAGCTCGGTGAGGGGCGACTGTTCGGATGCCGAAGGGGACCAGCTGGTAAGAACCACGGCCATCTTGCCGCCCGGTGCGTGCGCTGAAACGGGTGTAGCTGGCAATTCTGGCGTCGTAGTCAGCTCTGGCCTCTCCACTTCCTCTGTTGTTGCTGTGGTTGTTGCGGTTGAGATGATCAGGCTCGCGAACTGGTTCTCCGTCTCCTGGTAGTTGGGCACAACCAGCTCGGTGCCGTCGAAGCCAGCCGCTTTGAGCTCGCGGTCCCATTCTGAGATTGTGGCGATCGGGCCGTTCTGTCTCCACGGCTCGGCACCTGTGCGCAGGAACTGAGGTTAGATCACGCTCTTGCGTAGGGACAGGGCTAGCAGTAGTAGAAGTATTACTTACTTCTCCACCAGCCGGGCAGGTATCCGAAGATTGAAGGACCGATCGTCGACCGCGGGTCGGTGATCTCGATGAGAAGCAGTTTACCGTTGCTGTTCGTCAGAAGTTAGTACTATTCTCAATTCCCGGCTCTAAGAACTCGACTTACTCCTTCAGCAGCGTCCTGATATTCCGCAGCGACTCGCGCAGGCTCTTCGTCGCATGCAGCACCTATGATCCGTCAGCCAACTCAACCCCTTTCACCACAACCGACACCTGTTATTCAGTAAGTAGTAGTACTCACATTAACCGCCACAACAAGGTCATACCCCCCTTCCTCAAACCCCTGACCCACAGCATCGCGCTCAACATCCAACACCTTGAACTGCATCCTCTCCTCGCCCAACCCAGCCAACACATCACCCACTTGACTTCCCCCCTCCTCGCCAGTCCCAAGTTTAACCTTCTCCAAGAACCCGGGCGACACATCCGTGAAATCGTACCTGCCAAAGCGGCACCATTTCTTGCCCCTCGACTCGCCCACCAGGGTCTTGAGCAGCTCAATGGTGGTGATGCCCGTACCGGCACCGACCTCGAGGATCGTCATCCGTGGGTTCTTGTGCGCGAGCAGGTCGAGGTACCGCGCGAGCGGCGCGAAGAATTGCAGGGACGTGTTGAACACCGCGTAATACTCTGTCAGGATATCGCCATCCCCATCCCCATCAACATCACCGTCATGAGACGAAGAAGACTGCCAGATGGAGTTCAGCTTAGTGGTAGTCAAGATCTCGAGCGGATCGGCCTCCCCGCGCAGGATGGAGGGGACGTGCGACCCGACGAAGACGTGGATGGCCCCCAGCGGCGACATGCGTGCGAGCCGGGAGGAGAGGGAGCGGAAGGCTTTCTCGTGGGTGGTGAGGGCCGTCCAGGAGGTGGGGATCCCCGCGGGCGGGCGGGTCGTGGCGGAGGACAGGATGGATTGCATCCACCGGTACTGGCGCTGGAGGTGCGGGCGGGAAGGCGGGATGCTCTCGAAGGGCACCGAGGCGATTGCGCGGGACATGGAGGTCAGGATGTATAGCTTTAGAGTGCGGAGGAGGTCGGTTGGGTCGGGAGGCAGGGGTGGGTGTGCGTGGACGTACTGGGCGGTTTCGGAGGGTGTGAGGAGGGAGATGTCGGGGGCACGGACCAGGTCGTAGCACAGGCGCCGGGAGAGGCGGGAGGGTGGTTTGGTGTGGTTGGTGGCGGGTTGGTGGGATGCGATCAGGGTGAGCTCGGCGCCGGTGATGAGCAGGACACCGTCGCCGTTGTCGTCGCCGTCGTTGCCGACTACTTGGATGGTGGACTCGCAGAGACGTGTGCTGCGCGCCTGGGTCGAGGCGTGCGCTTGTACCCGACCACCCCGGAAGCCCGAGGCCGGAAGCCACAGCTTAGAGAGGTAGGTAGGCACCCATGTCTCCCTCTTGGTGTTAGCCCCGTTGTCGTCCCGGACGATGGCAGGGAGGCACAGCTGCAGGACCGAGTCGAGATCGCAGGGGTGGATGACGGTGGGAGGCGTGCGAGAGGCAGAGCCGCTAGGAGGAGGATTGCACAGCGCTACCTCTCCAACCGCCTGTCCGCTGCCGTCACGCCGTGCGACCTGGATGCCCTGGAAGAGTGTACCGTACTGGTACCCGTGCTCATCGAGCAGGGCATATAGCTCGTCGGACCGGATCTCGGAAAAACAGGTCCGCCTCGCCAGCTGGATCGTGTCCCTGGCATGATCGATCTGCCGCGGGTTGGAGCCGTCCTCGCCCTCCGCTGCAAACACAGCCTTGATAGAGCCCCGGCAGATCTCGACGAAGCTAGTCCCACTGCGGCAGGCGTAGAGACTGAAGTCGGCCCAGGAGGCGGTCTTGTTGGACGAGTCAACGACCGGCTTCAGCCGGAACTGCACTTCCACCTCGGTGTCGTCCGCGGGAATGACCAGGGACGAGAGCATGGCCGTGTCCCGGATCTCGTAGCCCAGGATCCTCTGGCCGGGCGAGACGATCTGGGTGATGGCCTCCACGGCCATGACCCACATGCCCGCCGCCGGGTAGAGGATGTCGCCGTTGATCTTGTGGTCCTGCACCCAGGGGATCGAGGAGGCCCGGAGCGTGTTGCGCCACCGCGGCTCGAGCGGGTTCCAGTCTGCCGCGGGCGTGCCCAGGAACTCACTGTATGGCTGCGACTGGGACCGCAGGTTCTTGCTCACTCGCGGCTCGTTCCAGTACGTCTGCGTGTGGTCGAAGGGGTACTCCGGGAGAGTCAGCGGTGGCACAACCGGTTGGCCCTTGGCTGCCCCAAGTGAAACAGCCGTGCTGATGTTGTTGGCTTTAACCAGGTCCACTGCAAAGCCGAGACAGTGCAGCTTCCCCACCGCCTCCAGCAGCGTGTCGGTGGCCGGTCGCCCCCTGATTATGGCCGCGGCATACGAGATGTTGACTCTCGGCGAGGCCGCATCCACCGTCTGGCCGATGGGGCCCTGCAGCGCCGAGTGCGGCCCGATCTCCAACAGGTGCGAGACCGAGACGAACTTGCGGTGGCTCATGTCTAGCTTCTTCCTCGTCTTCTTGGCCGAGTTCTGACACAGGCGCGCCAGGGCCGGGGCGAAGCGGACATGCGACACCATGTTCCGGACCCAGTACCGGGCCTGCTGGAGCTCGTGGGGGTCGACATGATCCCCCGTAACGGACGAGATCATGGTCACGTACTGGGCTGGTTGCGCCTCCCCGGGGGCAAGGGTGCCGATCATCTGCTCGTATGCCGGCGCGATCGCCTCCATGTGCGGGCTGTGGTATGCGACGGGCACCTTGAGCACCCGGGCAAAGACGCCCTCCTGGGTCAGGCGAGCTTGCAGTGCCCGCACGAGGTCCTCGTCTCCGGAGACCGTGACGCTCTCGGGGCTATTGACACAGGCGACCGTGAGGATGCCGTCCCTGCGGACCTCGCCCAGCCGTAGTATCTCCTCCAAGTAGGGCTGGACCGACGACTCGGAAAGGCCAACGGCCACCATGGAGCCGCGCGGCGACGTTCCGGCGCGGGACGACTCGGCAAGCTGGCTGGAGAGCAAGCCGCGCAGGTAGGCCAGCTTCCAGGCCGACTCCCGACTGATGGCGCCGACTGTATATGCCGCGGCGATCTCTCCGCTGGAATGCCCGATGACCGTGACCGGATAGACGCCAAAGTTCCGTAGCAATTCCACCACGGCTACTTGGACGATGGTGCACAGCGGTTGTGCGAGCCGCGGTTCGTCCATGTTGACACGCGGCGACGACTCTCCCTTGCTGCTCAGCAGCGCGTCCGACGCCTTCCAGTCACAGCCGAGCGTGCGCAGGAATTGGTCCGCGTCCAGCACGCTGTCCCGGAAGACCGGGTAGGCGAACAGCTCACGCGCCATGCCCAGCCACTGCGCCCCCTGTCCGGTGAAGACAAAGCCCGTCTTCGGGTCGGCCAGCGCCTGGACGGCGTCTCGGGGGTGCTGCTGAAGAACTTCGACAAGCTGGGACACCGAGCCGGCCACAGCGAAGGACCGCCACGGAAGGAGGCTGCGCCTCTCCGACAGGGTATAAGCCATGGCTTCAAGCTTGTCGTCGGTCATCTCGCCGGCCTCGAGATGTGTCCGGCACCCTTCCACCATCCGGGCTACGGCGTCTGGCTCATTGGCCGACCAGGTGAAGACCATCGGCGTGGTACGGCCTTTTATCCCGGCAGGCCGGGCCGTTTCGCGGAGCAAGCCCAAAGAGTCAAACTCTAGAGCCGCGGGGACGCTGGTGCGGTGCTTCCCCGGCATGCCGCGGCTCTGGAGGTAGTGGAACGCATCGTCCAGGATGGCATGGGCATTAGTGCCGCCGAAACCGAACGAGTTGATGGAGGCCCGGCGCAGGCCCGGCTTGGGCCACGGCGCGGCCGCCGTGGGGAACTGCAGCTTGAGGAACTCGGCGTCGATGTCGACGTTGAGCTGCCCCAGCTGCGCGATGGGCGGGATCAGCCCCCGCTCGAGCACCAGCACGGTCTTGATCACGCCGGCGATGCCCGCGGCGCCTTCCAGATGGCCGATGTTGGCCTTCACCGCACCGATCACGACCGGGTCGTCCGCCTCGCGGCCCGGGCTGAAGGCGTTCCCGATGGCCATGGCCTCGAGCGGGTCGCCGGCGGGCGTGCCCGTGCCGTGCGCCTCGAAGAAGCGCGTGCGCGACTTGTCGAGGTGCGCCTTGCGGTACGTCTCGTCTATGAGCCGCCACTGCAGCTCCTTGCTCGGCAGGGCCAGGTTGGTGCGCCCGTTCTGGTTCGTCCCCGTGGCCCGGATGACGGCTCGGATCGTGTCGCCGTCGCGGACCGCCGCGTCGACCGGCTTGACGATCAGCACGCCGAAGCCTTCGCCCCGCCCGTAGCCGTTTGCGCGGCTGTCGAAGCTGTGGCATACCCCGTCTGGCGAGAGGAAGCCCAGGCTGGATAGGGAGATGAAGAGGTCGGGGGTCAGGAGGAGGTTGCATCCAGCGACGATTCCCTGTGTTTTTTCATATTATTAGCATCTCAAGTTGTTACTGGACCGCACCTGCTCAGTCCTAGTACTACTAAGTACATACCATGGATGACTCTCCTGTCCTGATGGATCGGCAGGCCATGTCCAGGGCGACCAGGCTGCTGGAACACGCCGTGTCGATGGTGACGCTGGGGCCGTGCAGGTTGAAGAAGGCGCTGATGCGGTTCGACAGCATGCTCTGGGCCATCCCCGTGGCAGAGTACCGCGGTGCGTTCTCCGGGTCTTTGGACGTGGCCAGCGTGTAGTCCGCCGTGAAGCAGCCCGTGTACACTGACGTGTCACTGCCGCTGATGCTGCTCAGGGGTATTCCCGCTGCCGGAAGTGTGCCATACTATGTCAGCAAAGCGTGTTCCCAATGATTATTCCAGGGTTTTGTCATAGTAGTACCATTCTCAAGTGCTCTGTACGCAGTCTCGAGCAAGATGCGTAGCTGCGGATCTGTCCCGACCGCTTCATCCTCCGTCATGCCGAAGAAGCGGGCATCGAAGGCGCTGATGTCCCGCTGGACAAAGCTGGCCCTTTGCGGGCGGATCTGGCAAGGAATCAGTCACCGCAGGGTCCCACCAGAGGAACTAGTACATCCGGTGCGTTCTTCTGCTCACCTTCTCCTGGAATCGCGAGTAGTGGAACCTGTCCGGTGGAAAGGGGGTTGCGGCGCATTGGCCCTGGGTGAGGAGGTCCCAGAACGCATCTTCCGAATTGGCCCCGGGGAATTCGAATGAGAAGCCGATAATGGCAATGTCCTGCGACGTGTCACGGCCGGCGGGAGCGAGTCGGGGAGACGGAGATGAGTAGAGGGATGGGCTGGAGTCGCCCCGGTACTCGAATGGTGTGAAGGGACTCCCCGAGTCCGAGGAACTGCTAGTGGTAGAGTAGGGTGCCATGGTATGATGATACTACCAGTACCTAGTAGTGGTCCGGCTACTTCCCTGGGCACACACAGTTAAGAGAACGAGTTGTAAGAGCTAAAAGCTGTGTAACTGTGAGTGAACCAAGCCCACAGGTCACGGCAAGACAAACAAGAAGGAGGCAGCGTCCGTCATGATGTATATGCTTGGATGGGGAACCTCCCATGGTGTCTATAGTGGTGCCTGCCCTCGGAGTGATTCGCAGCCAGAGTAGTGCCATACCCGGGCGGGTAGCTCGCTTCGGAGTAGGTAGGGCGATGGCACGGGGTGCAGGCGTGCCCCCTGTTGTGATCGGGGGGTAATGCGGCGTATGCCCATGGAGAACTGGAGATCCGAAAGGACCTCATCCGAACTCCCGAACTAAGCGATCGGAGCCGCGCCGCACCCAGGGATGCTACTGCACTTGTACTTGTACATGTACAGATACATCATACATACCAAAACAGTGGGTGTCCGTATTTGTGGCACAGCACGGAGTTGAGTGACGGGATAATTAACCATCTTGAAACCCGCCGACACTAAAGCGGCTATGGCCCTGGGACCTGCGCCACACACTAGTAACGCCGATCACACCAGTGCCGATAAGGAGCCGCCTTGCATTCTAGGCTTCCGCCAATACTGTGTGTAGCCCCCAATGTCGCTCACGATTTGCATGTGCAAGCGGCGTCCATGAAGCTTCAAGGCCATTGAGTTTGAGATGGGGAAGCAATCTAATTGAAGACTCGAACTCGACTTCCTGGGGAACCTTTGTTGGGTAGTCGGACTCGGGCAAACTCAGCTGCGTTGAGAGCTTAGACACACACCATCCGACGAGACGAATCTCACATCAAAACAATTGAAACGATGCGCTTCCTCTGCCTTCACGGTCTGGGGACCAACTCCCAGGTGAGGGATTATGCCCGTAGCAGATTGATCTCACGATTACTGACCCGGACATGCTCAGATTTTTGAGACCCAGACTGGTATGTCCCATCTTATTAGCCGACCTACACAAAATCTCACCTCTGGGTGAGTACGAACTACAGTAGTAAGTACTAGTGGTACTAATACAAGAGACACCAAAAAAAGCCGCCCTCCGCTACGAGCTAGGCGACTCCCACACGTACGAGTTCGTCGAGGGCACGCTCCCAACGTCCATGGCGCCCGAGTTCGCCAACGTGGCCTCACCGACCGACGACTTCTTCGCCTACGCCGACTTCGACGACCTCGCCAGCTGCCTGGCCGCGCTGGACCAGCTCGACGCCTACATCGCGGCCGAGGGCCCCTTCGACGGCCTGCTCGCCTTCTCGCAGGGCGCCACCATCGCCGCCACCTACCTTGCCCACGCCCACCGGACGGGGAAGGAGCTGCCGTTCAAGTGCGCCGTGTTTTTCAGTGCCGGCGGCGTGTTCGACGTTGACTTGCTGGCTGCGGGGGAGGTGAAGCTGTTGACGCCGGAGGAGGTCGGCGAGGTGATTACCATCCCGACCGCACACATTTGGGGTTTGCAGGATAATACCCCCGTGCAATCGGCTGCGGTTGGGGCTGTATGTGCGGGTGAGAAGAGGCAGGTGTTTCTGCACGAGGGGGGCCATGAGATTCCGGGCGTGCGGAGTCCGGCGGATGTCAAGGGCAGTGTAAGGGCTATGCGGAGGGTTATTTCGATGGCTGCTTGAGGGATGCATTTGTGTATACTTGAGCTTCAGTCACCCTCTACAAGTTGCAAGTCCGCTTTGCCAGGCTGAGTTGAATTGTATGTCAAGTGTTCGTGGCTACTACTACTCTCGTATATCTTACATCCATGCCGCCAATTCCACCTGCGGCAAAGTAAAGTTGGCTGCAAAAAAAGGATATGGAGCTAAGATCAGCATAATTCCCGTTCTGTATTAATCACATTTACACACGACATCGGCGTTTAAGAAGGTAGTAGTAGTGAAAGGACGAGGTGAATGAATGTTAGCGGGAATCCGTGGGATCTTAGGGGTACTGAGCCGCATGGCAACACTGTCTGTCTACAACTTGAACTCTAATACGCCATCATCTATTCAGATGCTAAATCTTGTGGATTGCTGTTCAAGGAACTCTAACCTGATTCCGCTGCCACATCAGCAGCGCGGTGATAACACCAGCGACCGCAAATCCCAGCACAATGTGCATCTGCAGGTTGAAGCTCTCCACAAAGCGGCCCCGAACTAACCTCTCAAGCTCTGCGGTGGGTAGCATCCTGATGGCATCGCTAGACCTGAAAATGGCCTGGATCTGCTCAGGACTCAGGGTGCCCGACAGTTCGTTCCTCAACCACGTGTTTCCAACTGCGGTAACAATCGACACCACGGTTGCACTCCCGAGGAACCGAAGTTGCACAGGGGCTGCGGCCCCGACGGCTGTTTGGGAAGTCAGTTTCAGTAGTACTAACTTGGACTTGGCCTCAAAGAGACAAGAGGTAAAAACTTACCAAGGTCCCTCTTCTCCACCACAAACGGCACCATCAACGTGACGGCGCCCAGGCATAGCCCAAAGCCCATCCCGACCACCACCTCGAGCCCGTACAAGCCAGGCCAGTCCGGATCTGCCGGGTCGCCGCGGGCAAGGAAGACAAGGCCGATGATCTGCATGACCGAGCCGGCTATGGCCAGGAAGATGGGAGGCACGCGCCGCCCCTTAGCCAGCGCCGCGCAGACGACGGTGCCCAGGGGCCCGCACACGGAGAAGGGGATTAGCCGGACGCCGGCCTGCAGGGGATCTAGCCCGGCCGAGGTCTGGTAGCGGAGCGGGAGCTGGAAGATGCAGGTGATGCTGACTGCGCCGGTCATGAAGGATGTTCTGATTTGTTTTGTTAGCTGTGCAGCTCGGGAGCCAAGAAACACAACAAAAGAGAAGCAGGGGGGTAAAAATAGGAGAGAGATAAAGCGGAAGACTGACAGCAACAGACCCACCACAGGCCTCGACGTACAAAACCGCCAAGGAAACACCGGTTCCACGGCGCCCTCGTTTCTTCCCTGGCGCCACGAGTTGGCCAAGAAGGCGACCCAGAGGAGCGCGGAAGCCACCAGCGGGCCCAGCACCGTGGCCCCAGTCCAGTAGAGATGCGAGGCAGCCTCCTCCAGGCCTGTGATCAGCAACGCCATCGCCGCCAGCATCAGGAAGCCGCCCGGGAAGTCGATGGCCCGCAGCTTGAGACCGAGGCTACGGCTCCGATGCCGGTGAGACATTGTCGCTTGTCCTTGATACGGGAAGTCCGAAGGGGTGGCGAGGAAGAGGATCACCGCTGCGACCACGGCGAAGGGAACGCTGTGGCCGGTGTTGATTAGCATCATGCCATTCCTATTCTTCCCCTTCCTTAGAGTTGAGGGAGAGAGCCTTGGCTCTGAAGCTTTTGGCATACTTACTTGAGCAGAAACACCCATCTCCACGACGCGCGATCTGTGATGGCACCGCCCAGCACAGGGCCCAGAGAAAAGGCCAGCGCGACAACGACCGTCACGGCGGCCGTGTACAGGGGGTACCGGTTTGCGGGGACGAGCTCGTAGAGCATCACCATGGCGACGGCGTAGATGCCCGATCCCCCGATGCCCTGGAAGGCTCGACAGACGGCGCTGCAAGCTCTGTCAGCAAACAAAAGGGAGACTCCCAACGTAGTCAGGGGTACTAGTAGTAAGTAACGATAATACGCACAGCTGCACCACACTCTGCGCGGCGCCACATCCGCCCGAGAAAGCGGCAAAGATGAGCAGCGCCGCGATACAGGTCTGTTTGCGCCCGAACAGGTCGCTCAGCTTGGCCCAGATCACCACGCCGGCGACATAGGTGATCAGATAGGCGGTGATGACCCAGCTGCTGCGCTTGAACTCCTGCAGCTCGTTGGTGATGGACACCAGGGCCGTGCTGACGATGGTGATCTCGAAGTTGACCAGGAACAGGCCGAGGTTGAGGCTGCTTGGGTGTTAGACTCGCTCTGCGATACCAGGTACGGACGGTCTGGGCTCGGTGGTTAGATCTTAACGTACCCCAGCGCGATGGTGTGCAGTCGCCATCCGGACAAATAGTTGAAGCAGAGGGCGCTTTCATCGTTGCCAGTGTCGATTTGGATTATCCCGACTTCTTGATCTTGTTTCTCGACGGTCCACGCCGTCTTCGAGCCTCCGTCGCCAGTGTCGGCCTCCATGCTTACTACTGCTTGCTGACTTTGGAATGGGTTCGAGTTGCCAAGTCCTGTCCGAGTCACTGAGTCTGGGCTTTGGATACGATAAGGTAAGGTAAGTAGTAAGGTACACTACTGGAAAGTTGGGCCCATCGCAAGGGTCGGGACTCGGGAGGAACAGACAGGCCAGGGGGAGCTTCGCGGCAGACGGGGCTCAGCGGACCCGCCTCTCCGTCGGCGGCAAATCCTGCCGAACAAGCGAGACCGGAGACTCGTGGAGGTCCGCGATACAACAGAGCGCGGTACGAGACACCCTCGGGTCCTTATCGTAAGAGCTGCCTAATGTAACCGCGGGAATAATAAAGCATGACGTGGTGGGTGGTATGTAACACCGGAACGGTGCTCGACATAGGTACTGTGCGGAATGTTGCCAAGTTTAATTCTCACCAACACCACTGAAAAGGCTACACTTCCTAAAAGAACATCCAATTAATATCACCGTGGAACGTGCTTGCTGCAATCGTCTGGCTGAGTTGCGCGGAAAAGTTGGTTGTAATTTAGGGCCCCTGTGCCGTTGGCCGGCACTCTGCAATGCCCGTCTCCCTTGCTGGGCCGCCAATAGTGCCGTGTAACGCGACGCACGGCGCTTGTCAACTGCCGATCCAGGTACACACGCCGGCGCCTACCCCTCTCCTGGGCCGTAGGGCTGCATATCTTGCCGTCGATCCCAGACAGACTGGGGGGGACAATGGCACGATTGGGTTTCCTGGGCGAAAATCGAGCGGGAAAGAGACGATGGGTCTCTGTGTGTGGGCGCTATGGGGGCCATGCTGTGCCGCATCGCGTCCAGGACCTCCAAGCTCGCATCGGCCAAACAGTAACTCCGCAAGGTAACCCTCCCCCGGAGGGAGATGAAACGTAGAGCGGGAGGAGAGAATAAGGAGATCGGACTATTTCCAGCTTCAACACGCGGGGTGATGTGGCGCAGTCAGTGCCGGTCCAAAGGGGCCGACAATTATTACTGTCAGATGTCGGAACTGTTTGTTCAATTGTTGTTCATCGGCTCCGGAGGTAAGGATGTCCCTGATAGTGGCGCAGGCGGCAGAATGCGGGATCCAAGGCAGCCCGCGCCATACCAGTCCGTTGCGTGGCATCGGATGTCGGGCGTTTCGTGAGTTTGACGCTGCCTGATGGTATCGGGTCATACCAATGTCCGCGGTTCGAGTGCAAGTCGAGACTCAGATGGGTGTTTGTACAACAAGGACTGGCCGAGCTTGCAAATGCAATCCACATTCCACAGAGACGGGCAGTTGATACATCCAGAGAACTGCTAGATGGTATGTCCATACGTTCAGAGACAGGACCCAGCATGCCGAGAAGAAAGTGCAAACCATGATTCCCATTCGCCCCCCGCCCCCCCAAACAAACCCTGGCCCCGTGAACACCCACTCGCCCCTGATAGACTCCAGACCCGTGAACCCTGGCTTGATGCAAAACATAAAAAAAGTGAAAGAAACCAAAGGCGAAAATGACAGGCCCACGGTGTTTACAGTTCCCGACTGTCCTTACACCAACACAACCGTAGCATACAATACAATGAAACCACATCCACAAAAAGACCAACAAGCCCGCAATACCCTTACACAATATCTACCCTAGTAGTCCGCCCAATCGCCCCGTCAGGGATCGTAAAAACCTGATGTTGTGGAGGAACACCAGTATCATAGCCGCCGTATCCGGCGCCGTACTGATGCCCCCAGTACATCGGCGGCGGGGGCTGGACCAGCTCCCTCGTGGAAGCACTGTCGTTCGCCGTGGCCGGGTAGTGGTACACCATGGGCGGCGGGTAGAACGCCGCCTTGGCTTCGTGCCCGTGGCTCGGGTCTTGGCTGGTGAGATCGTGTCCGCGATCCGTCGAGTCGTTGGACGAGCTACCGAGCCTGGCGCGGCCCCAGGAGGAGGAGGAGCCGCTCCCGCTCCCGCTCCCGCTGCGGAGGAAGCGCACCGACGAGCCGTAGCGGTCGCGGATGGTGGACACCAGCTTGCCCAGAAGGTCGCGCAGCGGCTTGTACGTGGGCAGGCAGGCGCACAGGATGCTGATGGCCGCGTGCACGTTGAGGAAGATCTCGGCTCGGCCGAAGTTGACGTAGAATCCGTTGGGCTGGTATTGGTATGCTACGCGGAGAATGTTTGTGATGACGGCACTGCGAATGGACGCGGTCAGTCCCACCTGATTCCTAGTTTTCTGCACAAAAAAAGGGTGATTACGGGGGGGACTTGAACTTACAGACCACCCAGTAGGAAAATGCCCGACACCATCGCCTTGGTGCGGGTCGGCAGCTGCAGGGACGTGACAGCCCGGACCGGCAGGACCAGGATGATGACGTCGATGAGGATGTCGACGATGCCGACGCCCAAGGAGAAGGTGTTGAAGTTGATGCACCGGCCAGGCTTGAGGCGGTTCCAGAAGGAGTCGACCGGGATGCAGGTGACGAGGTTGATCACCGTGGCGGCGATGAACCACATGGTGGAGATGACGATCAGAATGAAGCACAGCTTCCGGAACGGCTGCGTCGAGAACAGGCGGCGGTACAACAGGCACACCGAGATCTTGGCCAAGTAGATGGTCAGGGTCACCACTGTGTTGCCGATGAAGAGGGACTTGAAAGAAGAAAGATGAGTTAGAGAGGGTGGTCAGGCAAGAAGTGAGAGCGGATGTTGCAGTTGCTTACCTTAAGGTAGTTCTGGATCCTGAGAAGCTTGTCAAGCGACGGCGCAGACATGAGGTCTTCCGTCATCTCGCCAATCTCCATGCCCCGGTTGCCAGCAAATAAGCCTGGGACAGCAGCGTTAGCTCATGGTGATGGCTTTAAACGGAGATACTGCTAGTCAGTACTACCAGTAGTAGTAGTCACTTACCCCAGTAGATTGCTGACTCGGCACCCAGGTAGGTTACCGTGGTGGCCACGATCGCCCAGTCGTCGGCGTGGAAAGACTGAAAGCCGCTCTTCATGGTGACTGCCTTGCACCACATGCGGAGGGCCGTGGCGATGACGGCAATGGCTGGGAAGACAACGATGACGGCCAGGAAGTTGTCGCCATCGGCGTTCAGACCGGCGACCATGGTGGCTGGAGTGGCTGTGTCACTGTGTGGTGGTGACGTGACAAGGACAACAAGGAGAAAAGTGAGAGCACTGCTGCTAAGGGGGCTAATTAGGACAGTAAAAGAAAGGGAAAGGCAGTTATACTTTACTTTGGGGGTCAGGCTCAGCCGGGAGCTCCCGCCGCACGAGGAATCCTACACGAATTGTATGCCCGGATGCTGAGCTCACCATCTACTACTACCTACCTGCCTACCTATCATCCCACCATGATGCTGAACGTGCCGACCCCGTTCCGTCGCCATCGACTGCCTATCACTAGCGCGTTCTTGCTCGGCGCCTTTGCTTCCACACCTCCATCATCAATGTGATACAACCGAGCCACCACCGCCTCAAGCGTACGGATATCCGTCCGAGGCACAACCTGGGTGAACCTCGGGTCCGTCGCTACAAGCAGTATCCCCCCGACGAACCTTGGCAAAGCAAGCGGGGCGGGATTGAAAGTGTATGTATGCTACGTAAGGTATGTACATGTACAAGTACAGGTACACCCACGGCCACGGGCTTGGGCAACCGGAGCACTGCGGAGCCACTGCGGAGGTGGGCGTATGAAAGCGGCAGCGCGGGTCCTGAAGCTTGATTGTCGAGACTGCGCCGTGTAAGTGGTAGTGCTGAAGCTCCAGTCAATGTTGCAATTCCGAATCAATCCTCCGTGCCAGTTTGCCTCCAACGTCCCCACGTGGCGCAGTTGAAACATGTAAGGTTACTGAGCGTGGTATTTTGCTTCGCACCCCGCGCAACCGCGCAATGTCTACGCCACACAGCTGCATGCAATTAATTTGCCCAAGCGGCGGGTAAACTGTCGAATCATGAGCCCTGTCCTTGCTTATGCGCCGTTAATGATCCGTTAGCGCGAATAGCGAGTCCGCGTAGGGAGATACCGCGACGGTCGGGGTACACATGTCGGCACTCAGCATCATCATGTGCTGATGCTCGACGAGGGAGCTGTTGGTAATCTGGTGAGCTGGGTGAGAACCCTTGTCACCACTCAATCAATTTGACCGCCCGCCAAATCACCGACAAACACGCAGGCGACAGCAGATTTCCTGCTTGTCTTACTTTTACGCTCTCCCTTCACGTTTGTCGCGTCTCCACCGACAATTGGCGCCCGGAGCTATCTATGCAATAATCCCACGAACTCTAGTGTCGTCGTTGTCGACATTCGCTTCCGCAATGCCGGTACCCAAGACCGTTGTGATTGTAAGTGGATACTCCCAAAATCCCATTCCCGACAACAACTCCACAACAACTTCCCAATCCTGACTTGGAAATCCCAATCCATCCAGGTGGGCGGCTCCCTCGCGGGCCTGCTGCACGGGCTCTACCTCAAGCGGCACGGCAGCCATGTCGTCATCCTCGAGCAGGACCCGGGCGCCGTGCGCAGCAGCCACAATGCCGGCATCGCATTCGGCCCGGCCGTCGAGGAGATCCTGCGCAAGTACGACGCGACGGGCGTGCAGAGCTGCACGCCCTCGGTGGCCACGCGCTTCGCCCTGCGCAAGCGCCAGCACTTCAAGGAGCTCAGCATCATCCGCAACCTCACCAGCTGGGGCCTGCTGTACCGCCTCCTGCGCGCCAACTTCGACGGCCTGGCGTCGGACGCGGTGCCCGACCCTCCCCCGGCCAGGGAGGGCGACGGCAGGGCCGAGTACCGCGCCGGCCAGCGCGTGACGAAGTTGCAGCGGCATGAAAACGGCGCCGCCGTCACGGTGGGCTTCGTCGGGCAGGACGGGGTCGAGGGCTCGCTCACGGCCGACCTGGTCATCGGCGCCGACGGACAGCACTCGACGGTGCGCAGCCTGGTGCAGGCGCGCGCGGTCAAGGAATACTCGGGCTACGTCGCGTGGCGCGGGACGGTCGCCGAACGCGACCTGCCGCCCGACGTGGCCGAGTACTTTGCCAGCCGCACCTGCATCAACCTGCTCAAGGGCACCTACATCGTCAGCTACGCCGTCCCGCCCGACACGGGCACCTTCGCCCCGGGAAGCCGGCTGATCAACTGGGTGTGGTACTACAACCTCCCCTTGGGATCCCCCGCCCTCACCGAAGTCCTGACCGACTCGGCGGGCAAGACGCACGGGAATACCGTCCCGTCGGGCCTCGCGCGCCCAGAGATCTTCCGGAAACACCTGGCCACCACGCTCCCCGCCATGGCGGCGCCCTTCGCCGCGCTGCTCTCCCACCCGGGCCAGACGCCGTTCGTGACCAAGGTCAACGACGCGCTGACCGAGACGGCCGTGTTCTGGGACGGCAAGGTGGTGCTGGTGGGCGACGCGCTGGCCGCGTCCCGGCCGCACTTTGCCGTTGCCACCGAGCAGGCCGCCCAGCATTGCCTGGGCTTGGCAAAGGTGTGGGGTGGTGAGCAAACGCTGCAGCAGTGGGCGAGGGACGTGACGGGTTACGGGAAGAGGATCTGGCTGCTCAGTCGCGTGTTGGGGGCTTTTGGGCTACGCGGGTGGAGAGAGTTCGTGAAGGTGCTGTGTGTGTATGTGGCGTTCTTGGTGAGGTTGAGGCTGGGTAGGGGGCCGAGGGGTTGGTAAATTGATGAGCTTGGTTTTGATTTGGTTCGGTCATGGACATACGGTACGTCAACGCTGGATATGAAGTCCCGGCCTCTAAAATGTGTTAATTGAGTTTCCGAGCAAGAGAATCTGCCTTACGCGTCCGGATGGGTACCCAAGTGGTACCCTCTAAGCTAAGTGGTAATAATGTTGGTGTCCAGTGTAGCTTCTCTCAGGTCCTAGTCGGTCTCCTCTCCTCTTTCCGATGCCAATGTAACGAACGGGCTGTTTATTAGAATGATACAGACGTGCTCCCCGCCTCCCCTGCCTTCACTCCTTTCCGTCAAAGCTCACGAGGTCGAGCCGGTCGATCCAGTCGCTGACGGGGATCCGGGTGGATGCTGCGACGAAGACTTGAGTTGTGTCCGCGCGTGCAGAAAGTTTATCCTCCCCGTCCGGGCCATTGTATGTGTCGACGAAGTGGAGGAACCCCTTGCCAATGCGGTCGGTATACTCCGTTTGAAGCAGCCGCAGCTCCAGGTAGGTCAAGCCTTTCAGGTTGTCCCGGATAAAGCAAAGCATGTCCCTCCACATGTCAAGCGACTCCCTCTCCCTCCTTTCCTTCTCGGGGTCTTGAACAATACCGGACACCTTAAAAGACTCATGCCGCCGCATCCTCGCCCACTCCGCTTCTTCCACCGCTGAGGCACATAGCACAATGCGATCCAACTCCAGGTGTTACAGCGTGTTTGCGCCGCTACGCAGAAACTGCTTCAGTCCCTGTATCCGGCCGAACGTCAAATAGTTTCAGGACGTTCAGCTTGGTGAAGCGGACAGCTTGTGCCATCCCCCCGAAGTGACGGATGGCCTGCGGATAGTGACACTGTGGATCTTGACCGTCGAAGTGCGGCGACTGCGAAAACACGAGCACCTCGAGATTCGGCGCTGCCGAGATGACGATCCGGACCACGTGGTCGTATATGGTGTCGGCCTCTGCCAGGTACGGTTTCGGCGTCCGGATCCAGAGGTGCAACTCGGTCAAGCTGGCCAGGCCCGCGCTGTTGTGGATGGATGCCCATTCCTCGCCGCTAAGTCCTGTTTTGCCGATTAGCAAGCCGCAGCACGCCCCTGCGCAGGTAGTGAGAGTGTCTATTTCTTTCCCTGTCCTTGCGATCGCCATTAAGATTGCCTCGACGCCGCAGTCCTGGAAATGCATAAAAACGTGGCTGTGTTTGGATAAGAGATGGTCGGGTCCTTTGGGAATATGCCTTGCAAGGCCTTCCACCCTCGGCAGTTGACGAGGCGGTCAGTTTGCGTTGTGCCCTTCCTGGCCTCTGTATGATGTTTCAACCCGACTTTCTTGAGATTCGGCAACCTCGCAAAGGCGCTCTCCAAGATACGTCTCAGTGCCGGCGTTTCAATGAGATTTCGGTGGTCCATCATCGCAGCAAGGTATTGGCCGTATCGTCGCCGCGCTTCCAGGGTAACCTGGGGTATACCCTTATCGGTAGACCCGAGCTCCTTGCGCCGCAGATCCTCGGTCACCGTGGGATCAACGTTGTGGCTTGCAAGCTTTTCAAACATAGCCGCCGTGATCCACACCTCGCGCACGAAATTGCAGAGGACAGGGTGGGCCGCCACCGACTCCAAGGCCGATAAACCGTCGCTCGTCACAAGAAGCTCGAGCTCGCCGAAGTAGCGGCTGCCGATGTGTTCCAAAGCCTCGGCATCCAACTTTCCGAAGCTCTGACACAGGGCGAAAAGGTCGTCTGGCTCGAGGTAGGCGTATAGCTTGTCAAGCAGCGCCACTGGCAGACCGCGCGGCAATGACATGGTTGGTGCTTTCACAGCGGTGCTGGTACGTCGAATGGGTAAGCGTGGCTTGGCTGAGCCACGTTGTGGTGGAAACTGTCAAAAAGAATGAGATCCGGTTGTCAAATACCAGAGTCCAAAATGTGGTCTGGGAGAACCTAATGAAGTTGCAGTGGGCGACTGTGGTGCAAGTAAATAGAACGGAAGACAGATGCTCAGTCCCATGGATCCATGATGTTGGGAAGGCTGAAAACATGATGGATGGGTGCGGAAGGTTCGTTGCATCCTTCCACACAATATCCCGTTGTTGTGAGGAAGGTGCGATGTGGTATGTGTGCAGAAAGCTTCGACCTCTGGAAGGCTGACACAAGTCCCGGCGCCTGGCATCACTTCTCAAAGTTCTCCATGCCCAGGTTGCAGTTGTTGCTATTGACACCCGCCCCTAATCCAATAAGTGAGCCGGCTCATCAACCACTGATATCAGTGATTTGTCTTTAGGTGGATTGATTTGCCAGTAGTTGACCGTTCCTACACAGATATACCAGAGGGAACTGCCAGCGATGGGGTATATCCAAGTCCATGTATTGTACAATACAGTGCATACATTACATACGGTAGGGACTCTCTGAAAGATCAAGGTGAGGTACTACTCGGAGTCGCAGTTGGGAAGCCGTTGCTGGAATAGGCACATAGGTAGCACCGTGGAAGACTCATACTATTAGTACTAGTACTAGGTAACGGGCGTTAGGTCGAAGCGATTCTCTGTCACCGAGTGGCTTTCCCGTTCGCGTCGCCAAAGCTCCGGGTATCAATGCACAATCAATACGTGACATCCATGGGCCTTGCTTTCAGCCTCTTACCTAAGACTACATCTACATGTTCCTTCGCCTTATCCTCTTGCTAGTGTGAGCGAAGAAGCTTCCGCTCGTGCGTCCGACACCCCTGGTCGAGAGGGGACATGCATGATTTGGATGCCACGACTCTGCAGCTTTCTACTTGCGACATCTTGCCCGGTACGGTTCATAAATCACAACCTTGAAGCCGCAAGCCACGGCGAAGACTTTGAGGCCGGGTCACAGACTCCCTTTGAACGGGATAATGATAACACATCCGTACAATATATTACAAGGGTTGGATTTGCCACTGGCTTTTGGCTTAGGACGAGAGGTTAGGACGAGGCAGGAGGTTGCTATAAATAATCCGCTCTAGGAATGGACAGAGCGGAGTTTCCTGACTCGGTGACCCCGCTTCCAAGAAGACCACGTAGGATTAGCTTGGCTATAAAACCCGCCTCACATCTCATCAGCGCAGCAAGTTGGTCTTTACATAGCGGTGAACATCCCCGTTTTGAACCAAGACAACTAAGAGAGGCATAGACATGGACTCCCTAGACCTGGCTGAGAACCGCCGCCGGATGCTCGCCGGCGAGCTCTACTATGCCTTCACGGCGGATCTCACGGCGGATCGCAACCGCTGCAAGGTGGCCTGCGCCGCCTTCAACACAGCGTGCGCCAACGGAGCCTCTCGGCGGCAATTGGTGGAGCTTTGGAAGAGGTATGTCGCCTCACACCCAACACAACCCACTTATTGAACCAGCTGTCTGGTCTGGACTCTGGCCACGACTCTTACCATACCTGAGCAGCATTCTCGGGGACGAAACCCCCCTTCCACCGCCCCCATCCGACCCAAAAGAGGAAGACACCCTCAGCGACTACCCGTGGGTCGACGGTCCGATCAAACTTGACTACGGCATCAACTGCAAGTACGCTCACTCTCCACCACCCTTTATCACGCGGCTAGTATATCGGTACTACTTTTCTTTTATTAGAAAGAAACTAATCTCCATCCCCAGGTTCGGCAAGCAAGTCTACATAAACAGCAACTGCATCTTCCTCGACACCTGCCAAATCACCATCGGCGCGCGCACCCTGATCGGCCCCAACTGCAGCTTCTACGCGGCCAACCACCCGACCGACCCGTTCGTGCGCAACGGCATCTCCGGGCCCGAGAACGGCAAGCCCATCACCGTCGGCGAGGACTGCTGGTTTGGCGGCAACGCGATCGTCTGCCCGGGCGTCACCATCGGCCGCGGCGTCACCGTCGGCGCGGGCAGCGTCGTGACCAAGGACGTGCCGGATTTCGTTGTCGTCGCGGGTAATCCGGCGAGAATCATCAAGCGCTTGGAGGTGGCTGATAAGGTGAAGGATGCGGGGAGGGAAGGGAAACGGGTGTAAGGGGTGTTGGGCGAGTTCTTTGGGTAGATCTTCTGAAAGTTCACTGTCATCCTCGGTTTGACGGGGGAATTGGTGAGCTGTCATTGGTTGTGGCCCGTGAGCCGGAATGAGCATGGGAGCGTTCGGTTGAGATATCTAGGTGCCATCATAGACACCCCGTGGAACTCCTCAGGGTGGTAGGTAGGTAGAGTTGGGTAGACGCCAAAAAGGTTGGGAAAGTGCAAAAACGATCCACCCAGGGGTCGAACCTGGAACCTCCTGATTCGTAGTCAGACGCTCTGCCATTGAGCCAGCGGACCCGCTTCGTAGTATTGAAGACGTGGCGATTGTCCTCAAATAGGTTTGACATTGAGTACTTTCGCCTGTAGGCAGAGACACCTTGCCATGACATTACTCCCCCAATACGGAACTACTTACGATCGAGTGACACGCCAAGTACAACCTCTGGCCTCCTATCAGATGTATATGATACGCCCAAAGCTCATTAGTTTCGCAGCTGCTTGCTGATGCCATACTTGCTCAGCATTTTGGATGTTCTTACTTGATTCGTCTTGCAAGCCAGGGTCGTTAACAAACTCGTCCTCCTCAATCTACTGAATCCAGCGATCCGCAAAATAGCCCGTCACAAACGCGAAGACGGTCTTGTGCAGTATGTCAACGACCTGCTCCCCAACCGGCCATGTCCTGTTACATACGGTAGGTAGTGAGCACCCATGCCCCTGAAAGTGTTTGACAAGAAAGACAAACGCGCGGTTGCAACTTACCAAGGAGGCGCCCCAACGCCAGTCCAGTTCTCCAGCGTCTGATCGATCATCAGCCTCAGCCCGACAAACATGACATCGGTGAACGGCCCCCGCATCCCGTAGTAGCTTGCAAGGCCCCGGATGACGGCTGCGGCGGCGCCTTGGCCATAGTGCATTGCCATATTGAGACCCCATAGTTCGCGTGGGGTTTGCGGCTTTGCGTTGATCAGTCTCGCGAGGGTCTTGCCCGGCACTTCGGAGTTTGGTCTCCCAGTGAAGAACTGCTCGACTTTCTCTGCGGCGGTCATGCTGAACATAGACATTAGTCTGGTTATAAGGGGAAAAAAGCGAAGCTGGTTTGGTTGGTCGGTTACTCACGCAGCTACGCCCAGCAGCCCGGCGCATGCGCCGTAGGCGATAACGGTGGGCCATCCCAATCTCGGGTGAGGACGAACGGGGTCCGTCGGTCGGCGGGACATTTTGGAAGTGGAACACGGGCCTGATGGAGAGATTCGGCTAAATTGGATGGCGTAGCACTAGATGTTCAGTACGGTGTTTGTTTTGATACGATATGCAGTGTTTAGATTTGAAGTCGGTTTCCCTCGGTGTTGTGGTGACGACGTCATTGTGAGTGATGGGTTAGGGTTACAGTAGAATGCCGTCCATCAAGGTGCTGGTGACCTAGATGTGACGTCATAATGAAGAATCAAAAGGAGCTGGAAACATTGATTCGAAATCTGAAAAGTGTTCCATCTAGTCTAGTACGTATTGCATTGTGAGATCGTCGTATTGCACCTTTGATACTTGACTTAACTCTGTATTCCGTACACGTGTAAGGTACGCGGGCCACGAGTTCGGCAGATAGATTCACCAAAGCCAAACTAAGAACGTTCATGCGGACCCTGAGTGGGTCATTATGCTGGCTAATTCATGTTTATTATTGTTACTCAGGGGTAGAATGTACAGGAAATGACTAATCATCGACTCCAGCACGCATTGCAGGTGATTTTGCAAAGAAGAAAGGAGTATCTTAAGTCCGGGCCCTCTGACGGTTGCCTCCGTGTTTTACCTTCTGGAAGGTCATGCTCAATGTTTGCTTGATGTTTGTGCTCTCATAAGACGATTCATTCACACCACAATATGACAAAAATGTATTGCGTACGCAACACCATCTAGATTTCTGGCAGAATATCAGCTCGAAGTTGAGAGAACCGCTCTCGTGAACCGTTGCTAAGTTCTCATAATCACAGATCGGCTTACGATGAGAGCCATGACTAGGTTGATACCTCGGTAAGCTTCATACGCAGAGAAGAACGTTTACACAAGACCGTTTTGCACCAATGGCCGTGACAGCGAGATAGTGAGCCGGTGATGGGCAACTTTGTGGTAGCGGCTTGTTGGCTGCACAGGGGAGACGATCATCCGAAGAATACAAGCTTATACAAGCTTAGTAATTGCGCTCGAGATAAACTTTCAGTACTAGTACACTACAGTAGCCGGCTCCACAGGGGGGGGAATGGTGTGGATATGACGTTCTATAATATTCGGGATATCGTTCTAGAGATTTCGAGAGATGCTGGGGGCACAGCAGGGGGGGACGTGTATTAAGTTAGTAGAGTACAAAGAGCATCAAGAACTCGTCACCTTTCACCCACTCCTCCGTCAAGCACGCAACTTGACAGGAACATCGGCTTCACCATATACCACTTCGACCTGACCACCACACAACCCACCACCAAAAGCCATGTCTCTCCCAACCACCCAAAAGCAGTGGCTCGTGCAGGGCACCGACAAGGGCCTCGACGGGCTCGTCTACCAGGACGCGCCGGTGCCCCAAGTCGGCGACACCGACGTGCTGGTCAAGCTCCGGGGCGCGTCGGTCAACTACCGCGACCTGATCATCCCGCGCGGGCACTACCCGTTCCCGCTGCGGATGCCGGTCGTGGCGGGCTCGGACGGCGCGGGCGAGGTCGTCGCGGTCGGGTCCAAGGTGACCAAGTGGAAGCCCGGCGACAAGGTGGTGACACTGTTCAATCAGGGCCACCAGGCCGGACCGGTGACTGTGGCAGCCAGTACGACGGGGCTGGGCGGCTGCATCGACGGCACCATGCGGCAGTACGGCGTGTTTGACCAGAACGGTGTCGCGCGCATGCCGAAGAACTTGGACTTTGTCGAGGCCGCGACGCTGAGCTGCGCCGCGCTGACGAGCTGGAATGCGTTGTATGGTCTGAAGAGGCTGCAGAAGGGCGAGACGGTGCTGGTGCAGGGCACGGGAGGTGTTAGTCTGTTCGCGCTGCAGGTATGTTGTGTTGCCTTCTCCCACCCCGGCGCTTTTACCTTTTCGCAGCAGTACACTAATATGTTGCGGTTGCAGTTCGCCAAGGCAGCCGGCGCCACTGTGATCGCGACCACCTCGTCTGCGGAGAAAGCCGAAGTCCTCAAGAAGCTCGGGGCAGACCATGTGATCAACTACCGCGAGGACCCCAACTGGGGCGAGACGGCGCGCAAGCTGACACCCAACGGCGAGGGCGTCGAGCACGTAATTGAGGTGGGCGGTGCCGGGACCATGACGCAGAGTCTGAAGGCTATCAAGTACGAGGGCGTCATCTCCATCATCGGCTTCCTCGGCGGGGCCAACCCCAAGGAGAGCACCCTCGAGGCGCTGAGCCACGTGTGCACGATTCGCGGCGTGTATGTGGGCTCGAAGCAGCAGCTGGAGGAGATGGTGGCCGCCATCGAGCAGCATGACATCCACCCTGTGGTCGACAAGACCGTCTTTACGCTCGACAAGGTGAAGGAGGCGTACGATTACATGGTGAGTTACCTGATAATCTTCTTCCGCCAAGAGTACCTTATGCAGCTGTGCATTTGCTGACCGACCAAAACAGTGGGAGCAGAAGCACTTTGGCAAGATCGGCATCAAGATCGAGTAAGGTGCCTTAGGTAAGCTACGGTTACATGCTATGCCATAAATGTCGGAAACTGGTTTGTATTGGCGTCTGGAGCATATCGTTGCAGATATGTAGGTTACCATTGTCCAGATCTAAATCCAATCCGCGTCCTTTCCCATCATTCAAAACTACTTCTCCTTCAGGTTGAGCATGCCGCCACACCAGCCATAAGCCCTGGCCAGTCTCCGACCGATTCGCCGCGCCATTGTGAATGGGATCTTGCCCACTGGATGCGGTTCATGGAACTGGATGCTGCGTTGCACGTCAAGCTGGGAGGGCTGGAAGTGCCATACGGAACCGTACAGCTTCTCAACACGGAACCCGGTGCTAGTCATGGCGTGCAGAAAGTCATTCCATGAAACCTCCCCCGCCGTCGAAGTCATGGCGGGGTGGAAGAAGAGCGTCCGGAAGACCTTGAGGGCCCGGGAATCCACTACAAAGGTAGGTTTTTGGTCTTGCTGTAGGTTCAGGTTCCTAGCTGCATCCTCCTGTTGTTGCTGTTCATCGGCCGTTTTCGGGTCGGTTGCAGAAGAGGCGTTGGCTTGCGTGCCTCGCTTTTTCACTTTTGTCTTTGGCTGCGCTGCCGCGCTGGGTGTCTTTCCAGCTGGAGGGGATGAGTCAAGTTCGAACCATAGTGTTGAAAGGGGTCGATAGACAGCGTCATCTTGAGGACACAACAAGGTTTCTTCGACTTCGCCTGCTCCGGGGCGGACGGCGGCGGCACCCATTCTGGCGTTCGCTGCAGAGTACGCCGCTGCGACAGAAGCTTCCAAAGCGCTGACATGCTCAAATTCCCGGCCTGGGCATGGAGACATTTGTCGAACTTCTCCCAGAACGCGTCGAGGTGCGCTTCCGCCTCCGAACACTCCTGATTCCAGCCGAGCCTGGCAGCTTCTATCCGACCAAGTTGCGGGAGTGCAGATGCTTGTCGAAGGGCAGCTGAACCACCACGCAAACTATATGCTTCGCCAAATGCTGGCAGGACTGAGACTCGCGGCTCGAGTGCCGGACCCAAGCTTCCTCCTGCATTTTTGGACAATGTGCGACGCGTTTTCGAATATCCCAATCCGCACCAAGGGGAAAGGCCAAGCACTCCCGTGGCTAGGGTGGTTTCTCCGACACCTGAAGCAGATCCTGGCGTCCGAATTTGGCAGGCGGCCTGCCGCAGCGCCTCCACCGTTTCCTTTGTGCGGCGCTTTTCGGTCGGGTAAAAGAATCTTTTGTCTGATGGGTTGGCAAGCTTGCAGTTTATCTAGCATAGCCTTTGATTTCATGGTGCGATAGATCCCTGCCCAGTCTTCCCTCCAGCTTTCGAGGTCCTTCTTGAGGCCGTCTTCCCGATCCACTACTTGCGTTCTCGTACCCGTTCACCCACGGCTGATAGATGTACAACTGCCGGAGGCACTCGCAGAGAATCGAGAGGTCACCAATTCGGCCAGCAACGTAGTCCGAGACCAGTTCCCGTGCCCGCGGTTCGGCACGCAGCAGCCGCTCGAGCTCATCCACGACCAGAGGCATCCGAGCGAAGAGAAGGGCGTGCCCTTCTTCCCATAGCGTCCGTAGGAGTCACAACAGCTCCTTCTCAAACGAGTTTAGCTTCAGGCCTGGCTTGCTAGTGATGTAGATTTTGTTCAGATCTTCTGCAGGCATCCGGACGAAAAACCTGCGCATTGGCGGCGAGGCCACGACTGTCGTCTTGAGATCGTTCAGCCACTCTTTTGCCAGTTGATTAAGGAAGTAGCGCAACCGCAGGATGGCGGCCAAGTACTCCTCTGGGAGGTCTTGGAGTGGCGATGTCCTTGCTTCGTACTTCACTTGAAGCCGTTTCAATCCCTCCACCTGGTGCCACAGTTCAGCAAACACCTCGAGCTCGATATGCGACCTGAGCAAGACATTGCCCACAAAACGCTCCCAGAACACTCCAATGTTGAGCGTCTGAAGGACCGGATGGGGTTTGCCGTTAGTGTCCTTGAGTATCTCGTGGCGATGCTCTTTGCCAGTCACCAGCTGGTCGGAGAAGTCGCCGGGGTCCTCTCGGAGCACCCAAAGATTGTATAAAGATGAGGGTCAAATCAGCAACATCACCGTCTGAGGTCTGCAGAACGGTACTAGTAGTGCCACATACCGATCCTCAGCTGCTGACGTACGTGCCGAAAGCAGAGACTCGATGCGCTCAAAGTCAAGACGGCCCGGCGGTCGGTAAGGAGCCTCCTCGGCCATGATCGCTAGCGATTCGAAACCTCCAACCGGTTCCACGCCCGACCTCAACGTCGGCTCAGGCTGAACCGGGTACTTGTCTGCAAGCAGTTCCTCCGGTGGTATATCGCGCAGCACCTGCTCGCAGCAGTGAACGAGGAACTTCATCAGGCGGTCTTGGACCTCCAAGATGTCGAGGGCCTCACCGGGCATAAACTGCTTCCGCGTCATGAACCACTCGAACGCGTCTTTGTGGTCGTCCCAAGCAATGAGCTTCCCGTACTCCTCAGGGCAGGTCATGCCGTTCAGAGTGACGACGTAGCAGTTGAGGAAGACGGGCATCATGGCTTTCGTGACCCTGCCCAGGTGCATCGCGTCGCCATCTGCAGCGGCGAAATCGCAAGGCTGGTGTCTGCCTCTGGATTTCAGCGTCAGAAGCAGGGTCTTCGGCTTGAGCAAGTCTTTCTGGTTGATGTAGGGCCAGACGAAGTGGTCTCTGCGCTTGGTGCCCGATTCACGCTGGTCCTGCGACTCGATGCGGAAGGCCGCAAAGTCGGGTCGGTGCATAGGGGGCATGTTTGGCCATCCGTCCAGTAGGATTTGGAGCCGCTGGTGCTTCGTCTTCTTGGTCCAGCGTTTGTGGATATTAGGCTCGTGGCGGTCAAGAATGTTCCGGAGGCGGTTATGGCTCGCGAAGATGCTGGTTGATCGCTCCTTGCATAGCTGGCGGACCTTCTCGGGTGCCATCGTTGGAGGCGTTGGAAAGCCGGGAAGAATCCCGGTACTGGTATCCGGGAGAGCATCGACATCCTGAAAGGCCTCGGCCTCCGGCCCGAAAAAATTGAATCTATGGTCATTTCGGGACCGCATGGCTGCTGACCTCTGAGGAGCTACCTAGCAGCTAGAGAGCACGGCAGCTCAGGGAGGGAAGATGAAGCTGAAGCGACGGAGTCTTAAGAGCCCGAATCTCGGAGGTGGAGAACCCGCTTTCAAATATCAACGGTACGGGTGCTCCCAGGGCCATCTTTTGTGCGTGCCTGAGGAACGAACATTTATTATAACGACTCAGAGGATACGACGCCACAAGGCGCCTAAGTACCTGGTTTGAGCCTTAGTACGCAAGAAGGCCTTTTGGGACTGATGACAACTTGAGAGCTCGTCCCGCGGGAGAATAGCCCATATATAGCCTCAGCGCCGGCCATGTTGAGATTGCTGTGAGCCACTAGATTCAGGGCACAAACACAGTGGTAATCGTAAAGGTGACGGAAATTTTGAGTTGTATGGGATGGTTGGTGGCTGTCTGGCTGAAGTTCTGAGAGCCTAGTCGGTGACCACAAATTGCCTGAAAATGTTAGGTGTGCTACTCAGCTATGCACCTTCCTTTAAGGATGGATGTCCCTACTAAAAGGTTGCAAAGAGATCCTAAATCTGCCCTTCAATCACTCAAGTACCACATCTCCATCCCTCGACACCTCTTCCGCCTGGACTTGGCCGAACTGCTTTCCAATGCCCGCAAGGTTGGTCTGACCCTCTTTGGCAACCTTCCCACCCTCCGAGGAGCCAATGGTAGCAGCACATGAGGGCGGGATGGGATAGAGAACTCGACCACCAGGGGTCCTAGAGATGTGAAGTCAAGTCAGCCGCCAAGTCGTCCAATTGAGTGAGCGGCAACGGAGAACTGCCACTGACAGCGCGGGAGGCGGAGTCCAATTGTGAGCCCACATAGTCTTCGGATCTATTGTAGTAGGCATTTTCTGATTCGACCGACTGACAAGCTGATGTCACGAAACGCCGCTCCGGAGGCAACTAATGCAGACAAGGAATGCAGTTGACTGTTGATGTACGGCCACTGGAGCTTATCAAGCTGAAGGAAGTGACAGTAAGAAACAGACCGCTCGAGGATGCCCCGATGCTGTATGCTGTCGGTCTATATAGTCCTCGCCGCACACATATCGGTTCCCATACCTCTTCGTGCCTTTGTATTGCTACGCGTATGTTCTCGCCTGTCCTTTGACCTATGTCTCAACATGTGGGCTACACTGCTCATGACGGGTATGCCAGAACCTCATGGGGGATCCGCGAACCCCATGACAGTTTTGCCGGCACTACAGTTACACCAGTCCTCCACACAACAACCAGGAGTAAAGGATGTCGGGAAGTTGCGGAGTTAGTGTTTGGGAGTGGCGACCGATGCTCTAGGTCGCTTGAATGGATCTTTTGTCCTTCCAATTTCATGCTCACTGCGTTCCCATCCATCTGATCTCACTGGGGCTGGTGGTATCTATTTTCCGATCTGTATTACAGCAACCTCGTTTCCCCAGAGCCCTGAACTGGTATGCACCCATACGCGCACACTTATCTCCTTCAAGCGTCCGATTGGTTACTTGCGGCATCAGGTAAGCAGCCATTGCCATGCAGTGCAACCACACACTCAGACCAACTAGGTTTAGCGAGCACATAGGGGAACACCCATGGGCTCAGCCGCATTTGCAAATACTAACCTGCTTCCAAACATCTACCCAACTACCCCTTCAGTGGTGAACAGGTAGGGGACTTATTCACAACTCAGCGGCATTATCACACGGCGTCATCACACGGCGTTACCACAGCGGTCGACCGGCTTCCAAAGCGAACAACCCGCGGGTCAACCAAACGCGTCGTGCAGCAGAGCCCCAGTTCAGTACACCTGGCTCTATGAACTGCACTACATTCGGCTCTTGTGCTCGCAGCCAGACCGCGAGAGGATCAAAGATCTGGCGAGGCTGCCCGAGCTTAGCAGTCGGCATATACTGCTAAACATCCTACAAAAATGTCGCACCCGTGCGTATTGGCTTCAAGCACTATTCAGCTCCACGGTCGTGAACCCATTCACTGGCATTGGGCAGTACAGGGAGCGCAAAGGTCGTTACGTTACTGACAAGCTTGACGTAACAAGTCGTATAGATGGCGAACAATTCTCCGTGCCCGCCAAAGCTGAGCCTCCATCAGACACATGTTCGAAGGGCGCATGGCTATCATGGATTCTGGATGACCCGTGGAGGCCAATCCTTCCGGCACGGGGTCCAACATCCGAGGCTGAACTTGCAACCCCTGTATTGAACCCAATGTCATCGACGGCGGCACTGACCGGCTCTACACTGACCGGCTATAGCGAGGAGTTTGAGGAGCTCGGGGAGAAGGGCGAGTTCGCAATGAGTCGCAAAAGCGATCAGGAGTCGTTCCCGGCAGACTTCTCCGTACAGTCCTCACTAGACTCCTCGTGCTCCCTCATCGGTACCGGTAGCGCATATTCGTCGTACTATAGAGCTGCCTCTATAGACATTCCCCTACCTACAACCGCATTTTATGATGCGTACAGTTTGGAAAAGGCCAAACCCGCGCGCCTGAGCTCCTTATCCGATGTTAAGGATGGCGAGCATGAAGCTGTGACCGTGGAAGACGAGACCGAGTCCAGGTCCCCAACTCCGTGGCCGGAGAGTTGGTATGAGGGCGGCAAAGAGCTTGGCCTTTCTCACTTTGTCGGGCAAGTCTTGACAGAACGCCTCGACCGAGCGCCTGACATCCGCAGTGGGGCCAATACTCCGCCGCCTGCGTCGGCTATCCTTGTAGCTGCGAGCGGTCCGCATGTGCAGAACACTGCGCAAGATGCAATGTCACATCCGCCGCACGCAACCGCATCATCAACCACCAGCCAGACACTGCTGCCCGATTGTACATCTTCCAACTTCCAGAGGAAAAGGCCAAGGAATGGCGGTGGCGGCGGCGGGGATGACGAAGATGACGACGGCCGCCCTCCGAAGCGACCAGTGGTCACGAAAACACCAGGCAGCGAGAGCACCCGAGGGCCGTTGTACGCCTGCCCTTATCAAAAGCGATATCCAAGGGACAGCCCACTGTGTGGCATGCCTCATGGGTCTAGGCGTGAGTTCGGCTGGGAGACGGTTTCGCGAGTAAAGTAAGTGGCACCATTTTGTGCTCATTCATCTCCCGCTCATTAACCCGGCTTGTTGATTGACCTGGACTGACCCCTTTAGACAACACCTCCTGGAAAGCCATGGGAGGGACTACCACTGCTCCAACTGCTGGAGAGCCCATAAGAAGGTGGAGGCTGCCAAGAGCTGCCCCCAAACGAAAGGCTGTGTGAAGCGGCAGAGTCCACCGAAGCTCTGGCTCACGGACGCCGAAGTGTCACAACTTCGGGCCGCAAGGTTTGACAGCAAAAGTGATGATGCGTGGTACTGTATCTTCGGGCTGCTGTTCCCAGACGAAGAGGAACATGGGTCACAAGGCTATCGCGCAAAGTACACGCCATGTGAGGCAATAATAGTACCGAAGAGAACTGTGTGGGATAGGTCACTGACGGTTATTTTCGTAGACTATACCGTTGCCATACCCATCCCGCTAGCATACCCTTCCAACGGCATGACCGACAACAGGAGCCTCAACAGCATGTGGACCCCTTCCACTGGTACTAGTAGTGGAGGTAACCCCACAAGCTCCCTTGGGTTAACCCCTTCGGACAGCAACAGAAGCGCGGAGTCTTCTAAAGAAGGGGCAGATGGAGAGCCGATACACAATGCATCTGAGATTCAGGATGCATATACGCCTTGCGCGCCAAACGATGGCCTCCAAGCTGCAAGCACCATCACATCCTGCGAAAGCGCGAGACAAGGCTCCATCGCTTCGCAGTTCCATACTATACCGGACCTGTCTATCGGCGATTTCCCAAGCGATGCCACCCGACCCCTTGGACCCGACAGCGAAGGGTTAAATCCAATCTTTCTGCTCAATGATTCAAATCCGGCAAACCTTCATTCTCAGCCATCAGTTACAGCGCAAGAGACGCCCTCAACAACCACAAACGAGCCCCTTAGACCCTCGTCGTGCACGTGTACCTTTGCCCCTAGATGCATCTGCAGACTGAAAACGCGGACCATACATCTCCGACGGGAGAATGAGGAACTTCGGACAGAGATAGAGACGTTGAGGAAGGCTCTAGAAGGTGTAAGGCGGACGCTCGAACAACATGACGAATATGTTCAAGATGTTGAGGACACAAATTTGCTTCCGGGCGAAGTGATGGCTCGGCTCTGGGGATACCAGGATAAGATGAGAACTTTTTGTCGTACCAATGGTAATGCAGGAAAGTGCGATATCTTGTCGTACCAATGGTAATGCAGGGTAGATATCGCACTTTCAAAGACCTGTGCAGAGCAGTAGCAAACAAATATAATCACAGTGGGCGGGATAGGAGGTCGATGTGGTCGACGTCTTGAAGGTTTTGCTAGTAGTTATACATTCACAGCGCTCGCTTGTGAAGAGTTGTACCAGACGTCCTAGTCTCCAGCAAACCAAGGATACTGCAACGCCTCCCGCGCCGTGATCCTCCGCGAGGGATCCATGCAGGTCATCTTGCAGACCAAGTCCCTAAACTGAGCGTCCACGTGCTGTCACCTCCCAAAGGGCAGCCTCGGCTGCTCCTCGTTGAAGGTACAGAGTAGTTCCTTGAGATGCTTGACAAATGGATTGTCGTCTCCCCCGTGATAAGCAATAAAGCCTTCGAAGTCCTCCATGTCACTCGCGAAGAAGGAAAGGTGCTGTCGGAGTATCAGGTCCGCCTGCTCCTGAGGCGGAGCACGGTTCGCCTCGTCAGAAAAGAACACCATTCTCCCTGTCCACGCGAATATTGCCTGGGTGCCTGCTAGTCAACAAGTGTGTACTGTGTTTTCTGCTCGCAGATGGACCCACCACAATGGCAAAAGAGTAGATGTCTGATGGGGTGTTCTGGATTCCCCGAGCCCAAGCCTCCGGGCTTCTCCAGAAGTGGTTTCCCGATAAGCGGTCTGTGAGACCCTTCGCCTTGGGCGGAAGTATCACCGCAGCTTCTACGTCGGTGATCTGGACGTTACACCATCCAAAATCGCCATTTTCCTGTTTCAAGGAATTCATCATGATGTTTGTGGGTTTGATATCTATGAACCATGTCAGCAGACGTTTCATAATTCCGTTAGCGGTAAAGAGGGACTAGCCGGTGTGGATAATGTGCTTGTCGTGTAGATCAGCGAGGTCAGAAAGGGCATCCCTTATGATGCCCTTTTTGGCGGTAGAAGAAAGAGCCGCGGCATCGATATGGAGCAGTCCCTTCTCGAGATAGGGGAAGACGAGCACATGCCGCTCAGGAATACTATCCACTGCTATCCGGACGTGGGGAGAGTGCTCGACGTGCTTCTGTAGCGAGAGAATGTAACCGAAGTCGCCTGGAATGATGTCTTTGAGAATGAACTGCTTCCCCTCGTGTCTGAACTTCGGAGGCACTCGTAGTTAGGATTTTCTGTTCCCGTTCCTCTAGCCATACACCAACCAGACGTCAGAGATGTCAAAGGAAACGGTCAACCCACGTCGCGCGGTACACACACCAGACCCTCCCAGCAGCCGGTCGCTCGGAGAGCACTTCGTGAATGACATACCACTTGTCCAGAGATGAGTTGAGGTGCAATCCCTTGTGCAACGACTGCTGCCCGATAGGGTACCCAGAAGTGGGGGTGGAGACTGAAGACATGCTGGCAGCTCGATGGGATTGAGAACAGCGTGCTGCCTTTAGAGGCGAATTCTGTGAGCGAGAAAGAGTAGAAAGGGGGGAGAAGAGAGAACAGAACGCTGGTAAAGTGACCGAAGACGGAGACTGAGCGTCCCTGCAGATAATGGGAACGCGCGGTGTCCCATGGTAAAGGTATCTGCTCAAGCAGAGAGAGGATGTGAATGATTGGTTTACTGAGCCAAAAACATGGTGCATGCGATTATTAGACGCTCGTTGGTGGCCGCGGCTGTCAACGGTTATGTGCACCTCACTATCGACGCCGCGGAAAATGGAGGCGGTCTCCTGCCAGGCCAGGGTAAATTACAGGGGCCCACTGGTCAATACATCTCACCGTACTAGTGCCTTTAAGTGAGAAGATCCGTCATTACAGGGCAAGCCCCAGAAGTAAAAAATACCAGGTACTTACCTACACGATCTCACTTACTAAAGTAGTACTAGTAAGTGATGAAAAGTCCTAATGCACGGAGCCGTACCCCGAATCTCTAGCACCTGAGTCAGCTCCTCCAGTTCGTGGAGGCAACAGCGCTGGAACTGCATAAGGATAAGAGGACTCGAGCCGTTTATGGTGCCGTGTGCTGGCGGGATGGGGGTCCAGGGGAAGCGCTTTGTTGATATTTACCAGCTACATGGGTCTCTAGCTGACACGAACCACAGTACTTCGCATCACTCACCATCCTGGCTGATGGGCCTATTTCCAACCTCGTGTCGCAGTCACGCGTCATCGTCCAAAAGGCCCGCTCCTGGTCCTTGGGCCTAGAGATGTTGGACACTGAGCCCCCGAAGCATAGTTATGCTCACGAAATACTCGGTGCGGGACCGTCTATTCTGATGTACGGGATTGGCCGTCACGATACCAGAATCCTGATAGCTATTCCGGACGAGACGCACCGCGGTATTGATGAACTGCGGCCGGAAACTGGCCGACACCACCAGATGCAAGTGTTTGGTTGGACGAGCCTTCTGCACGTTAAGCGCCCAACGTACATGAGGCGTAACAATGTGCTACCTAAATCGCACGTTAAGCGCCTGAACGGACATACTTGCTGGGCCTCCTAAATTGGCGATCGTCATCCCCTACTACGAGGGGGTCTGGGTTGGCCGTTGTGGAAGGCCCAGCAAGTATGTCGTAGCAATGTGCCAAATCAAGTCAAGGCATATATCACAATCATGATGGCTGAAAGGACCAAGACATAAACACATAAGAATCTCCAGCCAAAAGACACGAACAGCCGGAGCTTACTTTGCGACATCGTCATCTTGACGACATATATGAGTGCCGAACATATAGAACGCGCTCGATGCTTGACCTCTACTCTCCATGCAGACCGTCGGATGGATGCCGTCGCCAAACGGGAGAGGCGCGATCGATATTATCTTCGCCAATGTTCTAGCACTCTTCGTTTGTGTCTGGACCGTGCTACACCAAAATCTGCAAGCCCGGAGCGACAGTTCCTGGGCTGTCTTCCTTCGACGATGCCGGTGGGCGACGCTTGCGGTTACGGCACCTGAAATGCTCACACTCTTCGCGGTCATGCAAAGGAACGCGGCCAACACGTCGGTCAAAGAAATGCATAAACTGGGACACCATCAGTGGACACTGGTCCACGCCTTTTACGCCAACGCCGGGGGCTTCGTCCTCCAAACGCCAGACTTCCCGCCCTTCCCCACCAACGCTACGTCCATCCACCACCTGTGCTCGCAGAAGCGGATCGAGCTACCGGACATATCGCGAGACAACGTTTGGGATCGCAGCAAGGCAGACCATTTTGCCAAATGCGTTGCTTTGACCCAGGTCGGGTGGGTTCTGCTCCAGATCATAGCCCGGCACAGCCAACAGCTCACTGTCACGCCGCTCGAAGTCTTCACCGTCGCGTTCGTCGTCCCTTCTATCGTCACGGCATACTTCTGGGCTAGCAAACCCCAGAACGTTGCGGAGCCTACGGTCATACGAGTTAAATAGACACTGGCGGAGCTTCTCCTGGCGGCTAGCGACGCCGCGCGCGATCCGTACGTCGACACACCGCTTGACTTTGTCGAGAAGCCAGCTTGGGACGGCTGGCGGCGGCGCCCATCACTCCTTCACTTTGGCGGGCTGAAGAAACGGCCCCTGACCCGGATACCCAACGACTACTCCCCGCCGCCCTCGACAGGGACGGAGGCTACCATCGTGTGGGTCGTCTCGGTTGTACACGCGGCGCTTCACGTGTTGTGCTAGTTGTTTCCGTTTCCTACCCAGACAGAGAAAGGTACTGTGGCGAGCCAGCAGTTTGACTCTGCTCGCTGTCACGGCGATTGGGGGCTTGGTACCGGTGCTCTCAACATACCCCTGGTCCGACTTCTCGTTCAGCATGTTTATGATCTGGGAACGTGAAGCGCGGAAACAGACGTTTGCCAGGCGGTGGCTTTTCAGTCTGGTCGCGGATTCAGCATACGTGCTGTACATCCTCGCTCGGCTCGTGATTCTGGTTGAGATCTTTGCGGCCTTCCGCGCGATGCCTGAGGATGTGTACTTCGATGTTGACTGGGCGTCTTTTTGGCCCCATGGAGCATGACGACGGCTTCATTCGGCTAGCTGCAGAGAAATTAGACATGGTCAACAACCTCTCGCTGAGTGTAGCTGTTCCGACACGCGAGTCTCTGCTCAAAATCAGACATATTCCCCCGTGGGCCCTAGCGATTGCATAAAGCGTCCTCCGCAGTACCTGCCCGCGGAGGAAGCACGTCCGGCGGACGACCCGCCCCGAGAACGAGTTTGAAGAACCCGACCACGTCTAGGTGCACAGAATAGGTAGGTTTCGAAGTACAGCAAACTGTTCTTACCCATTCCCCTCATACACTCTGTTCCTCGGATTCATGTAAAGTACATGATAAGCAAGCGGCGCGGACAAGCGAGCGGCGCACTGGTAAGAGCTGCGTAGACAGACATTTTAGCTGTAGCACTAAACAGCGGGATGGGATTAAGCTGGAAATTACCTACAGCCCGTACATGCTGCTGGTGTTGCCGCACCGCTCGTTTTCGGCGCACAGCAGCAAAATGAACCGCCGGGCGTACCACAGCGATGAGAATCAACCAACCAACCACGGCAAGCCAACGACCCGTGCTTGCATGCGGCACAGCAGTCAGCCCCTGGACAAAATGGCCGAAGTCTTCATTGCTCCTGTTCGGTCCTTGGTTGGCTCCGTCCCGGTCGCGTAGCCCGGCTCAAGCCTGGTTTGTTTGTCTGTGCCCGCTCTGGTCAGTGCTTTTGTCCTCCGTCTCCTGGAGCTTTCCAAGCCTGTCCCTGTGCCTCAGGTGACACATTACCTCAGGTATTTTAAGTTCAGGCATATTACTACGCCACCTTCCCCCCCTTCCCCCCCCCCCCCCCCCCCCCCCCCCCCCCCCCCCCCCCCCCCCCCCCCCCCCAGCTTCACTTCATTTTCGCGATCCTGCCCCACAAGCATTACCAAGCGCCTCTCGCAAGATCAATGGCAACATCTGACAGCAACGCCACTCTGCAGGAGGCCGAGGGCCAGGGCGAGCCTGCTGCAGCCGCGGAAAAGACGCAGAACGCGAGCAGCAGGCACGGCATCCGCTTCTGGGGCACCTTTGTTGCGCTGTGCTGCCTTTCCTTCATCTCGGCCCTCGACGTGGCCATTGTCACCACGGCGCTGCCGACGGTGACCGAAGCCGTTGGAGGCGCGGGGCAGTATGTGTGGATCGCCAACAGCTTCGTGGTCGCGTCGTGCGTCTTGCAGCCGCTGTTTGGCCAGCTGTCCAAGTGCGTTTCTCGTGCTTTATTATTTCTCCATTCCCACTGTTGAAGCTAAGCCAACGCCGGAATAAAACGAATAGTGTATTTGGTCGGCGCCGGCCCCTCATTGCATCCGTCGTCCTTTTCACCGTCGGCAGCGGCCTCGCCGGCGGTGCCGAAAATGCCGCTATGCTGATCGCGGGACGGGCTATCCAGGGCGCTGGGGGTGGGGGCATTGTGGTCTTGCTGGATATCGTATGCTGCGACCTGGTGCCGCTGCGGGAGAGAGGCAAATACCTCGGGCTGATGTTTTCGTGGTCCGGTGTCGGTGCTGCCTTGGGGCCTCCAGTAAGTTTTTTTTTTTTGTTCCGCCCTCAGTAAGAGAGAAGATGCTTCTTCATCCAGCTTTTCTTTTCTTCCTTTAGTAAGGTAGCCGGGACAGGACAAAAGGACCTACTGACACTGTCTAGGTTGGTGGCGCGCTGGCCCAGGCCAACTGGCGCTGGATGTTCTACATGAACATTCCCATCTGCGGCGTCGCCCTCGCCTGCCTGCTGCTCTTCATGCGCGTCAAGACGGGCACGGCGGCCGCGGAGCACCGGGGCCTCGGGGCCAAGCTCCGCCGGCTCGACATCCTCGGCAACCTGATCTTCACCGCGAGCATGATCGCGCTGCTGATCGGCCTTGTCGAGGGCGGCACCGACGAGCAGCACATGTGGTCCTCGTTCCGCATTATCGTGCCCATCGTGCTCGGCGTCGCAGGCTGGACCGCCTTCCACGCCCACCAGGCCGTCCTGGCCCCGTTCCCGAGCGTCCCGCCGCGGCTGTTTGCCAACCGCACGTCGGCTACCGCCTACGCGCTGACCTTCACCTCGTCCGTCGTGCTCCAGGCCACGGCCTACTTTTTTCCCGTGTTCCTCCAGGCCGTGCAGGGCACGACCGTCCTGGAGTCCGGCACCGACTTCCTCCCCTTTGCGCTGTCGTCGCTCGTCTTCGCCGTCGCGGCCGGCATCCTGCTCAGCACCTTTGGCGCCTACCGCCCGCTGCACGCCGCCGCCTTTGCCCTCTCGAGCCTCGCCTTTGGCCTGTTCACGCTGCTGGACGGCTCGACGCCCAAGGTGGCGTGGGTCTGGTTCCAGCTGATCGCCGCGGCCGGTTCGGGCCTGGTCATGTCGACGCTCCTGCCGGCCATCATGGCGTCCCTGCCCGAGAGCGACGTGGCGTCGGCGTCGGCGACCTACAGCTTCTGCAGGACGTTTGGTTATGTCTGGGGCGTGACCCTCCCCGGCATCATCTTCAACGCGGCCGTGGGCAGCAACCTAGAGAGCGTCTCCGACCCGGCGGTCCGGGCCGAGCTGGCCGATGGCGCAGCCTACTCGTTTGCGAGCGTGGTGCACGGATTGCGGGCGGATGGGAAGCTGGACCCAGGCACGTTCCAGCAGCTGACGGATGTCTACTCCAGGAGCCTGCGCGTCATCTGGTGGCTGTGTCTGGGCATCAGCCTGGCTAGCTTGTTGGCCGTCCCGCTCGAGAGGGCCTTGGAGCTGCGCAAGGAGCTGGAGACGGAGTACGGCATGGATGACGGTGTGAACGGGGTCGCCTCTCCCGCATCCAGTGAAGAGGCCGGGGCGGCTGGAGGGAAGGAAAAAGTGGACCCGGGTGTGCAGTGCGTGGCTGTTGCGCCCAGCCCAGTATAGATAGGTGAGCGCTCAAAATGCGGGGCGCTCCGAGGAGGACTAATAAACGAGTCGAATTTCAACATGTAACTACCTATCTTGCTTCTTTACGGCCTGTCCAGAAGCATATAATACGCGAATTGCTTCTAAACGAATCTAATATGGAGAAAACGGTTTAGACTCGGCTGGCCAAGGGTAGTGCAAGGACAACTATATGCAGTTTTGTTCAAGTCCCATGCAGCACGTGTAGGGTTGATGGCCATGTCTTTAAGGAGCCGGTCATGCCCGCTGCGTACAAATGTTCCTCAGCATTGGTTCGGTAGAGAGGACATCCTTGGTATTGGCTAGACGCATACTAGTACTGCCGAAGACCAACAATCTGGGCAGCCAGCAACGCCAGGCCTTGCATTTGGACACGCCGCTGGTACGATTTGTCACGAGCCAGGCTGTATGCTTATTTCAAGAACGACGTTACAATACAATACCGGGTAGATGATTTAGGTACAATCTCAGTACATACACTGCCGGCTGGCTCGCAAAGCTCCCCAAGGCTCTTCATCTGCCCTCAATTGAAAGGTAATAAAAGAAATCACCGCCAGCCCGACTGCTGTGTCACCTGATAGCCGAGCTCCCGCTTAATCTGGCCGTGCATCTGAGCGCCGTCGGCTTCGTGTGACGTCTTGTAGCAGACGACCATGGGCTGCGGCGGCCCCGGCACGAGGACGGGTTGCAGGTGCTCCATCGACGAGGTCTCTGGGGCCTTGACGTAGTCCACCTGGGAGATGGAGGAGAGGTCGTAGAGGGTGGGCTCGCTGTGCTGCTTCTTCAAGTTCCTCTTGGAGCGGATGCGCGACATCATGCGCAGGTACGTGTCGGTCGGCTTGTAGGCCGGCTTGTTGGCGTTGACCGAGGCGGCGAAGAGTTGAGGGAACGCCGACAGGCAAGAGACGGCAATGGCTGTGGGGTGTGTCAGCACGAAAAAGTCCATGGCCGTTTCAGGTGCAGGTAACGAGGGTATAAAACAACTCACCAATGCATGGCTCAATGGCAGTCCACATCCAGAGATAGCTCGGATCAATCACACCGTTATCCCAAGAGGTGGCAGTCAGGTCGGCCGCGCGCGCCGTGGCTATGGCCATGGTGACGAGCGAGAGCGAAAACAGGCCGAAAAAGGCGAGCTTCTTGGCGAACGCAATGCGCACGTTCCACAAAAGCCACACGGGGATGAGGATGACTATCGACCGAGCGAGTCAGTCATACTGGACGGGAGGTCAAGCGGCAGCCAGGCGGAGACAGCCTTACTGAGAAAGTCGGAAAACACATCCATGGCGCAGTTGAACTTGAGCGTGATAGCGGTGAAGTCGGCCGACTGCCTGGACGAACAGTACCCCACGACGTCCTCGACCGTAGCAAGCAAGCAACGGTACTCGACGGTGCCGAGGTTGACGGCGTACACAGCCAGGACGAAGCCAAAGACGGGCCACCAGAACCAGTCGAACCGGTTCACGTTGTGGCCGAGGCGCTTGAAGAAGAGCAGGAAGGCCAGCTTGACTGCCACGAGGCCGGTGTAGAAGAAGAGCTCGGAAATGAGCTGCACCTTCAGCCACAGCAGCATCTTGTCGATGAAGCCGGGACCGGGCGGCGCGAGACCGGCCATGACCTGGAGCACCTGGTACATGGACGGTGCCTGCCACTGCCAGAGCGCCGCGACGACGACGGTGAGACTGGCGGCGAAGATGGCGAGCACATCATCCCAGAAGATGCGGCGCTGCGTGCGAATGCGCGTGAAGAGCCGGATGGTCAGGAAGAGCAGCGCCAGGCCTTCCGCGGCCCAGATGAGGCCCTGATCGAGTCCCTTGATATTAGCACTTGGACAGAAAAGGGCACGTACGGGGCTGTGGTGCCTACTAGAAAGACATTCTGTGACACTCCTGGGTGGTTGAATGCCGGCATGTTGAGGGTTCAATCTGGGTCGGGGCTGACAATGCTGCCTGAATCATTGAATGTCGCGATGGGCATGTGTGAGCCAGTACTTAGGTAAGGTCAGGTATCCATTCCGGGGTCCAAGGTGGTCAAATGTCCAAAGATCTTTATTATCAAGACTCACTGGAGCATTCAAGACTTTGGGCGCTCCCATCGTGGTTTCTGACCTCAGACACCCTCGACGGCACGGCGTAGAAGCGACTGGACGCGCAGGCGGCCCCCAATTGCCTCGTGTGTTGTGACTTGGGACGCACATGCGCGCATTCTTTAGCTAGTACTACCTGAATCTTGTCTGAATTGCGGCGCAGCCCGTTCAGTTCACCCAAAGCGTCTCTGACCGTCCATCCAATGGCACAACCGCCGCCGGCGTGCATCCTGTGGTTCACTCGACAATTCAGCTGGCTGCTGGCACCTAACCCTACTGCGGTACAGACTGCTGGTGGGGGCAATGCCGGACGCGCGCATGCGCATCAATGCTGACACAGCGCTTACCGCGGTACCCGTGCCGCGCGCCCACCTACCGCCTGCCGAGTCCTTCCATCGTCCCGTCGGAACGGAGAGGCCAAGTGGGGGGCGCGGCGCGGGTAGCTTCAGGTACCCCTAGGTACCACCCGGAGGCTGCCACTTGCCGAGCCGCGGGTACCTGAGATGCCCGCCCGCCGCACTGTACTGTAAGTTATGTTCTGCGCCCAACACAACCGCCGGCTGAAACCTGGAGCACGAGCCACCGAATTCGACAAGTGATATCGGAGATTGACACGCGTCCGGGCCCATTGCTGCAAGGTCCTTTTTGAGCTTCGGTCGTTTGTCTTCCCGCGGGCCCCTCCCCTTCGCCGCTTTTCTACATGCCGTACACGGTTTTCTGCCCTCAATTTTCCCTTTTGGCCCTACGAAACTTGTCTTTCCACAGCACACCTCCAGGAAACTATGGCGGCCCTGTTCTGGGTCCTCTGCTCGCCCGCGCTCGTGGCTGCCGTCGTGGCCGTCCACAGCGCCGTCTCATTGGCCCGCAACTACCTCGTCGCACGCCGCATCGGCCTGCCCGTCCGCGTCATTCCCATCGACCACACCAATCCCCTGTGGTTGGCCGTGGACCGTAAGGTCCTCGCCTACGTGAGAAGGCTGCCCGGCTTCCTGGGCGACAACAGCTTCACGCGATACAATTTCCGAGCATGGGAGATGTACGACCGGCTGCGGCCGCACCAGGAGATGGGCGATGCCTTTGTCATAGTCACGCCCGCCAGGATCTGGTTCTACCGTATGTACGCCGCCATTACCCCACCGTTACCATGCCTCACCCCACACGGATCCTTCTCTGGCTGACTCATGTCCCCTGGGAGCCAATAGTGGCTAGCCCGGAGGCCCTGATGGATTGCTTCCACCGCCGGACGGACTTCCCGAGATGCGTGGAGATGACCGAGATCCTCAACGTCTTTGGCAAGAACCTGAGTACCGTATGCATCACACGCCCGAATCCTTCTCACACCGCCCCGCTTGCATTGCTCTGACCAGCGGTTTCCTATTTATTCAGGTCGAGGGGCAGCAATGGAAGACACAGCGGAAGATCATCGCCACCTGCTTCAACGAGCAGAACCATGAGGTCGTCTGGACCGAGAGCCTGTCGCTGGCCCGCGACATGCTGGCCTACTGGGCCCGGCAGCCGGCCGTGACCACCTCGGCTGAAGACCTCCGCACCCTGTCTCTGCACGTGCTCTCCGGGGCCGGCTTTGGCAAGTTCTACAAGTTTGAGGGCCACACGGAGCGGTCCGACAGCAGCGTGTCGGCCAACTACAAGAACTCGCTCCAGATGATCCTCGAGAACTGCGTGCTCATCATGGCGCTGGGCCCGGCCTTCCTGGCCCGGGCGCGACCGTGGCTGCCCGGCACCTGGAAGCTCGCCAAGCTGGCCGACACGTGCGCCGCCTTCCAGCGGTACATGACGGACCAGTACGAGGAGGAGAAGCGGGCGAGCCTGGTGCAGGACAAGACGCAGGCCCGCCCCGTCGCGGCCAAGACGCTCATGAGCTCGCTGGTCAGCGCCTCGCAGGCCGAGGCCCGCGCCGGCGCCGGCGCCGGCGGCCTCAGCGAGAGCGAGATCTACGGCAACATGTTTATGCTCAACTTTGCCGGCCACGACACCACCGCGCACACGTTTACCTTTGCCATCTACTTCATCGCGGCCAACCCGGACGTGCAGGACTGGCTCTCGGACGAGATCCGCGCCGTGCTCGGCGGCGGCGACGACCCGGCCGGCTGGAAGTACGCCGCCAGCTTCCCGCGCCTCAAGCGCTGCCTGGCCGTCATGCTCGAGACGCTCCGCCTCTACACGGTGGTGCCCGTGTCCAAGTGGGTCGGCGACCAGACCGTGTCGCTCCAGGTGGGCGGCAAGACGGTCGTGCTGCCGCCCAAGACCATGTTCATACCCAGCTACGCGGCCGTGCAGACCGACCCCCGGTACTGGGGCTCCGACGCGCTCGCGTGGCGGCCGTCACGCTGGATCCAGGAGGGCGGTGCCGCGCCGGGCGACGAGGATCTCGTCGCCTTCGAGAAGGGCACCTTTCTCGGGTGGTCCGAGGGCGCGCGCGACTGCCCGGGCAAGAAGTTCTCCCAGGTCGAGTTCGTCGCCACCATGGCGGCGCTGTTTCGCGACTGGCGCGTCGACCCGGCGCCGCTGCACGACGGCGAGAGCCGCGAGGCGGCGCGGAAGAGGGTGCTCGACCTGATTGAGCATGACTCGGCGCCCGTCCTCCTGCTGCAGATGCTCCACCCGGAGAGGGCACCATTGGTTTGGAAGAGGAGGTGAACATGCCATTGGCATGGCGGCTCGTGGGGGCGGCGGAGAATCCGTAATGGGATGGAGCGCGGCGGCGCGGCTCGCGTTGTGGGGTGTGGTATGCTTCGTGTAACAGCATCTTGGTGAAGCAAGCTGGCGGGGCGCTCTCCCCTGGTCGTTCGTGACTTCTGCCTGGTCAGGCCGGTTCGTTTTGGTAATCTGATTATGTCGCAAGCCCGCATGGAGAATTCATGTTACCGTTCCTATCCATTGACCCGTGAACCTCCGGTTGGAGCAACGACGATATCGCGGTGCTAGTTGTGGCACCAAATGTGATGACTGCTGCCAAGATGTGGCGTGGGCAGCTGCAACCGTGGCCCATGAGTGGTTGCCAGGCGAACTAGGCTTGGTTGACCTTGGAATCTGGCACCCTTTCGGGGGTGACCGGGCGACGGGGCTGAGGTTGCTCGATGCACGTCTCTATCACAAATTACGGCGTGTGCGGCGTGTGCGGGCGCAGCGGCGGGTAAAGCGCGGAGTAAAGCCGTGCGGTCAGCTGCAGAGTGCTGCGGCGAGTGCGGCAGTTGTTGCAGTGCCCGCGGAAGAGTTGAGAGAAGCAGCCCTTTCTCGAGCAATTCGCGTACCAACCGATAACAAGCAACCAATACAACCTGTGTGGCCCCCTACGTTCAACACAGCTGTCTTAGGTTGGGATGCTGCGCCTCGAGAGAATGCAGGAAACATCAAGTCTTTCGATGTACCTTTCGGGTTACACCACATTCCACGCCATGCCGCATCACACGTTGATGGACTTGATTCTGCCGACTTCGAAGCTGGTCTTCCAACAGCAAAACAAGAACGCCGTCACTCAAGTTGGCACATGTCAAACGTTGGCTGAAGCGGCGGGAAATGGAGCCTGGACTCTGGAGGGCCTGGAGGGAAAGCCCCTTCCGAAAGATGTCATAAAGCGCACACGCTGACCTCGACTCGTGCTGGGCCTCAATCATCCCTCTGGCTCCTCCGGCAGTTGGTGCAGCAGCAGGAACACTTCCCAGCCTCAGCAGTCTTCCTTCAGTTCTGCCGCTGGTCGCCCCAGACTTCCTCCCCAGGAACCGCTCCACCGGATCCTGCCATACCTCTCTGCACAACATGGATGCAGCCGAGTCCTTCCGCCAGATCCATGTCGAAGCTCCCGATGTGGTCCATCTCCAAGCCTCTCGCGGCATTGGGTCGTGGGCTTCTGACCGGGCGCTGCTCATGTCCTGGGTCGCTCTCGTCTTTGTCGTCGTCAATTACGTTGTGCAGGTGTCTCGGTTCCACTCGATTCAGCGGGCGGCCATTTCAGAAAAGCCCCAAGTTCCGCCACGGTACCCGTCGCTGATCCCATGGCTCGGCCATGCGCTGCCCTTTGCCTTGGACAACATGCGCTTCGTGGACCGCGTTGCGTGCGTAGCCAACATACAACGAGTGGGCGATATCCCGTTATAGATGCAGAGACTGATGGCAACGCGCAGGTCATACAAGCGGAAGCTCACGTCGTGCCTGGTCACCGTATGCGGCATCGACCTCTACCTCCTGCACGACGCGGATGCCGTGGCGCAGATGCGGCACGAGTCGTCCGTCGGGCACGTCGTGCAGGTCTATACCTACACCATGAAGTGGTTCTTTGGCCTCCCGGACCCCGGCGTCAAGGCTTACCTGCGCGACAAGACGGGGCCGGAGCGCAAGCCGCACCCGGGCAGCGACCCCAGCTTCCCGGCACACAACCGCATCTACAACATCACCTATCAGGGCTTCCTGACCGGGCTCTCGGGGCCCAACCTCGCCCACGCCTCGCGGCGGTACACCGAGCTCTTCCGCTCCAATCTGGAGAAGCAGGCCCTGTCCCGCGAGTGGACAACCTACGACGACATGGGCACCTTTTTCCAGGAGCTCGTGAGCAAGTCCATCCTCGAGGCCCTCTTTGGCCCGGCGCTGCTCGAGTTGAACCCGACCTTCAACGACGACCTCTGGACCTTTGACCGCGACATCCCCTGGCTCGCCCGGTGCCTGCCGTCCTTCATCCTCCCGGGGGCCTACCGCCGCCGAGCCAGCCTCCTGGCCCAGGTCAAGCGATGGCACGCCAACGCGCGGCAGAATTTTACCGAGTCGAGCATCGGCCCCGACGGCGATGCTGATCCCTACTGGGGCTCCGAGCTCATGCGCCACCGCCACAAGAAGCTCCCCAAGGTGGATGGCTTTGACGACGACTGCCTGGCGGCGGCCGACCTGGGTTTCATCTGGGCGTATGGCAACCTTCCACTTTGTTTCAATCTCAGCGTCACGGTGCTTCGAGAGTGACTAACCGATACGATACAAAGTTCCGTCTCCAACGCGACACCGACCGTGACGTGGGTGACAGCCCACCTCTTCGAGGACGCCGCGCTCCGCGACTGCGCCCGCGCCGACGTCGCCCGCCTCGGCCCGCTCGACGCCAAGACGCTCTGCCATGCCTCGCCCGTGCTCAGCTCCGTATTTGCCGAGACGCTCCGGCTGCACAGCACCATGTACTCGATGCTGACGGCGCGGGGCGCCGACGCCCACCTGGGCAAGTGGCGCCTACCGCAGGGCCAGATCGGCGTCGTCAACACGGGGCTCAGCCACATGGACGAGCAGGTCTGGAACACGGGCGGCGGGGCGCACCCGCTCGCCTCCTTCTGGGCCAACCGCTTCCTCGTCTACCCCGGCGACCCGGACAGCGGGCCCCTGAACAGGGAGAGGCGTATGCGTGCCGATGCGGCGGTGGCGAAGCCCAAGCCCAAGCTAGACGAGGGCCAGGAGTATGCGAGCAGCGGCGCGGTTGACCCCGGCGGCCCGACCTTTTCGCTTGAGGGCCTCGAGGGGTCGTGGATCCCTTACGGAGGTGAGTTTGGCCACGTGTCGAGTTCCCCATTCGGCTGCCCTGGGTGATAGGCTGACCCGGCTTTTTTTGGTCGTTGCAGCCGGAAGACACGCCTGTCCGGGCAGGGTGCTGTCCAAGCAGATGGTCGTTTACACCTGCGCCCTCATGGTGAGCCAGTTTGACATTGAGCTGCTCGACGGTCCCGTGCCGGTGGAGAAGGACAGCTGGAGCTTCGGGTTCAACGTGGCAGTGCCGACGAAGAAGATTCCCTTCCGGATCAGGAAGCGGGAGTAGAGAGGGCGAGGTCTCAGGTCTGGTGTCGAGCAACCTGTGCCGTCTTTTCCTCCCCCCTCCTTTTTTTTTTTTTCAATTCGTGTAAATATTGTCCTGTACTTTGTACGGACCGCTCCTTTGTCTCCGGTCGTCTCTGTTCCCTCGGTTGTACCTGGAGCACGGTTTGGCATAGACTGCTACTTTCTTATCCACATCTTCGGTTGGCATAAACCCGTTCGTGTTCCTGGACCGTGGCCGTCCGTCACGACTACAAACGGCGGCGGCGACGGAGGCCGGAAGGCGTCGCCCATTCTACTTCGTTCACACCCATCGAGTGCTCCGGAACGCCTCCCGCGGATTCCCGCTGGCGATGCATTTTGGCGCAAGGATTCCGTCCACGGTCGGTGCAGACAACGCAGAATGTTCGCGCCGTCGTTCGGGGCTGTCGTCGCAGATGTGAATCAACCAGCACCGACCCTCCAGGCTCGGTGCTGGCTCGCTCATGCCGTCGGAGCCTCCCTCTTCCCTGCTTCGCCAACCCTAGAATCGCCTTCTTCTCTTTCTCATCATTCTTTGTACTTCTACCGTACTCCTTAGCTCTGGCTCACTGTGGTCGTATAATAATAGTTGCGCTTCTCTGATATGGACTGGGAAAGTATTAATGAGTTCCTCTAGTATTAATTGGATAGTGCTATAGAGGAGGGTAATAATGAGCCCTTCGTTGCTCAGGCACGGAAGCGGAGGGCGATAGAATACCGAGGTAGGGTGCCTGGGCTAACCCATCGCCATAATTGAGCCCATTCCCCAAGTATTGGACCGACATTTGCCGCCGTCAAGGCGAGACACCCAGAGCTCATTACGAATTCCACGCATTGTCGGTACAGTTTCTGCCAGTTTGATTTGACTTCGTTGCCAGTCAAAGGCCCGTCGATTAACACATTCATCGAAGATGGTGGATCCACCTTGCGATCCTGAAGCGTGCCGTCCAGGAAATAGTCGAGACAGAGCCCTCGTGAGTCTTGGAGAACGTAACGAATGGCCCCACAGACAGGCGGAGGAGGCGTTGGGGTTTGAAACAGAGCAATCGTGTCGTCAAGGATATCAAAATGTCCCTCGGTGAATGAGTGCATGAGGTATGAAGAGACACAGTACTGCCTTTTTGAACAAAGTGGCTTTCTTAGGCACCTTGTATCCCGCCACCGCAAACGCGTTGAGGGCCGACGAACAGCCAAAAAGGATCTTGGCTTCGAGATCGAGGACTTGTGAAAAGACACAGAGCAAGCATCTCGCTCGGAGGATGGAAGGCCGGAATGAATATTGCGACTCTTGAGCGCATTGTCGATAGATGTCCAGGACGTGGAGGATGCGGTTGGAAGACCGGTTGGGGCCCATGCTAGAGTCACAGTGAGAGGGGAAAGATTGCAGGACGGCTTCCGAGTGTTCAGTCTGACCCCCAAACGGAGAGCCGATTGCAACCCGAGAGCCGATAGCTTTTCCAATGTTTCCGGGAGGCTGATCTGGTCCATTCGCGTATACGGTTCAGGAGCAGTTGGATGCCTTTCATGACCCACTCTAGTCTTCGCTTGGCCTCCTCATTTGTGGAATGCATCTCGATGATTGGCCAGCGAGGCGTGCACAGAGCGATACGCCGGAAGTGCTGGATTGGCTCGCGCTGTTCATTGGAACCGAAGCTCCAGTAATAGTCTTAGAGCTCCTCGGCATCCAGCACCTTTGGACGGAAGGTAGCTCTTAGCTTCTGATCACTTTTGTCTGGTGTGAAAGGCGAGCTCTCCTCGAGGTCTTTGAAGAACTCGGAGACAAACTTCCGGAGTCCGGTCTCACGGACATCGTCCAGAGCCAGCTGGGTCAACGGGTCGGCTTGGTCGTCAAAGGAATCGTAGAAGCGGACAGAGAGACCGCATTGGCTAGGGACCCAGTGAAAGAGTTCAAGTCAGCACCACAGTTAGCAATCCACGGGAGGGTTTCTCTTCACACCCACATACCAAGACACTTCAACAGAAGAGGACATGTCTTGCGCCCTCATGTTGTTGCACCCCGGGCACACATCGTTGTCCTGGTCCTCGTAAGATACGATAACACTCAACTGCACTTTGTCGTCTGGGTTGATCACAGCGCGAAGACGCCTGATGCTCGGACTGCTGGGCAGGATGTCTTCGGAAGTGCTGACGTTGCGTAAAACGTAGGACTTGGCGCTGATGACGCTGTGACCAGGATCCCGCTCGGGGAATACCGTATGTGTGCAGTGAGAAGCATGTGAAAGTCTGTACATGCGGAGAGACAGGTCAGACCAGAAACATCCACTCTCCCATCTGCTTACAACTTACATTCCAATCCTGAATATCCAGGAAGTAGACGGCCCGAAGCACACGGCGGGCATCCTCGAGAATGAAGTGGTTGCCACGGTACACGCTTCCGGGCACAGCCTGTGTGTGTCATGGAGGATGCTGACAGTAGGTTTGCCACTTGAAATTCTGGGTCAGCTCTTGAGGGCAAGCTCTGGCATGTGTCATTGCTCACCTCATCAATGCCAAGAAAGTACTGAGCATGTTGAAACGGAATTCCAAGTCCTGGCGAAGCTCCTCAAGCATGCCAGAATGGCAGACCCATCTGAATTTGGCGATCGCGCGGACTAGCCCCTTGCGCACGTGTCACAAGTTCTAGATTTACGTTTACGGCCTCCCTATAATAACGACATCTTCTTGTCTTCATTGTTGTTCAAAGGGGGCGGTTTCTTGTCCCTAGAGCGACTAGTTATGGACGCTTTTGAGTAGAAAGAGAAGATTTATATGTAAAACGGAAGAGCCTAGCTATCATTTCCTTATCCGCGAGTCCGAATCCGGCTGTCAGAGCCACGCGACTAGGCTCCATTATTAGGGCGCTATCGACAAGCGCGATATGGCGGGTTGTCATAATTATAACATGGCCATCCCCTGCGCTGTCGATAGTATCGAGGAGCGCGGACAGAGAGGCGGTTCCTTCTCGTGGCTGGGAATTGGCGTCCTCGGCACCGTCCAAGACGATAATAGATCGGGGCGGTATCCGGGAGAACAAGGTCTTCAGGTCGCTGTCGTTGACGGGCTGGCAGACGATGTAAACATCCAGATCGAAATGCCCTGCGAGAGCCAGAGCCAAGCATGTCTTTCCAGTTCCAGTAGGTCCGTGAAATAGGTAGCACCGCCTGTATGGACCACGCTGCTGCTCCAGAGTAGCGGGGTTAAGAAAGCCGCGGACGTTTTCTAGGAGGCTTTCTTTGACCTGATCATCCAGCAATACGTACAGAAAGCGCCCCTTGCCCTGATTTACAGGATACAGCGGCTTAGCGGGAGCAAGCCGCCGTATAACGGCATTCTCACAGATAGTTGTGCCGTGAGTTGTCCGCCGATGCGACTCCCAGTAATGTTTCAATTTAGGCACTTATGCCCTTGGTTACACCACAGTTCCTTTTTCTCTTTTGTTCCCCCCAGTTTCGTATGTGCGGAAGTTCCCCTCGCTCCGCGATTTTAATACTCGCTTTATTAAATCGCCCTTTGAGTGGCCAAAGAAACGTCACACGTTCTGTCAACCGAACGAATCCTTACGGAAGATACAGTGAACCAAATGGAGGGTTTGGCGACTGCTTCCGCTCACGGGTCTAATAACGGTCCTTTGTGAATAAAGGTTTCTAGATAATTATGCAGCATCCCGTCCGCACTGTTATGCTCCATGGGACTTAACTCCCCGCTGACAACGCCAACGGAACGACAACGACACACCGCTGCAATGAAAACATCCCCTGCTGCGCTCTTGAGCATAGCGCTCGCTGGAGGAGCGCTGGGCCACAGTCAGTACCGTACCCACCCACGACTGGGCTGCACATGCTGAGGCTGAACAATTCCAGATGTCGAAGGAATCCTCCTCGTCAACGGCACCGAGACGCCGGAATGGAAATACGTCCTGTAATCACCATGCCCCTAAACCGCGTAAGCATCCACTGATAACCCCTTAGGGATGTCCAGCCCCCATGGTCAATTGATCCCGCGACGTATCCTCCGCACTACCAGGGCTACAAGCTCTCGCCCATCATCGGTCCCGCAGACCCGAACATCACCTGCGGCAGGGCGGCCTTCGACGCGGCCGCTCGGACCGAAATAGCCAATGTGCTGGCCGGCTCCGAAGTCGGCTTCCGAGTTTCCGCCGATGGCAACGGAAATCGAGCTGATGTCGTGGAACCGTCGACAATCAGGTATCCGTCCTTCTGGCATCCTGGTCCGGCCCAGATCTACCTCTCACGGGCTCACAATGATGACCTCAAGAGCTACCGAGGAGATGGAAACTGGTTCAAGATTGCCTATGCAGGCCCCTTGGATGATCAGCATTGGTCGCTTTATCCATTTGTGTCTGATGTGCGTATACCGGCTTATTAGTACCAGTCGCTGATGAGGGTGTTGGTTAATGATTTACGATACGCTACCAGTTTAACTTCACCATCCCGAAAACCACCCCGCCGGGCAAGTACTTGATGCGAATCGAGAATTTCATGCCTACGAACACATCTAGCTACCAGCAATTCTACATCAACTGCGCCTTTGTGAATATCATAGGCCCAGGTGGCGGCACTCCGACGGAATTTGTGAAGTTTCCCGGCACGTATGTTCCGGAAGATCCGGGTAAGGAAGGCAACTATTTGGCATGTATCCGTTGTCTGGCTGACGTTATGGCACATCCAGGCCTTCTCGTACCGCTTAACCAGGATTTGATGAGCGGGAAACTCAAGGTTGACGATATGAAGCTGATGGAGTACAAGCCGCCTGGTCCTGCTGTGTGGACTGGCTGAAAAGCTTCGTGTTGTCTTCTCCATCTGCCCTGGCTCTCCAACGTTGACCGCAACCCCTCTGGCATTGCACGTACCTGTCGGTTTGCCTGGATTTTTCACTTCTCCACCCTTTACTTGTCCTTCTTCTGTTTCGTCTTCGGGTTTAGTGTATAACCTTACTACCGGATCCGGTAAGTGCAGTGGTGTTGACTTGGTATTCCTCGATCCTTGTGGCGGTGGGTACCATGGAAGTAGGGAGAGGGGGAGGGGGGCGTGTACGCGTTCTCTACCGTTTAATCCTTAGATAGTATTTTCAGTACGTGACCCAAATGCTACTGAATTAGCCACTTGAACTTTAAGAAAAAGTTAGTCATGTCTAGATTTACGTTTTTGCCCTTCTATAATAAGGATAGCTTCTGGTTTTCGTTGTTGTTCAGAGCGTGCCCCTTCTGAGCAGACAGACAACTTTTATGGGCAAAAGGACAAAAGCAATGGTCATCATCGACGGGAATTGAGCCCGACGTGGGGGTCGAACCCACAACCTTGAGATTTCGGAGATCTCCTTAAGAGTCTCACGCTCTACCGATTGAGCTAGCCGGGCAGGCTATTTGGTTTGTTGTGGAGCAGTCGGGGACTGAGACCTAAGTCGATCGGGCCAGACTGAGTTTACTCGGAGGACATAAAGGTTCGTGAACTCCCTGTACGGGGTGTTGTTTCTCAGCATCTACTTGCCTTGTAGCTGTCCACGGTGAGTCCATGAATGATATTAAGACGCTGAATGCTGTAGTACGTTGTTCATGGACTCTTCCCCCCAAGTCCCACACTTCGTTTCAACCGACCACCACTCACTTCTTCTTCAGCCTCACCGTGCTCTTCCCTACATTCTTGCCGAAGACATGCACGGCAGCGGGATCCCACTTTCCATGACCTACCACCGCCTTGGCTCTCAGCGTCATCCTCTCCCTCGGCCAAAGCGTGACATAGTTGTCCTCCCACGTCAGGGGCAAGACATCCCGTCCCATGCCATCCACGAGGCTCAGGCTGATGAAGAAGGCCGGGTGGCCAGAATGGTTCTCCAGCGTCACTGCAACTCCATCCTTCCCTTCCGCCACAGCCGCCGCAGACACCCTCGCGGCCGGAAGCTTGTTCAGCGCCGTGTAGTCAGCATACTTGCTCACCGGCGTAACATACCAGTCCGAGTTCTCCCAGTCCAGCTCATCCAAGCCCCGCGGAAGCCAGTACACGTTTCGACTCAACACCTCCTTACTCCCCGCCTTCTTATCCGACAACAACATCAACCGCAGAAACACCACCTCCTCAGAAGCGGTAACATTTCCCAGCACCACATCCAACGACGCCACCTTCTGGCTGGTATTCGGCCTGGTACCACCATTCACAGCGACGACATCCTTGTACAGCACCTTCCCATCTCGGGGCCGCAAGACCTCCAGCTCGACTTTCCTCTTCCCTTGCTGATCCAGCGACCGATTCACCAGCCACACGGCCCGCCGCACATAGTCAAACACGACATTCTCCTTTTTATCCCCAGCAGCGGCCTTCGCCCCGTAATACGACCCCGCAGGACGCATGTAGTAGTCCCACAGGTTCCAGTGCAAGCCCGGCCACGCGTTGTTGAGCATCCAGTAGACCATGCCCGTGGCCGGCCTAGTCCCCGTAGTCTCATCGTCCGAGTCCGAGTCCGGGCTCCCTGCAGTGTCGGTGCCCCACAACGCCGTGTAGGCGTCGACCTGTGCGCGGGTGGCCTCGTAGTCCATGATCTGGGCTTTGAGGAGGTAGTCGTCCAGACTAGTCGGCGCGCCCCAGCGGGCCCAGAGCGCGGCGTTGTAGATGGTCCGGGTCTGGAAGGTGGACGGGTCGCGGGACATGTGGAAGAGGGAGGCGTTGGGCTGGCGCCAGAGCGCGGTCAGGTCGGCGGGAGAGAGGAATTTGCGCAGCGAGGAGAGCTCCGGCGTGCCGACGCCCGCCGAGAGTTCCGAGTTGAAGCCTGCGGCCGCGCCGAGGTGGGAGCCGTCCGTGGCCGTGTCGAACCAGTAGTTGGGAGGCACCCAGTCGTAGGGCCCGTCCATCTTCATGCCCGACGGTCCAGTCTGCGGGGAGAAGCCGCGCGAGGAGGCAGAGGGGGTGATGGGGGTCTGCCAGTCCACGGCACGGAAGGCGGAAAGGTAGAGGGCCGTGGCGCGCTCGTCGGGCCAGTAGTCGCTCCCGATGAGGTAGGTCAGCACCGAGGGGTGCGGCTGCAGCATGGCGGCCTCGTGGAGCATGCTGAGATTGGCGATGGCGTAGTCGGCGTTGCTCCAGATCGGCGTCGGCACGGCCAAGTCGTTGTTGTAGCTCCACGCTTCCCACTTGTCGCAACACTCCCACCCGGCCATGACCATGATTCCGAGCCGGTCCGCGATGGAGTAGAGCGCCGGGTGCTCGTTCTTCCCTTCGAGCCGGACCGTGTTGAAGCCGAGGTCGAGCACGTATTGCAGCTCGGCCTCCCATTTAGCGGCAGACCAGCGGAGGAACATGTCGGGCGAGTAGCCGGCGCCAATGACTTGGAAGGGATGGCCGTTGATGAAGTAGGTCGTGTCGTTGAACGAGTTGAGCGTGCGTGTCACGGTCCGGAAGCCGAACTCGCTGGCTGCGGAGTCCGAGAGGGAGCCGTTGGCCAGGACGGTTAGATTGGCCACGTACAGCGGCTGATCACCCCATTGTCGTGGCCACCAAATGGAAGGGCTCTCGACTACCGCATCTAGAACGATGTCGGTAACGGAGCCAGGGGCCAAGGTCAAGGTCTTCGTCGAACGCACGCCCGGTCCTGCTCCTGAAACCGACCCAATGGTACAAACCGCCGTGATCGTGACGGGAAAGTTCTCGAGGTTGACTGCTCGAGCCTTCACCGTCACGTTGGCTGCTTTACTCCCATCGCTCGAACCCAGTTGCGTCATAACGCGGAGCGGGTCAAGCCTGACGGCGCCCGTCTGCTTGACCTCGATATCGCGCCAAACGCCAGTCCCGTTGTCGGCCGGCCAAGGGTTCCAGTCCACCCAGCCTAATGCCAGATCGCGGTAGTAGTCGGTTGGGTAGACCTGGACGGCCAGTGCATTCGTCTTGCCAGCGAGGGTGGTGATGTCGTAGGTTCGGCCGACGTACGAGCCTGCCTGCTCGGAAGCCGAGACCACTCGCTTTCCGTTGAGAAAAATGTCGGCCCGTGAGGAGATTCCGTGCGTCTGCAGGGAGAAGTGCTTGCCTGGCCCGGGCCGCAGCGAGTACTCACTACGGTAGATCCATGGTACTGAGAATTGCCTCTGGTCGACCTTGCGCAAATTGTCCGAGTAGAACAGCTCGTTGTCGCTGTAGACGCCGGCCTCGATCAAGCAGCCCAGCAGCGTGCATTTAGGGATGCTCACGTGGTGCCATGACGACGTATGGAGCCCCGGCCGGGACAGCACCGCAAGGTTTGTCCCGGCCTTTGCTGTAGACTGAAGGTCCCATGCCGGAATCGCCGAAGTCTCGCCCGGGGAAGACACCAGGGCCGTAGCCGTTGTGGGTTGCGGGACCGCGACAAGCGAAAGAAGGGCAACGAGCTCTCTCCCGCGCATTTTGAGGCCGTTGAATATCAATGCTGGGATGAGTGGCCAAATTGGTAAGGTTCCCGGCTCAAGCGTAGGATGATAACCTCGACGGACGAGGTAGTCTCGAGCCCTGGCACCCCCCAGCCTGCCGTATTCAGTGTGCAGATGTCCGGAGGAAGGCGTGCGGGCGTTCCAAGCACAACACGGCCACGGCGACCTTGACCTAATATCGTCATTGGAACATATATGTATCCGTCATGTAGGATTATGTACCTTGCTCATCTCTCAACATCTTCTCTCTTTTTGGCAAGTCATCGTCCTCCCCCGCATTTCAGATCAACGTTACATGCAGGTACAGATCGATGTCTCGCGAGCGACCACCCGCATCGCAGCATCGGTATTGCCCTGTCGCCAAGACCATAAGTCGGCGGTGGCCAGGTCGTCGCCCCTTCCGAGCGCGCCAAGTGTCGACTGCTCGGCTGTAGACGGGTAAAGTGACTCTACGGTCAAGTCCTTAACCAGTCAATGCTCATATGAAGCCAATCTCAGCCAGGTCGGTGGGTTGATTGCCATAATTTTGTCCAAGTGCATGGCAAGCAGAATGACAAAAAATGGGAGATGTTATCAGAAGGAGTATCCTGTGGAACTTTTGGGTGCCGTCGGCCGGGGCAGAATCCGTCTGACGATCAACAACCACCTACTCCACAACATTGAGTTTAATTCTGTCATAACAATGGCCGTTCCGGTTCTGCCAACCAACCAAATCGGAAGCCACATCTGATTCAGTCGGGTATGGTGTAGCGGTAACATCGTTGACTCTCACTGCCAAGCAGTGACTGCTCTCTCAACAGCCCCGGGTTCGACTCCCGGTATCCGAGTCACTCCCTTTTTGGCTCGTCTTTGCTTAATTAGATTCGTAGCCGAATTGAACGTGACGGGCCCGAAACGTGTCTTCATTTGTGCAGAAAAGGAAGATGGGTGAAAGACTAGGTCGATGAATGATTGAATTGATCAATTGGATGCGAAGACTGGGCTCCAGGCACAGAGCCAAAAGCGCGATAAAGTTGTTGGAAGACTCGGAAGATGAATAATCCCAGTGCCCAGAATTCCAACGGTTCCAGTTTTCATGCTCCTGCAACCTCAAGTGTCGCACTTTCCCACCCAGTCATTTGCATCTGGCGGGCCGCCTGAAATTCCACAACAGGACGGGAGGGCTGTGGATGGACTATACCTACATAGTTCTCTCCCATACACGCTGCGAGCCTTCCGTAATGTGTACTTCCTTGGGTGTCCCCTTTCTATCTCATCGATATCGAGAAAGCTGGGGACCTTATTGCCTACAGGCTCGAACCTGGAAGACAAAGCCATGTGATCTCATCATTTGCATGTGATTATGAGCGCCGCACTGCCCCTGAGCGGCCGGGCCGGGCCAGACCCGCGGGGTCTTGCAAGTTCCACCACGATCGTGACGTCACCAACGACAGCAAACATCGAAAGTTATCGCGAAAACTCACATCATATCGAGACGAATGTGTGAAGCGATTAAAATGTGCCGAGGAATATAACCTGCTGTAGGTAATAAGCACAGAATAAGCTACGACATTTCGGAACGTACCAACTGGTTTTTCTTCTCGTAGCTGTTGGCCGTCTCGCCTTCCCTCTCAATAACATCCGTAGCTCCTTCCCTGCTCACCTGCCACATCCCACGTCCCACCACCACTTCGTCCCCCCGCTACTATTAACCTCCAAGATTACCCCCAAAACCCAACCACCCGAAATGGGCAGAATGAAGAAACAGAAGAGCATGGGCCGGCCACGCGCTGGCTCGACGTCGTCCGTCCACAGCCAGGAGTCGGGCTTATCCGGCCCCACCGTCCACGGCGGCAACCACAACCCGGGCGGCAGCGCCGTGGACTTCGCCGTCGAGGCCGCCAACTGCCCTCAGACCATCGAGCGCAAGCAGGCCGCCGACGCCGACGCCTCCCTCCCCAAGCCGTCCATCGCGCGGGCCAACATTGCCGTGTCGACGGCTAAGCCCGAGGGCAGTGTCGAGGCCGAGGAGAAGTTTCGCGATTTTGTTCGTTGTTTTTTTTTTTTTTTTTCACACGTCTTCGCGTTTGCTGGGGGCTGGATAGATAGGATAGGATGGCTGACTTGCTTCTTTGCTACATCAGACGGTGCTCCAGCAGCATGTGTTGTTCTGGGATCGCGACGCCGACGGCGAGATCTACCCCTGGGACACCTACACCGGGTTCCGCGATCTGGGGTTCAGCATCCTGTTCTCGCTGCTTGCGATGCTGATTATCAACGTCAACTTCTCGTACCCCACGCGGCTGGCCCTCTCGTGGTGGCCCGATCCGCTGTTTCGGGTGTATGTTGGCGGTATCCATAAGGCGAAGGTAAGTGGACGGGCGGAAAACAAGAAGTAAGGTGCCGTTGAGATGAGGCAACTGCTGACAAACTGAAATTAAAGCATGGCTCCGACTCCGGGACGTACGACAAGGAGGGCCGCTTCGTGCCGCAGCACTTTGAAGACATGTTCTCCAAGTGGGATGTCACTCACTCCGGGTCGCTGTCTGCTGGCGAGCTGTGGCGCATGATCAAGGGGAATCGGTTGGCTGCCGATCCGTTCGGGGTATGTCGGCACAGGCTTTGTTGCTTCCATGTTTGCAAGAGTGGGTTGCTAACCAGCACTGTTAGTGGGGAGCCGCCATATTCGAGTTTGGCACCACGTGGCTGCTTGTGCAGGATAACGGAAGAGTGTCGAAGGAGGATCTTCGCCAGACGTACGATGTAAGTACAATATTCGACCTGGGGAACGGTGCCTTCCGCGGCTAACTGTCCAAAGGGCACGATCTTCTGGAAGATCAAGAAGTTAAGGGAGCAGGGGAAGGGCTGGCACAAGGGGTTTGGACTGAGAGACCTCGCTGCCGTTTTGATGGCTGGCCCCGGGAAGCTACAGGGCCAGCAGATTTTGTTTTAGGTTGACGCGGACACAGCCACGCTGTTGACCGCCACGGACTTTGAACTATTGAACGGTGAGCGTAGGCCGAAGCATACATTCATGAGGCTGGACGTTGGTGGTTCTGTTACCAATCCTGCATGTAATTCATAGGGAAGTCTGTATGATATGGCCTCGAGTTCAGACCTATCTCCGACCGGCAGTCCTTCACTGTGTGACCATCTCAACACCCTGAAAGCTCATTGCAGAAGGTGCATGCATCGATTCACGTTCTGCTTTCCCTGTTCACCAAGCCGACGCACTGTCGGAGGGTGACTTTCCGTCATCTGAAATAATGTTGAGTCATGTCATACCGTAATGACGGCAGTCCCGGCTGTTGAGATATCAAGAGTCAGCGGATATGTCCCAAGCCCCTCAGATCCGTATCAGACTCACGTTTGGTGGCTCATCCTCGCCTTCCTTAGGATTCTGCATCCGTGAGACCATCTTGAAAAACGGATCCTTCTCCATTGCCTCGTCCGGGCCGGAGTACTTGAACAGCCGTGACATGTTCTCCGAAGACACCGGGTTGATGATGTCGTGCCAGATCTTCCTCCGTACCTCATCGTACTTGTCGAGGATCGAGTCATCAGCCTGCCCCGTGTGGATGCCCACCAGGCTCTCATAGAGGCTGCCCACGTCTGCGATGCCTCCCGTGAGGCCCATGCCGCCGCTGTGAAGTGGGTGGTTAGCTAAGCACTGGTGGCTTCCTCGAACAGAGCGGCCAGAAAAGACTTACAATGGATTACACAGATGCGCTGCATCTGCCGCCAGAATGAACCGGCCCACGCGCATCTTGTCGACGCAGCGCTGGTGCACCTTGTACGGGCTGAAGCTGACAAGCCGGTATTTGTCAGGCGTTGGGTTGCCCGGCAGAAAAGCTTGGAACTTGGCCGGCTGCCGCTCCTTCAGCTGGTCGTAGGTGAGCCCGCCGAGTTCCCCGTATGTAACGCGAGTGAGACCGTCTGTCTGGATCTTGGCGACCATGTGCCTGTCCTTGTCAGTACTACTAGTACTTTGCCCAGCCTCAGACGGCCTGTCCCATCGCAGCACTCCTGGGTACAGCACTCACCAATGTTCCGGGTGCACAAAGAATTGACTATCGTCGTAGTCATACGGCTCAAAGTCGTAGTACATATTGGTCGCCACAATCTGCTTGTCCCACGTGAAGCCAGGAAACACCATCTCGCCAAACAGCTTCCTCCTGATCGTACTATTCGCCCCGTCACAGCCAACCACATAATCCGCCTCATGCACCTCCTCCTCCTTCACCCCTCCTTCCCCATCCTTCTCCACCCTCACCCGCGCCTTCCCCCGCTCCTTATCCTCCCCAATCTCAACAACCTTATGCCCATACTTAATCTCCGCCGTGTCCCCATGGTACTCCCTCAATCTCCTCTCCAGAATCTTGCCTAGCCTATGCAGCGGGAGACACACCATCCTATACCTCCCCTCCGCCGAGTTCGGGTCATCGTCATCGATAGCGTTGCGCAGCATCACCAACCTCGTCTTCGTCTTACCCCCGTCGCCGTCGTCGTCCAGCCGCCGCCATGACACGCCGTCGGGCGTGAACCCTTGCGCACGCACCTCGTCCAGCACCCCCGCGCGGTCGAATTCCATACACGACTCGGCCGTGTAGTGGCTTGCGCGCGGGTTGGTGTCGAGCGCCGAGGTCTGCTCGAGCAGCTCGACGCGGATGCCGGCGCGCGCGAGGAGGAGCGCGAGGAGGAGTCCTGACGGGCCGGCGCCGACTATTATGATTTTGGAGAGGGGCATGGTGGTGTGTGTGTGAGGGGGGTTGGTACTGGTGGTGGATGTTGAGACGGGAGGTTTGGGAGTTGGGCGGAAGGGCTGGTTTATGTCATATAGGTATGATATGATATGGGATCGATCTTTAAGGTAGAGCGGTGCAGTCAAGGCGGCCCAGGGTGTATCCTATGTATGTGAGGGGAAATGAAACGAGAGCTGATTCCCATTGTAGAATGGTCCGGTAGTAAATGTACTCCCCGAGATGGCATTTGTTCGTGTTCTAAGTGTGAATTGCTTTCCCCCACTTCTCCGCACACTATGTTAGTCGGCAGGTGGTATAATAGGCGCGGAAAGCTCTCCGAGTACTCACGTTGGAGAATAATAACAGTAGGGGAGAGCATGGGTAGCAGCCGGGTAATTGAGCCCGCTTGAACCCCGTGAGTTCTGTGAGCCCAAACGTTGCAACGAGTGGTATAGGAAACAGGGAGAAGTAATGCGTCTTGTCTTTTAGAATCTACAAACGTGTTGATCTCGGCTCCCGGTGACTGGCAATGTTATACAGGGCACGCCTCCACCATATCGTGCTAAGAAGGAGGAACTTGAAGTGTGGTTGACATTGCAATGCGGTGCTTATCGGGGGTTATCGCTGAGATAGCTGGATGGTGTGTACCCGGTAATCAATCAGGTGACGGACAGGAGCACACACACAATGCATTACATGGATCCTAGCTGATGCCAACAGCGCCGCAATGCACCGTGCCGTTGGCCGACAACCGTCAACAAGCGATCCGACGAAGCTCGGATCGGTGTTCCCCTGCGCCATTGGCACTTCGGTGACTGGCCCTGCGCCGTACCAGGGTTAGGGTTCGCATCCTGCTGCTGGGCCGTCGTCCTGGGCCAACAAACACCAGCGAAACGGTCATGTCGATGACGGGCAACCCGGACGTTTGTTTCAAAGGAGAATATCCTTGGCAGGCCCGACCGACGATGTTTCGACCGTGGTTGAAGCCGGGTCGCCCCGGCCGCGGCAGCTGACGCCCGTATCGAACGCGGAAGAGGATCACGAATCCATGATGCCGTACACACCGTCCCTTAAAGCTACTCGGCAGCTTCTGCCCGCGCCCGCCCTCTCTGTGCTGAACTCTCCCGCTTCTGAAAAAAAAGAAGTCTCGGATTTATGCTTTCCGGACGACCACAATACTCAAGAGAAGCGCGTAGAGAAGAAGAAGAAGAAGCAGAGCGAGGGCCCCCGATGCAGCAGCTACCATGGGCCCGACAACCCACCCCCCGAACCTGATCGAATACATCTGGCCGTGCGGCCACTACGAGAATGTGGAAGTGCAGCCAGCGCCGGGGATCCCTTTCGTGCGCGGGCAGTTCTCGCTGCCCGTGGCCAAGCCGCCAGAGGACTTCTCCGAGGAGGAGCGGACGGGCGTGCCGGGGCGGCGGAAATGCTGCCGGTGCTGGTCGACGTGCAGCTTGTTCAAGCCCGTCGAGGCGTGCGAGGAATGCGAGCACGCCTTTGCTGGATGTCCGACGTGCATGATTGTCGACTCGACGGGCTCGCGGGAGATTGCGACCCTCGACCGGCGGCCGGTTGGTGAGTTTGATCAGACACCCGAGTTCTGGCGATGCAATAGCTGTGAACATGTCAACCCGTTTGATGGCGAGGAGGCCTTCAATGGGTTCTTAGCGCCGAAGGTCTCCGATTACATGGACGACATGGCCTGCAGGAAATGTGGCCAGGAGTTCACCGAAGAGAGCTGGGTCATCAGCCCCTTCTGGGTCTATCTCGGCACGTGGAATGGGAGAGTCGTCGCCGAGGGCGGGCCGTGGCACTGGAATATGGAGTGGCATCGGGACTGCGCCGGCGAGGACCACACCAAGGACGAGTGCTACGCCACGAGGAGAAACGGCAGGCGGAGGCGGGAAAACCCCTGCATCAACAAGAGCTTCGCCTCGGAGTCGGCTGCAAAAGGTGCCATGGTACCGCCGATCTTGGTGGTGGACACCGACACCGCGCACTCCCTCCCGCCGCCCTCAGCAGGGCTGACACCATTTCCCGAAGACCACGGCTACGACAGCGAGAGAGGAACGGCGCCCGAAAACCAGGAAGAGCCCTCTCTCCATCCCGATAACCAGACCGTTGGGACAAATCGGTTTACCATCGCCGACTACGGGGATCACGATGAGGGTGAGGCTGAAGACTGGCACGAAGACCGCGGCTTGGAAGTGCTGTATGACGACCACACGCCAGACTTGGGGTCTTACTACGATGCCCCAGCCGAGGACGAGGAACAGCAGTCGCCCCAAGGACCCCAGGACTTCCAAGACGACCAGAGCCATCTGGGCGATTATTATGGAGACGGCGACGAGCCTCGTGAGGGAGAGGATCCCGCAACGGAAGCTGAGCCTCCACCAGGAGAAGGTGAGTTATTTCCCCTCCACCCGGACATACGCTGATGCTAACTGGGACAAGGTCTAGAAGGAGAGGATTCCGCTGAGCCACAGGACGATGAGGACCGCGCCCTTGACGAGGGTCACTACGAGCCCGAAGCTGAAGCACAAGACGCGCCACTTGCTGCTGACCCTCCGGAAGCGGACGGCGAGCGGGATACCATGAGCCTTCCAGAACCCGACGCTCCTCTCGATGAAGAGGCCCCCACTGATGAGCCCGTCAACCCCGAACTCGAAGAGCGTGAAAGCGGAGAAAACGACCACCCGCCTTCGGGCAACCCTTACGAAGCTGATCCCGAAGAGGAGTGGCCATCTCCGGAGGCGGACAGTGAAGACACCGCTGTCGATGAAGATGAGGAGGAGGAGATTGGCGAAGAGGAAGGTGAACCCTATACTATCCCGCGTAACACTTATGCGGTGCTTGACACCCCTTGGGGCGCGGCGTACTGCCCTCCCGGCATGACCCACGACCTTTCTTGGGATGAGGACGAGGATGAAAACCTCGTTGACGAGGACCGGGAAGGGGAAGATGACTTACTCCCGGGGGACGATAGCCAGGAGCTCGCACCCGACGCAGAAGGAGAAGAGGCACTTCTGGAAGGAGAGGAGGGCGGAGAGAGGGAACTCGATGCAGAGGTCCCCGAGGGCGCGGAAGGCGAGCAGCCCCTTGAAGAAGAACCCGCCCTCGAGGAGGAAGCATTTCAAGATGCGGAAGGGGAAGACGGTGAGCGCGGCCTTGACGACGGCGAGCTCCCCGAGGGTGAGGAAGGCGAGGCCCTCCCGGACGAAGAAGCCGCCGAAGGGGAGGAGGGTGAACTACCACCGGAAGAAGAACTCCTCGACGGAGAGGGAGAGCCGGCCCTCGAGGAGGAGTTCCTCGAAGGTGAAGACGGGGAACGCGGTCTCGGAGAGGGGGAAGAGGGTGAGGGCGAGTTTGCCGAGGAGGCCCCCCTGGAGGAAGGCGAGTTCGCGGAGGAAGGGACGCCTGAAGACGGCGAACTTGACCCCGACATGGGAGAGGAGGGTGAGCGCGGCCTCGATGAGGAGTTCGCTCACGAGGAGGGTGAAGGTGAGTTGCCTCCCGAGGGCGAAGAAGGCGAGTTCCTGCCTGAAGAAGGCGAACTCGCATCCGAGGACGGCGAGCCACTGCTCGAAGGCGAGGGAGAGGGCGAATATCTGCCCGAGGAAGAAGGCGGGCGCGGCCTCGACGATGAATTCGTACCCGATGGGGAAGGCGAGCTTTCCCCGGAAGGGGAGGGAGAATATCTACCCGAAGAAGGCGAAGCCCCCCTTGAAGGTGAAGGTGAGTTCCTCCCGGAAGAAGAGGCCGCGCAGCTCGACGGCGAAGACTTGGACCCCAACGCGGAAGAGTTCCCAGAAGGTGAACGCGGCCTCGAGGACGGAGAGTTTGCCGAGGGCGAGGCCTTCGAAGGGGAGCCCATCGAGGGCGAGGGCGAATTTGCCGAAGGGGAAGGCTTCCACGAGGGTGAGGGCGAGTTCGCTGATGGTGAGTTCCCTGCCGGCGAAACCCATGAAGGCGAGTTTGCCCCAGGCGAATTCCCCGAGGACGGTAATCGCGGCCTTGGCCAAGACTTCGGCCAGCAACCTGTCGATAACAGCTTCGACGAAGGAGGGTACGCGGACGGTGCACAGTCTTACGACGGCGGCGCTGAAGGTGGATATAGCGACGCTGCATACCCTCAAGAGGACTATGCCCAAGGCTCGACAGACCACGGCGACTTCCCTGAAGCCGGATCGGCTGGAGATGGCAATCTCGATGACGACCGGGGCTATGATCAGAATGCCGGCGAGCAGCCACTCGAGGCGGAGTTTTCAGAGGGCCAACTTGCCGATGAAGATGCCGCTGACGGGGAATTCGCCGAAGGCCAACTCGCCGATGGTGACCCTGCTTTGGACAACGTCGCTGACGGGGAGATAGGCGAAGGCGAAGGCGTCGAGGACCAACCCATGGAGGACGGCGAGCGCGGCCTTGACCAGGAGGGCGAGCTACCGCTAGAGGAAGGAGAACCCGCGGAAGAGGTCCCTCTCGATGAAGAGTCTCCGTTAGAAGAAGCCCCCGTTGAAGGCGAACAGCCCCTGGACGAGGAGCAACCCATTGATGAACAGGTACCTCTAGACGAAGAAGCGCCACTTGACGAGGAAGCTCCCATCGACGGAGAGGCTCCTCTGGAAGACGAACAGCTCCTGGACGAGCAATCTCTAGATGAGCCACAGCTTGAGGAACCCCAGCTGGACGGAGAGGATGAGCGGGGCCTTGATGATGGAATGGCGGCCGATAACGGCGAGTTCGGAGAGCCACCGCTTGAAGAACAAGCGTATGATGAGCAGGCTCCAGAGGAGCCGTTCGAAGAACAACAGACTTTCGAGGAGCAGCCGATAGATGATCAGCCCCAGTTTGACGATCAACAATTCGAGGAACCTGCTCCAATGGAGGAACAGCCATCATACGAGGAGCAGCCCTCGTTTAATGATCAGGCCGATTTCGATAATCAGCGAGGATTTGACGACCAGGGAGGTTACGATGATCAGGCCGGCTTTGACGATCAGGG